TTCCAATTCCAAATCGATTATCATCACACCAATATCCTTCATATTCTATACATCCATTATTATGATAACTCGTTCCATAGCCAAATCGTTTCCAGTTGATCACTATGCCCTTATACACCAAGAATCCATCATCATTATACATTTCACCATATCCAAATGGAATTCCAATTTTACCTTCTTTTTCTTTTTCTGTCAATATCAATCCTTCAAATCGACTTCCATGATCCAAATCCACGATTCCTTCTTCCATGAATTCTTTACGATGTGAACTACCTACGATTTGATGATTTCCAAACACTTTCAACACTTTCTGCTCATTGAGTACAAATCCTTGATTCATAAATACTCCATTATTGAATTGCAATACCATACATAATCCATTATATCCGATGAATGAAATCCAGCCATCCACTTTCCCGTTATTCACACGTCCTTACACACTTTTGATCACGGAACTGATAGTACCACGGTTTGTAAAAGCAAAATTCGCCTAATCAACAATGGTGTGCATCGAAATAAGTAAAAAATAGGGAAAACGGTTGTTTCTGAAATAATATCTGTTTCCTTATTGCTAGATATCAACCATTTTCCTTCCTTATATACATATAGCTACTACAAAAGAGAAATCACAATTAATAATGACTATTATCATCATTATTGTCGTGTATGTGTGAAACTGATCACTACTCTTTATCCAATATAGAACTAAAATAGTCAATATTGTTTTTCGAAACTAGAAAAAGGTTGTGGCTGACATTCTTAAGAAAAGAGAGTAATGAGTATGATTCAGAATAACAGCTGACTGTGACTGAATCACATAGACATTTTAATGAAGAGTGTATAGATGATCAGTGTGAAATGATGAAATTGTATAGAGTATGCAAGAATCGGAATGTTCATGATAGTTTGAGCGATCTTCTCGGACTGTGCGAAGAGTTTCAGCGATTGGATTATGAGGGAATGGAACGAATGAGATCGAATGACTGGACGGGAGCAACAAAAGCGCTATTGAAACTCCATGTGTTGATCATTAATTTTGAAAAGAATGGAACTCCGATCGGGAAATCCGTGGACAACGCGGTGCTTCTGAACAAAGAAATATAAAAGAGTATTCTTAACAAATCATTCGAGAACTATTTGTACAAATCGATTGACTAATCACTTTCATCTTCCAACCGTCGATTGAAGTTTGGCAAAGCACTATCGCTATCGCTCAGATACTCTTCAGAAAGATCAGATCGAGGAAACCCAGATCGCATGGGATTGGGGTTATCCATTACTGAATAAGAATCAGGAGGTGTCAAAGCATCGGTGAAATCCTTGAAGAAAAGTCGCCACTCATCGAACATTTCTTTTGTCCATTCATGTTCGCTAAACTTTGCCAATTCGTATGTTTTTAGCTAGAGTCGCATACTCTGAGAATATTTACATAATTTTCACAAATCGTGTCGGTTAGTTTAGGAAATTGAGACTTTAACGAGGTGACATAGGTACGAAGATCCTGTTTGTTGCTCCTCTTTAGATTTGGATATAACCTGCTGATGTCATCATCAATAGCCTGATAGGAGGAGGCAACAGTGGCTTGGTAGTTCAGGAGGGTTCGAACATTCGTATCCTTGTCCACTACGACTTAAAAGGTAATCTAGTAATTACGTAACATTACACACGTTTTATCTGCACAATCACTTGGCTTTGTTTTCAGACTTTCCATCTGTTGTCTGCTCTTTTGGGCTATTTTTGCCATTTGCTATATATTATCCACTTCACACAGAATTTACAGCGGACAGGTGATATCTTCCAATATCAATATTCTTTCTAGGGAGTTTATTGTAATGAGCAATTCTTGAGCCTAGTTTACAGTACAGAGATATCATCAGTAATAGATACTATATAATTAAGTCAACAAGATATTCAATTACGATGATCGAGAAACAACTACTGATTGTGATGAAATGGCTGATTCCCATTTCATCAATGTACCTACATTCTCCATTTACATCTGCGCACTCAGACTCATTGAAGTAAGACATAGATCGAATTTGGAAATAGCTCATTTGTACAAGGGGATGCAGCGAATGCCGAAAACGTGGCAAATAATACGAATAGGGATGTTATTCGAATATTGTGATGAAAAGGTAAACTTGATTTTTGGACTACTTCTGATCTTTAGCATAGGCAAGTATAGTGATCATTTCTCTTTTGCATATCAATCATGAACCACTATTCAATACTTCGAACATTTTACATCATTTCTTTCGATTTCTATGAGTATACCTCCTCCTCCTTATCAACCTGGAGTGAACCAGGTTCGATTTGTAATATGCTGTTAATTGTAGGCGTATCCACCTCCCGCTTATCCGTCGCCTGGTGCTCAGCCACCTCAACCTGCACCTGTTTATGTGCTCATTTTGCGTCATTTCTAGGGATATGCCTATCCTCCCAATGCCGCTTATCCTTCTCCAGTTATAGCAGTATTTTTGTTTCATTCATAGGCATATCCTCAGCCGATGTACCCGGCAAACTCATCTCCTATGCCGGTTTTTTTATCAGTTTTTTATGACTCTTAGCCATCGCCTATGCAGCCGCAGCCCATGTATCCTCCTCAAGCGCAAGGTCAATATCCTCCTCAGCCGCCCATGCAACCTGGAGGGCAATCCCCATCGACTCCACAAGGCCAGTATCCTCCCCCTCAACCCCAATACCCACCCCCTCAGCCTCAGTATCCTCCCCCTCAACCCCAGTATCCCCCTGCTCAAGGCCAGTCTCCTGCACAGCCCCAACCGCAGCCTCAATACCCACCACAGGGTCCGTATCCACCTCCACAAGGCCAAAGCCCTGTCGACCCTCAGCCCCAATATCCCCCTGCTCAACCTCAGCCTCAATATCCTCCTGCTCAGCCCCAACCGCAGCCCCAGAAAGAAGAGGATAGTGACAACCCAGCTCCTTCTGCGCCTGAAGTGTTCCCCACGATCCAGGGCTATAGCATGGTCGGGAACCAGCCGATGGTGGCCACGATCAACGCGTCCATGAACCAGGGAGGTCGGATTATCGTGCTTCTTCGATGTAGAATCGGTACAGATGGTGAAGCTCGCCTACAACGAGGAAAAGATCACCGCGGAAGACATGCGCCAAGCCCTCGCGCAGCTCGTAAAATCGAAGATCTTCTGGGGCAAAGGCGCTGTGAAGAGCATGGACATCTCCGTGGTAGTTTCGAATCGCTTCTTTCATTCCGAGCGGCATTTGGAATTGCTATTACTGCATCTGGGAAACCTTCAGCGAAAAGCGAGACTCCGCCTGGAAAACGCGGCCCTACAAGGGCGGCATGGTACACTTTTCCGTCTTGTTATACCTATAACAGATCGATGGTCCGGAGAACGGCCCCGTTCCGCAGCCGTGGGACATTCCGATCGTCGCCTCAAAGCTGTTTGAAGACGAAACGAAGAAGGTGCGCGTGCCTCACACAGAGTACGGCCAGTCCTGCCCGAAGTGCTTTGGACGCGGACATGTGCAGTGCAAATCCTGCCACGGCACGGGAAGCGAGCGCTGCACATGGTGCAACGGAAGTGGAGTGCGGACCATCGGCGAAGAACGCACGCAGTGCTCGTTCTGCCATGGATCGGGACACGAGCAGTGCAGTTCTTGCCATGGAAGAGGACTGAGACAATGCAAGGAGTGCGATGGCCACGGACAGATCGTGTATTTCATTGAGGTGGGCGTAGCGTGGCGTGGCGGGCTGAGAAGTAGATCACGGCGAGCTTTACGAACCATATCGAGTATCGGATCATCGATGCGGATGGTCTGCCCGATGATCTCGTCGATAAAGCGAGCTCGTCGATTCTGGCCAAGTCGTGTTGAGCGATGGGATCGAGTGTAGACAGGAGGGCTATCGGATTTTGCCTCCGCAGGACGTGTTCGAGCCCAAGATTCGCGAGGCGTGCAGCATGCTGTTCACGAACGCGGAGAATGTATCGATGAGGGCGGACTGCGAGAGTAGTTCATCAATTCCGGAACGGAAAGACTGCTCCAGGAACGCGTCACGGTGAAGGTTATCCCGATGGCGAAAGCGACTGGCGCGTGGAAGGGGAAGAGCTGCGAGTTCTGGGTCTACGGAAACAACAAGGTGGCGTATGCGCCTCGGTACAATAAGGAGTTTTACCACGGCTGCAGCATTATGTTGTGTGTTTGTTCCAACAAACAGAGAACTGTTACATTTCGTGGATTAGGCGGGATTGCTGCTCATCGGAAGGGGAGTGGATTGATGGTTCGGCTAGCGTGTCTTCGGCTTTTTCGATCGCCTCGATAGCTTCCATCGGCGCAACTGCCAGTCGCTGGAGTAGAACAAGACAAATAAGAATACCATTTCAACTGTAGGAACGGAGGCACCACCAGCCATGGCATCACTGGAATCCGTTTCATTTGTAGAGACGCTCTCTTCATCACTGTCAGTCACTAATTCTTCAACGGAATAGTGAGTGGTTCCTGTTTCTGCAAATTCCCTTTGAACTTCTTCGCAAGATGATTTGAATTGAGGAAGGAAGGAATTAAGCGAATCAAACACTACTCGTTATTCAAGAAGAGTACAAATACAGGAACTCCTAGGAACAGAAAAAGTTTGCAATTTTTTTGGTTTCTCTGCATCTAGTAGTGATACTGATATACAATATGGATACCATTTCCAATAATAAGAGAATGGCCAATTGGAAACGAACCACCTCCGATTTCCAGTTGTTTCCTATATTTAGTTTCCAGATATAACACTCTACTTGTCTTGCATACCTGCTGTGTGATTTTCTGAAAGATGCTCTATTTCGGTCTGTCTGTATTGTATTCTTCTTTTACAACCATTTGCTAACAGAGCGCGATAATCTAGAGGATTTCTCGATAATTCTTTTCTGGAGTGTTCGTATTTGATGTATCTATTTTTGTATACCTATTATATAGGGAATATACGTCGCAATTCGAAACGAAGCGTTGTTAAGTCAACCATTTTCTTTTCGTTGCTATTCCAATTACTATACTTTATAATCGTGTTTCATTGCTCAGTAGCTGCAGTAGAATACTGTTATCCTTGTGATCATCTAGACCACAATCTCAAACTTTCGAATAAACACTCACTTGTTGGATCTTTTTGAGTTCAAAATTCAAAATACGGCTGTACATTCTCAAAGGATGGAAGACTTCTCTGTACCTATCAAACCTATTTGGAATATTATTTATGTATTGGTATAGATAACAATAAACTATATCTTTTGATTATTGATTCGTTTCGTTAATATGCAATGAAGATTGTGTTTTAATGAAAGGGATTTAACAAATTCATATTTTCGAAAAACCTATTAATGAATACCCCAAGAAGCTCTGATATTACAACAGTTATAAATGTGGATATTGCGCCGTTACAACACAGTGAATATGCGTTGGGAACAGATGGGAATCTGATACAAGCTTGGAGCAGTAATATTCCCGAGCAGTTTCCTATTGACAGCATTGATCAACAAGATAAAAGAGTTGTAATTTTACACATTGGACACCCTCACAAGAATTACACGATCCAAACCGAGATGAAAAAGGGAAAACTGAATGGCAAAGCTATCATCAAATCACCTACGAATGTTGTGGTTGGAAAGATACATTATTTGAACGGAGAGATGACAGGGAAATGCAAACTGTATAATGAATCGGGAGTTCTTTTCTTTAAAGGGTTTTTGCATGATGGATATCGACAAGGAAAAGGTACAGAATATGATACAAACGGAAAAGTACTCTTTGATGGACTGTTTGTTGGCGGAGGCAGAGAATATCGGTACCACAAGGTTATAGATATGGAAGGATATTGGGCAGAATTAGAAGAAGATGGGAGTGTGAGATCCATTTGTCAGATAGATAACAATTTGTTCAAGCAAGGAGTGTGTCTTTTCTATGACCACAGCAAAATTGAGCAGATTAGTGAATGGAAGGACAATGTTGTAGTTAATATGATTAAACGCTTTAAGGATGGGGAAATGATTGAATACAAGAATGGAGTGAAGTCTTACGTGGGATCTTATTATGCTATAGGAAAAACATGCTTTATTAGGGTTAGTGGTCGGGAATATGATGTGAATGGAGAGAATGTCGTTTATGATGGGGACTTTATTGATGGAAAACGATCTGGTTTTGGAATTTTGTACAATTCAAAAGGAGAGGTGGTCTATGATGGAGTGTGGAAATATGGAATAAAAAGTTCAGTATACATATGCATATCTTATACACTCTTTATGATTGTGTTCTTTGCTCTTCTCTATCTGTTTATCTTCATAGAATTTGATATTAAAGGAGTAGGTGGATTATTATTTTGGGCATTGGTACTTGCTATCTATATGTATACCAAGTTAACTGAAGTCGAAGTTATCCCCGTACCCTTTTATTACGATGAGAATCAAACGATCAAAATCTTATATTTGTGCGGTAGAGAGGTAATAATTGAATCGAATTTGAATGAATTCACTTATTTCAAGATTGATGGCTTGAGAAAGATGAGGAAGCTTACTCTACCCCAGATGGACTATAAATTTCATTCATCATCGCTCCAGCGTTTTGTTAGAATATATAATTGTGAAGAGTTAGAGGAGATAGTTATTGGAGATAAGGCTTTTATGTATTTTGACGAATTCGGTTTAAGGAATCTTCCGTCCTTAGAAAAGATTCGGATTGGAGATATTGATCATGAATCACGGAATTTTCAAAACAGCAATTTTGTCCTTCGTGGTAATCGAGTAACATAAAGAACTGAAGTGTAGATTTGCCATCTCTCAAAACTGTCATTATTGGTGGCAGTTCATTTGTGTCAAACAAGAAAATAGTTTTTGACAGTAGGGTGTAAAAATGAAAGTGAAATAGGTGTATAGATTTGCCAAAATTGAAAACGATTGCGCTAGGAAAAAATGCACTTGAAGGAGAATATCTCAGTCAATGTAAAATGGAAATGATAAGTAATAGCATATGGAATTACAATGAATCGTTTTAGATCTTCCTCGTTTGTATTCTATTACATCAAAGGGGTATAGCTTTTTGAATGTCCGATCTCTTGTATTAAAGGGTATTTCAATAATAATAGAAAAATGAACGGAGTAGATATTCCTAATCTTCAGACTGTTAGCTTGCCCAATGCTTTCAAGAAAGTTTCAACAGTGTCAATTTCCAGTACTTTGGAATCAAATCTTTTTAGGATAGATGTTTCATCTGCTCTTGAAGATCTTTTTCGCTGTTAGGAATAACATATTTCAAATCGATACAATATCGAAAAAAATGGTTTGTACAATATGTAAATACATTCTGAATACAAAAGGCAATGTTTGTATGTACGAATTGTTCGCTCATCTCTCACATTGCGGCCATTTCTTATCCTAGAAATGGATATTTCACCTCATTAATCATCAAATAATGAGTTAGATTAAAGCTCTCTTAAGGCAAAAGAAAGAGTAGGTAGATGATCTTTTAGTGTAAGCAATGTCAAAACAAAGACAAGAGATTATCATAACACTTACGAACGGATTGATTGCATTCATTGGTAATATACGATAAGAAATAAATGTTGGGTATGTCAATTATTATGTAGTTAACTCCAAATCCGATTGTCACAAATTCATTATCATTGTCCCTGTAGCACATATTCTTTCACACAAACAGTTCAAAAATGATTTATCAAATATTCATATGCTTTTCGAATCTCTATAAACTTCCTTTCTGCATCTTCACTTCGATTTTTGTCTGGATGATATTGGAGAGCCAATGCTTTGAATCGTTTACGAATCGTTTCCACTGAATCCGTTATCTTCACACCCAACAAATCACAACACTCCTCGTACTCCGTTTTCAGTGCTCCATATTTGTTATCATAACCAATATCCTTTCCCACATTGTCTCGTTTGTATGAATTCGAAAACCTCCACGAACCACCAGCCGACTTCAACTCATTTATCATTTCTTTCGTTTTTAGATCTCCCGTTATTTCCACATATCGCTCCAAATCCATGACTGCCTTCTCTCGATCACCCATTGACAAATAACACTCTGCTCGTGCCTTGTACACTCGAGGCGAATGAGCGAAGCCCGAGGCGATAATCTTGTCAAAATCATCTAGAAATCAGCCAATGTTCTCTTTTCATTTTTACCTTTCGCATCCTTGAAATTTCCTTCGATCTGTTCGATCAATCCTTTGTTCAGAAGCACCGCGTTGTCTACGGATTTCCCGATCGGAGTTCCATTCTTTTCAAAATTAATGATCAACACATGGAGTTTCAATAACGCTTTTGTTGCTCCCGTCCAGTCATTCGATCTCATTCGATCCATTCCCTCATAATCCAATCGCTGAAACTCTTCGCACAGTCCGAGAAGATCGCTCAAATTATCATGAACACTCCGATTCTTGCACACTCTATACAATTTCATCATTTCACGCTGATGGTTCAATTGCCACAGCACCAATAGACTCAAATACACGACACTCTCGTCAAAATCCACTTCCCTGTTCCATCCCTCATACAATCCCGTTGTTAATTTATCACTTTCATTCAATGAATTCATCCATGGGCACTGCGTCGACAACAAATCCATTGCTTCGTTCGATCGATACAAAAACACATTGCAACGAACCAAATCGATGAAGGGACTCCGCCAAAATGGAGCAATCCTTCGAATCTTTTCTAGAATCGGAATGCATTCGTCGAATTGATGCGTTATCATCAATTGACGAGACAGAGAAACCAGCGACTCCAACTCTTGGATCTGATTGAGCGAATCTGGATAAATGGTTTTTGCAAGATTCAATTCTCCGATTTGAATGTACAACGAGGAAAGATGCTGATAGAACGAATGTGAATGAGGTTGGAACTGGATCGCTTGTTTGATCGATTGAATGGCTTGTAAAGGGAGTTTTAAGGATAAATAAATCGAACTCTGGAGCGAATAATTCGATGGATCTTTCGAATTGTATTCAATCGCTTGTTCCACATAGTCTACACACATCAGTCAATCGATCATTAAAGCAATTACAAAGAGCTTTCTTATAGTCATGCTTATCTGCAAATAGCTTTGCTGATTTCCTATAAATGTCGCTGAACGTTGAATACGAAGCCAATGAATCATCACGATGAAGAAGATTCACTGCAGAAGAAGCCGATTGGGGAGTGAGAAACGCGTTGGCATATTCAAATATGTGCGTTATTTCACTACTTCGCTGCGAAAGTATTGCGATACAATCGATAACACGCTGGTATTTTCCCAGTTGGCAAAGCACGCGAAGCGATTGAGCCATCTATGATTCAAGTTTGAATGGAGTGATTCACAAGTGTATTGTTCACAGACTTGTAGTACTTGATTGCTTGTCGGTTCAGAATAAACCACGTGCGTGCTAGAGGCGAATCGTTCAATGTGAGATTGGGAAAGAGAAGCTTGATCACATCCCATCCGAGCTCCGTGTCATGGATTGCTAACACGCAGCGAAGAAGCAATTTAAAGTAGATCGGATAGTGAACGAGAGGTCCACGATAATCCGTAAGCATCGCCAACACGTTTGCATATCGCTTCTCCTTCAGAAGCTCCTTTTTCAGCGAGTTCACAAACAATAACATATCGTTTATCTACCATGAAATCGATGAAGTTTCGCTACAGAATTGATCAGCTGGCGACAGATCGGATCTTGATTGATTTCTTCTCTTTCTTCCATCGGAGCAGCTGCGAATCGAGCAAAATACGAAAAGCATCGACCGGTTTTCCCCAGTTCTAGATACTCCGCAGCAATGTTCAGATAAGATTTAGCGCATGGAGGAAGCGAAAGCTCCAATTCCTTCACTCGTTGAATAGAATTGTCGATCGATTCATATTCAAGAGGCGAAGAATCAAGACACGATGAAGTCGATTCGTTGGAAGCGGCAAGGAGAGAATTCCATTCATTTAAAAGCTGCTCGAGGAGCAATTGGTCGCCTTTTTCTCTCACAAAAAACTCCACTTGATCGAGTGATTGTGTGGGAAAATGCAGATCCATCACGATGTGGAGCAAGAGAGCCGAGGAGACGGATGGTTGTGCGGATCGGAGGAGGCTGAGACAGCCAGAGATCGAGAAGAAGGGATGAGCGAGTCGAGAAAGAAACTGAGACTTCAAGTAGCGAAGATGAGGCGGAAGAATTGGATGTGAGAAAAACTGATTCAATGCAGTGAGGTCGCAGCGAGATAAACAAGCTTGGAAGTCCTCTTCGGACTGAACTTTGATTCAACCGGCTTTTTCAATCCTACGAACACTCTCCAGTTTGCGATTCAGCAATTCCAGCAAGCACAATGTAGAGTCGAAGCGGCAAGGAGAGCACACAGATTGTCTGATGGGATGGGAATTGAGCGAAATGTATAAAATCGGACAGAAAAACGGAGAACGAAGGGAACGAAGAGGAATAGAGAGAGAAGAAAGGAGGGGAAATGTTGAGTTAACAGAGTGAATTAAAGATAAAAACAAGAGAGAAAGAAAAATAGATAAGGATATGATTGTTGTCAACGTTTGTCCAGAGAGCACGAGATAGAGGAAAAACTCAATTCTACTCCGTTCATCAAGTGCAAGTCCTTGATCCACACGTAGCTGGATAGGAAAATGAAATCTAGTCATCATATGCTGTTCACAATTCATACAGATGTTCCGATAACTGGATAGTATCCATGCAGTAAGCAAGTTCACAGTTATTAGATACCAGTTTGCATATGTAAAGGACAGATAACGATCTTCCTCTATAATCTCCAAAATCACAGCACTCTATTAGGAACTAGCAATCAAATGTACGACGTTACACCCTTACCTTATAAATACTATCGATTCCGTCATCATCCGGGTCCTTGACGTGAAACTGCCCATAGAAATCTTCTCCAAAACAAATTTTGGAAAATTGAAGAGTTTTCTCATTCATGTTTAAATGATACTCTAAGGGCTAATTCCCATCTACTTTATAATGAGAGTTTGATTTTACCGATCGTGTGTTCTTCCTACGATTCCAGGTGTCTACACTATTTCGTGTGCGTTTCGTCAAAATCAGGAGCCGTGACCTAACACATGCACCACAATTCGGCTTTGCGAAAAGGAAATAGTATTAAAATGGTGTAATTCATTTTAGTAGGATCTCGATTGTTCCCGGACAAGCGAGTTTCCCACAATTTCCAAAAAGAAAACAAAGCAATCTCTTTGCCTTCCCAACCCCATTTTTTTCAAACAAACACCCCACTAATACACTTAATCCCTCTTTACCTTGTCATTATTTCTCCACGTCAGCCAGTGAATCACCGCCTTCAAGAAGAACAGTCCAGCGAACGCTCCGATGCACATCAGCGGCTCTCTCCACAACATCATCTGATTCAAGTCATAAGTCACCGTGATCGTTTCTCCCTTCTGCAGCTCAATCAAATTCCGCTTCTTGAACTCGTACACCGGTCGTCCGCGGAACGAGCTGTCCAGATAAGTGAATCGTTTCTGCACGGGCATCGCTTCCACGCCTTCCGGCAGCGAGAATTCCACGTTCTTCACGCACTCGGGCAGAATCACACGCACCGTCAATTCCTGAACGTCCACCTGCTCGATCGGCGTGCTGAACGGCACCGTCAGCGAGAAGTGCTCGCCCTCCTTCTTCAGCACGCGGTTCGAAGGGAGATTGTACCTACTCTTGACCGTGTTCGATGCAAATACCCCCAATAGAACTCGTTCTTCCACCCGCCCAGCATCGGGAACCGCATCTGCAGCTCCACCAGCATGCTGCCCGGCTGTCTGCGCACGTGCGACGTCGTGATGTTCCCCAGAATATCGCGATAGTACACGTCCATAGCGCGTCTGTCGATCCTCGCGGTCAATTCCTCTACGATTCACGCTCCTTTTCTTCCACGCACCCCAATACGGAACGGAGTCCGGGTCGCTTTTGTAGTAGTCCAGGCGAGAGAACTCTCCCGTCAGCGGGCTGCCGCTGTTCCGAGCGCGGATCACTTCCTCGATGGCCACGTTGCCCCAGTGGGAGATCTCGATCTCGCGCTCCACGGTCTCCAGCGTGCGGAATTTGGCGACGCTGGGGAAGTGAATGCGCACGGAAACCGGGGAAACAAACGGGGAAAGGGAGGCGAAGGGACCGTAGGTCAGGGTGTTGCCGTTCTTGGAGTTGGGAGAAAGGTCGGTGTAGGAGAAAATGGTGGAGGCGGGGAGATTGAAGCGGATTTCCTGCTTCTGGGAAGGATACGGAGACTGAACGTAGAGATCATGGTTGAACACGTATTTGGGAGTCTCTTGCTGCATGAAAATAAACAGTGATGGCTACCTGAGTGATCGTCGCTGGTACGGGAACAAATACATGAGTGAGGTAGTAATTCACGAAAAACACAAACTTATTCGAGATCTTGTCAGAGGAGTGGACAGTATACAGGGTGACTCCTTCACTACTGATTATAAAGTTATCGAATACACACATGGGCTGCAGTTCATCCTTCTTCAAAGAGAGCGACGCTTTTCTGAGTGCAGATGTCTCAATATACGCCATATGCTCAATATCCGAGTTCGGAATAGCAACCTGATAGTCCACCAGGTCATCTTGCGAAGGAGAGACCTGATAACGAATCGTCACATTCACGATGGCCTCGGTCATGTCAACCGTCTTGATCACACTCAAGTTTTCGAATAACGGTTTCTCTGCTGAGATCAGCAGGAAAAGCATTGTGGTCAGTACAACAGCTGGTACTCTCATTAGAACCAATATACGCAAAACAGATCAGGAAAAATGAAGAGATTTATGGCAAACCACATTGTACAACAAACACACACAAATGGAAGCATTTTCCTCAATCACACTGGATAAGTAATATTTCCCTTCTCTCTTGATCCCCACCTCATTCCCACACACATCACAAACGAGCTGATAACTCATCACTTTCTTCGGCTTCCCGTCCTCTCCTTTGATCTCCACCTCCACGCCGCAATCAAAAAGCTCCAGACAGTTACACACTTCGTCCGAAACAAATGCTACGCTGTGACGATCGGACTTCTTCCGGACTCTACGGTTTAGGGCACAGTGGTAACATGACATTTTACACTTGTAGCAGAGAGTCGTAAAACAACACGGGCAGCATAAAATAGCGTCTGTTGTGTGGTTTCCGTCTAGATTATCACCCATTACAAACCATACGCTTTTGTTCCATCCAAGCAGCATCTTTCTCGTCGCGATTTGGATCATAGAGTTCGGGAATATCGGTTTCTGCTACAAGTGAGACACCAATTTCAATTGAACCGTTATTTTCTCCATTTGCAGTTTCTTCCTCTTCATCCGAACTAGACTCACTAGGTGGTAAACGTAAATTCGATAACTCTCACTCAGTACTCTCTTCGGAGTACTCTTCCTCCTCCTCCTCTTCGTTTTCTGGAATATAGGACTCTTCCACTTGTTCTCCGTTTCCGTCGAGTTCTTTGTAAACAAATCGCCTAATCACCTTGGCATGAGGCGTTTCCTCTTCTTCATTTTCGGAAATACACTCATTATCATCAATGGAATGAATATAATTGATATCCCAGTAAGTTGCTTGAAATCTCTCTTCGCAACCAGTATCATCAATCATATCATCCTCACTTGAAGATGATGGGAGATCCATTGAAAATAAATAAAACAAACAATGCAAACATCACCTAAAGCTACTCGGATTTCTTGTTCTGCAATGGCAGAAAGCTGCTCTATGTCATACTATTTCACATCCAGTTATCAAATCGCTACTTGAGAAAACAACCCCCAATGTTCGGAAACACTCCAAATATCTGCAGAATATACCGGTGATGAAACTGCATGCTACACAACTTAGTCAATTTCTCCCAGTTCTACCCAGATCTTTGCAAATGTCATTCCTTTCAAATTCCTCTTCGAAACCCGATCATCTCGCAGCAACATCTATCCAAAACGAATCGCTACTATCGAATACGCGTGCACTGCGAATCACTCCTCGCTTTGTCTGCTCATCCACCAAGCGAATTGGCCATCGAACCGTCTTCAACAGAGGATCTACATTACACCGTTTCCACGTTTCCACCGTCAAAACCACTGGCTTTCATCGTTCTCTCCGCGTCCTGCGAGATGGAAATATCAAACGATGGTTGCTCAAAATACTGAGCGAGCAATTCCTGTGCGAGTTTGTCTGTTTGTTACAAAAAGAAAAGAAAAGAAAAACGAGGAGTGGAGAGCGAGCTCAGCGAAGGAGACTCGCTGTCATTCCGAATGGCGTGTAAAAAGTAGTAAACTCGCTTGACCTCCTCCACTTCCTCCTGTTTTCTGAGCGATTTCGATAGAATTCTACGTGCTGGCGCGCTGCAAGCTTCGTGTAAATGCTTTGAATTTGCTCCGTGTTTGGGATTCTGTGTGAATGAAGATAAAGTCTGGAAATGCTACTTCAACACCTTCAGAAGCGCGGACAACTCGGAGGATTTCACGACAAGAGCGTGTTGAATCTCGAGTTGTCGAATGGATTTGCGAATGGCAATGGGTGATTCGTGTCGAAACGCAGCGAATGTGAACAAATCGACTGCAAATGTGTCTGTGAATGAATGATTGGGTGGCTGATTCTCACTCGAATTGACGTCATAATTGTCTGCAAACGAGAAGAGAGAGGCAAAGAATGCATTTCTCTCCATCAACTACACAAACAAAAAGTGGAAACAGGGAAACCTGTTCGTGATTCATGGGAGTGATGATCAAATGATTCAAAAATTCGCATTCAAATTCGATGAAACCTTCGTTTTCCAACAGAATCAAACACGTTTTCATTGTTTCCACCGAGCAATCGAACAGTTGCTCGCATTCCCCATACTTCACACAGCTGTAGGGCGTTTCGCTCACTTGACTCGCAATGAAACGGTTCACCGCGGTTAATTCCACGTAGTTACTCCATGCCATGGAATACAGTTTCGACCAGACCGAGTCCGTTGTGATGCTCAGCGCCAAACCTTCTTCCTCATTCCCGCGGTAACGTCCGATCTCCTGCACATACCCCTGAATCGACCGACTTCCGCACAAGTGAATGATGCACTTTTTGGAATTCCAGAAATCGGACCTACTTTGATATTCTTGAGATTGACGCCCATGCCAAAAGCGGACGTTGCAACGATTACATGAAGAGATTTCTGTGAGCGATTCAGCACACGGAGACTCTTCTTTCGTTGGGTATCATCCATTCCTCCATGATACACAGTGCACTTCATCATCACAATGATCATTTGTAATGTACGTCAATGTTGTAACTCTGAAGATATTCGCAGAGAGACGTGGTGTCTCGACGGAATGGGACGAACACAATCACATTTTGACGTGATTTGGAATCGAAAAACGACGATTGAAGGAATTCGCGTAATAGTCTCGATTTTTGGCATTCCAAAAAACGTACTGTTGACACGACTGAATCTGGTCTCTCGACACCGAGGCGATTTTGATGTTGCGACGATACCACCCGTTATCAATGACCTGTTCCGCGGGAATCTGAAGATGTTTGCAGATATCCTATCATCGAATTCGATCGAAGCCACTACTTCCTTCACGCGAATTCCCCCGGTTCCTGTGAGTCCCAGCACCGAGCAAGACTGGTAAAAATCGCCCTGTTTTTTGGACTGGTTGATCAAGGAGATCATGGAGAAAAGTCGAAGATAATCGGATCGGAAGTTGAAACTCCAGCTGCTGATGCAGTGTGCCTCGTCGACGACCACGAGATCGATCTGATCTGCAAGGGAGGTGGAGTGGAGAAGCTCTCGAAACATGGAGGAGAAGAGTTTCTCGGGGGAGATGTAGATGATTTTGATGATGCCCGAATTGATGGCTTTGATGGATTCGAATAGAATTCGGGGAGAGAGAGAGCCGGTGAGTACGAGGGAGGAGAGAATGGGGGGAAGCTGGTGTTCCTGATCGTGCATGAGCGAAATGAGTGGAGAGATAACCAGCGAAATCCCGCGGAAAAGAAGCGCGGGAAGCTGATAGGTCAGCGATTTTCCGCTTCCCGTCGGTGAGATAAACACCTACATGCAATGAGATCGGGAATAATACGCAGCTATGATGAGTGAGCAGCGATTGAATGATCGATAATTGATTCGGCCGGAATTCTGGAATTCCAAAAATATTCTGTAAAATGAAAATCAAGGATTCGCTGGGAATTTCGGTTTGAGATCGCAGAGTTTCCACAGTATCATAAAACGATCCTGTTTGTTCCAGGAGTGTAATGATCAAGTCTTGTTTGTTTGATTTGCAAGCACAACTGTACATTTTTCCCAGCACTTTCAACTCGTCCACCTATTTCTCACCTTGCTTCCCTGTTTCTACCGTCATCCCCTCCAGCTTCGATTTCTGGAATTCCAAAAATTCCTCCTTTTTCGATTTCGATTCCTTCTCGCTGTTCATCGCGTTCAAACACGACAGCACTTCGCTCCGTGCGTTCTCCTTCCACAAAAAGAAATTGCAGCTGCTCACGCGATCGTGGCAGCAACAATAGAACTCTTTCCCGTGGTTTTTCCCCGATTTTCGCACCTTTCGCAGAACCGCGGGGATTCCGTGGTGGCAAAGAGGAGCGTCTTCGATGGAATTGTGTGTGGAAGAAGAGTCAAAAGGAGGAGGAGGAGGATTGGAGGTGAGCTGAACGATTTCTTCCTCGGTGATTCCATTCGAATTCTGCTGGGAAACATGCTGGAATTCCGCGGTGTGTTCGTCGAATTCGATGGAATCGGGGGAGGGAATGGGCTGCGAAGCGTCGATGGAAAGCGTGTTGGGACGCTTGTGGCGCCGATGTTTGACGTTGAGATGACGCTTTAGATTGAGTCGGACGTAGTTTTCTTTGAAGGGAAGAACGGGAAGCGATTTGGAAGGGGAAAAGGAAGTGGATTCCGTGGTGGTTAACAGTGTTGAAGAAGAAGAAGTAGTAGTAGTAGTAGTAGAAGATGATAATAATGATGATGATGATTTTGGATTTGAATTGGAAGAATTGGATGGAGTGGGAATCGACGGATTGATTGTGGGGTGGGAGGATAGAGATGGTGTGGAATCGATCGACGAGGACACGGGTTGACGAAGATTTGGATTCGAAGGAACGTCTTCGGTGGGTTGGTCAAGTTGAATGGGCTCATGATACACTTTGCGAACGGACGATTCCAATTTCTTTAGATCACATTAAAAAATTGAACCAAACAATATTTGAGAGAAATGAACTTGGCTCGCTGAAAAGCGATTTCTTCTTCGGTTTCTACACTAAAATTTATTTCATTCGAAAACTGGATTCGTCGCAGATATAGAAACAGAACGACGAGAACCAGCAAGCAATGAGGAAGAAAGGAGGGCGTTTGCATCGGATATCGCTACAAAAATCAATAAACAACTCCAAAGAAACTTGATTTCTTATTCTCTCCCAAAGTATCGATCACCGAATATCCCGCGCTTCTATAAAAATAATCCACACGCTGAATACTGCTACGTTGTAGGTTGCACAGGAACAAAGTGAGTTGTTGATCGACTGGTTTCGACCGATTGCGTGCTTGCTTTCTTCTTCTCACGCCGTGGCCTACGCATGAGCAGACAACCAGAAAGAATTCACCAAGATTCCATATCGTTTGAAACAAACAATGCAAATCACTTAATAAACTTGTCATAGGAAACATGATGATGATAGCTCATTTACCAGATGGAGCTGGCAGACGAGGCAATCTTGGGCCAAAGATCGGCAGCCTCCTTCGCCACAGGTCCAGTAATACCAGATCCCTTCATCTCTCCCTTGGGGTTCACGATCACACCAGCGTTATCTACAATCAACCCAACCAGAACACCATCTACCCTCGAAGTACAGGAACATGCCGTTCTTTCTTCTCCAGGCCTTGCGCTGTCTCACAACAACAGCGGGCATAACTAAACGCCTGAGACGCCAAAAACCATCCCTTACCCTTCTTACGGAGTTCAGGCTTTCCCTTCTTGACAGAGGCAATGAACATATCTCCAGCAGCTAAATCTCACTCCAAATCATCCGTTAGTACAGGCAGCGGGAAGTCTGTTGAGACGAGCACCAATACCATAGACAGAGATCACATACAGGTTCTTAGCACCGGTGTTATCGGCGCAGTTCATAATAGCTCCGGCAGGGAGACCCAGACTCATCTTGAACTTGTTTCCAGCAGCACCACCACGTCCTACAAAATAACCGCTTTGTCAACTCAATAGAATACCACGCTTAGCAGCCATTCTTCAGTGATTTTTCTTATGGTTCAGAAACTGGGCCTATATGACCCCAAATACCCTATTATATATATTTATATAAGGACTGTTTTCATAGGAACCCATTTCTCCGCCATTCCTTACGTTACAGCATTGTCAATAGGCAAATGTCTTCACATTGGATTGAAGAGAAAAAAGACCGCAATGATGGGGTGTCCTATACAAACCCTCTTCCACACCCTTATTCCTATGCACATTTTATATGTTATACAAACAATTTTTTTATCCACTGATTTTTTCTCAACTTTTCTTTTTCAACAATGGAGACCGCGGTAACACTTGTTGGACGTATATCTCATATTTTTAGAAAGAAGAGAACAAGAGCGTCATTTGGCAAAATGAGCAGAAGAATCTTGTTCAATGGTTCAAGACTGTTTCGAGTACCTTTTTGAAGCCGTTTGTGATAGAATAGGCGGAATTTTTCGCAATGTGGTTGCTTTAGCTAAGATTTACGTTTTACAGAAGAAGGCTTCGTCTGTGAAGGCCATTCTGACGGAATTTAGAGACGCAGAAGGTCACGCGGCCATCCACTACGCTGCCAATTTGGGAAGCAACGAAATTTGCGAGTGGATATTGGATGAAGCTCCCGAGTGCGTACCTCCCTCTTTTTTTAATGTCACCGTAGTTGGAGATGGTCGATGAGGTTGGCGACACTCCGTTGAGCTACGCCTGTCTAGGTAACCACATGGAAACAGTGACCTTCCTGGTCTCCAAAGGCGCCAACGTCAACGCCTACTGCAAGGGTCGCTCTCCCATCCAAATCGCCTGCGGCAACAGCAGCCAAGCGATCATCGAGTTCCTCCTCTCCAACGGAGCGGACCTCTCTCTCGGCACAGACTCCGAGATCGGCACCCCTCTCCACTGGTCCGTGGGTGAGCATCGTCTGGACATCACGCGTCTCCTGCTCGCGCAGAACGTCGACATCAATGCAGTCAATCGCTACGGAGTCACTCCTCTCATCATGGCCAGCGCCGGAACCGACGCCTCCATGATCCAATTGCTGCTCGATCATCACGCCGACCCCACCGTATCTCCTCTCACGCGTCCTAACCGCGCAGATCGCGCTGGACGACAACATCACGCCGCTGCACATCGCCGTGGAGGGAAACCACGTGGAGTCGGTCAAGCCGTTCCTCGCGCTGCCGCAAGCCGAGCAGTTAGCGAACCTGAGCACCACGCGGACGCATCTAAAACCCGTCCACTTCGCTGTGGAGGTCAAGAGCCTCGAGATTGTGCGACTTCTGGTCCCGCTCACGGCGGAATACAAGGGAGAATCCGCCGAGGAAGTGATGAAGAAGGTGCAGATGCAGTTCGACGCGGAGAAGGCGAAGACGGAGATGGCGGCAAAGCCGAAGCCGAAGCCGCAGTTGTCTGCGTTCGAGCGACGTGTTTGCGATAAAAAGCTCCGCGACGCGAAGGCCGCCATGGCGGCGCATGATTACCAGCGAGCGGCCGATCTGCTCAGCGAGGCCATAGCGATCAATCCTCTCAGTGAGAAGTAGAAACGTGGAAACGGAGTGAGGGCTAGCCTGTTCGTGCATCGATGTAACGCCCTTCTGGAGTTGGAGCGATGGAAGGAAGCCGAGCAGGACGCGAAGAAGGCCGTGGAGCTCAGTCCGCAGTGGGCCAAGGCGCATCTCTGTCTGGGAAATGCGTATTTCAAGCAGGGATTGTATGTGGACGCGGCGACGACGTACTATCGGGGATGCGAATTGGCGCCCGCGAACAAGGAGCTGTCGATGAAGTTCCAGGAGGCGCTGGAGGTGGGGAAGAGAGAGAGACAGAGGGAGATGATGGAGGCGAAGGAGAGAACGGAACAATAAGGGGTTTTCATTTGTTTGTTGGAAAGGGAAGCCAATTCCGGATGAGCTCGTCCTCTGCGTTCTTGATCGATCCTGAAGGGTCGGTGGTTACCACGTTAGGTAGAACGGCATGTTGAAGTCGATCAGCACATAGGTCCTCAACACATTGTAAATCCGACGCTATGCTCTGGGGTCATGAAGAATATCTATTCTAGAGTGGAAGATCTTGTTCCAGACGAAAAACCGATTGTTGTGATTGAGACGAATCGATTGTACGTTCTTTTCTGTTCTATTCCTCTTTAGCTCCCTCACCGAAAAGAAACGAGGAGAGAATCTTGTGTGTGTTGTAGAAGTTCGTACTGACTAAATTATTGTACTATGTTTCTCTTGTTTGTTTTGAAATTGGAGAGGGGGAGGCAGAATGTTTCATTTCAAATGGTGAACGAGGCGAAAAGCATACCGAATGACGAAAAAGAAGCGGGGTCTTGTTTACCGAAAGCGACAGGCGGAACGGACACGCTGGCTCCTCCTGCTCCCAATCTGCTGGAAAAGGTGAATAGCGTGATAAACGAGATGCATAAATCGGGTCTGCGTGATCAATTGCTGGAACGAATTGGAATAAACCCTGATGGTAGATTCAAGGAAAATCGCAAATATATGTAACGCCAAAGGATAAGCAGTTAACGAATAGAACAATCGCGCCTCAATTGGATGAACTCAATCCAGATGATGCTAGGTTCTGGGGGTTTGGTTATGTCCCAAAGGTGTCAGAGTTCGATGATCAATTTATGAATAACGGGAAAACGTAGGTATTGCTTGTTCCGCTTTATTCTTTGATATAACGACTGGTTGTTCAATGACCACAATTTTCGAAACCCCTATGCAGTCCACAACATGGTATTGTCGTACCATCTCAATGAGTACGCATCGATGCTGCAGGACCTAAGCTACCCTCCCGAAGAGGGCTACCAGCACATGCGATCGATTCAAAACCGCAAGTGGGGCGAGCAGCGTCTGGAGCGCGGTGTGGAGCATGCGCGCGAAGGGAGATATCAAGAAGCGATTCATTGCTACAACGAAGCGATCGAGTTGGTTCCCAAGTTCGCCGAAGCGTACACTGCGCGCGGCGCCGCGTACGATCCCTTTTCTTGAGGAGTTGATGGCGTGTAGATTGGTGAAGCTCGGGAAAGTGAAGGAAAGCATCGCTTCCTTTGAGACCGCGCTTCGGATCGATCCGCAGACGCCCAACGCCAAGCAGTACTTGGAGAAGGCGCGTGGAATCGCGGGGAAAATGAGTAGGAGCGGAGGAGCGATGCGAATGCGGGATTCCGAGCGCGTGGAACCCCGAACGAGCTGCAAACGCGCGGTGGAGGAGCCGCCGAGCGAGCCGGCGAAGAAGTCGCAGACGCAGGACATTGATCAGCGATTGCTGGAGCTGCTGAAGCGAGACGCTGCGAGCCAGGACCGCTCGCGAAGCCGCAGTTCGCACCGCCATCGCCACCATCACCACCATCGGCATTGGCTTGTTTTCTCCAACAAACACGGAACTCCTCATAGAAACAGCAGAACGCGGGCTTGCCGGGCTTGGCGTCCTTCTTTCGGTTCATCGGGTCGGGCACGCTGGGGTCCTCCGCGTGGAACACGGTCAGATCGGCCAGCTGGCAGTCGTTGAGGATGTACGCGCGGCAGGCCTCCATCACCTCCTTCTCGTCGAAGGGCATCTCCAGCGTGAACGCGTCCTCGCCCAGCTGCGGGAAGTCGGTCTTCACGGTGAACGACGCGAACGCCAGCACGTCCTTCATCTGCTTTTTGTACTCCTCCGAGCTCGCCACACGCTCCTTCACCACCGCCAGCGCGTTGGGCGCCAGCGTCTTGGTCGCGGGGTCGTAGCACTCGCGGAGAACCGACAGCGCGAACTGCTGCCAGGGGTGGTACTCGCGCGCGCAGTACACATAAAGCTTGTTCGGACGGTGCCAGTTCGCGGGGAGCTTCTTGGGCTTCTTGTTGATGAACTCGCGCAGCAGGCGGAGGTTCTTCTTGACGAAGTCGTTGGAGCGCGAGAGCACGGCGTCGACGGGCTGCATCGCGGGCCAGGAGTTCTTCCAGAGCGACTGGGTCTTGTGCAGCGTGAAGCGCCAGAGATTGTCGGACCAGTGCGGAACGATGGGGGCGAGCATGACCGCCTCCAGCTCGATGAAGCGGAGCAGCAGAGACTTGGTCATCGGCACGCCCATCTTGCTGCAGGCGTCGCGGTAGCTGTTGCGGATGCCCTGCATCTCGTAGAAGCTGGGAGTGAGAGAGGTCAGAGAGAGAGAGAAAATACCCGATCTGCAGCGCGTCACGGAAGCGAATCTCGCGATACGCGGCGTCCGCACGGATCAAGCAGTCGTTCATTTCGTTCACGAAGTTGCGATCCTACGCTCGCGCACCCAATCAACAAAACAAACGAAGAAGTTGAGTTCCTCGGGCGTCTTCTCGACGGTCTGCAGCTCGCCGTCCACGACCGTGCGGATGAACTCCTCCTCGGTGGTGAGCGACAGAATCGCCGCGTTCGCGGTGGCCACGGCGAAGTTCGCGTCGTCCAGACTGCGTGTCAACCGCTGCGATAGAAGGCTACCTGTCGCCCGCGTCGGCGCACGCGAAGCGCGTGGCGTCGGCGCCGAACTGCTGAATGGCGTCGTCGACGGTGAGGAAGTTGCCGGTGGACTTGGACATCTTCTCGTTGTTCAGCTGGATGTGTCCGTTGCAGAAGAACGAGCGCGGCATCTTCGAGCCGTCCGGCCAGATCGCCTGGTGGATGTACAGCGACATCATGAGGTGGTTCTTGATCAGGTCTTTGCCGCTCACGCGGATGTCGAACGGATACCAATACTCGAACTCGTGGCGCAGCTTCTGCAGCTTGGCCTCCTCGATTCCGCACTCTGCAGGATACTTCTAAAAATGAGCGCGGATCGGCGGAACGCACAGCGCCGCAGAAGATATAGTCGAAGACTTCCGGCGTCATTTGGTCGGCGCGAATGCCCAGCGGACCGACCTTCTCGCCGAAGAGATCGCCCTGCAGCAGATGGGCGATCGTGTAGTACGCCATGTAGATCGTCGAGTCCGACAGCGACTCGATCAAGAACTGCTCGTCCCACGGAAGCTACGCCTCACCGCCTCTCCTCGCCCGCTACGCGCGTTCCCAGACCGAACTGCCGCGAGCACGCCCAGTTGCTCAGCCACTCGCAGGACGCCTCCAGCGCCACCTTGGTCTTCGGGTTGTACGTCTCGAGGTGGTTTCGGATGTAGTCCATGATGATGGGCTGCCAGTCCTTCTCGCCGTACGTCAGATACCACTGGTCGCTGAACGTCACCACGCACTCATCGCCCGAGCGCGAGATCACCTGCCCGTTCGGCTCGTAGTACAGGAAGGCCTCGCCCGCGTCCACCATTTCCTGCTGGCAGGCCGGCTTCGCCACTTCCACGCGCTCGCCCGCGTGCTTGCCGGCGATCATGATACCCTCGTAGAAGCCCTTCTTGTACGCGATCTCCTTCGCCTCCGCGAGCTTCTGCGTGTCGTTCTGGCTCTTAATGCCCATCTCCTCGCAGATCTGCTTGCCCACGTGCTTTCCCATGCCCGGCACCTCGATGATGTCCACCACCTACGCCTCGCGCGTCCTCCTCCTCTCGCCTACATCGAACGGCAGCACCATCTCGTCCTTGATTCCGTACTTCTCGCGCAGCTTCGGCTTCTCCTTCAGGTCGCGAAGCGCCGCGTAATCCGCCGGGGCGTCCGACGGCACCGAAGTCACCACGCCGGTGCCCTTTCCCATGCTGATCGTGAGCAGAGGCAGCGTGTAGATGCGGCGGTAGATCGCCTGCGGCGACTCGATCGGCAGGCCGAGCAGCTCGTCGCCCGACACGTCCATCACCTTGTCCACCACGCCGAACTCCTTGAAGAGTCCCTGGTAGGCCATGTTGCGCGCGCTGCGGTCCGAGCAGATGTACAGCTCGCCGTTCCCCATGCGGAACACGCCGTACGTCGCGCCGGGCAGCACGAAGCAGTTCGTCTGTCCCACCATCGTCTCCGGACGCAGCGTCGCCGCGATCAGATACACGTTCTCGTCGTTCAGCGGCGCCAGCTTCGCCGGCTTCTCCAGCAGCTTGATCTTAATGCAGGTGAACATCTGTGGCAGCACGCCTTCGCCCGAAGCTCGGTCGTGATCGGCGCAGATCTGCCCGTCCAGCGGGGAGTAGATCGACGGGCGCTTGCCGAACTTCACGCGGCCCGCCTCGCGGAGCTTCTGGAACTGCCAGCGCACGAAGTGGTCGTAGTAGGGATTGACGCTCGTCGTGATGAACGAGCGGCGGAAATCGGAGCACAGACCGAACTTCTTGAGGTCCTGCATGCCCAGAGGCGGGAAGTAGCGCAGCCAGTGCTCGGGATCCTGCGGGAAATTCCGATAGCCTGCGCCCTACCACGAACTTGGGGATCTCTTCCGCGGGAATGCCCTGCTTCTCCAGGATGGTCCACTGGTGCACGGAACTGCCGCCCGTCTTCGCGACGAGCTTCGTCTTCTTGCCGTGGAACTCGCCCACGGTGGCTTCCTTCTGCTGCTCGGCCGGCTGCGTGGGTTCCGGTTCGTCGGACGGGTGATCCTCGGGGAAAACAGGGGGACAGCCGTAGGTTTCAATCTCGTGCTTCAGCTTGTTCGCTGCAGCCTGGATCGGCATTCCGGTGCAGTGGAAGCCGAACGGGAAGATGGAATTCTCTCCCTTCAAGGCATGGTAACTACACTTCATTCCACGCCCCGAAGTGCGAACCGGGTAGCAAACTCAGCCTTCGTCGCCGTGAACGCATGGCCCAGGTGCAGCAAGCCGTTCATGTAGGGATAGGGAAAGGTGGCCATATAACTAATGTAAAGTGGCAGAAATGCTTTTACTGGGGCTGCTTTAAATCCTCAGGGGCGTCAATATTAAATGGCTTCTCCTCCTCCCAAAGCTGTTGCATTTTTTGCTCAATCTCAAGCAAATGGTCTCGCCTAGCAAATGACTACTAATAAAGCGTGTTGAGAAAACAAACTTTCGCTCCAATCTACACAATGAAAATGAGCCCCCTCACCCAACCTGTTCCATAGTAGATATATATCTCACAGCAAATGTCTTTATAAAAATTCCTCCTTTTGGAATTAATAAAGAAGCAATTGGCATACTGCCATTCATTAGCAGCACCAAATCCGCTGTATTTTGGGAATTCCGAAAATAGAGGGAAAATGTGCCAATCCCACACCCATTTTGGTAACGCAGTCAAAATGGCTATGAAACGAATTTTACATGTTATCAAACAGCAGGTAACACCTGTTCGTGATAGTAGGAGCATGAAAATGTGTTCAGCCTCGTAGACATGATTTGGTGGAAGCAATTTCCAAAAGAGAGCCGCATTCTTTTCGAGTTCAAAGAACCCGCCGACATTGAAAAATTCACATTGCACTCGGACAAACCGTTTGGGGGTTTGCATAGTAGGACCCTTTGAGTTCTAGGCAGATCGGAGTGCTCGTTGAGTATCGTTGAGGATGAAAACAAGAAGACTTTTGGTATGCGCCCTTTTCTCAGTTTTAATCGCAGGAAGGTTTTCCGGACACATTCAATTAACTCCCGGCATTCCGGGAACGGTATTAGGAAAGAAGTCGTTTTGTGCTTTTCGCTCGCCTGTTTTTCGGCCTCCACTTAATTTGGCAGATTACATAGGATTAGAAATGCGCGTTCGAACGAGTAATCACGGGTTTGTCTTTAACATTCATCCCGACAATATGGTTCCTTCGGATTTATTTCAAGGATTCATTGTGATCCCACATCGTGATTGGGCTACAATCCAGCTCCCGTTCGCTAACATGGCTTACACAGGCTACGGGTATGGCAAATTCGAGAAAAAACTACTCGACACAAAGAATATTCTTAGTGTACACTCTTAGGAATGTGGATTTGATGTAGTTTAATATTGCAATCCACGAGACAAAAGACACGGACTTTTGTTTTGACATCGAGTACATTAAGGGGATAAACGAACTGGATGTCGAAGGAAAACGTCCGGAAATGAAGAAGGGGATGGAAAAGGAACTAATGAAAACGATTGATTTGAAAGAGAGAGCGCCTCCTAGTTAGTTGACTTGTTTGTTGGACAATTGGAATAGGGGGATCTCCGAACGAACCTACAAAGAATTGGAGCGACATTAAGAAGAGTCTATGCCATTACACCTGAATCATCCAGTCTTCCCAGTTGCACCTTTATTTCTATGTTTGTGAGCCCTTTATTCCTTTGCAATCGATTTGATTTTAGATTAAACCACTCTGAACATCCATTATACAACAAACACATCCTATTGTATTCCTTCTTCTCAGTCCTTCTATTCCCATTTATAAATGTACATGTATATATAATAATTCGATTGTTTTAATATTTTTATTATTAATAATATTATTATTCTGACTTCTCACCAACTTTGGAATGCTCATCACCCTGGGGCTCTGATTCTCCCGATACCTTTGGAGCTGGCTCCACCTCCATTGCTTGAGGGATAAAATGCTGCTCCATTTGGCGAATCATTGCTTCCAAGCGCGCTTGATTATCAATGATGTTGTTTCGAATTCGGGCCTCTCCGATCAAAGGAGTCACATCTAGAATCCTCAAGAACCACAAGAACCACTACTGCAAACAAGAGACCCTTCTGTGTCCTCCGTTTTCTCTTTCACAACCTTTGTCATTTGGATAACATGTCCCTGGGAAGGTGAGTACCCAACATACTTCCTAAGTTCGCTGTAGACACGATTTAGCGCCTCAATGCAGTTATACTACAAATAACCCAAACAAGCTGCATCTACAAGACGGAATTTCGCCACAGAGTAGAGATCCGGGCACTGATAAATTTCACCGTTAAGAACATAGTATACAGCAACTACTTTCTCAACATCCCCCTTTTCGTCGCTCTGGTGTGTAAAATACTTGATAATTTTAAAGAATGCATTCCCGTCAGTTTGATCGTCCAACTGCTCCACCTCATACCGAAAATTGACAGAATCGGTATAAAACGGCGAACTTTTGAAATATTCAATTACATTATCCTTTGTTAATTCCGATAGCAAAAAAGACTGATCGATAAAGACTGTCGACAGGTTGTCAGTGTGAAGAAAGAAGTCATCAGGGATTTCTTGATCGTCTACTTATCATCAAAATACAATGACCGTCTAACCCATAAAACTGCAAAAACAAAAATCCTCTATGACAGTTATAATCGAGGATGGTTCTGCAAAATTTCGAATATTCCCGCGGCACCCCATGTTTGTGTTCTCGAAAACCATATTAACTCCAATTAGTATGCTTCAAGGAGGTGAAAACATCAGTTTGGCAGATATTGCAATCTTCTCTGGAATTTTGTTTGTTGTTATGTTCTTTAGCCACTTCATTCCGAAATGGTTTGGAATGGGAAAGGTGGGCGAGAAATACATGCTAGTGATCTTTTTCGGTCTTTGCGTTGGATTTATTTTTAACGTGATCCTTCCTGGAAGTCTGGTGGTTGTGACCGAGGCTCATGAGGATTACGAAGCTCACAACAGCTCTGAGCATGTTGAGGCTCTGCTGCATTTTGGAGGACTGACCCACGGTGGAGGCGGTGATGAGGATGGTGATTTCCGTCGCATTCTGGGAGTTGCAATTTGCACTGGATTCATGCTGCTCTTTATTGCCGATTTTATCGCGAAAGAAATGACTAAGAAGAAGAATGCCCAGGAAGTCGTGCTCCCTTCGAACGAAAACGTAGCGCTCATTAAGAACACGTATTCCAACTGTGGCTTGAAGTTCTTCTTCTCTATGTTCTATCTCTTTGTCGCTCTTGGCTGCATGGGAGGATATCTGGCTTGCGAGAGTGACAGACAGCGCTTGTTCATCCTGATCACCGAAGTCGTGGTGATGATTCCTACTTCTATTTTGTATGGCATGCAGACAAAGCGTGATCAGACCAGCACAAAGAAGAGTAAGCAGTGTGGATGATTGTGATATGTGTGTAGTGGTGACAGACTTCTTAACTCTTTCGTTGATTGCTCCCCTCTTCAATCTGCTCTTTATCTTGGTGCTCAACCTGTTCACCAGCCCCCTGGCGAACTATATCATCTCTCTGGGCTACCCTCTGTTCTGCGGACTTGTTATCTACATTAATCTAATGTACTTCATCTCCATCATCCATATTGAGGAAACGGTCAGTACTACGGTCGGAGCGTTTGTCGTGATGCTGATACCTTACTTTGTGTTTTTGAAGTGGGGAACGCTTTGTTCTCTTTGTTTGAACAATCATTGTGAGTCATTCATTCATTCATTCATTCATTCATTCATTCAATCATATATATTGAACCTTTAGTTATTCAATCATTCATTCACTGAATCATTATAATCATCCAACAAACATTTCTATTTCTTTCTTTCTTTCTTTCTTTCATTCATTCATTCAAAACTTGCAGTATCCTTTTAAACCATTCATTCGTATACGATGGAAACTCAACTCATCAATGGATTTCACTAATATCTTCCTCGCACCATTCCATTTCCCCCAGGTCTCTGGAAGTAATCGTCGAACAGAGATGGACTAAACACCACATCGTTCTTCTCCTCCACTTCCACTTCCTCCTCCTTCTCCTTTGCGTGTCTTCGCAGCCTAGCTCCACATTCTCTCTCATCGCCTACGTCTCCTCCACTGTGCTCTCGGTCAGAAACGACGGCAGCGCCAACGCCTCGGACATCGAAGCCTGCTTCGCATTCGTCGCGCCTTCCATCGACACTTCGATGCTCAACTGGCTCACTGCCGATTCCGTGTAGCCATAGCCGCCCGAGCGACCTCCTCCCCCTCCCAAACCACTCATACCGATGATGGCTCGCGTGGTACTCGTTCCGTCCTACAAGAAATCCAAAGCAGTCCGCATCACAACCTTGTTATACTCCTGCAAAATCTTCTGCTCAATGAGCTTCTGGGGGTTTTCGGAGTGGATCTTCTGGTTGAAAAGCTTCGAAATCTCGCTCCCGATGTCCATTTCGTTCAGATCCAAGGAGTAGATCTGCCTCTTGATCTTGTCCTGCATGCTCTGGAAGTTCTTTTCCAGCTGGTTTCCTTCGATATATTTGATAAGCGAGTGGCAGTCGCGACAATAGTACTCCTGCGTGTTCATATCGTAGAGATCGGGACACTCGGCCACGTTGTAGCGACGCCGACAATTCTCGTTTGTACATTCCTATATCGTGAAGTTCAAACTCGAAACAAACAAAACGCTCAGCCAAATAGGAACGAGCTTCCACTTCGTTGCTCACTTGGCCTTGATACATTTTATGCAGTCGGTAGAATACCACTTTCACAAAATGGTCGTAGTTTATATAATACACTTTTACAGAACGATCACTCTAAGGTCGCATTCCATTTGACCAAACTACCTTGCTAGCTCTTGCTTCATTGTCTCGACGACGAATATGAATAGGGAACGAGTGAACTAACGAAGCTTCCTCAAGAGTGTGCAAAGACCGGTTTGCCTATGCAAATGAAGTGAAATAGCTACGACCCACATATTTATGGTGAAGCTTGATCACATTATCAGATTCTACTTCATCGTCACGAATATACTGATACCGAACAAGCCGATCTGCGATAATATATTCATTATCCGTGTAAAATGCACTACAATCGAAAACTGATCATTTCTCATACCAGATAACAAACATGTATAACTTCTTTGCAGTGTCAAGTAAAGTGTCACTTGAACTCATGAAATACTTCGAAGAGACCCCTTTACGTCAAAAAAAAGAAAAACTAAAAAAAGAATTGTGTTTTATTGTGAAAACTTATGCAACAAGAAGAGAGTCTAAAGGAACAGCGCAGAGACTATCGGAACTTGACAAGAGTGGAGCGAACAGGTCAAGTTCTGTCTGGTACACTTTTATCTATTATGCTAAGTGAAAGATATAACACTGACAACAGACCAGCTTGTATCCATAAGCCAAAAGATTATAAATACTTGCAAGGAGAATGGAGACGTCATTGAGCTTAGCCGAGTATTCCAAATCATTATATCCAAGATGAAACTCATTTTAGAGTACAAACAAGACGAGTTTATCGCTTCACACGGAACACGGTATAAATAAGGATAAGGAGTCGTTATTCGTATAGTCTCGTCGTGAAAAACCATCCTGTCATCGTAAGACCTGTTGCTCCTCGCGATAGGTCACGTTTTGTTGAAGGTTTGGTTATTTTGATGAATGAGAGACATAGGCGTTCAAAATTTGTCACAAGATACATTATTTTTTCGGTTTCTCTCTCCCATTCGAGAGTTGACTTCGAGTCAGATTGACTACTTGATAAATGTCGATTTTGAGGATCATTTCGCTGTTGCAATTGTTTCTGATGAACCAAATTTTCCAGGAATGGCGATCACTCGATACATTCGTTCTTTTAGCAATCCTACCGAGGCAGAATGGGCGGTTACAGTCGTGGACAAATATCAAGGATTAGGACTTGGTCGTATCTTATTGTATCTAATGAACAAGGTATGAATCCCCTCGTTTTTCATAATCCAGATTGCTTACAGGCATGGAATCAAAACGTTCACAGCTACGATCCATCCCACGAATTATCGTGTTTTGCGCTGGATGGATGAAATTGGAGCCATTCCCGTCCACACTGAGGATGGGTAGTCTTTCTGCATTTCTCTAAAGTAGACGTGTATGGAAATTCCCTCTTCCAATGCCCGAGTCGTTCATGAACCGAGAGGACATTAAGGAAAAACTGGAGCAGATTGTTGAAGGCAATGGTGACCTTCCTCTCTACCTCGCATCGAACATGAAACAAGATAGTAGGATCCTTTCGAACCTTTTCAGAGTAGGCTATGAGCGCTTACGAGCTTCCTTATAGCATGGTTTGTTCCAACAAACAATTAATATTACAAATATATAGGTCGAGGTAAGCACACATTCTTGCATTGTTCATCGGAGTTATCACAATGTGGCCGGACTAGTTCCGGGCTGCGCGGAGGGATATTTGCATGCGTTGCTAAATGTCAAAGATCCAAACTGGAACTTACAATTCTTTCGTATCCGAAGTTTTTCGTTTTCATCGACAGGCTCCTCTTTGGCCGGACCTGTGTGGATCATTGGAAGTTCGTCAGACATATTTCGTAATTTGGAAAAGAAAAATGAAAGATTGCAGAAAGGGAGAAAATGCGTTCTTTACCTGGATGCAAAAAAGAATCTTTTATGAGGGGGTGTAGCTCAGATGGTAGAGCGCTCGCTTAGCATGCGAGAGGTAAGGGGATCGATGCCCCTCTCCTCCATTTTTCATTTCGTATTATTAATTAGAACTTTCGATTTTGTGTTTAAAGTGCAGTACACAAATATGGAGTTTTTATTCGCTCACCCTTCCATTTCTTTGCTTGCTTGCTTGCTTGCTTGCTTGCCTTCCACTCTTAAGAATTTTCTTCTCAAAAGACATTACTCAGAAACCCATCGCACAGATCTGACCTGACCTGACCTGACCAAGTCGAGGCAGAAACACGCTTCAAACAAACAAAGAGACATGTAAAGAAATAGTAATAAAATAAATGATAAAGAACCCCATCCCGTTATACCTTTGTACGCATCATTCGTTCTCTCTCATGGTACTGAATCTCCATGAGTGTTTGCTCTCTATCAATCTACTGATTAGATACCAATAGGAAACCTGCTTCCATCGCTAGTGGTAATGCAACTATAATTGTATAGCATCCAAATACCCATAAAAGACGTCCCGCGATATGACCATACTACAGTTGAAATTTCCCATCGATCGAGTACAGTCCAGCTGTATTGAACAGTTTTGTTGATAAAGCCGGTGATGAACTTTGTGAAACTCGAGTTCTTGATTCGGCGCACAGCTTTTTGAAATTTAGACTACCATTTACGTCCCACCTAGATTCCATACCACATTCTTTGTTTTCTTCTTCGGAACTATATCAGAAACTACACTCGGGGCCGGAATCACAGCAGCATCCATCGTGGAATAGTATATAACAATAAGATGGAAAAGAGAATCGTGGCAAAATGTCTCGTATTTCCGCAGTTTCGCATTTTTAAACAAACAGTCAAAAACACGTTATGCAAAATCATCCTCCTCTTCCGAGCCCGACAAATTCACCGTAGCTTGGACAGGTTCTACATCAACGGGAGCACTCTCTATTTTGCTTGCTGGCTGCTGCTGAGGATTTGTAGGAGCAGTTTTAGGCTCAGAATTGCTAGCTTGGCGATACTACAAATTATCTTGCCCAAAAGTAATTTTACATCCCCCTTTCTCCTTCTCTGCTGAAGCTCTATTTGGTTGAGGGCACACCTTCGAATTTGGTTCCAATGCTCTGTACTGATACACTTCAGCTCTATAAGTGACGGATCACTCTTTACTACGTACGGTCATCAACAAAACCAACTTCTGTATCCATAATAAAATGAGACTTCCCGTCGTATATAGATACTTTTTTATTCTATTTTCCATACTTTTAGGTTGGATGTTCTCGCCCGTTGAGAGATGTAGCTTATTATCATATCAGAATAAGGATTAGTTTCCTTCCAACCAAGGCAGCAACAGGAGCGCAAAGAACAGATAAAGGCAACGTACGGTTTATTACGGAAGTTGCCATGTGTTCTTTTTGGGTTTTATCCCAAGAGACGAAGATTGGGTTTAGGGTACACCTCATTGCGTTTTTTCATGGTAAAATCGGAGTATCTAATTTGCTACGACAAGGCTACATCCCAAAAACTGCTCTCTGCGACTGTTCAGCAACTCACCGATTATTCAACACTAGCAAATCGCGAGGAAATTAAGAGAGTTGTCAAATTAAGCAAGTGTACAATAAAGAAAGTGCGATTGCGCTCCACCCAGTACAAGATGGAACTAACAATCAAGCCTTCTGAAGGACGCAGGCTTCAAATAGTATTTAAGAATGTCGAAGAATCCGAAATGTGGTATGCCATCCTAATGGGTTCTCGATACGTGATTCATTTAGAAGATTTTGAGATTCTTGGCGAGTTGGGACAAGGAGCATTTGGCAAAGTCGAACTCGTTCGCTACATCAACGACGGCAAGTGCTACGCCATGAAGACGGTCGAGCTGAAAGGCGAGGGGAACCGTCTGCTCAGCCAGTTCGTGGAAGAGCGAACCGTCATGCAGAAGCTGCAGAGCTGCCCCTTCATCGTCCAGCTTCGCATGGCTTTCCGCGAAGCGAACGACCTCTACTACGTGATGGAGTACTGCGAGAAAGGGGACCTTCTGAACTACATCCGCTCCAAAACGCGCCTTTCCGAGGACGAGCTGCGCCCTTTCGCCGCCAGCCTCGTCCTCGCGGTGGGCTTCATGCACACGCTCTGCGTCCTCCACCGCGACATCAAGCCCGAGAACGTGCTGCTGACCGAGGCGGGCGTGGCCAAGCTCGCCGACTTCGGCCTGAGCAAAACGCTGTCCTCCATGCGCAGCCGCGCGTTCTCCTTCTGCGGAACCGACCTCTACCGCCCGCCCGAGATGTCGCAGAACGCCGCGGGGTACAACCGCGCGTTGGACTGGTGGCAGGTCGGCTGCGTGATCTACGAAATGGCCGTCGGCGTGCCGCCGTTCGACGGATCCAAGGAGGAGCGGCGCCGAAAAGTGCTCAAAGAGGAGCCGAAATACCCCGAATTTTTGTCAACCGAGCTGGTGGTGCTGCTGAAGGGACTGCTCCGGAAGAATCCGTGGGAGAGGCTCGGTGCGGGAGACGGCGATTATTTGGAAGTGAAAAATATGCCCTTTTTTGGGCATGTGAATTGGGAGAAGCTGGAGGCGCTGGCCAAGGAGGAGGGGTCGGATGCGCCGACGGCGACGCCGTCTCCGATGCGACCGGAGACGCGGGTGAAGCGGAAGATGAGCAGCGACCAGATGATTGAGTCGGAGTTGATGGGCTTCGAGTATAATGAACGGATTATGATGGAGCTGCACAGGTCGTTACAGACCTATGCGGATCCAGGCTTCTTTGCTTTAGGTGGTCTTTATAGTTGAGAGCTGTTTGTTTTTATAAATAGTTATATATAATATAATAGTTGTTGCTTGATGGGAAATAAGCAGGCGAAGATGGATATCAAACAAAAGGAGCTCAAAGAGCTCCGAGAAATGACAAAATGTGTTTCTGGAGAGCGACTGTTATATCTAGTTTCGGATGACGAGATCTATATCCTATACAACTCGTTCAAAAGCGCTAGCTCATCTCGTATTGATGATGGAGTCATCGATGAACAGTTGGTGGAACTCGGTATTCTGTGACCTTTTAGGGAGCTCCGCTCGTTAGTTGGAATGAAGGAAGGATTCTTCTTCGAAAGGCTGTTCTCCATGTTCGACAAGAACAATGATGGACAAATTGTATTTACTGAGTTTCTAAGGTGCATCTCGTTCATGACATCAAGAATGCCTCCTGATGAGCGATTACACTGTATGAAATCTCAGGACAGTCCTGTTTTCTAGATCTGTTCCGTTTCTATGATTTAAAGCAGGACAATGTGATTTCTCGTGACGAACTCAAGCGAATTACCGAAGCAATGTTTTTCCAATATCGACAGAACATTAGAGAGGATATTTTGAACGATATCGTCGAGAATATCTTTAGTTCCCTCGGTCTGTCAGATTTGATTCTTCCGCTTTATTTGTAGGGGGAAAGACCAAGCCATTGATTTTGACACTTTCAGCCGGATTCCTGAGATTAATACTCCTCTGATTGAGCTTCCTTCTATTTTGTAATATGTTTGCCGTTCTGTTTGTTGAACTGGATTCGTTTTTGATTCTACTTGAAGTTTACTTTGTTTTTCACTTTTATTATGAACCACTCTCAAGTTGTCTACCCATCTTCTACAGACATTGCACAAGCTGCACAGCCTTTTCGTCAAGAGGAATCTTCTTTTAGGCAGTCCACTATAAAGTAAGCACAATTGCTGTTGTTTTCAATAGTGCGCCTTCGCAATCGGTTCCTGGGAATGTCCGGAGTTCGTTTGAACCGAATTTCTTTCAAGGTTCATCCAAACCAAATTCAGCAACAATCCATCAGACTCTCCCTGCAAATATGAGCGGCGTGTCTGGTACCTACCCTGCTGTATATGAAAACAATTCTGCTATATATAGTAGCAATCTTGCTATACCTATAAAAACGGCTAACTTTGCTCAGGCGACAAACGAAACACTGCCTTTGAACAGTCCAACAACAGTTAGCCAACATCCGGTTCAATTCGGCCAATCCCAGCAACTCCTCACCTCCGAAATTTACCCAAAAATGTATAATTCAAATGACCAGAACGGAGTGTTTCTGCATGTGATATCAAACAAGTAAAATATGAGGAAATTGGTTTCCAGTAGCATTCACCCAGGGATGAAGGATCTTTTCGGATATGTGTACACGATTAGCATTCTGTCCTATATTTATATATTAATTCTCGTTCTGAGTATTGTGGGGATTTTGTTTCTTTGGATTCCCATCTTGGCTATTCGAATAAAACGTGATTGGAACAATGCGCGAGTCGGCGTGGTACTTGCTTGAGTCTATATTTCCAAGGTGTAGATTTGCGTTTTCTGTGTATTACTAACAGTTTTATCATCATACAGCGTTGTATTATTGGTTTTGGGTCAAAGTTATTTTCTCCTGCTTGTTTTCTTTTTTCAATTGTGGTATTGCTATTTGCTGTTCAGTATTAATTCGCTGCTCGATCAGTTCAAGAGCATGCCTGCAAATCAGATGAAGGATTTGTATCAAGAGTTTAGGCATATCAAATTGATTTGAATTGTTTGTTGGAAACTGCAGTGAGAATTGAATCGGTGATTGATTCCTGGTGTTTTAGGCTTGTTGATGGGATCGATCAATGTGTCTTTGTGTTATTCAGTGATGCATTCATTCCTATTGTTGCTTTAATTTTAATTTTAGTTTTAGTTTTTGTTTTCATTCGTTTGACTGTCAAAAAACAATTTACATCGCGAACTCGATTGCACGAGAGCAATAGCTCCATTCATTATCGAACCAGCACGACAGATGAAGATGGTTATTACACACTGACAACAACTTCTGGTCTACTACGCAGCTCGTAGGACATTGTAACAAATCGCTACTCACTAGATCTTCATCCGTCAAGCCGATCACATCCTTCATTCCTCCATATTTCACTGAATCCTGCAAGTGCGACAACACTGCTTCTCTGGACTGGTAGGTGGAGAACTGCACATCAATCTCCGCAAGACAGCCGTTAAATGACGGGACATGCACAGAGTGGCCAGACAAGTGCCCTTCGGTCCAAGGCAAAAGAAGAGGCAGACACTGCGATGCACTGCTTCTCATTGGAATGATGTTCAGTCCTGCAGCTCGACCCACTCGCAGGTCAGTTTCCTCTGGATTTATCTGGTCCATGACTTGCTGTTGCGATGTAATCGAGTGAACAACAGTGAACGAAACGTGATCGATGGGTGATAGAGTGGAAAGGATCTGAAGGAGCGGAGCCATGCAGCATGTGGAGGGAGAAGCAATCGAGATGATGGGAGCAGTCGACTCGCTTACATGCTTGCACACCATAGGAATGTCTTTGCTGGGAGTGGCAACAATCACTCGTTCACAACCTGCTGCACGGTGTCCTTCGCACTGAGTCAGAGTCGTAAAACGCCCTGAGCACTCGAATACAACAGATACCCCATACTGCTTCCAAGGTATCTCGATGGGGGACATGCAGTGAGTGGTATGAACGGGCTGCCCAAGAAGTGAAATAGAGTCCTCGCTAGTAACAGTAATTCCATTTAGAATCCCATAGATGGAGTCGAAGGTGAGTTGATTCATCTACGGTTCTCGAAAGAAAAAATAATAGCTCACCATTTCCGTCGCAGTGAGAAAGGGATCATTGATTGCCACAATCTGAAACTCCTCATGCTTTAGTAACACACGACAAAGGCTTCGTCCTCTTCTCCCGAACCCGTTAATTCCGACCTTAATTTTCATAGCACAAAAATGACCCTCTCAAGCAACATGTCAACTTCGCTCTCAAACAAACAACAGATAACAACAACAGTCCAATATAACAAAACAAAGCTTCTCTTATGTAGCCAATTTCGAGGCACCCATAAGCATCTTTGTGGCAAGAGCAGGATTCTTCTTGAGAACGTTAGAGAGTTCCTAAACGTCACGTTTTCTCCCTGTGCTTACGCTTTCTCCAGCAGAGTAAGAAACTGTGGGATCGTCAGTAATCTTGCGGTTACCATTCTTGAAGGCAGGATGCAAGAAGATAATGAGAACGTTGTAGCTACGCAGTAAGACATATCAAAAAAAGCAAACAGAGCGTCGATAATCATAATCACACCAATGATCCAGAAGAAAATCGAACCATCTGAGTTGGACGTGGCAATGACGACCGTTCCAATACTACACATTACGCGCCAATCCAGAAGCAAACAAGAAGATGTACAAAGCGCGTCCAATGTAGGTGTAAAGGAATCCGTACAATCTTCGCAGCTTCTTCGACAACTTTTTGAACTGTGCTTCGTACAAGCAAAGAATAAAGCAGAAAAGAACGCAGAAGCCATTCAAGATGATGGCACCTGGATTGGTAAATATAGAGGCGATAGTGGAGAAAATTCCGAAGATTTCCACAACAATAACAACCAGTCCCAGGATCATATTTATAAAACGCAGTTGTTTAAGGGCGCGATCCACATCCATTGACTTGAATGAGTTTACCTGATCCGAAACGATGTTTCTACATATCAAAGAGTCGTCCTATACGAACCCTTTCTTAGAGGACTTTGGCGTCTAAAAATTAGTTGCTAGGCATAATATAAGTACACTTCCAGATTCTTCAAACGGGTTATCGCTCATAGCTACTACAAATATGAGAAGATCATGGTGATTATAATTGGATCCGAGCATAATTGTCCCAAATTCTATCTTCGCTCCATATTTATTTAGGGCCTATAAAGTGATAGAAAACACAAGATGCTGCTGTATGAACATTATGAATATCCGAGCCTTCCCTTTGTAGATTAGGCCGCAAAACACTTTCTCCGGAGCGAGCGTTGTATCTCCAACAAACAAGCAAAAAGAGAGAAAGTTAGCAAAACAAGCTTGGGAAACGCTGGAACCAATCCTGGCAATAACACATCTACATTCGCAGCTCCCACAGATTCCGTACTTCCAGAAGGGGTTGACCCAAAAACAACGACACCCACATAATCATATTCCCCACTCGCGTATTCTCGAAGTATTTACTGACCAGCTGGAGCGGCAGCTGCACGACCATTCCAAGGAAGAAGTACAGCGACAGCTTTCGGAACACGACGGAGCATACCAGTTCATGCGCGATTCCGGAGACCATAAACGTGGCCAATCTCGTTACTCCACTCCTCCACCCCTACGACGCCAGCGGCTTGCTCCAGTTCCCATAAACCTGGGTCTCGACATAGACATGTCGCAGACACCAGTAGTGAATGGGCCCGTTCCACTTCTTCCAGAACTCCAGCATCGTGGTGGCGTTCCACCAGTCCTCGTAGAGCAGGCGGTCGCCGAACATGGTCAGCTCGGCCAGCAGGTTGAGCGCGCAGTGGAACACGGAGAAGAAGAGCAGGAGCCAGATCAGGAAGGCGGATAGCGAGCAACGGAAGATTCGGTAGATGATGTTGGACGTCGTGTCGCTCAGAATCGGGTTCACGAACTGCATCATGATGACGTACATCAATCCGAAGCAGATGAGCATCGGGACCGTCAGCTGCACGACATAGCTCAGACGGATGGTTTTCGTGCGCGGATAGGCGAGTTCGTACAGCAGGGTGGGAGCGACGCTGCGAATCAAAACCCGATCAACACGAAAAACATGAAATAGAGATAATGGCCCAGCGAGTTCGGAATCTCTTCGGTGGACTGCTTCTCCAGACTGTAGTTCGTTAACACGAAGGAATGGCCCTTTAACGCCATCAAGACAACGCCCATCATCGGCAGCACTGCTGTGAGCGGCCTATGTGAAATTCGCATCAGAGACGTACGGAATATCGGAATTCCACACGATTACCGAAACCGTTCCGATGTACACAAACTGCAGCACTCCGTACAGCACGAAATAGACAGTATTCGACAGATTGAACCGTTTGCGAAGTCGCCACAAAACATAGTACCACAAGGCGGAGATCAAAATCGCAATGCAGAGAAGGACCGCGTTCACGGCTCCCATCACGCTGCGACGACACAGGACATCATGGAGAGACAGAAGCCAACCGCGCTGAGCGAAATTGTAAATCTGGAATTGGGAGGGAAATCATAAAACAAAAATACCACTAACATCGTAACCGTAGCGACCAGATAAATGAAAGTGAAGTTGTAGAATCCCTTGAAGCGGTCTTCTTGAATCCGGTCCATTACGTTGCCGCGAAGGAAGCTGTCCACATCGAATTCGCTTTCGCGCGCTTTGAACGAGTGTGGATAGAACGTTGGCTTCGTGCTCTCCACGTACTCCTCTTCGGATGTGCTTTCAAACGAGGCTCGCGATTCTGTGTCACAAAAACACAACAATTCGATACGAAGCGGTTTCGGGGTGTTTTCTGGATTTCCAGAAGTCGGGGGGTTTTCGGCTTGACGACGCGATCGGCGCTATGAAACTAAAAGAGGAGACAAACAACGAACCGATTTCCGTTTCTTCACCACGACCGTAGGCTTTTCGTTCGAAGTGATTTCGATCATTTTTTCTGAAATAACAAACAATACGCACAGAGTACGAGGTAATGTCGTCTCGAGTTCCTCACTCAGACCTTTCAGCTTCACTAAAATCTCTTTCACTTGGTTGGTAGCTTCTTGCAAACGCTCCGTGGACGAACTAATGCTTGTATCACGCAAACTATCTAATCGCTTGTTAATGTCTTCCTGCATTTGTCGGAGGTTAAATTTCTCGAACACTTGCGGAATCACTTGCAAACCACCCTCAAACACTTTTTCTAAAAATCAGATGCACCGTACACACCGACGAATGGTGAGTGCTGACTGCTGAAGTAATTTGGCTTGCTGCTTTTCCTTTTTGGAAAGCTTTCGTTGTAATGGAGCTTCTTCCTCTGTGGATGGGACGGTTTCGGTAGTGGCAACGACCTCACTAGCGATCTCCTCTATCGATTATCTCACACCAGAGCACTTGCTCCACTCGGTATTATTCTTCGACGAATCTATGCAAATGAGTTTAGCTTAAGCAAATCAATACGTTTGTCACGACGCTGAACTACAGTCCAACCTTCATCAGTTTCTGAAGGCAGGGGACTTGTGTCGTTTTTGACTTCCTTTGTTGACATACTTCACGTTGAGAATAAAAACAAAATATCAATTTCGTTTATCCGTACTTCTTCAGGGTAGGAAAAACTACCTGAGGTCGCTTTTTGTCTCTATTGGATTTTTACTAAGTCGGTCCGAATGAGTCAAGCTGGAAACAACAATTATACATATCCTCTTTGAACGTACTCCTTCATCTTTTTACGTTTTTGCTCAAGAATCCACTTTTGAATCTTGCATAAAACCAACGTATTGTGAGCCCTCATTCTTATTTTCCAAAATCGATAATGGGTGAAGTGCTCTCTCGATTGTTCATTGATGTGGAAGACATCCCACTGACAGGATATGGACTTGTAAAGGGAGCAAGGTTTTAATGAGCACTAGGTCCAACTAGTCTTTTTGTTTTGCGTGTACAGTTTCATCTTATTCAAGGGCGCCAACCTAATTTCTGATGGAAGCGAACTCCTCCTCCTCGTTCCTCAATGGGCAGGTCTTATCGGCAGTATCGTACTTCCGTTTATTGGGTCTGTGCCTGACTCTGCTATTGGTATATATAACTTTTGAATTTTCATTCAGTGTTGTTTGCTGGATTGGGAGACGCGGAAACAGTCTCTCAGCAAATTAGTGTCGGTGTGGGAGCCCTTGCCGGTTCTACGATTCTTCTAATCACGGTTCCTTGGGCAATGGGCATCATTGCGGGACGTGTGTCTCTCAACGAGAAAGGTGAGGGAAGATACACTCGCCCACCTGAAATGCCTGCTTCTGTGGGACTTGAGCAATGGTAGGTTCATTGGTAGGAGTTCAAGAAGCTCCTTCCCAAGGACTCCAAGTCGCTCCGCCATTCCGGAATTAACGTGGAGAGCATTGTTCGTAAGAACATCAAGTTCGTGGCGCTGTCGATGCTTCCCTATCTGTTTGTCCAGATTCCTGCTTTCTTCAGCGGCTGCTCGACGGGAGACGGTTCGAAGTGCGATTCGCACGTGATTCATTGGATCTGTCTTGCGTGCTTTGTGATATCCTATGAGTGAGTTTTCATGAAGATGGAAATGGATGGGAGGAGAATGTGTGGAGGGTGTGATTCGATAGCAAAGCATCCAAATGATTTTTTTAAAAACTTTTTTCTTTCTGTGAATGAAAAGGAGCGTGTAATCAATCGATTCAATGGGTGGCTCTAATAATTCATTCTAATAATTCATTCTAATAATTCATTCTAATAATTCATTCAATTCATTCAATTAATGATTCATTCAATTCATTCAATTAATGATTCATTCAATTCATATAACACCCTCTAATTCAATCCTTTTGATTCTCCCACCCATTCAATACCTCCACACTCCCTCCCATTCCTCGTTCGTTCCTTGACAATCCACTACTGCTTCGTCATCATGATCATCTACTTCATCTTCCAATACAAACACTCCACCGAAAACATCGTACCTCCCCTCCCCTCCCTTTTCTCCCCAGGTTTCCCAAGAGAAAATCAAGCAGGAAATCCAGAAGTCCATCCGAAATGGCCTCGTCAACATCTCCGCCGTCATCTCCAACGAAATCGACGTACTCTCCTCTCTTCCTCTCTCTCTCTCTCAGCAATACTGCCGCGTGAAAGGCACCGAAAGCAACCGTCGTCTTCTTGAAGACTCTCCCGTCCTCATGGAGCACGTCCGCGTTCTGGTCCGCTCCTTCTTCCTTCGCTATGACCAGGACCGCAGCAACTCCATGAACGTCGAGGAGCTTCGCAACCTGCTTCGCGACCTCGGCGAGCCCATGAAAGTCTCCGAGGTGCGCGAGCTCCTCGCGTCCTTCGACCACGACCGCGACAATCAGCTCAGCTTCGACGAGTTCTGCTACTTCGTCGTGGACCTCGTGGATCGCCGAAAGAAGGGCGAGTTAACCGCGGTGGCCGTGGCGGACGACGACGACGACGAAGAGGAGGAAATCCCGTCGGATCTGGTGCATCTCTCGCCGAAGCAGCAGCAAGTCCGCATCATTCTGCGGAGTTTTGGGATGATGTTCGCGGGCATGGCGATCGTGATTCTCTTCTCCGACCCCGTTGTCGACGTGCTGGACAATCTCGGAACGCGGCTGCACATCCCGAACTTCTACGTCTCGTTCATCCTCGCGCCGATGATTAGCAATGCCTCGGAAATCCTCGCGTCGTACGTCTACGCGAAGAAGAAAACGCAGAAGACCGCGACGATCAGCATCAGCACGCTGCAAGGCTCCGCCGTGATGAACAACGCCGTGTGTCTCGGCGTGTTCTTGATCATTATCTTTATGCGGGACTTGAAGTGGCTGTTTACTGCCGAAACGCTGACCATTTTGTTTGTGGAGCTCTGCGTGATGGCCATCTCGTGGCAGCCGGCGCAGACGCTGGGACACGCTTGTGTCTTGCTCGCGTTGTACCCGTTCTCCATCTTTATGGTGTGGATTTTGGAGTATATGGGATTGAACTAAGCGAGTTGACGTGTTTGTTTCAGAAAGTTTTGTTCTCTGGGCGTCGAGCCGAAATTTGGACTTGGTGTCAATTTAGGATACAATGCCGAAAGTGAGCACACTGAATGCGGACTCTGTCCTGACCTTCGTTGATGGATTTTTTATTTTGCCGATTACGTTCCTTGATGCTTTTGGAACGCGATATTTATATGTGAAGGAAGATAGGTAGGTTGGCTGGCTAGTTTCCTTTTCGTCGTTCCTAACCTCGTCTAGAAGTACAGAAAATCCCCACAACTGCCGTCTGTTTGTTGCGAATGTGTCGGATTTCAACGAAGAGCAGCTGCGTGTAAAGTTCGTAATGGCTGATTGATTGTAGACCATCTTTGGTTCTTCTGGAGAAATTGAGTCTGTTGAGTATGCTCTGCACAGTTTGCGTCTAATTTGCAGGTTTGGTCGAATTGCTCAAGGAGGAGCGCGCATGGCGTATATTACCTACGCGGAGCGCAATTCCCTGCTCCAGCTCCTCAAAACCCTCAAAACAGATCCCAGCACAGTTCCATGCACTTCCTCCTCTACAATCGCATCATCGACGTCCCCAGTTCTCGAATCGTACTACCAGCGAGTGTCTAGCGAATATGCGAAGTCTGCCTCCGTTCTCCGCAAAGAGGCGGAAGAAGCGCTGGTTCGCTACGAAGAAGAAGAAAACGTTTCAATTCGCTTTGATTTTTATTGCAGGCGATCCAGAACGAAACCGATGCCGATGGCTGGACCACGGTGCGACGTCGGAAGCGCGTCGGCGACGATGAAATCATCACGGCGATGCAGATAAAGGAGATGAAGAGACGCGAAGCGATGCAGAAGAAAGATTTCTATAAGTGGGTGTTGAATGGGCGATTGAATGCAGGTTCCAAGGACGCGAAAATCGCCGCGATCAGCTGAGAGAGTTGCGAGAAAAGTTTGAGCGGGATCGCGTACGGGTGGAGAAGATGAAGCAGAACCGCAAGATAAATTTTGTTTAATTCGTTTAGTGTATTTGGACCTTGCTTGTTTGTTTCCAGAATGAAGAGAATGGAGGGAGGATTTGTTGTTTTTTTTTAGCTTTTGTTTTGCCTCCAAAATTTGGATTTCATTCGATTTTCGTCATTCTTGTTGATTCTTCATTTTTTATGAATTCGTCACTCTTTTTCTGCGTAAGTGGAAGAAGATCTTGTTTACGGTTTAGCCGAAGGGAACATTGGAGCTTCCCAGAATTGATTCTCCGTATCAGAAGAGAAAACGACCGATTGTTGTTGATGAAGCGTACAACACGTGCAGATGTGGATCTTATGCATAGGCCCAAACCGAAACGAGAGCAAACGGAAAAACCAAGTTGGATATGAGTTGGTTGTGTGATTTTAGAAGTGAATGAAAAGAACGGTCGAAAGAGAATTATCCACAAACCCAAACCTGCGTGGATGGGACCGCCCAGAGATCCTCCAGAACACGGAAAACTCACGATCCCGCAAGGGAAGGAGGACTGTCTCGACGGCCTTGTGTTTGTTGTGACGGGATTATCAAAGTATCTCACTGTGCAAGAGATTAGTGATCTCATCTTCGACCATGGAGGGTTGGGACGTATTGTACTCATCATTCATAGTGTTGAAAGAACGGCGGTCAGCGGAAAAACGAACTATCTGGTGGCTGGCTTTGAAATGGAGGATGGCCGCAAGATTACTGAGGGAGCACAATACAAAGCAGCTATTAAGAAGAAGGTGAAAATCATTTCTGACGAAGATCTCGTCAAAATGATTGAAAAGAGTATTGAAAAGAAGGAAGAGGAAAAGAAATAGGGCCTGTTTGTTCCATAACCGACCCAATAATTTAGTGTTTCAATTGTAATACAATGGCAGTAATAGCAACAATAATAATAATTTTTTTTGTAGAATGAAGTTTGCTGCTGTGTTCGCTCTTCTTGCTATTTGTGTGCTCGCTGCACCCAAGGTTGAGGTCAAGGCTCTGGTTGAGTCTCTTTGCCCCGATTGCATCCGTTTCACGAAGGGTGCGTTGCTGGAACTTACCCAGACTAAGGATATCATGGAGATCATTAACCTGGAAATCGTTCCTTACGGAAAGGCTCACATTGTCACTCGCGACCCTCCCACCTTCACCTGCCAGCACGGAGAGAAGGAGTGCTACGGAAACAAGGTCGAACTTTGCTCCCTTTTCCACAACCCTGATCACGGTCTTGCTATGATGAACTGCATGCAGAAGACCTACAGCTTCGACGACGAGACTGTCAAGAAGTGTGCTGCTCAGGAGGGTGTGGACGCTGAGGCCATCATTGCTTGTGCCAACGGAGAGGAGGGCAGCAAGCTGATGCTGCGTGCTGGTGACATCACCCCCACTCTGAGCTACGTTCCTTCCGTGCTGGTCAATGATAAGCTCTTCACTGATCCCGAGAACGTGATTAAGCACATTTGCGATGCTTACACTGGAGAGAAGCCCGCTTCCTGCAAGTAAGTAAGTAAGCAAGCTGTATGGGCATTAGTCAGTTTCGATTATCTCATGTGTGTTTGTTACAAACAAGGAATCGACGGGACCGGTTGAACTGGCTCTGCTTCTTCATCATACGCTCTAAACGCTCCTTGTGCAGCTTTCCCTTCAACTACGAGTGAGCGAATGACGAAACGACAACGTGTTCGGAAAGCTGAAGACCGCTCGTGAATTGCTTGCGGCAAAGTTTGCAATAGCACATACGAGACTTCAGACGCGTGTTGCTCACATGTCCTCGGAAATCGCGATGGCGCACTCTACACATATAAAAATGACTCAAATCATTACAGAGCATCGGGATTTGCAAATGAAACACAGCAGGCAGTACACACATTCTGACTATCTATTCGGAATCATCCCTCCGCAATATGTACGTGACGAACTATATAAATCGTTCTTAAAAATCACCTTCAAACGAGACAAATGACCAGAAGCCTCGAGATGTGTCTATTATTGGACTCCCTCCATTCTTATACACTGATATTCATATCGCCGCGTATTTTCAAGTTACATGCTTCACAATACGCTTCATCTTCTTCTAAATCGACGGGATCACTATTTTCAGCATATGCTTGACGCATTTTCTCTAACAGCTCTCGTTCATGTTGTTTTGCAGCAATTTTGGAGGCATTCTTCTTGGAGGGTTGATTGCCGGTTTCTTTCGGTGTAATTTCCATATCCGAATCCGAGTCCGAATCTACATCCACAAAATCGTCGCCCTCTGAGTCATTCATCTGTTGTTCGAGCAACCGGATTCGTTCTTCAATTGCTACAATCGAATCATACTCAAATCATAACATGTTAGAGAGACTTCTTTAATCACGGGCTTCACTTCCTCAACAGTGTCCTTTTTCTCTTCCTTCTCCTTCTTCCTCTTCCGCATCATCGCTGCAAACCCAGATACCTTCTTCTCGCTCATCACACGAATTGTATGAAACAAACACCTCAACTAAATAGAGAAGCAAATAGATCCACATCCGCTTTCTTCACGTTCTGCAAAGGATCCTTGAACTCCTTCATCAACTCTCCCACGTCCACTCTCTTGTCTACAGGCTTCTTGGAAGGCATTAAATCTTCTATGTGCTCCACAGTCTCCGCCTCAGGCTTCTTCTCAACATCCGGTAAATTGCGATAGGGATCGCGGATGTTGAACCGCTTACACAGCAGCTTTGCAGGCCTCCACTGCGTAACGATATGTTCCGATTTGATCTTTTCTTGCTTCGGCTCTTCCTCCGGTATTACCGAGTCGGACGCAGAAACGAATTTTAACTTGAAGGCAGAGGGCTGCTTATCGTCCTATTACTCAAAATGCCTGCAAATACAAACCTCCATCATGGCCTTCTCCATCTCCTCCGTCATGCCAGTATATCTCGTAGATCGCTTTTCAGCAGGCGTTGTAATCGCATCTACAACAATGACAGCAAGTATGTGGAGTCAACCTTTATTGATCACCCAGCTCCAATCGAGCGGCTTCGAGAAAACGTGCTTTTCTACGAAACTGCTGGGAACGTGAGGAGGAGGGTAGATCTTTGTTTTGGTTTTCCCGTTGTCTTTATCTTCAGCGTAGCAAAAGCCGGGGATTTCAGCTGTGCGAGAAGCACGATGCTGACGATGATGCCGATCCTCTGGATTTTCAATGTCACGAATTCGGTGGTGCGAAACATCCAGTTCCAGATCAAATTGTCGCATATCTGTGTGCGCATAGACATCCATATCATCAGCATCCTCTAGCGCCGAAATTCCAAATCGCGACGTATTTACAGACGATTCATGTAAAATTCCATCCATCCTCATCACTCCATTTCGGTCATCTTCCAATAGATACGCATTTGTGTGTAGACCTTCAATAGGAACATAGCCTATGCCATAGTAGTGTTTCTTCTTTCGCAGAATCGAGTTTACAGTACTTGCCTTCGCAACAGTGTTGGTCGTACCCGATCTTCCACTAGAAAAAATGTTCTGTGCCTTCAAATTGCTTCCCACCAACGGATTATCGTCTTCATCAATGAAATCGTCCTTAGTGTATTGTTTAAACTCCACACGCTGCTCTCGTGTTGATATGAATGCGGTTGGCTTCCATCCTTCCTCCGTTCCCACCGTGTTGTTATATCCAGCTGAAAACCCTCCAGTGAAGGCTCCATGGAATCTTCGCTTGTTATTTTCATCATAGACAGCGTCGCGCGATACTCGCTTAGGCATCTTGATGCATTTACTATTTTTTTGATGATTGTCGCCCTTTAGGACGATGCAGCCACATTTAAATCAAGAAGAATACGAGCAGTAGAGGGTATAAATAGTAGCCTAATTGTAGATACGATAGACAAATTCACATTTGGGGAGCTGAAAAGCAGCAGAAGATCATTCAATCGACTATTTTATTCGTGAATGGTACGTTGCTATGCGCAGAAGTATATGTTTCAACGTGGAGTGTCATTGTAGGTCGCCAAGAACCTTGTGCTCGCAGGAACAAATGTAGATATCTATGTAGATGCATAGTTTAATGAGTATTGGATAGGATAATACAATTGTGCAACCGACCGATTTTCGGAGCAATTTCTTGTTACGAAAAGAAGATTCGGGACGGAAATTATCCGAATCGATGTGTCAGCATCTGCAAGAGCTGAATCCGCGAGCTCATATCAAGCCGATTTCCTCTTTAAGCGATTCTTCTTCTTCTTCTTTATCCTGCTTGTTTTCTTCCTATTCCGCGGTCATTTTCTGCAATCCATCACTCGATCAGCTCAAAACAGCGACAGAAGGACATTGCTTTGCTGCCTTCACAAATGGTTTGTCCTGCTTGTTTATTGATTTAACTCGTTCCGAGTATTCATTGAAACATGTTTTTTTAGCGTAGTTTTATTACCAAAATCGACAAAAACACTTGGGTAGAAAGAGAAAATCAGCCTGTTTCATTGTGTGATGTAGTCGCAAATCTTCGGGAAGGCCGGCCGATGAGGGAATCAGAGGTGGCTGTGTGCGCAATCACCGGAGGTGTCATTAGCCAATTGGTGATGAAGATGGTGACAGAGGAAGAGGTGGAGGATACTGCATTTGAGTTCGACGCAGTCAGCGGAAACGGAACGTTGTATACTATCTCTCTTGTTTGTTACACTCAGTAGCGTGTCAGTTTACATAGAATTGTTTCGATTCCGAATATCTTTTGGATCCAGACAGTAGTTGAGATTATATTTATATATATAATATGGAAAATACACTGAGAAGACCATCACCGAGTAACTGTCCCAGAGTGAATTAATATCCTAGGAAATGGAGCTTGGATGAATAATCTAAAAACGTTTTTGGATGATTTGCTGCATATCGGAGGAGATAGCAGACTTCAGTTAGAAGAGAGTAACTTTGACGATTTGTATCAAAAAATGATAAGCATGACTGAAGGACAGCCTCCAGAGCAAGTTCTTGGTTTGCTTGGTTTGTATCGAGTTCTGTTTCGGATAGAAAGATTGCCATCTTCACAAGAAAGCCGATACAAGTTGACTATATTCGTAAACGGCATGAAACACTTCGATGGCTTCCTCACTTCCACCCTGAAGCTAAACGGCGTGTGCTCCTTTTTCAAGGAAGGGATTCTGATCAATACCGGAAGTTATTATGATGGTCAGAAAGATGGCAAGTTCATCCATTACGACTTCGACACAGGGACAGAGATCTCAACGGAGGTTTACGAAAAAGGAGTTAAAACTTCCGATATCTACGTGGTAAATGGCAAGAAATACCTCGACACGATCGAAGGCGGAAAGCACATGATTGGCCAAGTCATCCTAAAAGACAACAAATCGGAGTGGAGTGGCCGCGTACTCGAATTCCACAACAACAAACCATCGCGCCTTCTCCATTACGGAGCGACTCGCACGGTCGCGGGCGTTTTTTCGCGGTATAACGGGACGCCGACGTTCGTGGAGTACGATGAATCGCGGGGAATGCTCTATTTTGGCGAGATCGCGTTCGATGATCACACGTTGGAATACAAATACGAAGGTCGTGGAATGAAGTTCGTATCGGAGCGGAATTCGTCGTCGTTGGTGTACAAAGGCGAGTTTAAAAATGGAGTTTATTGTGGAAACGGCTGTTTGTTTGACCCGAAGTCGGGTTTGAAACTCTTCGAAGGCGAATTCGCGGACGGAAAACCGGTGAACGGTGTTTCGTTCTGCGACGGCATGGCCACGAAGTTCGAAGTGTCCACGATGGACGACTTGCGGTCGTTTCCTCCCAATTATAATTTGTTTGAGGTGTTGGAAGGAGGGCTGCGAAACGAAACGAATGTGGATTTTTTGCAGTTTGTGGGGCACGTGGAGCGAATTGTGTTCGGTCCTGCTTCATGTGATAGTTTGGAAGTGTGTCGAATTTGGAATTTCCAGAATTTGAGGGAGATTCGATTTGAGAAAAATTGTTTGAAGTCTGTGAGAGAGCTGATCATCAGCCGTAGTGGCTTGTCATCCATTCTGTTGTGTAGAAAACCCGAACTTAGAATCGGTGCACATCACGCTCGGCGTGGGTTTCTCCGTGAATAAGCTCGAGTTGTCTTGTAACCACATCGAAAAACATTGTGAATCCTAGTCAATCCAAATCTTCATCATTTGTCCGTCGGCAAAAACTCGCTGAGTTCCTGCATTTGCATTGTGCTGCATCGTGCCTTTCAGCCGAGCCATTTCACTCGTAGAGATGGCGGACATTCCCGAGTTGGCGCTGGACACCGCAGCGCTGAATAAACTGAAACACATTTACCTTTCCCAGGGAGTTTCGTCCTCATTGGTGGAGAAACTGAAAAAGCAATCATTGGAAGATGTCAAAACCGGCTCTACGAATTGTGTTTTTGTGTTCTCGAAATGACGAATAGCGATCGTTTCGGATGTGTCGAGCGCGGATCCCTCGGTCTGTTATGAATTAACAGTGCGAAACGGCTCTCATTTTTCGCAGGAAGATTCGTTTTATCGCTTCAATTCATTGGTGGATTTGGTCATTGGCGATTATTGTGTTTCGAAAAACAGAAACTTCTCCTTCACCGAATCCATGCCTTCCCTCCAAACCATTCGAATCGGAAAGAATTCGTTCTGCCAGAAGAACGAAAACGGCCATTTTTTCATCGAGAAGCAGCCGATGCTGCATTCGCTCATCATCGACAGCGGGAGTTTCATTTCATATACCAACTTCTGCGTGCGGAATTGTCCCAAATTGAGGCACGTGCAGATCGGTCAAATTCCGAGCGAAGAAAATGATTGGCTGCTGAATTGTCATCAGTATTCGTTCTGTTTCCAGAACGCTCAGTCGTTTGAGTTGTCCCGTAAATCTTTTTATTGGGTCCGTTTTGATCAGAGGTGCCCCAATTAGAGTCGTTTGTGGTCGGTCCCGGCTGCTTCCAGGAGAAATTGGAGGTTTCGTTGGTGGGGATGAAGGAGTTGAAGCGGTTGGAAGTGGGCGACTTCTCGTTCGCGCGGTGCTCGAAGCTGGTGCTGGGCAGTTTGGAGAAACTGGAGAAACTGGTGTTGCAGCCGTTCGCGTTGTACGAAGTGCAGATTTTGATTGTGCAGAGTGGAGAAAGGGGGAAGGGATGAGGAGTAGATTGCTGCGAGCATCTGCGGTACGAGCCAGCGCTGTGCACGGATCATTTCAAGCGGTTGGAGCGATATGAGCTACGTGGGCGATGAGGAGGAAGGTGATTGTGTAGAGGAGAATAGGGAGCTGAGAGCGATGGTGGATAATTGTAAGTGTACGTAAGGAAGGAAGGAAGGAAAGAAAGCCGAGGAAGGAGGAATATGAATTGAATGAATTGAATGAATTGAATGAATTGAATGAGTTGTTTGTTTGAATCAATGAATTGAATCTCTTTAAACCACGATAAAACAGAGAATGAAGAAACCCATATAATTCATTCCACCACAAATCACATCCCTGTTTCCCTCAATTCAACCTTCTGTTTTCCAACAATTCAACCAATCCTCCCTTTCGGATTCAAACAAACAACCCATAGAAAAACACTCCACCTCTAAATCGACCGTTCACACGCCTTTCGTTCGTCTTCCGGACACTTCGCACGCCTTTCTAATCGCTCACATTTCCCTCCCTTTCCTACATTCCTCGCCAAACCACCACCGCACAAACCACCACCATTCCCGCGAACCACAGCCACTCCAGTTTCCACAGTTTCCCCACAAACCGACGACTCTGTTTCCAGTAATACTCCATTCGAATCAATTCTACGCGTTATCCGGAATTCCAAAAATCACGGTGATTTTTCTCAAACTGGGAGGGAAGCGGGAAGAAGGAATTGTAAAAATCGTGGATAATTTTGTCATGCGTTTCCGTTTTGTTCTGAATATTGTCATTGATGCACACGAACTTCGATTTGCGCTTCCGCACGCTATCCAGCTACTCCGTTACCACGTTTCCACGTTTCTACCTGGTCCAACAAATCCTCCACGTCGTCTTGGATCATTTGAAACGCCACGTCGGAATCTGACGCGGTTTCCATGTGGCCCTGAAACGGAAATCGCGCGGCTAATCCAGTTGCCGCCATCGAGCAATTCCGAATGGATTCCAACGTGATATTCGAAATAAAACTCCTGTGAAGATACAAAGAACCGCGGGGAGGCTTCGCCATGACACGCTCCCGCGGGGAATTGATGTTTTCTCCCAGGCATTCGAGTAACTGCAGTTTTTCGTCTTTTCCCGCGGAATCCCCCAAAACAATGGCGGCGAGCGTTTCGAATTCGTTGGAATTCAGAATGCCGTCCTCGTCGCGATCCAGTTTTTCCCTCCAAATGCGGTCCAAATTGCCGGTTTCGGCTTTGTCCATTAATCCGCCCAAAAAATGGAAATACAAAAAAGCGTACTGCAAATCGTCGCTTTCCCTGAATTTGTGCCGAATTGTGGAATTCACGTATTTGGACAGTTTGGTTTCGATCTCCCGCATGACCCATTTGTTGATCAAATGGGGCATATGGGCGGGAACGTTCCTTTTTACGTTTCCAAACAATCGAATCAACTGCAAATTGGTGAAAATCAAGGAATCACGGTACGTGTCCGACAATCGGCGATTTCGCTCCGATTTTTGGACCAATGAAAAAAGGGGACGTGAGTGTTTCAAGGATTGTTTCATTGCGTTCTGAAATTGTTGTGAGTTCATGGACAAAATGGCCCCAATTGACCCATATCGCAACACAAACGAGCTCTCTTCGAAATGAATATGGGGCAAAAGCGTCCGTTTAAAACCCGAATTTGGGTCCTTTCGATTCATATAATAATCCGCAATCGCGGGAATCTGCGTGAATTCCTGCTGACGCAAATTCCACGAACACGTGACAATTTCAATGGATGGAATGGCCAGAACCAGACTACTGTTCCAAATCGATTCGAAATACTGTTCCATTTCCACTAATGTATCCACCGATGCGAAATAGTCCAGATTTTTGGATTTCAAAAAAAGGCTCCAAAATTGGTCATGCGCATTCGACACTTCGTACACTTCATAGAATTCCCGCCAAAACGTCACCGTGGCGTTTTCCACGATTCCTCCATTCGGCGGGACCTCCAATTCCATGGCCTCAAAACATGTCCGTATTTGCCGAATATGGGGCTTATTCTTCAAAAAGGCCCGAATATCCGGCTCCAGTCCCAAATACGCGCGTCGTTTATTCAGCCACGAATGAAACGACATGGACCCCGAATTAGCAAAATTGGTACATTGATGAACAGAATGGACCATTTTCAAGTCCGAATTGGGACTCTTCACTTCCAAAGTCACCATTCCCGGCTCGTTCCAATGCCCCATAAACAATGTGGTTTTGGGCCCAATGTCCCGATTATTGACGATAGGGTTAAACATGGCCCCATATGATTCTTCGAAGAATAAGGGCACATTGGACCCCCAATCAAATCCATTCTCCATAAACTGCCCCACCGCGATCGACGCGTTCGACCGAACCGCTCCCTCAAATTCCCGCGGGGAGAGTTCTCCGATGGAATAGCGTTCCCAGAGGTCGTTGAGCGTGAGCTTGAAGAACGTGCGCGTGCCGAGGTGGGTTTGAGAGTACGCCATCCACGCGATTTTCGGGTTGTCCTGCAGCGGAACCGCGGGAATCGCCCCGGTTTCCACCCAGGCGGCGATGGCGCTGCGCGCGGGGAAGTGAATCAAATCCACCAAGAGCAGACGCGTCAGCGATTGGTTGGCCGAGTCGCTGACAAAGACCGCCAAGTGTAACTCCCAGGAAACGCCCAGCAGCGAGCGTTTCGTCATTACCAGCAAGGTGTCCCCGCGGGGATTCATCTTCGCCAAGAGGATCGCGTCTATTCGTCATTTCCCTCCCAATAAATAAAAAAAACCGTTTTCCACCGCTACCACGCTCTCTACCTTCCGCGTTTCCACTTTTTCCCCGATATCGATCTGGATGAAACTCCCGGTCATGACCATCCGCGTCACGCAGAACGACTCGGGCGTTACGCCCCATCCTTCCTGCACAAACTCTTCCGCCTCCGAATCGCCCGATCCCCGCGGGAAACCCCCCTCGCCCACGCACACCCACTCCCCCGGGCGTTTCACCGCGAGTACCTCCTCCGCTCCGTCGGCTCCATCGGCTCCGAGATCATTCCCGCGGTTCTCTGCAACCGGTTTTTCCCCGCGGGGCTGGCAGTCGCCCGCGTCGAAGGCGCAGGCGGGCCGGTCGCAGGGCGCGTCGCAGCGGCCGTCGGCGAGCCAGTCGGGGCTGCAGTCGGGGCTGCAGGACTCGTCGGGGAGGACCAGCTGCGCGATGCGGTCGCGATTGGCGGTGAGAGAGGCTCCCCCGCGGGGAGGAGGGGCGTCGCGGGAGGCGCAGTCGCCGAGGTCGAATCCGCAGGCGGGAGTGTTGCAGGCGGGGTCGCATTGTCCGTTGCCGAGGTCGTTGTAGCGGCCTGGAGTGAAGGGAGAGAGAAAAGAGGACAGCGGTCGGAGCAGTCGGGGACCAGCCAGGAGGCGAAGAGCTTCTGGCCGCGCTGGAGCGAGATGAAGTCGGAGAGGTGGACGGGCTGGCCGAGAAAGACGTCGTCGTTGAAGTAGATGAAGTAGTCGGAGAGGTGGGGAATGTGGTGGAGGTTCAGCTCGATGGCGGGGGAGGAGAATGTAGGGAGGCTGTGGGGCACGCGGAAGATGTCTTTGTGGAACACGACGCTGATTTTGGGGTTGGAAAGGTCCAGCCAGCTGGGGATTTGGCCGTTGGTCACGATGTAGATGTGGTGGATCCACGGAGCGTTCGCCTCCAGGGATCGGATGCTGTATCTAGAGGGAAAAAACGCGGACAGAGACTACTTCAGCTCGTCGTTGTCGCGGAAACGGTTCATGGAGATGGAAGTGTCTCTCTCACTCTCGTTTGTGTTGTGGGATCTCATGTAGATAGAACGGTAGTACTGCATCTCCTGAAACCACTCCGGATCGGAGCCATTCACCCAGGTATACACAGCATCGACCTGAGGGAAGCACGTTGCATTCATAGGAGGGTAGAAGCCAATGTTGTCATAGAAATCGGGCGAGCAACGTCCTACGCTTGGAGTTTGGAAATGCAGTGATTGAAATATATAAATGGAGCTGAAAACGATACTAAACATGGAAATGCAAATTATAGTACAACTAGGAGCATTATTCATTGAGAGCAAGTGGTACATGACGCAAAATCCCCTTTTTCTCGCTACCAGCCTGGGAACTAGAAGCGAAAAATCAATACGAGATTCCATCACAAGGAAGAAAAAAGCGGGTTGAAAAAGTGACAAAAATCAAACGAAATGGTTATTTTCTCAGTATTGAACAAGGAGATTGGAAGGGATGTGGATGAAACTTTTGAAAGAGCTATGATTGCACAACAGAAGAACAACTGCAGTGTGAAAAGAATCATGTGTTGATATGATATGATATGACATGGCGGAGGAAGTGTGCGGACCAGTCACTATCGACTACTTTGCTCTAAACATACAACTACTAGGTAAAACCCGTCACCATTCCATTTTTCTCAATAGAATCTGCTCAAGACCATACGAATGTATACAACAAACAACTACGCCCTAAACAACACAAAACAAATTCATTATGATTGCGACCGCTGATTCTTCCACATACAATAGTGACTAGAGAAGTGCCAAATAGAATAAAATGCGATGATTTCCTTTGTCGTTTTCGATGGAAGCTACCTATCAGAATCCTCAGTGAAAACGAACGATTTTAGCAATCTTTCCAAAATGTTTGCCGAACACAGAAAGTCCCGCTTCAAATACGGCAATCTCATAAGGACTCCATTTGTCTAACATCTCACCACGTTCTCACACACGTACTCAGTACAATGATGTCCTGATTATCTTGTTCTGCGAGAAGCCTCGATTTTTTCGCGATTGCGTCCTTTCTGATTAGAAAAAGCGAGTTCTTACAGCCTCCAATTCATGACCAAGAGATGGAGGGGAGGATGAATTAAAGTAGTTTTGAGACACAACCCAAAGGCGTCGCTCCAGTTCTTTGTGAATTTCAGCTGAATGTGAAGAACCATACACTTCTTGTACACATTGGATGGGGGTACGAATGAACGTCCACGCCCCCTGTGTAGATCTTTTGTCGAAGCCAGGGACAGATAATCGTGTCAGCTACCGATTACACAAACCATTAGCGACCTGCCAGAGCGACATCCGCACTTCTCGCACTTGTAGCCAGAGTCGATGGCGGTGTGCTCATTTCTATAGATATTTCGATTGGTTAATTGTATACCTGTGATGATGTGACATTCTCTTTTCTGGTTTGACAAACATAGCTATCCGGAGTTTCTGGATCGTTTGCACATTTATCTTATCTACAAATAAGGGAAGGGGAGGAAACATTCCTTCGGGTTTGACAGGCTCTCCAGGTCTTCTAGCGATTTCCTTTAGAAAGTTGAGGGCGTGAAGTACACGATCTGCAAGGTTAGCCACCTCATCACCTTCTATCTACCCGTATTATTTGTCGAAGCCTTCTTTTTATTCTTTTTCACAACCATACGAAACGATGTATTCCTTTATCAAACAAACAATAATAGTATTTAGAACCAAAAAAGCGTTGTCCATGTTAATACGATAATTCAATCGATTATTACCCGATTCTTAACAATCTAACTTGGAGCGTATGCTCGTTCATCTGCAACCTTTGATACGATTTGTTTCAAATACGATGAGCCGTACTCCCTCTGTGAAAGAACTGGAATCTGTAATTCGTGTGTTGAGCCCTTCTTCTGTTTCCCTCTCTGTTCATGTGAAACCCAACTGCAAAAAGACGGGAATTGAATGGGAAGAAGAGCAACTGCAAATCCGTCTCAGTTCTCCTCCGACAGAGAACAAAGCCAACAAGGAGGTGTGTGAAGTTGTTTCTGACATTGCTGATATTCCAAAGAGTCAAGTATGAAAGGGAATCCTATTTATTGTTAGGTGTCGCTCATTCGAGGAGGGAAATCTCGAGACAAGGAATTAATGTTGAATGGAGTTTCGAGTGAAGGTCTTATTCAGTCCCTGTTACAAGCACTGCAACAATACTTGTGTTTGTGTACAAATAGCCAATTCATTCGATTTGGATTGAACGAGACTGTGTTTACTTTGCATATAGATTTCGTACTACCATCGATTCTTTGTGATTTTGGGTACAAAAATGCAGAAAAATATTGAAAGAGTTGCGGAAATTTCACATAAAGCTTGGGAGTTGAGTGGAGTGAATTGATGTAAAAAGAAACAAAGGAAATGGAAATTTTGAATACAGAAAAGGTCACACATATTCCAAGGAATGCCCAAATCGAAATGTGTGTTATTACTGCAATGATCCACAGATTTTAGATATCACAGAATCGAATTCATCAAGTGATTCTGTACACGAAACAAGATAGCTCGTAAATGGATTCGTGATAAACATGGGGTGTAGCCAGTTTGTTTTTTAATAAAATGTTATCATTGTTTATCACTGAGTTGAAGCAGAAATCAAATCTGTTCTTATACAGTGTCTTAACACAAGATTGAGTCCTTCGTGACACTGTGAACAAGCAATAAACTGCATTCTATTAGGCGATTCCCATATTCAATGGTTTCCAGCACGGCCAATAAACAGAAAACCATTAATAACAAAAATAAATCCCTGCAATAAACCAAAATAATCGATTCCAAATACAAATACAAAAAACAAGACCAAAAATAGGGCAGATTTTTATGCGGAAGGCTCGATCTCTGTAATGGAGAAGCATATTAGGAGAGGAAAGCAGTTATCTCCACGTTCCCCTTCCGATACATTCATGTCGTCAAGGTTTGATATTGATCCTGAAAGAAGAAAGAATAAGAACTTCCAGGATATGGTATCGGAGAAGAAGGCTGTGTACATCGATAATTCCCAATCAGAGCCTGTGGAAGAAGAATTGACGTTGAGAGTGCCTCCTCCGGTGAAGGGATTCGATATCTCTGCAAAGTTTACTTGTAAGTCCAAAAATGGTGAAATCATAATGGATCCGACATCAAAATATCGATTTGTGTGGTATCGGAGCCGGAAATACTATCTGTGCTCCTCAAACCATTGCATTAATAAGAGTAGTAGTCAAAAATCAATTTCGGAGATGAAATACCAGTGCTTGACCTGTTTGCAGTATGGAAATGAGCGTTACTCCTATTTCTGCTGTCCAGAATGTCTAGCTAAGGGTTGGAAAGAGCATTGCCTGTAGATCGAGAGTGGTTCCCATCATGTTCAGAACTCACAAAATCACAGCCACATCCACGGTTCATTCGGAGCGAAAGCTTCCGTTCGACGCATCCACCACCGTCGACGAGCTCGCCGACCTGCAAATGAAACAGCTTCGCAATCAGCGTTTAGCTCTTGAGGAATGGGACCGTGTATCAATGGACATGTATCCTCTCTCTTTCTTGCCTTTGTAATCTCTCTAGCCACTACCACATTGGAGAGGACGATGTAGGGCACATTCTTCGCTGCTGCGTTACGGACATGTCCAACAAACCGATTTTTAGTTTCGACTCGCTCCCCGTCGCAGAGCGTTTTTCCCCTTTTCCCCTTTTATCTAGCGCCCGGCTACGCGCCGCCACGCCAGTGGATCTCCCGCCCGCTTCTTCCCGACGTGATGGGAACCGCGGTTACCATAACATCCTATAACATGCTTGCGGACGTGTATTGCCAGCCCGATTTATACACGAATTGTCCGCTCTGGGCGTTGGAATGGGGCTATCGCAGAGATCGACTCATGCATCAACTCAGCTCCCGAAATAGCGACTTTTTCTGTCTGCAAGAGGTCGAAAAGAGCGAATACGAGAATTTCTGGAAAGTGGAAATGGAGAAACGGGGGTATGCCGGCGAGTCGGACTGAATCCCCGCGGTGACGCGTAGATACACGGTGAAAACGCGGTATTTCATGGGATCGGACGACCACGTCGACGGCTGTGCGACGTTCTACAACACCAAAAAGTCCCGATTTCTGGAATTCCTGAAATGCAGGTTTGTTTTGCTCTCCGCGTCGCACCTGCATTTCAACGACTCGCTCGTGTCGCAGCTCCAAGAGAAGTTCCTCACCCAGGTTCCCCGCGGTTCTGTCGTCCCATGTAGGAGCAGTACAAGCGGCTGAAGCGCGGGACGGTGGCGCAAATCCTCCTGTTTTCGTCGATTCCATCGAATTCGGCGATGCCGAACGAGCCGCAGACGCAGTTTTACCTCGCCAACTGCCATTTGTTCTGGGACCCGCGGTTCCCCGACGTGAAACTGCAGCAGTCGCTGGAGCTGATGAGGCAGCTGGAGAAGGAGGAGTTTAAGATGGAGCTTCCCGCGGTTATTTGCGGGGATTTTAACTCGGAACCGACGTCTGCGGTGTAGCAATAGGGGAAAGGTGCGAGATAGGTATGAGTTTATGTCGATGGGGCGCGTGCGAGGCGATCATCCGGATCTGCAGAACGATCCGGAGAATATTATAAGGAGCATTGGTGTGCAGAACATTAATCACAAGATTAAGTTGGCCTCGGTGTATAAGGAGGTAATGGGCAGTGAGCCCAAATTTACGAATTATACGGACCATTATGCTGGGTGTTTGGACTACATTTGGGTTTCATCCTCAATGATCATTCCGATCAAAGTCTCGGTGCTGCCTTCGGAAAGGGAGATCGAGTCCTGCGGCGATATGCGGCTGCCCAATCCGAGATATCCGAGTGATCATCTAGCGCTTGATTGTACGCTTCTCATCTCTCCACCTCGCTATATATCATATCCACGATCCATGTTGCGTGTTTGTTGGAAACTAGAATTTTCTCTAAAGAGTTGTCGATAAGATACCCATACGATGCAGGTAGAGAGGTCAACTTATCTGATTATTCGGAACCGTAGAATGTGCATTGTTGTGTAGATTTTGTAGAAGTGCCCCAATTGAGTCAGGACTATCTTCCGAAGTGTGTTGATAGGATTATTGCAATGATTGATGCTATTTTTAATGCTGAAAAGAGAACAGATAGTTTTGAAGATATTTATCGCGTTTTTGTTCCTTTCATCTTTTCAAAGCGTAGATGACTCAAGAGATATGTCTGTACCGCAAAGATAGCCTCCTTTTCAGCAGAGTGACGGAATGTCTCAACAAAAACATCACAAATCACTTAACGAAGTTATTCGACGCATTCCATTCCCAAGATGTTGACGTTCTCTCAACCATGGACACCTTCTGGAGCACCATTCTTCGTTGCATTATCACTGTCTCTTCTCTGCTCACTCATTTATCGCGAGGAGACCAAAAGTCGACTTCTCTCTTTCTTTCCATCTAGCAAGAACCTCACCACCTACTGCTTGAACCAAATCCGCTCCCTTCTCCTCAGCCAGGAATCTTCGCTTCACATTATTTCCCGCGTAATTTTCTTCGCCTTCTTTTCCCTCCAGACCAACATAGCGATTCTCAAGAGCGTCAAGCAGGTCCGCGAAGCCGTTCTCCGCGGTTTATCGAGCGATTCTACGATGGAAATCGATTTCTCGTACGACGCCAATTTGCAAAAAATCGTGGCGAATTTGGTCAACATGAGCGACCTTCTCGGCTTTTTCCCCGACCTCCAGCAGCTCTACTTCCGTTCTGTGCGTAGGGTGTATTTCTGGAATGGCAGAAATAGAGACTTTTTACAATATGTTCGCGTACGAATTGCTGTGCAAGTCCGAAATCGCGACGTTTCTTTCCTACGTGACGCAAATCGTCCGGATTGTTGGACTTCCAAAAATCCCCTTGATTTTAGGAGCAACAAATTTTGGAGGGTTTTTTCGGGAATCGCGGTTCTGAGCAGATAAAAGCGGAGACGCTTCTGGGGTGTTTGAAACTGTACGGAAGCGAAGTGTTAGAGAAGGGAATGCAGAAATTGGTGGATGAATCGGATTTCCAGAATTTGGGGGTTCTTTATGAGTACTTTGAAATCGTGGGGGAGGTGGATTTGCTGAAGAAGGCGGTGTGTGGCGTGATCGAGGTGGGGAGTGAAGAAATCGGGGGTATTTTTGTAGTCGAAAAAGGAGCTTATTTTTGGCAGTTATTCGGTGAAGGAAATCGTGGAGTTGATCGTAGGGAAGAAGGAAGGGAGTAAAGGCAGAGGAAAATGCAGCGAATCAATGAGGAATGTTTTGGAAAGGATCAGGCGATCGCGTTGGAATTGCAAACAACGTGGATGAATTTGGTGAATCAACAGAGCGATAAGTGAGTGAATTGAATGAATTGAATGAATTGAATGAATGAATGAATGAATGAATTGAATGAATTGAATGAATTGAATGAATTGAATGAATTGAATGAATTGAATGAATGAATTGAATGAATTGAATGAATTGAATGAATTGAATGAATTGAATGAATTGAATGAATTGAATGAATGAATGAATTGAATGAATTGAATGAATGAATGAATGAATGAATTGAATGAATTGAATGAATTGAATGAATGAATGAATGAATGAATTGAATGAATTGAATGAATGAATGAATTGAATGAATTGAATGAATGAATTGAATGAATTGAATCACCAATTGAATTGAATCATCAATAAATTGCTCGTCTCTCTCCTTCTCACCCTCTCCATCAGATTCTCTGAGAAAATCGTCCAATTCATCGACGACACCGTGCGAGCCGCGCACGCTTCCTCGCAGACCAATCTTCCGGACTCCTTCATCCAGGAAGTTCTCCTCCTTCTCAACCTTCTTTCCCAAAAAGACACATTCGAATCCCTTTACCGCAACGTTCTCTTCCACCACATCATCGATTGTCCTCCCTTCTCTCCCTCCCTTCCATCTAGTCAACGACGTTCTTCTCCCCGCGGAAACACGCATCATCGACGAAATCAAAACGATTTGTGGCAATGTGTTCATCACTCGCCTCGACACGCTCGCCAAAGACGCGCTCAATTCACAGGCCGTTCGAAAAGAACTCGCCCATATTCCTTCCACAGTTCCACGTTTCCACGATTCCATCTTCCACGTGCTGTCCAAGGACGATGCACACAAATCATCTGTGTTCCCCAACACACCCATTCCCCCCCGAATTTTGGAATTGCAGAAAGAATTCGATCGAATGTACCACCAAAAATATCAGTCGCGAATTCTCACGTATTTGTACGGGGAATCGCACTATATTCTCGACTATGTACAAATAGGCGCTTTTTTTGACATAGAAATCGATCGAACTCGTCGTGGATTTCCCGCAGATGATCGTTTTAAATGAGTTTAACCGCGGGGATTCGTTTTCTTTGGCAGAGCTGGAGTCGCGGACTCATTTGCCAGAAATCGTCCTGAAAACTGCCATTCAGCAATTAACCGCGGTTTCTTCCGGTCCTCTTCTGCTCACCGATTCCACGTTTTCCACGATTCGTGTGAATGAAACTCCCTCGTGGAGCGGAAACCGAATCAATTTGGTCCCGCAGGTTTCATTGCAGGTTCAGACCTCGACGACTTCCGCGGTTCTGCACGAAGATCGAGCGGTGCAGTTGCTGCAAGTGGAGGCGGCGATCGTGAAGGTGCTGAAGAAAGTGAAGTTCTCGACGCTGGAAGATTTGCCGAAGTCGATTTTGAGTTATTTGCAGTACAAACCGGAAGTAGGGAAGAGGGAGGAAGGCGATGGCGTAGAATGAACTGATGCAGCAGGCGGTGGATGTGCTGCTGAACAAGGAATTGATCGAGCGAGACGAGAAGGATCCGAATGTGTTGCGTTATGTTGTTAATTTGGGTGTTTGAGAGAGGAAACAAGGATGGTATGAGTGGATCGGAAAGGGATTGTGGATTGCAAGTACAAGGGACTCGAGTTCAAAATCTGGAGAAAATAAAATGAGAAAAAGAAGCGGCAGCAACAAACACACACACACACACACTCAAATCTGTGTGAAGCACAATGGGAAAGCATTTCATTAGTAAAAAAAACAATCCACACATCCTAAAGTTCACTCGCTTGCACCATCGATTCCCGTCGATTCTCGAAAAAAGATCCGCGATGTGTCCGGAAAACAGGCTATTTCTCACTTCCCTTCCTCGCTCCTACAGTGGACACGCCCTCCCAAAACAGCAATCCGCTGAAGAGAACAAACGAAACCACGTTCAGCGGATCGTGCGTAGGTTCCGTCTACCGCTCATCCATTCCCCGCGGTTCTACCTGGCTCTCATAGTTCCACATGACCACCAACGTCAACAAAAAGGCCGTAACTTGGATACACGATCTACATTTCCACGTTTCCACGTTTCTACGTATAGCTGGGATTGCCGTAGAAGACCAAATACGAATAGACCCAATCATAGAAGAGTCCGGAGCAAAGATAGCCAATGAACGACATCCAGCTCTACAGCTGATTGGACGCACCAAATCGAACATAATCGACCTGAAGCATATCCATAAATCCGCGTCCAACGGCGTCAAAAAAGCTAAATAAATCCACGAATTGGATGGTTGTGGGGATTCGAATGGAGTAGAGAATAAAAACGATGGGGATTGCGTAATAGCATTGGTATTTGTAAACATTGAATTCGAATTGCACCTGCATGGATGGCTATCGTTTATTAAAAAAGAATCGCAAGGGAAACGTAATTGAGAAGAGTTTTAGTGGCCATGGCGCTGCTAAAGGTGTTGATTACGACGACGATGGTGAAGATGAGAGTGGAGATAACGACGACAAGGCAGCACGTGGAGCGATTGACGTACAGAGAAATGCTGAGATTCGTCAGAAATGCTGAGAACGTACAAAATGAGGATCAGGGAGGTCAGGCCGAGTCCGAATTGGCACGAGCGAACCCATGTCCAGTCGACGAGTTTGAAGAAATACTCGACGATAGATGTGAAAACGCAGGAACACTACGTAGAAGACGGAGATGACATGTACCTGCATTAACACCACCAAGTGGGTTGCTTGCAGATGGGGTGTCATGAGGCAGATTATTACATAGTACACAGCGCCTAGGAAGGCGATGATGCGGACTTTCGACGTGGGAACCAAATACTCGGTATACTCCAGTAAGTGATGACTCTATCGCAATTACTCGCGCGGAAAACATATACTTTTCGGGTTTGCATTTCATACATGACTTTCTTAATGATACAGTTGAAGACAAAATAAGCAAACGAAAGCATGATAGCTCCACTGAAGGTGTCAAAACAACTATTAGCTTACTTGGATTGGGTGTTGTCCAAAAAAATCTTAAAAGCTATGATTTCTGAGCAGGAAAATATAATTGTGCATAGGCCAATTAAGGTCAACTACAAATGAAACGCGAAAAAAGCGAAAACGAATAAACATTGCAAAACCCGATTTATCCATTGCTGTGACTTATCCTCCGTCTATTGGTGCAATCAACCTCCTAGAAATACCGAAACAACAATATCGGACATGAGATAATAGATTGTAGTTAACGAGTGGAACACAATATTGTTGTTTCTCAATGAGATTTATAATTTTTGTACTCTTATTAACGGCTGTTGCTAGTGCTAGCGTAGCTTAGCTTATTGCTGCTTATGGATAGAATTCAAAGTACTCGTTGGATGTGTACATCGAATCCATCTGTGGAGATTGCCACCGCTTTGTAGCGAACGAGTTGAAGTTCATAGCTCTTCATCCTGAGCTTCTTGACTATGTGGACTTCAACTTGCATATTTTTGGAAAGGCCCGCATCACAAGCAGATCTCCAGCACGATTTGTATGTCAGTTTGGTGAAGCTGGCTGCACGGGCGACAAGGCTCTAAACTGCATCTACAAACACTCCACATCATTTACAAATGCTGTGAAGGTGATGGAGTGCATTTACGAAACTGGTTACGCGTCCGAGAGTAGCATTCGCATGTGCTATGACAAGTTCTATCAGAAGAGTGCTGATGCCATCCAGTGCTTTAAATCGGACGAAGCGGATCAATTGATGCTGGAAGCTGGAGACAACACACCTCCCCTGCGTTGGGTTCCTGCTTTTTCGGACGGAGGGGATATTCGTTTTGATACGCGGAATATCGTGAAGGAGATTTGTGGCCACATTGAAGGCGAGAAGCCGGCAGTGTGTGGAACGAGTCAGCACACAGTGGGAATGGACAGTGAATTGTAATTTGCAGTTTGTTGGTTACAAACACTCGATTTGTACAAGAGGGGATGAAGTGTGTGAAGTCGTTTTGGATTTGGAGAGGGACGAGTATCAGCAACCTCTCCGGAACTACGGTCTCGAATAGCAGCTCTATACTGGAATTCAGCAAAAATAATCCTCACATTTGTTCGATCTCTGGAAAAGCCGAAATTCCTGCAAAAATTGCATCTACATCTGTAGACGATATGACAGAAGAAGCTGCAGCACGGTTCTTTGGGGTGTTGAGTTCTTCACTTCTCAAAATCACCTCGTCGATTAAGGATGAGACGAGATTTTGAATCGACTGAGCCCTAAATAGAATAGGAAGTGTGTTCAGTACACATCGTTTTCTAGGTGGATCCGTGGCTTAATTCGTGCTTTAAGATCCTTTTCATATCGTTTTATCCGAGAATTCGGAATGACATGTGGAGAAGACATCTCACGAAAGATGACACTCTACATCCAGGCATGATTCTAGGGTGCTATTTTTAAATTCTATGGCCTCTAGGAAGTATCTAGACATCCACCAACAAAAGCAGATGTTTGTGTTCATTTCATATCTTTTGACAAACACCGTTTTTGAACAAACAGACTTCACAATGTTATAGCATATTAGATGAAGGTGCATTAAAATCCACCGCGCAGACGAAGTACAAGGTGAAGGGTCGATTCCTTCTGAATGTTGTAGTCAGAAAGAGTACGTCCATCCTCGAGCTGCTTTCCAGCAAAGATCAAACGCTGCTGATCTGGGGGAATTCCCTCCTTGTCCTGAATCTTGGCCTTCACGTTCTCGATGGTATCAGAAGACTCCACATCAAGGGTGATCGTCTTTCCAGTCAAAGTCTTTACGAAAATTTGCATATTATAATATATTTATGAATAAATAAAATATGGGTAATCCAGAATAGAATCCAGTTCTGGAAGTTTCACTTTGTTTGATCCTTGACAAATCTTCTAGAAAATTGACGAGTTTTGTCCTGCGATGTTAGGATTGATAGCCTTGCGTTGCAACCTCTCTTTTTACGGGTCGATACAATCGATCTTTTCTCAGGAAATAACTTGTGTTAAACAAACAAACAAACAAACAAACACACAAACTGAAGTGAAAATAGAAAAGACACTGCTAGGAGCTCAGAACACAAGAAGACGAGGCACTGGAACAACCGCTTAGGTATCGATCACCGGGGATATACTGAGTTCAAGACGACCCATCGATTGAACACAACCTGTCTCGAGATTATAAAAATTGACTTCTTCTGTGTGTTCCCACTTGCCTTCTGAGTTCTCTATGGACACAAAACACATCCTTTCCAATACGTGAAAAAGATTGACATTCGATGTATGAAAATGCCACAGGCATCATGGCGTCCGGATCCACGAGTTCAAAGTACACAAACTGAGAATCCTCCCAATAGCGGAAAAAGTCTTCTAGATCGCAGGGGATAAATAGCTCCGTGGGAAAGAGGGAATCTGACTTCGATAGAGGGATCAAGACGAAATCATCAAATCCCCAAAAGCGAGCTCGGATCTATGCTGGACCCATTATGAAAATTCGAACAAACCACGAATCGAGCGTTTGGGAGAGTTGACTTTCAAATTTGGAGAATGCGAGGAATAATCTATACAGTGGATAGCCTTGAACCTATTGGCACTTATTTATTTTGCGATAAACCTACCTTGGGCGGAATCAATTTTGTCTCTAAACTACCCTCGCTTTCGCTAATAGGCTTGGACATCTGAAGGCGGTTCAAAGCCGATTTCGATTCAAAAACTGAAATGAATAAAGAATTCCCGCGGTTCAAATTCCTTTAGTTAGAGCACATTATTTTCTATGGAACAGTTTACAGCTATTGTTGTCACAGCTGCAGGCGCGAAGCAGGTATGGAGCGCGTTCCGGTGGTGTAATGCGTTAGGCGTCTGCCTACCAGGCGGAACTGGAACATCGTCAGAAGAGTGGTTTCATTCCTGAGGATACTTTTGTCCTCGCCGTTCCAGACCCTAGCTCTGCCCGCGTTGGAAGGTTTGGCATTTTGTGAGCAATTAATCAAAGTGGTGGTGCGACGTTCAATGCAATCGTCGCTGCTTGTGAACATCTTTCTGCTCGTGCTGGGTTTGCTTCTGTTTCTCCGGATATTCTCGCAAACTCAAAGATCGTGATTATTCACTCTGGAGGCGATAGTCGCCGCTCCCCTCTCCAGAGTCTGTGTGGAAAGGTATAGGGCGATCGCACCGATCGAGCGTAGGCTTGGTCTGCTGTAAACTCTACCGAATGTGAGGAAGTGATGACACCATTCGACTTTTTGCTCCTGAATCTGGCCAATGCCTTTAAGGACTCGCCTCCTGGCCTGATTGTTTGCAGTTCCGACGTCCTTCTGGATTTTGGCAAGTACAAGAAGGAGGACTGGGCGAGACCTGGCGTTACCGGTCTGGGCATCCCCATGGATATCGATTACGGTACTCGCCACGGTGTGTACATTCATGATGAAAATGGGTATGTTGCATGCAGCAAGCGCGTCATCGCCTAGCCGCGTGATTGAGTTCTGCCAGAAAGCGACGGTGGAAGAGCTCCGCGCGAAGGGAGCGGTGCATCTGGTTCAGGAGAACGGGTAGGATCCATTTCTCCGTTTCTCTCTCTCTAACTTTTAGAAAGGAAGTCGAGAAGGTGGATCTGGACTCGGGCGTGGTGTTTTTCGATGCGGCCACGACGCAGATCCTCACGAACATCCATCTCTACCCGCCTCTGGACGCGTGTACCTACATGGGCGTGGACAGCGGTGCGAACCCGCTTCGAATCGAGCTGTACAGCGACATCATGGAGGCGCTCGGCGACTCCCCGCTCACTTACGACGACTACATGAACCTCCCCACCAGCGCGAAGAAGTACGAAGCGTGGCTGCGGATCGAGCGTAGTGTGCAGGCCGTGCGCGACGCGCGCGCCATTTTCTGGCGGCATCTTCGCAAGATCCAGTTCAACGTGGCGGTGCCGGAGCAGAGCGACTTCGTCCACGTGGGCACGACGGTCCGGTTCGTCGCTCGCCGTGACGCGTAGAAAGAGAACATCGAGTTCCTCACGCAGCCCTCCGCGTGGGCGTCGCGCCTGCGTCTGTCGCGGCACGTGCAGAGCTACATCACCAACCCCGCGGCGCTGTCGGACGTCGTCGTGATGAACTCTCTGGTCTCGGGCGACGGCGAGGCGGGCTCCTGCGCGGTGATCGAGCACTGCCGGCTCTCGGGCACCTGGTCGATCGGCTCGCGCGCCTTCCTCTCGCAGCTGCGCTCGTTCTCGGACGTGTCGGTGCGCGACGGGATCGCGGTGCAGGAGATCGCGGTGTCCACGCTGAACCGCGCCTCGCCCGACGAGGGCGTGCTGACGTCGCGCCTGGAGGACTGCCACCACGCCGTGGTGATCTGCTACTCCATCCACGACTCCATCAAGGCGCAGCTCGGCACGCCGCAGGCCACTGTCTGCGGACAGTCCTGGGAGCGCTTCTTCGAGGTGTCCGGGCTCTCCGAGAAGCGTGTCTGGCCCGAGGGCGACGACCGCTCGCTCTGGTCCGCGAAGCTGTTCCCCGTGCTCACGCCGGGCGAGGACGAGCTGGACGTGGCGCTCTGGCTGCAGGACATGGCGCACGTGAACATGGAGTCGGTGAAGCGCTGGCGCGCGTGCGAGCGCATCAGTCTGAGCGACATCCTGACGTACTGCAACCCGTGCACGTCGTTCGAGTGGCGCCACCGCCTCAACCTCGAGGTCGCGCTGGCCAAGATGGAGGAGGTGCTGCGCAACGGCGAGGACGTCTGCGTCCTCGGGATCATCCGCAAGATCGTCAGCTTCGGCGTGCTCAACGAGCTCGCCCTCGCGCGCCTCGACGCCCTCGCGACCTCCTGCGACCCGCGCCGCGTGCCTCGCATCTTCAGCACCATCGCCGACTTCCTCGCCGAGATGGCGCACAACAAGGGCGGACTCCGCTCAGGGCCCGCGCACAACCCCGACTGGGACCTCCCCATGGCGTCGCTGCGCGCCGGCCGCCTCGCCGAGGCCGTCTCCATGATGGCCGCGCTGCGCGCGAAGTGGGTCAACTCGCCCGAGCGCATGGTGCGCGCCGCGCGGCACTACGAGGCCGCCGCGCAGGTGCTGGTCAGCGAGGTCATCTACAAGTGCGCGCGGTCCTTCCGCCGCTCCGCCGCGCCGCCGCTGGGCACCTGGGTGCGCGCGAGCTGCCCCATCCGCGCGGATCTGGCGGGCGGCTGGACGGACACGCCCCCCATCACGTACGAGCTGCGCGGCGGCGGCGTGTGCGTGAACGTGGCGATCAACCTGGAGGGACAGATGCCCGTCGTGGCCTGCGCGCGCCGGCTGAAGGACCCCGTGCTGGTGCTGCAGCCGCCCGAGGACTCGCCGTCGTCGCCGATGGTGTGGCGCACGCGCAGCGACATCGCGGACTACCACCAGCCGCTGGCGCCGGGCGCGCTGTTCAAGTGCGCTGTGGGCTTCGGGGAGAGGGACTCGAGCGTAGGTGATCGCGCTGGGACTGGTGAACCCCGCGAGCAGCCAGGAGCTGGACCAGCAGCTGAACTTCAACGTGGGCGGCGGCATCGAGGTGCGGATGAAGAGCTCGCTGCCGCAGGGCTCGGGCCTGGGCACGTCCTCCGTGCTGAGCGGCGCGCTGCTGGCCGCCATCTGCACGGCGGTGGGCTACGAGTACGACGCGGACTCGATCGTGCACTCCGTGCTGATCCTCGAGCAGCTGCTGACCACGGGAGGCGGCTGGCAGGACCAGGTGGGCGGGCTGCTGCCCGGGTTCAAGTACTCGGAGTCGCCGGACCAGTTCCCCGTGGCCGTCAAGACCGAGGTCCTCCCCGCGACGCCCGAGTTCATCGAGGCCATGAACGGCCGGCTGATCGCGATCTACACGGGCCGGCAGCGTCTGGCGCGGTCGCTGCTGCAGGACGTGATCCGCCACTGGTACGCGCGCGAGCCGTCGATCCTGCAGGCGGTGACGGACCTGCGGCGCAACTCGGAGGTGTGCAGACAGGCCATCCGCGACGGCGATCTGGAGGCCGTGGGCCGCTGTCTGAGCAAGTACTGGGAGAGCAAGCGCGTGATGGCGCCGCAGAGCGAGCCGAAGTTCGTGGTGGAGATGCGCGAGGCGCTGGACGACATCATTCTGGGATCGTCGCTGGCGGGCGCCGGAGGCGGCGGCTTCTTCCTGTGCATCACCAAGGAGGCGGACCAGCTCGAGGAGGTGAAGAGACGGCTGAGCAAGGTGCAGGGCGTGGACGACATGATGTTCATGCGCGCTCAGATCAACATGAAGGGACTCGAGGTCACGATTGGCGAGGAGTGCATCGGAAACCCGCTCGTGAAGCAGTAAAGGGGCGTGTGTCTTTCTTTGGTGGGAGGCGGTCGGGTGGAAGGACACGAACTTACGAACTACTTATTTGATTGTGGATTGTTTGTTGAGAGAAGGAAGTGAGGGAGAGAAAGAGAGAGTGATCGGGGTTTGACTCATCCCCTGGAGTTTCGCTCAAACAACGAAACGAAAAAACGCGGAAATGGTGGACATTCTTAGATAGAGATGACGTCTAGGCGCAAAGACAACTCATTATCGATCTGGAGAAGTATAAAGAGAAACCGCTGAGAGTCAAGATGCAGGGTGGTCGCGAAAGTACGTTTCTGGGGTATCTCCGCATTACTTTATAGTCGTGGGTATATTAAAAGGATTTGATTCCTTGATGAACATCGTTCTCGACGAAGCTGTCGAATATATGCGTGGTTCGTGTTTTGATCGCAATTCTATGTAGAACTGGACGACCCATACGAGCTAAACGGAGAGCAGCGCACTTTGGGAATGGTGATTTGCCGAGGCACCACCATTATGACCGTAAATCCTGTAGAAGGCATGACTGAAATTCAAAATCCTTACGAAATGTGCATTGTTTATTCACACAAACAATCGTAATCGTAATCGTAATCGTAATCGTCCTCCTCACAGTTCATCTCTCAATTTGGCGTATTAAACACTATAGGAATCGATCCCGCCTCCGATGCGGGTGTAACTGGACTGACATCCACCCCTTCCTGCGAAGCCACGAACACTTTCGCCGGAATCGAGAAATCGCGCTCCGTTTTTGGCGGCAAAACGCAAGGCGAAGAAACGTTCATCTAGACATCACCCTGCCATCCTAACAGAAAAGTACGTCTTTAAAGAACGGATGATTCAACGCTTCCGCAGCGGTGATTCGCTTCTTCGGGTTAATCATTAACAGTCTTCGTAGCAAATCGAACGCCTCGCTGTCGGATTCGATTCCCCGCACATAATTCTGCAGCGAAGAAGTTGAAGCGAGCCGCTTATCAAACCCCCAACGACTAATCTTCGCGTAATGATCTGCTCCCTTCAATTCGGGCCAATCGTAGATTGAAGGAAGTCCCAAAATCGAGAAGATTTTTTCGCACTGGTTTGACTACGGAAAAGAACCGCATCGACCCGGACCTGGAATGGATGCTTCTCGGCGGCTGATTTTACTTCCTCGCCGCAGAACAAATCGCGCAGATTCAGCATCTTCGCGAAAATGCAGCCGATCGCCCAAAGGTCAATCGCCGGTCCGTAGGTGCGACATCCCAGCAAGAGCTCGGGTGCACGGTACCAGAGCGTAACAACGACGCGTTCTAGTTCATTGAAGGGGACGGGAGGCTCCTGGAAGCTGCGAGCCAAGCCGAAATCGGTGATCTTGATGAGACCGTGCTGGGTCTCGTTATCCTGAATGAGCAGATTGGTGGGCTTCAAATCGCGATGCATAATCCAGTGGGAGTGGAGATAGGCAGTCGCATTGAGGATCTGCCATAAAAAGCTTCGGATGATGAACAGAGGGATGGCGCGATTTGCGTTGGCGAAAGAGCGAATGAAATCGTGGAGATCGTAATCGGCTTTGTTTGAAACTGTTCTTAGCGCCAACATACCATATTCATAGACGATCGCGAGTTCCTTGATGGAGTAATTGTACAAAACCTCCCTTTCGATCACAATGTTGGGATGGTGTAATTCTTTGATTAGTTTGATTTCTCGTAACTGACTAATCGTAGTGAGACAATCGTAGTTGCCTTCCTTTTGTGTATGCATGATTTTGATAGCCACGATGGATCCGTCCTTCTTTCTCTCCCTGGCCATATAAACAACACCGTAGGTTCCGCTTCCGAGCTTTCCGTGAGCAAGATGCAGCATCGCCTACCCTTCCTAGAATGTCGTACTTGTCCTTGACAGAGAGCCCCGTGGCCACGCTGGGATTCATCTGTGCTTAGTAAACGATATCGAACAAACAAGACAATGCTCATTGAGTGAGGATCGAATCCGATCTCTTCCTCTCAACACAAAATTACATTCTCTACACACCGTCGTCGACTTTGGATTGATGAACCCGCCTACCCGGAACCCTCTCTCCTCACCCCTACAATTAGTGCATCGCACGCCATGATCGCTCGATCGCAGCAAATCCTCGGAGCTGGCGATTTCGTCGAATCCGGGCCGCACGATGGGCGACATGGCGAACCGCGCGGAGCGTCGCTGCAGCAGTCCCATGCGCTCGATGTCATCCAGATCATATCTAATTCCGAGTTCCCCGCGGGTCCTACAGCGTCATTTTCTTCCGTCGAATTCTATGGAATGAGACACAATTGGAAACACGCACCGAATGAGCGAGAGCAGAAGCGAGACGATGATGAGAATGAGGATGGCGATGACGCTCATCACGACGAGATTCCCCCGATTCAGCGTGTATTTCACCTGCTGGAAGGTCACAATGCCTGTCTCTGCGAGAATCTCTACACATCATGTATCGGCATCATGCCGCTCCTTTCTGCTCATCGTCGAAAATCGAGCATTTCACGAAGTATTTCTCGCGTCCGTCCACGTCTCCGAACACCACGTGCTTCTGCGTCTGCACCGACACCTGCATCGACTTGATCTCGTTCGCTACCCGTTACCACGTTTCCACGTTTCCACATTCCTTGTCGAACAGCGAGCAAACCGCGATTTCCAGAAGGTTCGATCGAAGGTCGAATGAGATCGTCTTCGATGTGATCCGCGGGGATTCCAACGTCAGCCACGCCGACTCCGTGTGGAACACTGTTCCCTTCGTCAGAATCGCGGTGTACTGGAACCGCGGTTCTGCACGACGCGGCGCACCCACACAAAACGCAGTATAATCGCGGTTCGGAGATAACCGCGGGAGTCGCACGCGGATCCGATCTAGTTGGAAAAAAACCGCGGGAACTACCGTCTCCCTCGTCGATTTTCGCGGTTATTCCGTTCTCGATGACCAGCGACGTCGGCAGAACCGCGGAAATTTGCCCCGCCTGGCACCAGACCTGGCGAAGATTCGTCGCGTTGATTTCCAAAAGAACCGCGGTACTCTCCAGGCTCACTACCGCGGGAATCACCGCGATTAGCCCAAGCATCGCAGACGTCGGTTCCGCGGGGGAATCCTCCTCCGGTTTCTCCGATTGGTCGGTTTCCCCGGTTTCCCCGGTTTCTCCATCGGGCGTTTCATCTTCGTCGGGAGTTTCGAGTTTGAGGGGATGGAGGGAGGGCGATGAAACGCCCCGTTTGGGAGTTTCATCATCGGTTTCCCCGGTTTCCCCGGTTTCGTCCTCGGAATTGCCGAAAATGTCGTCGTCTTTCGCGATTATTTTTGGGTTGGCCGGGTTCCGCGGTTTTGCTTCGCTTTCATCGTCGTCGTCGTTTTCGTTTTCGTCTTCTGTCAGCTTCGCGGATTTCTTTGATTTCTTGGATGGCTTCGATGGCTTCGATGACTTGTCCGCTTCCTTCATTTCATCCTCATCCTCGTTCTCTTTTTCTTTTTCTTTTTCCTCTTTCTCATCGGGACCAGCAGCATCCTCATCGTTCTCCTTTTCCTCTTTCTCTTTCTTCTCCTTCTCTTTTTCTTTTTCCTCTTTCTCATTGAGTTCTTTTTCCTCTTTCTCTTCGTTCAACCCATTCTCTTTCTTTTCTTTCTTCCCATTGGCTTCTCTTTCTTTCTTTTCGCTGGTTTTTCCTTTCCCTTCTGCGTATTTCCCTTCTTCATCCTCCTCCGGTTTCTCCGGTTTCTCCGGTTTCTCCGATTCCTCGCTTCGAAGCTTCGACGAGGACTTCCGACTGGACTTCCGCGAGGATTTCCTTGATGATTTCCGCGGGGATGCATCGTCCGAGTCCGCCTCATCCTCCACGGAAACGCTCTGCGATGAAACGGCCGTGGAAGCAGAGTCAGAAACCGCCTCCAAAGACGGAGAAGAAGACGTGGATGATGCCGTTTTGGATTTGGATTTGGATTTGGATTTGGATTTGGATTTGGATTTGGATTCTAACGAAGTGGAAGATAGCGCGGAGGAGCTAGAGCGGACAGAACCCTCTGCATCCGTAGAATCGAAATCCTCGGTCTTTGAACGTTTGCGCTTTTCGCGTAAGACACGAAGAAGCGATCGCGGGATTGCATGCACCTCAGTCAACGGCTCTTCAGCGCTGTCTTCTACAGGCAATTTCTAGCACTAAACAATTCAAGACGAAATTACATCCCGCATTTTAGACAACATTGTACCACTCGAGGTGAAATTTGCTAAAAGTGACGAAATCAATGATCTGATCTTTCCTCCATCACTGTGAACAACTACAGCTAAGCACAGTCGCGAAAAACAAACGGGTTGGAGAAGATAGTACTCCATCCACTTGGCTGGATAGTTGATCCTCCTAAATTATTAACATCATCAAATGAAAGCAAACGTTAGATAGATGGTTTCCTGCCGTTAGCCTGACACAGAAAATACCTGAAACGTTATTTTCATCCAGTTATCATATACAGAAGATATAGAACGTTACAACCAGCCTTCTCATAATAAGTTGAAGATAACTGGTGTCCGAATGAAATACTTAATGAGAAACCTTCTTCCAATTATTGTTTTTTCAAAAGTACTGGGTGTAATATGTAATAATCTTTTTCTGATATGTGTCAAATAGGGTTAAGAAAATAAGCAAATGGAAATGATAAGTTAATTAGAACTTATCACACTTCCTTTATTCTACTGAAAAGTTACTATTCATATTTCCTAAAACACTCTGCAAGATAATATATGTCATAATCAGGGATTTAGCAAATAATTCATCTCAAAACATCAGAAATGAAGTTTATTTCACAGAGAGTCAACTTTGCTCATCTTGGATGGAACCATTTTAGCAAATCGTGGAAAAGAAGTGTCCACGTAGTGTGCAACGTGGCAACATTTGATTGGTCCGTAGAATCTGTAAACTTTGCTATCCAAATATTCTTTTATACTCGCTTTTCTATAATGAAATCGTTTATTTTTAAGTTATTGATAGTTGTTGCACTGGTGTCAGGTAGATACTTAGTTTTTCATATTACCCATTAGCCCAGTCCTTGAAGGCTACGACAGATTCGACTGCCACAAAGAGTGCTGCGGATCTCAGAAAAGCATACAATGCTGCTCTGGCCAGAATTATCGAGAGCGGAGAGTACTTGGATATCAAAAACAGAACCCAGATGAAGGAAGTAATCGCTTGTATCACGTGCGCTCCTGACTCCACCCAGACGAACTATCCTGCCAAGGACAAGGTGACTGGCCGTCTGAAGGATATTTTGGACAAGAAGCTGGTGAAAATCGCCGGCCTTTATTACAATGATATGCCTGCTGGAGACTACACTGTGAAACCCCCAGTAGGATTCTGGCCTGAGTACGCTCGTGCCATTTTTAAGCGTATTGGTGACTATTATGGAGTGGAGATTGCGATTGAGTGGGTATTGTTCACGCAGTCCAACGATATTATGGCCTCCGTTCGTAGTGGAGAGAGTGATCTGACCGATTTGTACATGATTCTTTCTTCCTTCTACAACGGAAAGGACCGTATTGAGGCTTTCTCCGTGTCCTGCTCCCCTGGTGGATACGAGTCCACCATCTCGGTAGCCAAATCTTCCAATGTTTTGAGCATGCTGGAACTGAACAATCTCATCGATCAAGGCAACAACGTGAAGGTTGGAGCTCTGTCTGCTGCTGATTTCAACTCGGTGAAGCCCTTCTTCTCTGCGAAGGCTCAGCCCGTGACGTTTGAAAGCGTGAAGATTATGCGCGAGAAGCTGCTTAGCGGCGAAATCATTGCTGGAGTTACCTCAACCAATCCTGGAGATACTGATGAGATCATTACGTTCCGTAGCGGTGTCGTGTCTCCTCGAGCTTCCATGTTCCTGGCGGATATCGATGCTTTGGAGGATCAGAACGAAAGCAAGCAACTCCCAACAATCACTTGGATTATTATCCTGGTCGTTTGCATTGTTGTGGTTCTTATTGTGGGTATTTTTGTAGGCAGATGCACGAAGAAAACTCGTGCTGCTAAGCTTCCAACGGTTAGTAGTTAGAGTTGTTTGTTCAAACAAATAAAATAAATAAAATACCTGGAGTTAGTAACGCTCAGCCCACAACTGCTCAAACATGGGAGAATCTACAAAGCATAGTTCCATTGGATACGAGTATTTTACTTTCACAAGTGAAAGACTTTGTGTATTTAAACGCAGCACACAGCCCCAATGTCTCCAGTTTGGGCACATTCTTCACTGTTACGTTATCCATCTCCGAAAATGCCCAATCGCTGTGACTGTCAATCACCAACAGTTCGGGCAGATCTAGTTTTAATCACATGAGGAAGGCGGCAACTGATGAAATAGAGGTAATTTGGGGGTCTGTCGTTCGTTAAATTGCCGTATAACGTGCAATAGCCGATGTCAAGCTGCTTAAACATTGGGAGATCTGAGAAATAGAAGACAAATGCCCTGCTTTGTACTTTCAAATCGAGCTTCGCTCACATCCTGACAAGTGTTCTGTCCTAAATCAACTTTCTCCAACGCTGGAAGATCTGCAAATGAATGCTGAGAGAAACACGCGACCTTTTAAGATGAATTTGGATGCAGCGCGGCAAAAGAATTCCCCGCTTTTGATCGATTGCAGTTTGGGAAGATCTATTTGGATTCAAGGCTGAAGAGTTCTACCATCGATTTCTAGCCTATTGAATTTGGAGGCTACGCGATGCCCGATAACAAGCGATTCGAAAGTAGCGTTGTGCTGAATGGAGAAAGACCCGCTCTTCACTCCGCAAAAGCAATTATCTGCGATTTGGATGGATTTCAAGTTCGGATTGTTGGTAAACTCAACCTGTGACACGAAGGCAAAGGAGCGAATTCCGATTTCAATTGCAGTGAGTTTGGAGAACTGATCGATGCGAAGGCGCGTGAATTGTTTGTCGTTCATCGAGTACTGCCCAATCTTCAGTATCTCCAACTCGCTGCTTAGATCGCAGGGATAACTCACGTAGTTGTAGAGAGTCTCGTTATTCTCCAACATGAACTGAAAGAAATCGGGATTGTTCGTCTGCACGTCGCGAACCCACTCAAAGCGACTGCCGAACCCTTCGATTCGATTGTACTTCACATCTATGAATCAATCAAAGATTGGAGGTAGAATCACTCTCGACGACCACGTGTCGCAATTGCTCTCCTGAGAAGCGATCAATCTGCATCACATCGATTGCTGGAAGATCTAGATAAAAAAACACGAGCACTAAAAGGCAAACCTCGAAGAACCAGAGAACCCAGATAGGGAGATGTAAGCTCGTCTTCATTGTAGAACTCGTGCGGACTGAAGCAACTCTCATGAAACACCAGTTTGGTCAACTGCGGAAGTCCTGGAAGGTATAAATCAATGGCAATCACTACGTTGAATGACGATTTGCTGGGTGTGTGAAAAGGATATATACCCAAAGTCGATTGAATTCAGTTTGGGATTATCTGCTGTTCATGATGAGATATTTTCCGTACCTTCAATTAAGCAATATTCTCCACAGCAAAAGCTCGGTCCGAAGTGGATCATATCAAGTTGAGCACAGTCTATCAATCAACACACACCTTCAAAGCAACCTCTGCAAACGAACTTTTTGATATTGTAACAAGCATGATGTCCAAATATCACTTGTTCTAAGCAGGGACAATGAATGATATAGAGTTCACCGTCTCCAAAATCAGCATCATCGTCATAGGACCAGACATTCGAAGACCCCACACGGAATATCTTCAATCGTGGGAAATTGATAATCAATATGGTATCGGTAGGGAGTGCAGTTTTGTTGCTCAAGGTAATCTGCTCCAGTTGATTATGCAATGACAAGAATGGATTCTTCGGGGTTACCTTCAAATTGGTTTCCTTCATTTTATGTCCATAGAGCCAAGTTCCATCGTATATCACTGCCCCTTGACGATCGTTCAACACCCCATGACCCATTCGCTCATTGTTACAGAATCCGCCTTCATATTCCACGGTCCCAAGATCAGCGTGGAACGTTTTACCCCAGAGAACTTTTGTGCGATCAACTAAATAACCCTCATAGATCAATCTGTTCATTGAGTCGTATAATTGACCATAACCGAATGGAGTCGAGCCTTTAATCGTACCCTCCCAACGGGTACCATCATCAGATAAGTCAAGTATTACGTTCAACTTGACATCCCCATCGATATCTGGCTGTGCCAGCTCAATTCTGTCATCATAAGCTGAGTAATGTGTGAATTGACCTGCACTCGGACAATAAAGATTGCTGAAATAGGTGTGATTGTCCGTAAAATAGGCGGCAAACGTGCTGTCCGAAAAAGATTGATACGTGAGTGAAAAACCTTCAATGTCTTTGTTCCCTGCATACCACTGCTGGATAATGTCTACTCGTCCATCTTCACTAACTAGTTCTGCCATGTGTAAAATAAAAATGAAGAAAAGAAAAAAAGAAAAAATAATATAGTGATACCAATAATAATAGGTACGATTTTTGGTTTTCTCTTTTGTAGTATCATTTTGTCTTTCATTCCCAAAAATGCAACCAAGAAGAAACGATGAGAACGATCCTAGTATGTCTAGAGTGATTTGGATAACGAATAAGCCTTTGTGACGAAGCGAAGGAACCCGATCATTTTTGCACGTACAGAAACCTCTCATATCCCCAGAAACTTTCAGAGGAACCGTAATCCGGACGAATTACAGAATTATGTATATTCTGCTCAGGATGACGGTTCTCTTCGCCAAACCCCTACTCCCTTTAGAGAAGAGGAAGAGAGCGACTCTCTGGTCCTCGACGAAGAGCCTATTTCTGTTTTCTCTTATTTTGTCGTGTTATTTTAGTTTTGGAAGCGTCTCTTTACTCTCTGTAGTCCAAAACAGAGCACGGTGGATGTTCCACAACCGGAACCCGTACCGAAGAAAAAGCAAAAGAAGTCCAGCCCAACCTATGAGCCGCCTACCGGTCCTTTCCTGGGCCCGCAACGAGAATGCGATCAGGGAAAGAAAACACTTGTTTTAGACCTTGACGAAACTTTGGTCCATTCGTCTTTCCAGCCCTCAGACGACTGTCAATACGTAATTCCTGTGGACATTGACGGAAATATCTACAATGTGTACGTGTATCGCCGTCCTGGCGTTTTGGAGTTCATTCGCCGCATGAGCGAGCTGTATGAAGTTGTCATTTACACTGCAAGTTTGCAAAAGGTCGTGGTAAACAGATACTTTGATTTGTAGTACGCAGATCCACTTTTGGACTTGATGGATCCGAATCATTACATTGCCAAGCGACTCTTTCGTAATTATTGTGTTTGCTCGGAAGGAGTTTTTGTGAAAGATCTTGGATTGCTAGGAAGAGATATGAAAGATGTGATTATGGTGGATAATGCAGCCATCAGTTACAAATTCCAACCTCTTAACGGAATTGAATGCAAGCCATTTATTAACGATTTTTCAGATACAGAGCTATCTGAAATGACACCCTTTTTGGAGTACTTGTCAAAGAAGAATGTAGAGGTTAGGGGAGTGGGTAACAGATAGGATATCCGGCAATTCTCTACATTGTGGGGTGCCACTCGCGAACAGAGTCAAAACATTTAAATATTTGATGATTAGTAGTTGTCTTTTAATTAGCGTGTTTGTTTGAGAAAGAGTGACAAGATCTTTCGTGGATCGTTCAGAAAACGATAGAGTCGCCACACTTTAAACGAACAAGTTATCTCGGAGGCCTTGATTATCATAGATGTCCGGTTATATAACTAAACAGCTCATCTTGTGCATTTTCTATTTTCATTTTTTGAAAAACTTGTAAGCGATAAACATGGTGGGATTCGCGATCTTGCTGTTTTATGTCGTAGTCTGGAATTACTTGCACAGATGAGATTTCTGTTTTGTATGACAAGCTGAGACTTCGCAAATACTGCAGATACATCATGCTCAAGATCGATAAGGTCAATGATGTGGAAACCATTGTTTTGGAAAGAGAGGTTTGATTACCTGAAAGATTTTGAGTGGATAGGCACCCAGAGAGGAGACTTGGGAGCAGTTTGTTGACTCGCTTCCTGCCTATGAGCCTCGCTTCATTGTCTACGACTTTGAGTTCACCGATAGTGAGAGAAGAAAGCACGCTGATCTGCTTCTGATCACTTGGTATGAGCTTATACGCGGGACTCATGAATAGGATTCCAGACAACTGCTCTGTGAAGCAGAAGGTGGTTTACTCTTCTAGCAAGAAGTCGTTCTTGACGAAGCTGGTGGGCGCCAAGATTATTGATGCTTTCGATGCTGATGACTTGCGCGAAGACGTCATTATCAACAAGATTTTGTAAATTCAGTTGGGTACGCCGGAACATATATATGGAATTGTTTGTTTAGCTAAAGGTTTGAGTGGGGATTGTGATGAATAGCACGAGAGTGAGAGGGGGTTGAGGAATGAATGAGAATGGAAAATATATATATTTGTAATTCTGCAAACGCTAGAACAACTTGTGATCTCTTGGATCAATGATGGAACAAATCTGTTCTTAAACAGAATTTTAATATATATATATATATATATATATATGGTTGGAATCGATTATAACTATACACAGAACCACTAGATTTCCATTTTGTTTTGGCATACTTTTGGGAAGTATGCTCCGTATTTTAAGGAGTACGCCTCAATTATGTTGGCAGAGGTTTCGTCTTTTTCAATGCGCCTTTTCAACAAGTGAGAGTGAATTGCGTATTCGGTGCCATATTGAGAATATCCAAGATTTATCAATTCCTTATGTACTAATTGAATCGAGTTTCTTGTCACGCTGTGAGCTTTCAGCTCGTTTCTGATAGATAGTTTGGAAACCGAATGCATGCGTTCGTGCGATGCATTTTATAGAAAAGAGTATTCGGAAACAGGGAGCCGTTCCGATTTCGCTAGGAATGATTGATGGAGACGTAAATATAGTGGAATATGTGTTAACGACTAGTTGGTTCTGGGATTAACACATGAAGAGCTGAAAAAGCTGTGTAATGAAAATAGGAAAAAGCTTTGTTGTTATGAGTTCTTTTTTATCTGTCTGTTGCTATCTATAGAAGTACAATGTCCAGTATGTCTTTCTCCAATTCCAATGCCTTCGTGGCTCCCTCCACAGCAATGTATTGATTGATTGTTTCTTTGATTTTTTCTTTCTTTTTTTCTTTCTTTCTTTCTTTCTTTCTAATCCGTTTTAGCTATCTCAGCCAATTATACAGAATTCCCACGGTTCTCATGAGCGAGGTGTCCTGCATCCCAAACGACAGCGAAACTCCCACCGAGGAGGGAGCAGCGATCGCCTCCAGTCACTCCATTGTTTCCCCATTTCCCCGTTTCCACGTAGATGGTGTCCCTGGGTTTCCACCCCAATCAGCAAATCCAAAAAAGCCTCGATTTCTTCCAATCCAAAAATCTGTCCGTTTTTACCCTCAACAGCGAATTCCTTCCCTCCTCTCTCGGCTGTCGCAGGTTTCCCCGCGGTTTCCCCTCTCCCCTAGTTCGGTGCACTCCCCGCGGAACTTCGACCGCGAAGACCAGCTGTTTAACCGCGTGAAATTTCTTCGCTCGCGCGCGCAGTCGGCTCTGATTTTTGGCAAACCGTATTCCGACGTGACCGAAACCGACTTGGCGCAGCGCGCCGCGCGCATTCTTCGCCGCGCCTCGGAGAAGGGCGTTTCGCCGCTGGACCAGAACCACTATCTCCAGGCGGTGGGCGTTTCATCGGTGAATGACGCAGAGTCTGCGGTCGAGTCTGGACCCGCCGACGCGGCAGCGCGTCTTCGATCGAATGGACCGAAACGCCTCGCTTGCCGCGCGAATCGCGACGATTTTGGCGGCATCCTCTTCGTCTTCGTCTTCGTTCGGCTTGTCATCTTCGTTCGGCTTGTCAAAACCGGTCATGGAGTCGTCGGTGGTTCCCTCGCTTCCCTCCACGTACTCCGTTCTCTGCGTCGGAAACAAAACCGTCCAGGGCGTTGCCGCGCGCGCCCTAGTCATGCTCCCCGACGTCGCCATCCAGGGCTCCGAGCGACCCGTCAGCGAGGTCATCGGCGAGAGTAGAAACGTGGAAACCGGCCAATCGTAGCGATGACCTCGATGCTCTCCTCCAAGCTTCGTCGCACCGAAAGCGACCGAAACGTCTTCGAAACGCCCTGGAAGGCGGGCGTTTCCTCGCCTCTGGCGCTGAAAACCCCGATCATTCCGTTCCCGGCATTGCCCACGCCGCGGCCGGGCTGTCCCGTGTTTATCACGACGTCCGTTTTGGTGCACATTGCCGCGGTTTCGCGCGGCTCTCCGCGCGCTCTTCTTCGCCCGTTCTCCGTTTCCACGAATCACGCCGCGCTGCTGACGCGCATCTTCGCTTCGCTGGTCAAAGAATCCCCGCCCTTGCACGTGTCGTTCCGCGGGAATGACGCGGCGGCGGCGCGGCTGAGCCGGCTGGCGGCGGACTTCGGGGAAACGGAGTTCGGCGTAACGGTGATCCCTGGAGGCCGCACGCCGGAGCGGAGCGTGGTGGTGGACGGGAGTGGACGGGTTTTGAACGAGGGCCGCAGCGAGCGGCTGGTTCGCCAGGCGTCCGAGGCGTTCGTGAAGAAGTTCGCAGATTACTTGCGCGTGGGGGTCCGAGGGGCGTTTCAACGTAGAAGGCTCCGCTGATCGTTTTGGAGGGAAAGATGGCTCCCGCCACGCTGCGCTATGTCGCCAAAATCGCCAAGGATTCTGGAATTCCGGTGTTTTTGGACTGCACCGAGAACGAGGAGTTTCAGAGCGTGCTGGAAAGTGGAATCGTGGAAACCTGCCAGTGGATGGTGATGAGCCAGACGAGTGCGGAGCGGTTGTTGGGCGGCTCGGCGAAGTCGCGTACTCATTTGATTGGCCGTGAATCGAAGCGATGAACCGCGGGAAAGCCGAGTTTACAGGGGAGGAAGCGATGCGATTTGTGTTGGAGGTACGGAAGAAATTGCAGGAACGGAGAAACGAAGACGAAAATGGCGGGAAAACGCCGAATATGCTGGTGTCGTTCGCGGAGCAGGGAGCATGTTTCGTGATGTCGGATAAGGAGAATGTGGAGTTGAATTGGCTAAAGGGAGACTCGGTGTTTAACCAATATTCAGGTAGGAATGATGGGAGTTGAGTTGATGTGGCTAATCATGGTAGATGTGGCTTTCGAGGGAGGATTTCTCTGGGGGCTGATGAATCAATATCCGCTCGATCTGTCGATGAGTTTGGGGCGAATCTTGCAGGACCAGGTGAATTCGAGCAAAACAATCTTTGGGAAGTCGATTCATTCGTCCTGCTTTGCGAATCAAATTATGAAGTACATGACGGGAATTAGCTCGTTTGATTTGTTTTAGTTGAAGTTGTTTGTTGGAACGTAACGAACTTGCACTCGCTAGTGTATACGAAGCAATGCATACAAGATCGCAAGCGCTCCCTGTGTAGAAAACGATATTTATCTGGAAGACCCGATTAACTCCAATTCTGACCCAATTCATTTCTACCTTCAATATTCTCTTAGATTGAATAGAATTTATAAAATGGAACAGCGTATTTTGATTGCCGAGTGATAGAGTTATCGTATAGCTACTAACCTGCCGACTGAGCAAGAATTGAAGGATGCTCGTATTCCCCCTACTTGGAGAGACAACTGCTCGCATATCTTGATTCCTCTGAACAAGTGCCGTCGCGAGCACAATTTTATGATGAACAAGTGTGTCGAACTGAAACATGCTTATGAGAAATGCCAGCACGACGAGTGGGAACTGTAAATGGATACTCAGCGTGTAGATATGAAAAGAGACAGAAGCAGTTCGAGGAGCAGGAAGCTATGAAGAAATTGCAGTCTGAGTAGAGTTGTTAAGGAGAATAAAGCAACTGAATGTTTCGATTTATATATGAATTACATGCGCTGTTTGTTTGGAAACGGATATCGATGTCAAAGATGCGTTCTGGCTGAACTGTTCTGAATCCTATATCTAAAGTGGTGGATATGTCAATGGTAGACAGGTGCCTCAATAGCTCAGTTGGTAGAGCATCCGCTTCGTAAGCGGCAGGTCGTGTGTTCGAATCCCACTTGGGGCTTTCTTTTGTTTCTTTCTTTTTTGGTTCTTAGTGATAGATGATTTTATATTTGAAAGGAATATTTGTTATGGGGAATGGAGTACATTTTTGTATGGGGTGTTTTCATACGTGCAAGACTGAGAATTGCTTCGATCATGAAGAATTGTTTGAATGAGCAGTTTGTATGTAGTAGTATAAAGTTTTAATGATTCCCTCTTCAAAGCATACTTCACTATCATTTCAATGAATTATAGAAATAGTCATACAGAAGGTATGAATCAGGTGCCTCAATAGCTCAGTTGGTAGAGCATCCGCTTCGTAAGCGGCAGGTCGTGTGTTCGAATCCCACTTGGGGCTTTCTTTTCTTTGCTTTATTTCTTTTCTATTCTATTCTGTCGAGAGTTTCACATATGAAAGAGTTTGAGCAAATCAAACAGGATCCGAGGATCGTTTGTGCTTTTCTTCTGTAGTGAAAGAAACATGGAAATACACAAAGTAATAGCTACACGATGGTCCGTTTCAGTAATCAAAACCCAAGTTCCTCTCTTTTCAATTTTTCTTGTGCCTGTTTCTTCAGCATCTCGAGCTCAGCCTATTCTGTCATGCGTTTCTCCAAACCAATTACACGATACATACGAGTGTCTTTATAAGCAAAGAAGCAGTACACCACATAAACAAACAGTGCAAAGAATATCAGCATCAACGGATTAAACGATCGTTTCATCTTAACAAAAAAAGAAATGCCCATTGAAAAGATTACCCTGCCAGTCTCTTCTTCAACATCAGGTTTTCCCTCTGCAGCGTCGCCAGCAATTGTTTGTAGTTCTCAATCTCCTGCTCCTTGACATCGAGTTCCTCTCTCAGTCTCTGCAGCTCCGCAGGCAATCTTTTCAGCTGTTCCTCCACCTACAAAAAATCCACGCAGCAGAGAAGCGAATTACCTGCTCGTACAGAGACTGTCGGATCTGAATCATTTTCTCCTCTGCGGGCTCTGCAGCCTGTGCAGCCTGTGCAGCCTGTGCAGCCTGTGCAGATTTGACTTGTTTGGCTTGCTTCGAGGCCTTGGATGGCTGAGAAACCGACTTAGGAGCTTCCTTGGCCTCCACATGCTTGCCATGCCTCGCTACCTCCACAAAACCGCTTTCATTGTCTTCATCCTCATAGATAGACTAGATAGTAAAAGCAAATCCTTGCATTACAGAATTGAAAGAAGCGATTACCGTAGGGCTGGTCTCTTCAACAGTTTCCTGCACACTAGTCGTCTCTTCTGCTTGTGTAGAGCCTGATGACGGCTGCGCTGCAGTATTTCCCTACGAGTTTAGGAATGGAGCTGCAGCCAATACTAATAATCAAAAAACCCTGTCAAACATACCCTGACCTTTACCCTTCTTACCCTTTGCATTCTTCTTCTTCTTCGGCGCAACAAAAGCAACACTGCGCAGATCATTTTGCTCCTTCTTCTTTTGGCTTTCTCTACTGTTCACCTTCCCTCCAGTGTTCACTTTTGCTTCTTGACTTCCTTCTTTTCGATGACGCCCCTTTCCTTGTCCTTTTCATCCCAGAAATCATCCAAATCAACAAAACGTTGACTGGTCGTAAACTTTCTCGACTGCATCGCTCTCCTCAAAAAAAAACTATATATATATGGTCTGTTTGCAGAACAAACACACAAAGATAAACTCTTCTTATACGCCAAAATTAGATTATACACATTTTGAATACACTTCCCAATTTCAGGATTCGAGTCGTAAAGACTTCGCAGCTGCTCCATGTACGTCGCTACGTTTGCTACATTCACCATCTGCCGAATTCCAGCCTCTATCCATCATGCCATTCCATGGTGATGACCATCATTGGAAATGAAATCCAGGAAGAGAGCGCAATTCTGCACAACTACCTGCGATTTCTGATTGATATACATGCAATTGATAATGACCGACACGAAGTTGCGATCCAGCAGGAACGCTCTGCACTGCGCGTCTATTCATTCAACCATCGACCAGAAAACGAGTACTTCGATACAAATTCTGGAAGAGAGGGATGATCAATGCGATGATCTCCTCGTTGCCTCCGTTGTCCTGCAATGAATCAACCAGCAGCGAAACCGCGTATCGCGACAGCAAAATCGTTGCGATCTCGTTGTCTAGTCCCCATCCCCCCGCGCCTCCTACAATACGACGACAGCAGGAACAGTGTTCCAATTGTGTTCCGCTGGATAATCACGTGCGTCGGGAAACACTGCAGCGCGTTCAGCACCACATCCACCGCTCCGCAGTTCATGATTTGATTTCGCCCCGATTCTTGGAATTACAAAAATCATGACTTTTTTTGGCATACCATACAGCGACACTTTCCACAGAATCCCCGTGAGAAGCGAAAACGACGTCTGCAGCTTGATGGTTGCCGCGGTTTTCACCAGCAGCGCGCAGAGATCCGTTTCCAGCAGGAGTTTCGCCGTGTTTTCTGGATGAAACGCCCTCCGGGAAAGAGATACGGTTCGAAATGAGGACAGCCAATAGATTGAGGAGGGAGGAAAGCGTGGATTCGCTTTTGAAGTTGCGTTGCATCGAGTCTTCGATGAGCGAAAAAAGTCCCGAATTTTGGATTTCGGAGATGCAGTGCGCGTCGTAATGGGACATTCGGATTAATTTGGACAGCATGGAACATATGTACCCTAATAGCGTGCTGTCCACGTGACTTTTGAGAACGTCGCAGGCGAGCGGGAAAACGCCCTCGTCCCAGAGCATCTTGCAGACGGCCTCTTTCCCCGCGGCAAGGATCCATTCGATGGAACGCGTGCAGTGCGTGCAGATCGTTACGTTTTGCAGGTAGGACGACATCGTCATGATGATCGTCGCCACCATATTCTGGTCGATTACCGTCTGCAACGCCTTCTCTACGCAAGAATCCTCCGAAACAACCAAAAAACGAACGTTCCATGGAGCACACCGATCGCATCATCTTCGTCGCTTCCTCCAAAACCGCTTCTTCCCGCTGGCAAAGATTCGTTATGCGGATCAGCAACGACACGCCTCCGTTCTGCAGCACATCGTCGCGGAAGGATTCTACATCCATGATGCGATGAAACGCTCACCGAATCGATTCATCGCGAATAAAATGCGAATTACGCAGAGACAAATCTCCGAGTTCGCGGGGAACTGGTTGATAACCGCGGAAGCGAGCTGGAAAATGTGCTTGGATCGCAGATACTCGCATCCCACTTCTATCCATGAAACGTGGAAACCGTGGAAACCGGAGTGGGCGAGCTGCTCGCAGAGAGAAACGATGGAGAACTGAATGATTTCGTTTTGGAGGTGAAGCGTCTGGAATTCTTCGATGTTCGATAGAATCGACGACTGCAAAAGAAGCGGATGGAGCTCTTCTAGGCGATGAGCGATGAAAGAAATATAAATTATGAATACCGTGGGAGGCGAGAGCGATGTAGTTCACGATGATTTGCTGCAGGACGCGGAGGTTCGTCAGCCAATTGCCCTCCACGCGAAGCACTGCGAGGAGGGTTTGCTCGCACACGTCGAGTGGGATCTTGATTTCTGGAGTATAAATAAGAGAAAAAAGAAAGGCAAACTTGTCATGCCGTACGCTGCCATGACGGCAAGCTCGAGCGAAAGCACGGAATCACTGGCAATTCGGGTGATCTGAGTGCAGAGATATTCCAGCAGCTTCGTTTGGAGGGCTGCTTCCGCGCAACAAGCTACCTCTCACAGATGCCTACAAATCTTTACGGTATCGCGAATAGGCGATTAGACAATGGCATCCCAATTTTAAAATGGACTTTACAGTATTGTTTGTTTTGATAGACAACAGAACTGTCTCTACAATAGGCAGGTCACGAATGGACTTCTCTTCGAGACCTAAAAAGTCAATAGTAGGCACCGCTTCTGACTCTCCACACACAGATCCTTCAGCATCTTCAGTCCTTCGGTTTGTGTCTTTTTATCGTCAATGGAATCTCGTAAAACATTCAGAATCGATGCAATTTTAACATTCATGGTAATAAATGAGAAAATGGAAGATAGGTACGGATTACACCTAGACTCTATGCTGAAAATCGTCCTGTATTACTGGCTGTGATATGTTTCGTTTCTAGAGGGATATTCCTTCCCTTTGATTGCAAACCCCTGAAAAATGTGGCAAAATGTGGGGATTCCCGCGGTCATAGCATCGTTTTCTCTTTTGCTGTTTCTCCCAATTATCATTTCAATCTCTTTATTGTTAAAACAAAATGCTCGCATTGAGTAGAGCTGCCCGTTTATCTGGATGCTCCATAGTAAACTTGCGGCTGCGTCTGGGTTACTTTGTAGATTCGCACTTTCTCTGCAGGCGCGGTTGCAAACGTAGCCTCTCGCTAGATATCGCATAACTGCGTAGATGACTGTGCGAGATGCTCTGAATTTGGCAATGGACGAGGAAATGGCTCGTGATCCGAAGGTGTTTTTGATGGGTACATGGTGAGTGGGTTGGAATGACTCTCAGGAGAAGAAGTGGGAAAATACCGTGGAGCATACAAAGTGTCTCAAGATTTGTACAAGAAATACGGCCCTGAGCGTGTCATCGACACGCCCATCACCGAAATGGGTTTTGCTGGATTGGGTGTGGGCGCTGCCCAGAAAGGCCTCCGTCCTATCATCGAGTTCATGACGTTCAACTTCTCGATGCAGGCCATCGACCAAATCGTCAACTCCGCCGCCAAGAGCTATTACATGTCCGGCGGCAAGATCCACGTCCCGATCGTCTTCCGCGGCCCGAACGGCGTGGCCGCGAGCGTGGCCGCGCAGCACTCGCAGTGTTTCGCCGCGTGGTACAGCAATGTCCCCGGATTGAAGGTGCTGGCTCCGTACAGCTCCGAAGACGCGAAATGCATGCTGAAAGCGGCCATCCGCGACGACAACCCGGTGGTCTTCCTGGAGCACGAGCTTCTGTACGGCGAGACGTTCCCGATGTCGGAGGAAGTGCTGTCGCCCGACTTCGTCTACCAGATCGGAACCGCCAAAATCGAGCGGGAAGGCGAAGACGTGACGCTGGTGAGCTTCTCGCGCGGCGTGGGACGCTGTCTGGAGGCGGCGAAGGAGCTGGAGAAGGAGGGCATCCGCGCGGAGGTGGTGAATCTGCGGTCGCTGCGGCCGCTGGACCGGAAGACGATCGTGGATTCGGTGAAGAAAACGAATCACATCGTGACCGTCGAGGAGGGATGGCCGCAATGCGGAGTCGGTGCTGAGATCGCGGCGCTTTGTATGGAGAGTAGGGTGGAGGGAGGGTGAGTGAGATGTAGCCGATGCGTTTAATTATCTGGATGCGCCGCTGGAGAGATTGTGCGGAGTCGATGTCCCGATGCCGTACGCGTTCAACTTGGAGGCGCTGGCGGTGCCGCAGGCGAAGCATGTGGTGAACGCGGTGCATAGAGTGCTGGGAAAGGCGAAGTAGTGGACGAGGAGGACGAGGAGGAGTTGATTTGGGATGTTTGTTCATACATGCGTTCGAGGTAGAATGAATGGAGTCGCAATGAACCGGACGGTCGGACGGGAGGAGTTGCAGTACATCATCTCCAATATTACCGAGCATAACTTGGAAGATGAGGCCAGCTTCTACTCGTTCGGCGTGATCATGGCAGTCTCCCTCCTGAGTCTAACCATCGGGTCGTTTGGTGCGGAGAAGAGTTTAGGCCTAGATTGGCGATTCGGAACCGGTCGCCGTGGTTTCCCATCGTATTCGTCTTTCTGTGTGCAGGGTACATCCTGCAAGCGCTGCTGGTGTTCCTCTTCCCCTCCGAGGAATGGAAGCCGCAGCAGCTGATGCACAGCACATTTTTCCACATCTTTAAGTTTGGAATCATCCCCTTTCAAATGTTTCGCTACGGGTAGCTCGTGACGCCGAATTCACGCGCTGTAGATTCCAGCTCAACATATTCCACATCCGGTCGAATCTCCGCTCTGTCCTTTCTCTGGCGGTCGGCGAAAACCTGCTCTTCATATTCCTCTTCTCCTTTCTCTGGTATTCTCTTCCTCCCTTCTTCGGCCTCCAATCCTTCAATCCCTGGAACTGCCTCGCTTTCTGCGCCGCCATCATCGCCTCCGATTCCTCCGTTTCCATCACCTTCTTCCGCCAGCGGAACTGTTCTTCTCGCCTAATGGCCCACATGGAGGCCGATACCATCCTCAGCGAGATCATCGCCATCCTCCTCTTCCGCTCCCTCATCGAGCTCCAAATCGCCGATTTCGGCGTCTCCTCGCTTTCCCACGGTTTTCTGCGCACTCTCACCGTCCTCGCTCTCACCGCGGGAATCGGCCTCCTCTCCGGCATCGCCTCCTCCCTGCTTTTCCGCTGTCTTCCCCGCTCCCCCGCCTTCCAATCGCGGGAAATCCTCATTTTCGTCGCGGTCCCCATCGTCGCCTACATGTGCGCCGAAGGCTTCCACTGCTCAGGATCCATCGCCGTTCGCCTCTGCGGCGTGCTCATGGCGCGCTACACGCGGTATAATTTGGGTTCGACGACGCGCCGCCTTTTAGACAGCGTAACCGCGATTCTCGGCTCGTTGGCAGATTTCGGGGCTTTTTTGTGCGTCGGAATGCTGACGTTTTTCTTCTTCCCGCTGAGCGTGGACTGGCGGTGGCTGGCGTTAATCGCGGGGATTACGGTGGTGGCGCGGTACGCGTCGATTGCCACGGTTTTTTACGATTTTTGGCAGGAGAAGCAGCGTAATGAATTTTGGAAGATGTCGAGACAGACGTATTTGATGTATTTTATGTTCCACGGGAGCGTGGCGTTGACGCTGGTGATGCGGATGGAGGGAGAGCTGCTGGACACGCGCGATGTGGGGATCATGTTGCGGCTTGTGCTGTTTATGATCTGGATGGGCGTGATTGAGATTATTTTCGTGGCGCATCCGCTGATTCAGAGCAAGGGATACCAGCTGGTGCGACATGAATCGTATTTGGAATGGCAGAACTCGGAGAAGGAGAGAGTGGAGAAAGACGCACTTTTTCCGTATTTGGTGCGACGGGAGAGTAGTTGCAGCATGTAAAAGTGGGTGGCGAAGACGAAAATCGACAAGGAAAGTTTCATTTGTTTTTGTTCTATTTTTGTTTTTTTCCAAACCATCGCAGATATTACACGGATGCCTGAGCGTTCAGGGAGTTTTTATAGCTTGTTTTATCAACTTCGTACCAAGAAGAAGCTGTTTTTCTATCTCGGCATCCTTGCTTTCTGTTTTCTTGTTTGCATGCCTCTGAGGAGTCTACAAGCAAGAGTGATTCATTGTGACCATTCAAATAGTCGGTTTAGGGTCTCCGCGAGATTTGTTTTTCAAGATGGAAAGTGCCAAGCCTTAGGACCTCTACAACTCTTTTGGAGGTCTCTGAAAAGAGTATATCGTGTTAACGGAAATACGGACGTGGTTCTTCTTCCAAGAGATGGTATTTCGGAGAAGAAGTCCGTTTTTATTAATAACCGGCTCACCTTGATCCGGAACTACAAGATCAGGAAGTTAATCCAGAAGAATTGGAACAAGACGGCCATCCAACGGGCAATTCAATATGGCCGGAGAGTCAATGAGACACTGAATCATTTCAGTCGTGTAAAGCTCAAAGAACGGTTCGATTCTTTGGAGAATAGAAAGAGCAGTCATTTATGTGATGGATGCTTTTTAAAGCGTTCTTTGTACATTCCCGCAAAGCCGTACATCAACGGAGAGTTGTATCGTAAATTTGTGGGGGGAGTCGAGACGAACCAAATTTATAATATTTCGAATCGTTCGAACTTTTTGAGAGTGTTTTTAACGCGTAGCCATCTATGCGCCCGCCAATAGTTCGTACGATGTGACGGCGATCTACGCTCTCTATGGGCTGAATCGGATGTTCACAATCCGCGAATTGCTTTACCGGTACAAAGGGTAGACATCATTTCCACTTTTTTCTCATCCCCAGAAAAATGATATTCGTGGTGAAAGGCGACGCAGAAAACGAAACCTCCTACATGGATTTCATCCAATCCTACTATTTCCCGCCTCGCGTTACCTTCATCTTCTACCTCGTTCAGCCGACCCATCCGCAATACCAGCGCTTCCCCATGAACTTCCTCCGCTCTCTCGGCATCAGTAACGTCGAGACCACGCACTACATCGCTCTCGACATCGATCTCCACCCCACCAGTAATCATGCATCTCCATCTCCTACCCCCAGCCAACCTCTACAGCGAGCTCACTCACCTTCCTCGCTCCGTCTACGCCAATCCTCGCGCCGCCGTGATCCTTCCTGTCTTCTTCTACCGCCACGTTCTCGATCGCTGCGACTCGCTTGCCTCCTGCGCCCACTTGTTTCCCCTGTTTCCCCTTTTCTCCGCAGAGCCAGCGCCATCCACCCCGAAACCATCGAAGAACTGCTCGTCTGCGTTCGGAACGGCGTCTGCGACTCGAACAAAAACGGCTTCCGCATGCATGTTCGGGTTTTGATCATATGAAACGCAGTTTTACATCATGCCAGAATGGTACCTTCCCCCGTTCCCCGCCGTCTCGCGCGTTCGCTGCTTCATCACGGACATGATGGAGCCGTATTTGATGGTGCGGCACGCGCCGGCGACGCCGCGGTTCGACGCGCGTTTTGGCGACTACGGATTTGATAAAATTTCGTACGTGGAGGAGCTGCGAGAGCGAGGATTCGAGATGTTCGTGCTGCGGAGAGCGTTCGCGATGGATTATCCGCATCCGATGTAGGCGAGAGGGACGGAGAGGACGCGTAGATCGACGTTTAAGAGGAAGTACATCGAGGATTTCGCGTCGAACGCGATGAGGAGGGAGTTCTGGAAGTTCTTGGAGGAGCTGGATGGGAAGTGGAGGGAGACGAAGCACTTCCCGATCTGCAAGAAGCTGCAGAAGAAGTATTATGAGGATGTGGAGGAAGAGGAGAAGGGGGAGGAGAAGGAGAAGGAGAGGAAGGAAGAATTGGAGTGGAAGAGTGATAATAATAATAGTAAAAAGTAGTTGAGAGTGTTTGTTGAAGCAAGGAGACAATGAATGGGTCGGATTGCAGCTTTTATTATTAAAATACTTTCGACCCAAAATAGGTTTTGGCTGGTGGACAAGATGAGCAATCTGGTTTATTGGAGACACAAAGAAGGAATGAAATGGTTTGACGTGGCCAATTGTAAAACTTCTGAATCAATCATATATTGATATTTATAAAAACGAATGGCTATGATTGTTCTTGTTCAGTGCCAGATGTAAATTGTGTGAATCAATGAATAGGGGGTGAATTGAAATAGATTTCAAATATGATACATAATGGAATCTGCATGGAATTGAGGGCAGATTCATCGATATCAGAATTCGAGTATTGTTGAGTATTTTTGAGTTTCATTTCATTTCGTTTTGATAGATGCTTATGCTATATTCTATTATCCGCTCAAGTAATAATAATTGACTTAATTAAAGGGAATTCAGTTCTATAGGCACAATATAAAGTTATACAATACGGTTGATTGTACAATATCGTGAAAACTGAAATTACTGTATCAAATTGAAGGAAAATGATTTATTGTTTTAATGGCTAAAATGGATTTTAAAAATATTCAAGCTAAACTTAAATATGGAACAATCAAAACGAATTTTAACTTGTTATTCTACGAAATTGTAATCATTCCTTTCAAGATCATGAATACCAAAGTGATCAAATGGTATTCAATATACTGAAATAGACCGATGAATAATGTGGATGATGATACAATAATAATAATAATGATGATGATGATGAATGGAAATCGAAAACTAACCAAATACGCACCATTCATTCATTCAATGGATCAATGGATCGAAGAGCCTTTCTATTCTTATCAGTATTATTGAGTGTGAATGATGAATTGATTCTTTACGATATTCAACATTTATTTGCATTTTGAATCAGCTATCTTTCATCCATTGATTGATTGAATGAGTGAGTGAATGAGTGGTTTGTGTGATATTGAAGAATACGACATTCCATCCAAATATCGAATTGTGAAACCACGATTGATATTACTACTAATTACAACTATCAAGTATCAAACACATCCGATTTGATTCCATTATTATCAAATTGATAAATCCATGTTTTGTGATTCATTGATAAACAAACAAACAAACAAACAAATGATAGTTGGATTGATTGAATGGTGAATCCAATATGATTTCCAATGCTATTCAATCGGATTCTATTCTATTCTATTCTATTCTATTCTAGTTTCATTGCCTTGTATTATCCATTTCACCTCTATTTGATTCTACTCTATGTATACAGTGATCGATTCCTATTCAATAAGTCAAAATCAATATCCTAATTCAATATCAATCATTCTATTGTATTATCTACCGATTTAACAATGGATTCACAAATGTGAAGAATCATCCAATATCAATCGATTCCAACCATTCCATTGTGTCACTATCAAATCCAATCTTATTATTCATTATGATTATGATGATTAATATTATTCGAAGCAAGCAGTTTCCTATCAATATTGAACAAATCCTAGTTCAAACCTATTCAAACCATCATTTGTATATTACTATTATTATTATTATTATTGGTAGATTGGATTCATCATTTGTGAATGTTCAATATGTGATCATTGGGTCATTGGTAATAATAATAATAATAATGATGATCGAAAGCAATGATTGATTGATTGATTGATTGAAACAATAATCATAATTCAGTATCATTGTTAAAATGGTAAAGAAGAACATCATAATAATCAGGCAGGATTGATATTTTGATAATTATAGAATCATGAATTGTGATCAAGAATCGGTTTCAAACAAACAAACAATCAATCAATCAATGGAAATGTTCCTAAACAATGACGAATCACTGAACAAATCAAATCAAATCAAAATTATAGATTTAATGCTTGATTTGGACACGATCAGCGAGAATGGAAGAAACATCTATGAATCAAATCAAATCAATCAAACTATACTCGAAATTGATTTCGATCGAACTTTCCAGAATGAAGTAGGTAGGTTGACATTTTGAAGATTTGGAATATCTAAATACTATCAATACTCAATATGCAGAAATACTTGCCAATGTCACTACACGAGGATAATGGAAACTCCAATCTTTGGAAGTTATTGATGTTAGATTTGGAAGATCTACAAAACAAATCATAACCAATCAACTCATTATTACTTCGCATTACCAATGAACTTGAATCATCATCTCTTCCACGAAGTGCACCTCCACCGAGTTGAATGGATTGTAATGATGGAAGATCTACATCAATCATTTCATTCGAATTCATTCAATACTTTCAATTATGGTTGAGAAGGGAACAAGGAATACCCAATCACCTAATGTAATGGATTGTAGATTTGGAAGATCTATGCATCATTCAAATATTCAATATCATATCAATACCTCGAATCACAAATGAACTACCATAAAAATTGGTTGATTGACTTCCAATTGTCCCAATTTGAATGGATTGTAATTGTGGTAGATTCTTCAATTCAAAGTCGCCTCCAAAATCACCAAAACTATATTCACCAATTTGAATGGATTCCAATGATTCACAATTTAATATGTGGAATGATTTGCACTGTTTACTGTTTTGTTGCCATTCAGTATCTGAATGGCCATTACTTAAGAACTCTTTTTCCAATTTATTGAACGAATTTTTCCCAATAGTCAAGTTTTTCAATCGATTCAATCCATCGATTTTGAATGTTTCCACTGATCCAAAACATTCATCGCCGATTTCGATAGATCGTAGCCACTCGAATCGATTCAGATCCAATGCATTCAAATCGTTACAGCAATTCGATGAAATCTTCAAATCGGTCACTTGCAAACTCACATCGGTCCATTTTGTAGATCCAGTGACGCTGAATCGAAGAGGAGCAGGTTCTTCGCGTTTTGGAGCAGGAGCAGGAGCAGGAGCAGGAGCAGGAGCAGGAGCAGGCATCGGAGCGGGTTTGGGTTTGGGTTTGGGTTTGGGTTTGGGTTTTGGAGTTGTGGATCGAGTGTACCATCCATCATAGAGATCTCTTCCACTCACTTCCACTCCATCTTTCCATTCCACTTCGCGAGTAGCAATCCGAGTTTCTTCATCGATCCAGTATCCTCGACCATTTCGAAGAAACGATTCTTTCGATTCATCATACACGAATTCACCCACATAGAGGGGAATTCGATTCGAAGCGATGGTGTTGTTACCGCTTCGCTTGAACTCGATCATAATGGTTCCTTCGATCTTGCGGATGATCTCCACCAGCTTGTTTCCCTTCCACATCCCTTCGAGCAGCATGGCACCCGTTTTTTCGTCATACGCGATGCCCCATCCTTCCCTCTCTCGCTTCTCGTTGAACTCACCGTGATATATCAGGTGATCACTCGCATGCGAATAGATTTCCATACGTTCGCCTCGGACATGGTTTATAATACGATGAAAATTCTTTCTGTCCCAGATTTCATCATAGGACTGCACAAAAGCGACGCATCCTTTTTCAAATCTTGTAAAGTCACCGATTTCGCTCCCGTTCGCATCCACCTCGTAATACATTTTTAGTATGCCATTTTGGAATAGACAAACCTTCCCAGCTCTCGTCAACGTGTATTCATCCTCGTGATTGCCTTGATAATATTGGAGGCTATACTTGCAGCCGCCAATAGTGATTTCCTTTGGTTCACCACGCGTTATGTAACCGTTCAGGAGAAATTCGCTTCCCTTAAGTTCTTCCATTCTACCTATTTGGAATCACATATCCTGAGCCTCTACTCTTTGAATCCGTAATTTGTAACCAAATATAAAGAATTTATGAAGAAAACAGAGAGATCAGTTTATTTCCTTACACCTAAGTATTCTTCATATTTAAAAATTATGATAGAGTGCTACCATATACACATTGGATCCAAGATTTCCAAGTGAAGTACTCACTTGTGTTTCGCATCATTTTGTTCACATTTTTGTGGTTGAAATAGTTCGGAGGTATAGATATATATAATATTTTAATAATAATAATATCAGGATTGTTTGGAAACACTCAGAATGGAAAAGTCCATTTTGTTGTCTACTATGTCTGTATAGGTTGTATATTTATGATATCATAGTGAAATCGTGTTATGAAGCAAGGATTTGGTTGTTCACTCCACTTTGTCTAATAGTCTGTTTTATCTTATAGCTTCCTTTGATCAAATCCATCCATTCTTCATTTAGAATGTCAACCTAATGTATCAAAAAGCACTCGTATCGACTATATTCATTACTCCTCCAACATTCCATTTTCTGGATTGGCAAAATTGTATTGTCTCAACACAGTCCAGCTTTTCCATGCAGATACCATCCATATTGGACAATAATAGTAGTAAAACCTTTTCTTTTTGCCAATGAAACACTACCTTTGGAATTCGCTTTTGTATCGCACATTCAGTGTACATAAATTCATAGAATAGTCCAATATCTAATCTTCATAACACAATATAATGCTAAAAACACAATTATTTGTTGATTGGATCCAACGGTATTTGTTTCGTGTCTAGTTTGTTTCCAAGTGTGAATGGATCCAAAAATAGAAGTTGTAGGAGTAATAGTGATATGCTTACTCCTCTAGTCTACTATTGTTATTCCTGATATTAATGACATTGACCCACCGGATGATTTATATTACTGGGAGTAAGCACCACCAAAGTTCTCTCATTTGCTAGTTCGCTTAATACAGCGTCTGTTTTGCAGCCATTGTTTGAACAATTTAAAGATGCGATGAATAATGAAGATATTGTATGGAATTCTAGTTCTTTGCCATCTAGTCATCAAAGTCGCTTTTCAATGCATTTGCCACTTCTTTCATCAATCTCTATAAGGGTTGGAGCCCTCGTACCGATCCAGAAACAAAATGCCATCCTACCGAAGTATGTACGGTGTTCAATACAGTATCCTATGAATCTATTCTCTCATCATAGTGGCTCAGCATCGCTGCTCACACAAGCGTACCGGTCGATGCGCTCACCACCGAGTTCCTCGTTCTCGAGATTCTCTCTCGTTCCTCGATCAATCGCCGCGCCCTGCGCGCCACTCCCTTCCCCTCCGTTCTCCACCACTTCCTCCGCGAGCTCCTCAAGAACTTCCCCAAAGAGGAAGATTCCTTTCTTCTCTTCGATCAAACCTCCAAGCCGATCGACGAGCCGCTCTTCAAGCAGTGCCTTCGCCTTCTGTTCACCATCGCCGAGCACTGGCTGCGTCTCCCCTACCCTGTCTCCGACTGCGCCGGCGTTTCCTCGCTCCTGAGCAGCTGTGACCGCGGGGATTGCAGCACGGAGTTCGACGTCTCCATCGAGTGCGGCCTGCTCTTTCTCTACTCGCTGAATCGCGGCTGGACGGACGACTTCAACCTCATGACTCGCGTGGTTTTCGGCAGCGTGGGCGTCCGCGCCTCGGTTTCGCGTCGCATTCAGTTCGAGAAAGTGCTCCGCAGCCTCTACGCCGTGCTCAACGCGCGGCTTCACCTCAATCTCAGCGCGCTCACCGCGGGAGGAATGAGTTTGCCGGCCTTCGAGGAGTGTCTGCAGCGCACTCCGGAATTTCTGAGCGTGTCGACGCTGCGGATGCGCGAAGAACGACGCAGAGAAGTAATGATCGAAGCGCTCAGCGCGCTGACGCACCACAAATCGCCGCATTGTCTGCTCTCTCTCATCGCCACGAACGGAGAAGCCTTAAAACCCGAACAGGCCGTGTCCGCGCTGCTCGCCGCGCTGCCCGACGGCGAATTCGACGTCCGCGTCCACGTGCTCGTCGTGCTCTTCCTGCTTGCGCGGCAAGCCGGCTTCGCCGCCGTCCTCGCCGATTCGCTCACCGTCGACACGCTGGCCATGCTGCTGGGACCGGCGAGCTCATCGGAGGGTCGCTGCGATGAAACGCCCGAGCAGTTGTGGGTGCTGCAGATGCTCTTCCTTTCGATCTGTACCGGCGATTTAATCGCGGGAATCGCGCTCCCGGCGCTGCCTCTGGCGACGACGTGGCAGCTCCCCGCGGTTGTGGAGATCGAGAAGCAGCACATTCGGCATTTGCGGTTATTTTCGCTTTGGTGCGAAGCGAATCTGGCGAACGACGCGGCGATGGAGGTCGTCGGCCGCCTCACCGACCCCAGCCGGCCTTTGGGACGCGCGAACGCGGTGCAGCTGCAAGCGATCTGCAGTCTGTTCCTCCACCACGCCAGCGAGACGGCGCCGATCCGCGGGATTTTGCTGAATTTGCTGGCGCAGTCCGCGTCGCCGACGTTCGTTTCGATCCTGCTGAACGAAATCGCGCAGCACTCGGAATTGCTCAGCGTTCTCTCGGCCATTCCCACGCCGAAGCACTCGAATCCTTGTCTCATTCTCTCTCACAGCGATTCGGTGCTCATCGCCTTCGAGGAATCCGCGCAGCCGCTTCTCACGATCCACGCGAGTCGCTCCGTTCCCATCGAGCTTCTCCCCGACCACACCTCGCTTCTCTACCAAGAACCCATGAAACTACCCAAGTGTTCCGCGGTTATTCTACAGGGAGAGGACGACAACCCCGTGGAGATCCTGGGGGTCGAGCTCTCGCTGCACGGACGCCCCTGGGGCAAATTTACCCCCACGCTGAAAGCGAATTTGGTGCTGGATCCCGAGCAGCCGCCGATTTCGGCCACGATCCGCGGGAATCCGGTGCTCTGCAAGAACACGTCGCTCCCCGCGGCCATCCGGTCCCTGGGGGGCGTTTCATGTTTGTTTCCGCTGCTGCAGTTGGAGCCGGAGAACCGCGATTATCTGAAGAATGTGTTGGATTTGCTGGCGTCTCTGTTTTCGGAAGTCAGCGAAGATGATTGGCTGTTGTTCTCTGAGTTATTGTGTTCCCTGGATCCCGCGGTTCTCAACGCGTTGCTCCCCGGGTTCACCGCCAAAACCCGATCAAACGGATCGAAGGCGCTGCTGAACCCGCACCTGCTGAATCGCCTGACGGTTTCGCTGTCTTCGCTGGGGTTCCGCGGGGAAAGCTGCGAAGAGGAGATCCGCCAGTTGGTGATCTGCAGTCTGATGGAGGAGGAGGACGTTTCGGCGGAGTTACGCGCGGCGTTTCATCAGGTGAAGGCGTGTGTGAAGTGGAATCAGGAGTTGGTGACGCTGTGCCCCCCGAGTGCGGATTTGATGATTCGCATGGCGATGAAGGGCGAGTTCCGCGATGATTTGTTCCTGAAACCCGCGGGGGAGATCGAGAAGGCGATCTGTGAGAATGGAAACGTGGAAATTTTGATGGATCAGCTGGAGTCCCGCGGGAACGACACGATCGCGATGTGGATTCCGTTTTTGTTGAAGGCGATCGAGTCGAGCGAATTGGAATTGCGAATGCTTTTCATCGCCAAATTGAAGCGATTGTTGACTGCCAAAAATCACCCCTTTTTGCGGGAAGAGCCGGTTTCCACCTTGGAAATGTGTCTTCATCCGATCGAGATTGGGTCTCCGTTTTTCTCGGAGGTTCTCCAGTTTCCCCATTTTGAAAGGTTGTTCCTCGTTCCTCCGCCTTCGCAGTCGGATTGGCTGCGCCATCTTCACCAGCTCATGCAGCTAAAGACTTCCAATCCTTCCCTTCTTCAAAACCCGTCCATTCTACCGCTTTTGAAAGTCTTCTGCGCGCAGTTCGAGGCCTTCTGGATCTCCGATTCTACCAATGGTTCCACGAATGGTTCTACGAATGGTTCTACAAATGGTTCTACCAATAGTTTCTTAGGTAATTCCTCAGATATTTCCACAGTTTCCACGAATGGTTCCACAAATGGTTCCACGAATGGTTCCACCCATAGTTTCTTACATAATTCCTCAGGTGTTTCCACGGTTTCCACAGTTTCCACAGTTTCCACGAATCCTCCATCGAATTCGACGGAAGTGCTCCTCACGAACTGGAGTTTCGTCCGCTCCTTCCTCGCGGTTCTGCTTCTGTTCCCCGCGTCCTCGGTGGCTCCGCATCTGCAGACCGTCTTCTCCCGCTTCCTCCCGCTCTTTTCCGCGCTCCCCGCGGCCGACGAGGAGGACCTCCTCTTCGTCAGTGCCCAGCCCGCCTCGGGCATTGCTCCGTCCGTCCAGAAGTCCATGCAGAACGCGCTGGCCGCGCTGGTCTCGCAGCTTCTCCAGGTCTGCGACGCGCCGCACATCGCTCTCCTCTACACACAATTAACCGCGGTTCGACCGCCCATCGATCCAGCACTCCCTCAACGCGCGCTCCTCGCCCTCCAGGCTCGCCACTCCTCCCTCCAGACCGCGCTGGCCGCGGGAATTCCCGCATGGACCGCCGACGAAACGCCCGACTGTTTGTGTCTCGCCGAAACGCCCGCCTCGCCGCACTGGCGGGAGCTCTGCGACGTCGCGCTGACGCGCGTCCTCCTCCAGTAGTCCCCGGTTTCCACGTTTCCCCGTAGGATGGAGCGGATCCGCCAGTTGACCCGCGGTTATTTCGCCAAAACGCGGAGTCCGAATAGTCCCTGGACGCTCCGGGAAACGCCCAGCACGGTGGGCATTGCCCAGCAGGTCTCTTCGGCATTCCTCCACAACCTTCTCGTCGCCCAGCCGGGCGTTTCGCGCCACGAGCAGGCCTCGGTGTGGAACGTCCCGACCCCCGTTTCCCCGACCCCCACAACCCCCACCATCCCCGCGGAACACGCCTCCGCCGCCATTCTGCACAACGCGCAGATCGCGTTTTCCGCGGGAGCGGTGCGTGTGACGCCGATGGACCAGATCCGCGGGACTGTCGCGATTTTGGCGAACGTTTTGTATTTCACGCCGGATCCCGCGGAAATCGAGCGCAGGGAGCGGAAGGTCGCGTTCTACGACGAGAAAATTGCCGCGGGGAGGGCGGGGGAAAATGTGGCGCGGCTGCTGGGCGAGATCCGCGGGGAAGAGCAGAAATTGGCGCTGCTGACGAGCGAGGAGTTTCGTTCGTACCGAGTGGGAGAACCGCGGGGAATTGACGGGTAGTTGCGAGGAACCGCGGTGGAGTTGTTCTTCGCGTCGGGCGTTTCGCTGTTCTTCGCGTTCGATTCGCCGGCGGTTCGAAAAGAATTCCACGCGGTGCTTCGCTCGCTCGCTCTCCCGCGGTTAGAGCCGTTCCTCGGCGAAACGGCCGCGGAGCGGTGGTCACGTGACTCGAGCGAAGCCCGTTGGCACCGCGGGGAACTGAGCAATCTGGAGTACGTTCTTCGCGTGAACCGGCTTGCGGGACGGAGTTACAACGACTTAAGTCAATACCCGATCGTTCCCTGGGTGCTCAGCAACTACACGTCGCCGCTGCTCGATCTCCGCAACCCCGCCAATTTCCGGCGGCTCGACCGGCCCATGGGCGGGCAATCGGAGAAACGCTTCTCCGCCATGCAGGTTTCCCCTTTTCCGGGCGTTTCATGCAGCAAAAATTCGAGATGATGCGCCAATTGGAGGCGGAGGAAGCCGCCGACCCGCTCGCCGACCCGCTGCGACTTCTCTGCCCTCCCCCGCGGCACCACGCCACGCTCCCCTCCAGCAGCGCGACGGTCCTGTGGTCCCTGCTGCGCCTGGAGCCCTACGCCACGCTGCACGTCGTCCTGCAGGGCGGCCGCTTCGACCGGCCCGACCGCCAGTGCGCCTCCGTCGCCGGCGCCTGGCGCGGCGCCTGCGAGAACGAGAACGACTGCCGCGAGCTCGTGCCCGAGTGGTACGCGCTCCCCGCGGTGTTCCAGAACGTCAACAAGTGGGCGTTTCGTCGGAGTGGCGAGTAGATTCGATCTGGGCCCGCTGCAGGGAGCGGCGGAGCGGCTGGGCGCGATCCGCCTGCCGGACTGGGCGTCGTCCGCGTACGACTTCGTGCTGTCCATGCAGGACGCCTTCGAGAGCGAGTTCGTGGGATCCCACCTCCACCAGTGGATCGACTTGGTCTTCGGGGCGCTGCAGCGCGGCGCGGGCGCGGAGAAAGCGGGCAACGTCTTTCCGCATCTCGCGTATCTGACCGAGGCCCAGGCCGAAGCGCTGGCGCGCGACCAGCCCGATCTCTACCTCCAGGCCGCCGAGATCGTCGAGAACTTCGGGCAGATCCCCGCGCAGGTCGGGTTCCCCGCGGAAATCGAGCGTAGATCAGCACCGCGCCCCACCGCGCACGGAAAGCGCACGGGTTCTGCAACCGCGTGATCGGCGTGCGGTCCGACTGGCGGGCGCAGGGCTGCGTGGCGCTCTTCTACGACGCGCACGGAGCCAAGCGAACCCTCCGATTTCTGGAATGGCGCGAATTCGGGGTCATCGACGCCGTGGCAAAAAACGAGGGGATTTTCGCACTCACCGAGTCCGGCGCCATTCTCCACTTCTCTCTCCCCAAATCCCCGCGGAAGCAGGCCGAAACGCTCACTCTTGACGGACAGCGCGGGTCTCTGCTGATTCCCGCGGGACTGGCGTCGAGCACGACGATTCTCGCGGGGAACGGTGACTTTTTGCTGTCCTGCGCGTTCGGCGGCGTGCGCGTGGTTTCGCTGCAGGAAGATCCCGCGGGAGAGAGCGCGTGGGAGAGCTGGCGCGGCGGCGAGACGGTAAAGAAGATGGCGAGCGACGGGTCGAAGCTGGTGGCGGTGAGCGACGAGGATGACGTGTGGGTGGCGTCGCTGCTGACGAGTCGGCCGCAGCTGGAGTTCGAGCTGCGGCTGAAGAGCGCGTCGGTGCGCGACGTGGCGGTGAGCGCGCGGAGCATGCTCGTGGGAGTGCTGGGGACGGACGGAGGCGTGCATTTGTTCTCGCTGTTCGATGGAAGCTTCTTGAGGACATTGCACGGGAAGGGCGTCGTGAGGCTGTTCTGCGTCACGCACACGAGCTCCGTGCTGATGGTGTCGGAGGGCTCGCGGACGCTGCAGCACTATGATCAGTTGAATGGATTGATCGGCGAAGTGAGTCTGTCGTTTGATCCGGATCGGATTAAAACGACGGAAGACGCGCGATTGGTGATTGTGGAAGGAGAACGCGGCACCGAGGTGCGTGATTTGAAAGATTTGAAAGTGTTTCAAGGTTAGGAGGTGTTTGTTTTGAAAGAAAGGAGGATTGGGAAGGAATGAGCGGAGAACCCTCACAAACAAATTCTGTCTTCCTGCAAACCATGTGATTTCGCCCGAATACATAGCGCGGTTGAGAGTCAATGGCGGGAACACTCCAGATCTGCACACCTTGCTATGTTTACATGGATTCTAATGAGCTGAGTTTGAATCAATTTGAATTCCTCCGAGGCAAATCCATCCCGTGCATCCAATACATGCTGTGAACAGAAATAGAAGCCAATGGAATTCCTGTATGGTCACGGCAGAATCTCCAATGTGTCATTAAAGACACGACTCATCTTCAAGTTCTTCTCAGAAAAGGCTTTTCAAATTCCTTTAGCTTAGTTGTAGGTATTGGTAATCCGAGTTCTAGCGATAGCCGGAAAGAGGATATCCTAGGGCTTGCGAAATTATCCTTTCGTTCATTTTTTCTTATTTTGTGTAGAAAACACCTGTCAATTGACCTAGGATGAATTCTGAATAGTAAGTAGTGTGTTATAGCATGAAATAACGCGTGTACCTAACCTAATTATAGCGACTATTTATTCAAGCTTCTTCTTATCGGAGATTCCGGTGTCGGTAAGTCTTGCTTGCTGCTGAGATTTGCTGATGATCAGTACTCTGATTGCTACATTACGACTATTGGAGTCGATTTTGTAAAGATCACTTCGGTATCGATTAGTCTGTAGAAGATCCGCACTGTGGACCTGGACGGAAAGACCGTGAAGCTTCAGATCGTGTGTTTTGCTAAAAAAACAGTAACTGTGTAGTGGGATACGGCAGGTCAAGAGCGTTTCCGTACGATCACCTCCTCGTACTACCGCGGAGCGCACGGAATTATTATTGTCTACGATGTGACGGATCTGGATAGCTTCAACAACGTGAAGACCTGGCTTCACGAGATCGATCGCTATGCGAACGAGAACGTGGTGAAGCTGCTGGTCGGTAACAAGGCCGATCTGACCGCGAAGAAGGTGGTTTCGTACGAGACGGCGAAGGAGTTTGCGGACAGTCTGGGCATTGAGTTCGTGGAGACCTCTGCCAAGAACAGCACGAACGTCGAGACTGCCTTCATGACCATGGCTCGGGAGATCATGCAGAAGTGGGTGTGAGGAGAGGGAGTGATGAGCAGGAACGCGTCTGTCCAGTCTGGACCGAAGGGTGCGAAGCCTACGGTGGTCCCCTCTGCTGCGAAGAAAGAGAGCAAGGGTTGCTGTGGAAAGTAAAGGTTGTTATTGTTGTTGTACATATTCTTTGTTTGATGGACAAATATCCGAACTTGGTGGTGTTGAAGAATAAGGTGGGTGGCGAGGATGACGGTCACCTGTAGAGCATTCGCGCCTTGATGAGCGTTCTGCGCGATAAGAACACGCAGACGCGGGAGTATAGAACGTACGCGCAGAGGGTCCACACGTAGGTGTTGCATAGGTTTTTCTTGACGCGTGCAGCATTTTGGTGGAGGAGGGTGTATGCGAACTTCCTGGCAAGGAAATCGATGTCGAGACGCCTTGTGGGGTTTTTAAGGGGATTGAATATCCGAAGAATATTTGTGCCGTGTCGATTATGCGTTCGGGTAGTTCTTTGTGGCTGCTCTTTATTTTTCTAGGTGACTCTCTTCTCCAGGCTTTCACTGATCTCTATCCGGACGCTCCAATCGGGAAGGTTTTGATTCAGCGCGATGAAAGCAGTCCTACAAAGGAAGCTCGCGTAGAAGTCATTGGTGTTTTTGATCTAGTTTTACTACAGCAAGCTTCCGAAGGATATTTCGAACATGTATGTTTTCATCTGCGATCCGATGCTTGCAACGGGCGGCAGCATTTGCGAGGCGATCCATGTGTGGTTAGCGTGCGGTTCTGAGTGTAGCTCTTGAAGGAACAGCAGGTCCCTGAAGATCACATCGTGTTTTTGAACGTGGTTTCTGCGCCTGAGGGAATTGATCGGGTTTTTGCAGAGTATCCGGAGGTTCGTGTGGTGACGTGCGCAGTGGACGAGCGGCTGAACGACGACAAGTATATTGTGCCAGTGGGAGTGGGAGAGAGAGAATGATGCGTAGGGAGTGGGCGATTATGGCGATCGATTCTTCAACACTTGCAATTGATTTGAATGGTTCTTTGTTTGTTTGTTTGTTTGTTTGAAACGAGAAATGAAACGAGAAAGGAAAGGAACGAAGGAAGGAAGAGAGAGAGAGAAGAGGAAAAGGAGCGAACAGGGAGCACGAGAGAGTGACAATTCGATTGACTGAACGCACTGCGAATGATTGATGGAATGCGAATTCGCTTGCTTCGCAAGTTGATTGATCTTTTCTGTTGAGGAAAAACCTGGATAAAAGGAAAATCGTTCACTGAAGAGAATGCATTCCTTCCATCGTTTCACTGCTCCATCCTCCAACTATCGACGATTCCCAATCCCCTATTTTCACCCTCCTTTCTCTTTCCTTTTTCCAACAAACACTCAATCCTTATATTCTCACGTTCGCACGGTTCCACCTTTCCTTCTTCTTCTTCTTCTTCTTCTTTTCCTCTACTCATACTCCATGGCCACCTCGTAGAACAAATCCTACGCCTCACAGCCCCTCCATTCCCTCACTCGCAGCTTCTCGATCGTCATCGTGTTGTAATCCACGTCCAATTGAAAAACCCGATCACACACCGGCTCGTACGCCTCATCGTGGAACTCCGCGAAGTACTCGTGGTTCAGCGCCTCCTCCACCGTAATTCGCTTCTGCGGGTTGATCACCAGCATGCGGCGCAGCAGGTCCAGACACTGCGGTGATGCCTACATCACATCATCTCCCTCGCTCCCACCCCCGGGAACTCCTCCTTGAAGTCCTTCGCCTTGAACTTCTGCTGCTTGATGTACTTCAGGCCCTTCTGGTTCGTGATAAACGTCAGATCTTCGTCCGGCGGGCAGCCCAGCAAGCGGCAGTACAGCTCGATTTGGTGCAGGTAGTTGCTCCCCTTGAACAACACCTTCCGCTTCAGCAGCTCGCCCATGATGCAGCCAAGACTCCAGATATCCACTGCGCGCGTGTACTGCTGCGATGACAGCATGACCTCGGGAGCGCGGTACCAACGGGTTTGCACGTATTCCGTGAGCGTGGAGCCCAGTTCCTCGCGGGCTAAGTTGAAATCGCAGATCTTGAGATCGCAATTTCGATTGACCAGGAGATTGGAGGGCTTCAAGTCGCGGTGGATGATGTCGGCGGAGTGGAGATACTTTAGGCCACAGAGAACTTGGTAAATGAAGTATTGAATGTGCTCATCGGTCAAGACTTGGGTACTGTATATTACACGATACAGATCCGTCTCCATTAGCTCCATGATCATGTATCTACCGCTAAGGGAACATAAGAATCACAACAAATCCGTAAAGTCTCGATTGTTGGGAACAATCGACACATTTGTTAGCGAGAGAATATTCGGGTGGTTGCAGTGGTTCATGATCTTGATTTCGCGGTAGACACGAAAACCATTCCCCAGATCGTCCAGAACATTGGGGATCTTTTTAATCGCAACCTTTTCACCCGTTATAGTATCATCTACAGAAATAACTACCCCATAGCTTCCCTCCCCTAACTATGAGGCAACTGTTCATAGTGTATACCTATACACTTAATGAGTGAATACCTGCTGTCCACAATAAATTCCATTCCTCCATCGGTCTTAATCAGTGTCTTTGAAGAGGATGAATCCGCTTTCTTGTCTGGAATGATTGATTCCTTTCCTTCTTCCGACATTGAGATACTGGATCTTTCGTGAAAGAAAAAGATGACATTTCGAACAATTCAGAGTCAATTTGACAAAGAATCTATTTACAATCATATCTATCCATCATAAGGTTTGGGTTGTTTGACAAGTGAAAGGAACATTACCGACGAAAGTTTTCCAACGTGAGTTTTTTACCCTCTCTTTTCTGTTGACGCAATTGTATATGCATCCTCTTCTTTCGAACCTTCTTTTGGAAAACGGGCGTTTCAATTTCCACTCCAAGGCAATTATTATTAATCAAATTGCAATCAAATATGGTAAGGAATGGAACACTGTGTGCTTACTGCATAGAACAAGATCATTCCCCTTGCTGATAGAGTGTTAGTGAAGAGACTCGTTGCCAAGGCTCAGGTACACATTCCAGTTGCGTACGAAGTGTAGACTGCCACGGGAATTCTGCTTCCCGAAACTTCGGTCGCGAAGGCGAATCAGGGCAATGTACACTCTTGGACATGGCATGCTAATGGCATAGGTGATTGCCGTGGGTCCTGGCCGCATGGACAACAATGGAAAATTGCTGCCTATGAACTGCAAGGTCGGTGATCGTGTGTTGCTCCCTGAGTATGGAGGCACCCCTCTGAAGATGGGAGAGGAGGAATACACTCTGTTCTGCGACTGTGATATTCTGGGAAAGTTTGAGTAATTTTGCAGTGTTTGCAACAAACAGCTGGAAAAACGGACAAAAACAATACTTTTATAACGATGGCGACTTAGTAGAGACAAGTTCACTTTTTAGGGTCACGTAAACGAACACCCAAAACCTTCTCCATCTTGGAGATCAGAGCCTGGTTCGGAATCACCTTTCCAGACTCGTAGTCCTGAATGACGGAAGCTTTGACGTTCAACTTCTGTGAATGAGCGATACGAACAATAGACGCCTACCACAGCTAGATCTTTCTGGGTCATCTGCTTCTCCTGACGAGCGCTTTGCAGACGATGCCGGAACGAAAGGTTAACCTTAGGAAGGGTGAAAACCTCATCTTCCTCTTCAACCTTTCTAGCGTACAGCGCTGGAGCGTTTACAATATTCTTGTTTTTTCCAGCATCATCTACAAGTCAAGGAGAGCGCCGAATCCCATACACTTCGCAGTTGTTTCGACAGCATTATCTAGTCTGCGGGCGGTATTTACCTGCTTCTCGCGAGAAACAGTAGGCTTCTTGCCTCGCTTATCCCAACCTGCAGGTGTCCAGTCTTGATATATAATAGACATTTTTCTTAGATAAAATCTTTCAAAAAAATAATAACAACGATGAAAACTTAAGAGTTGTTTGACCCTTTCTTTGATCTCTTATAATATGCAAGAATAATCCTGGAAATTTCTCTGAAATTCCAAAAATCTGGTCCATTTCTTTAGAATATGGAAAAGAAACAACTCGCAGAGCAGTCTTCTGCCGAAGGACCGACTCGCTCTACTGCCGCACCTCATGACAAAATTCCGGTTCGGGTTCTGGATGTTTCTAATTTGTAGGAGTCGGCGTTGTGCATGAGTTGTTTCAGGCCCTTTTGTGACCTCCGTTGCAAGGGTATCATTTGCTGTTTTCTTTGAATTCATAGGACCGTGTATGCGTTGCTACCACAGTGCATGTGTTCGCCACCAAGGCGAACGACTAAAATCATGGAAATGTAGTTTGTGCCAAAATAAGGAAACTGATGTAGTTCGCTGGGGTTCGTTCTTTTGAATAGAAATTCTCAAAAATGCTGCGATTTGCCAAGGAAGAGTGCCAGAAACGGCACGAGTTTCCCGGTTCGGGCTTCAGTGAGCTTTTGTTGCTCGACACGACGGTTCCTATCAAAAAGCGTGACAATGTAACGGCCAAAGTGGCTCTTAATTTGAATTTGCGTGACTTTCCAGGTTGTAAAATGCAGTGAGTGCGACAAACACATCCGCAGCCAACTTTTACGCTGCGTCACTTGCGGTTCTCTTTATCACCGAGGCTGCCTTCCCCTGAACAGCATCGTTCTATCCAATCGTTTCATCGTGTACATGATTCGTTAATGATTCTCTCCTATAGTTGTCCCAATCACTACCAGAGTTTTTCTTCTTTTTTCTTTCTTATTACGCCTAGACAGCAGCAACAACTACCTCCTCTCTCTTCTTCTCGACCAATTCGACGTTTCTCTGTTTCCACGTTTCCACCGTAGAAACTCAAAGGTACCCCCGTTTCCTCCAAGCGCGACCTCCACGGCTTCCGCAACCGCAATCGCTGCCGCATTCACGTCGTACCTCTCCATTCCCGCGGTTATTCCTAGGGTCCGAGTCGGAACCGCGGAGGACGCGGCGGGAAGCGTCTGTACGCGCGATTCCTGCGATGACGAGTAGATCGCATTTAATCGCATCGGACCCGACGCTGTCGTACGGGTGCGCGTCGACGGTGTGCGCGCGGTGCGGGAAGCGGCGCGTGTTTCCGTCGTACATCGACCGGAGCTACCTGAAGGAGCCGTGGACGTGCGAGCTGGACGTGTGGGACAAGGAAGGCATGACGTGCGACTGCCCTGAGAAAGAAATGCGGTTGAAGAGCGTCGACGAGGCCGCGTCGCGGCTGAAGCTGACCACGCCGGCGATCTGGGGAGGAAACAGCATGAAGACGGTGAGGCAGGACGCGAGGGATGAGCGGTAGAACAACAAGTTCGTGCCGTCGGCGCTGAACGCGATCGAGATCATCAACTACACGTACTTCAGCAAAATCGCGCAGAAGGCCACGCAGCGCGTCAATTATCTCGGGTTCGTCGCGAATTCCTTCGCTTTTGACCACCATCTCGAGACCGAGCGTTCGCTTTTTGATAAAAACCCGATCCGTCGTAGAGAAGGCCGCGTTCTCGGAGAGTTCGCCGGTGGCTCGCGCGGCGAACGCGCTGCTGCGGGCGTTTCAGGGCGCGACGACGCTGACGGTGAAGAAGATCGCGCAGGACGAAGCGTTTATGAAGGCGACGTTCGACGGAGAGAAGTCGGCGTTGGTGCAGTGCGTGCGGTTTATGATGGAGCAAGGCGTGGTGGCGCTGGTGGAGGAGGGAGCGCTCACGGAGGAGAGTGTGTTTGTGCTCAAAGACGGGAAGGAGGATAAAAGAAATGTAAAGGAATTGCGCCTGGCGAGGTTGTTCCAGGCTCATGAGTGCGATGTTTGTGTTGAATCACTTGACGGCGCGCGGTGGGGAGAGGCGTGGGTGTGGTGGCGGTGTTTGTGGCGGTGCTGGCGATGGTGACGATGCTCGCTGTCGGAGTGATGGGAATGCGAATGCGAATGGGAATGGGCAGTATGTTCAGCACGCCTAGCATGCTCAGCACGCTCCGCTTGTTCGAGTTTGGCCTCTTGGAGTAGCTGCTTCATTCGCTCCACTCTACAAATAACACACAACAACAAAAAAGAAAGAAGTACTTGCTATTCGAACGTTGCTCTTGGAGAGGCTTGAAAGAGCGAATTGGGTCTTCTCGGATCTATTCATCACATAACACAATCAAAACCACTCGACTTTGCAGCTCCAAATTCAAATCACCAGTCACAGTATATTTACACTCTGGATCACCTGCTCGATGACCATAACACTAGGTTTCACGCCAATCCCACATATAATACTTTGCAACGATAACACTGAACTACATAGATGGTTTTTCCAAAAGCAGCTCCATGACCAGTCAATGGCATCGAGCGTAAAAAGTCTCGAACGCGCTTATTCTCTGGGATATCCGGGATGTTCCTCTCGGGCTTTCCGTTACAAACTCAAAACACCCCGTACATGGTCCTCCACATCGAGTTGCTCCACTGTAGTAATATCTCCGTTCGATTCGTGAAGTGCTTCATCTCGCTCCAACCTACAGTCGATTCTCACTGCAATATTTACCCTCCCACGACTCGGTCGATAAACTTCGTTCGATCCGCCTCTTCTTCCGCAGACTTCACGTTATCCCCTTCTGTCACTCCCTACTTTTACTCCATCTTTCAGTTTTTTCTTCAAAATGAGCGCATCGATTTTGGAAGAAGGATGATATTCGCGACGGATCATACAAAAAATGGTTTCAAACCAGAGTCAAATAGAAAAGAAAAGCAAAAAAGCTCCCATGCCGGGACTCGAACCCGGGTCGGCGAGGTGAAAACCCGCTATCCTAACCTGCTAGACTACATGGGACCTGTTTTCATTTTCTATGGAGTACTAATAAGCCACTGCACAACTCCAAGGTTTTTCTTCAGAAATATGGAACACTTACCCACTCTGTTGGACGCTGTAGAGAAGAAGTGTCCGAAACTGCGTCCAGTGTTTCTTCCAAACGGCATTAGCGAGAAGGAAGCGATCCGCAAGTATTCCGAAAAGCACGCATTGCCAAAGCCAAATAAAAAGTGCGATATTTGCGGAGACAAAGAGGGCGAGTATGTTCCTCAAGTTTTCTGCACTTATGACTTGAAAACGAGAAAATGTATCATTACGGAAGTGAAGGTAGTCTCTGCCACGTAGTTTTTGAATTAGAATGTGTGTCAGCAGTGTAAATTCTCGATGAACATTCAGAAGATTATGGAACTCTTGGTGAAAGCCAGCACGAGTACCGAGGAGGTAGGTGTGATGAATTCAATGTCAAGGGCAGGAAGATCGGTTTATTCGCCATTTTTTGCTGGTTAACGGCTACAACCCGGAGAATCGCGCCCTTCTGGAGGAGTTGGTCTCTTGCTGCTACTCGCTGCACGTGGTGCTCCGCAACTATTTGACTGGTATCCATTTAGCTTAGTGGCTTGTTTGTAACAAACACAAAAACTATCGAGTCGCTGCATGCCTAATTCCACTACACATCACACCCCTCGCTCGTCCCTACCTTCAACCGGTTCTTCGTCCCGATGTCCGCAATCAATCTCGTTCTGCACCTCCTTCAACGGCCCATAAATAATCGCTTTATAATCTGTCTTGCTATACTGCTTATCAAAGAGCCACAGCAGAATCCTATTAACCTGATGCTCCATAGAACAGCGGAATTCGAAGTGCTTCCAGAGCTCCGTGATCCCGATCGCTGCAAACGCGAGCACGACCATGAACAACACGATGACGGGCCAGGTCCACAGGAGCTCCTTCTTTTCGCTGTCGATCAGCTGTCCGAAGAAAAACTCAAAAATCACCAGCATGTGCTTGTTGAACCATTTCTGAAGAATGAAAATGGTAAACGACAGCACGCTGAGCTTTCGCAGATATGACGTGCGTTTCAAAGACCCCCTTCTTCGCAGTGCCAATCGTCTTTTGTCATCGATCAGCAGGATCAGAACCAGGATCAGAACGGCCTCGACTCCCATGGAAATGAACTCGAATCCTTCGGGCTTGAAGGCTTCGAACAACTCAGTGACGAAGTCGTCGATCGAATAGAGATACACCATGCCAATGATACAATTCACGCAAAAAACGATGCTCGAAAACCAAATCAAATGCAAAAGACTGACTCCAGAGTGGAGAATGATGGCCACGGAGGCGCCCAGAAGACCGAATGGCCACAGCTGAGGAATCTGATCTGTGCCACTGCTCATCTTCGAAAAGCAATATTCCAAAATCGTAAAATGCTGCGTTTTGCACCAGTCTGTAATCACCAGACAACCTTCAGAGATCCATCTCGAGAAAATAGTGAGCACAATAGAGAGGATGTAGAGAAGGTAAATCTGAATTCGATAGTCTCGAAGGAAAGGAATCAGGCGAAGCAAATAAACGACTAAAGAAATACTCCAACTATTAAAGCCAATGCAGTCAATCACGTTACTTGAAAAAGGGATAGGAACTACAGGCAGCTGCAACGTACGTGTTTCGACAATATCATAGTCTGTCGACCAACTAACCCAGAAACATTCGATCGCGCGCAATAGAATTCCAAAAACACACTTCATCATCAAATAGCGCCAGACAACCTTCCATCCCTTTTTTGATATATCCAAAAAAGACAGGGTGTTACAGATAGCTGATAGGAACACAAAAAATGATCCCATATTTCCTATCACACCCAAAGGAACGAATATACAATACCACACGATTTTTGGAATACCTTCTGCAACATTTAGAAAAAAGAGAGAGTCAACACTGGAAAGCGAACCCAGGAAGGGATGCGACAAAATCATAAGCAATATGCCTAAACCTTTCGCGACATCTAAAGAATAATAGCGCATTCCCATTTGAGAGAAGCACAATTTGTTATTATATAATAATAATAATAATAATAATAAAGTGAACCGTTAGGTAGTATTTTAAAACGATGCTTCCTATTTCGAAGGTAATTTGGTACGGATTCTATATTTCCAAAATCTAAATTGTTTGTTTCGCCGTGATTGGCTATTCAATTTATAAAAACAACGAGGTTTCGCCACTGAATGAAAACTCACTTTAAGTTTTCAGTTCCGCACCATTTGTAAAGTCGTACAATGCATTTTCACGAAAAGAACACTTGCAAGACAGATCGAGAAATTTGGTACTATTTGTATTGGGGGGAAATAGAAACACACACCCTATTTTGATTTTTAGCATTCTGCTCTTTGTTGTTGTTTGCTTTTTAAAAATCCTTTTGGATTGAAATTTTGAAGGATAGAATATATATATATATATTGGTTATTTCAGTATGGTTCGCATTGTGATTTTATAATAATTATAATATCATAATAATTGGGGATCATGCTTGATTCAAAAGAGTTTAATTTTACTCGCCTCTCTTCTTCCTATTCCAAGTTACACCATTTTGCTTAGTTACAAATTGTCCATGAATCATCCAAGCTTTTCTGTAGGACAAAACACACAATTATCAGAATTAACCTTTCTGTACCGATCTTAGAGTGAATTCTTCTGTATTCATAAAACGTTGCTAATAACGATTCGAATATCCGATTTGTGATTCATCAACATGACTAACAACTAGATAGGATCCAATATCGCCCTGCCTATTTACCAAGAAGCAGGCTGATAACAATTTCTAGGGGGTACAAATAAATTATAATGCGTATTTCAGATCCTAGATCGTGATCGGGTTTTAATCATGCTATTCTGCCTTTCCCTTAGAACCATTATTGTAGTATTCACTACCATTGCTTGAACATTCAAGAAATGTCGGAATCTCTTCTGGATAAAGAACCCTCAATAAAGCCATGGGACTTGGATGATAATGAGGAATCTGGAGACGACAGTCAATCTGAAAGCGAGTTTTTTCATTTTTATATACATAATGCACTAGAGACGCTGGTAATGGTCTCGCTCGAGAGGTAGACAGACTGCTTGATGAAATCAAGGCACATCTTCACTCTGACTGCAACGCTGTAATGGAAAGTGATATCAGTTACTTTTGTAGTTGGAATTGAAGGATGTACCTCCATATATAAGTCAAGAGGCAATTGCCACCTTTTTCGAGGAAAGAGATGATAAAGTACGAGTAGTCCGTTGCCCTTATTTTGCAGAAGATGGAGATTTGTGATCCGAGCCCTCACAACAAACGCGACGTCATCGTCTATTTCTATGATAAGGACGCTTTCTGCAACGCCCTTCGTAAAAATGGAAGTCAAATGCTGAGTTACACCTTTGACGCTCTCTACAACCCGTACTCTTCTCCTTCCTCTCTCTTTCCCTTAGAAATCTTCACAGACCTCCCCATCGGGGCAGTCATCCCAATCACATGGTCTCAGAAGGCAACCGGAAAGTCAAAGGTCCAGGCGGCCGCAATCGAACTGGCAATCGAGGCGGTGGTCATCACGCTGACAGACCGCGTATAAATAATGACGTCCGCAAGGTTTGAACGCGTGTGGGGTGTGAGGGGTAGCAAGACTCCATGAATAAAGGAGGAAACGGGTATCAGCGGAAGCAGGGCAACAACATGGGAACAAAGAATCGGCAAATGGGCAGTCAGGTGAAGATACACGCGACGAACCGGTTTGGAGGTCTTTCGGATTAAGAGAGAGAGTGTGTGTTTGTTGAAAACAAGGCACAGACGAGACAGTATGCATGATGCCATGTTCGCTATCTTGGCATTCTCGCAGGTGGAGTAGGTAGTAAGCGCGGTTTGGACAGAAGCCTTCGAAAGGACTAAAAATGAGGAGGAAAAAGGAAAACGAACTGGTTAAACCTTGAGGATAGTCCATTAAATAATAAAGAGTCGCCATCGCAGAGATCAACGTGTTTTCATTCGTGCTCGATAATAGGCGTATCATGTTCTTCAAATTGGCCTTTTCACTGACCACTAATTCCGAAAAGGCAGGGTCTACAAAACAAATGGAGCATATAGGCATACAGCAAATACAGTTACAAATACCCCCAATTGCAAATTCCACTATCAGTTCATCCTCCTCTTCCAGTCCATCCAAAAAGAGGTCAAGCTACACACTGAATCCAGTAAGAGAGTTCGTTACGATATTCAATTCGCTCATTATGGCATAATTGTATGGGTCATAAGCAAAGTTGGCTAAATTCGCGATGATTTGTCGCCTCGCCTCTACCGTCGATTCCCTATCCAGCACCCTACCTTGCTTAGACGTGTCTTGATACTCCGTTATTAACTGTTGCAAATAGTCAAAACGAGATGTTCCACGACCACCCTTACGCGATTGAACGTAACTTTCCGTAGCAAACATCGTATCGTCTGACCTAAAAAAAATAAATGATGTTTGTGTCCCGGGCTCTTCGATCCTCTGCTACGCTTCTCCGGCGTGTCACTCCCTCTTCGATAACAGTTCGACTTCATCATGGCTGTGGCTGTGGAGGTTGTGGTTGTGGAGGTCACAGTGGTGGTAATTTGTGTTTTGGGTGCTACTATTTTAGGTGTACGATTACACAGTTTCAGTTACCCCTAGTGTGGAGGCGATTGCGATGATTGCGGCGACTGCGGCGACTGCGGCGGTGGCTGCTGTGGAGGACACCGTCCTGCTATGCTCAAGGTTTTCATGATTCCCAACGGCGTCTACCAGGAAAATGCGTACTTGATGTGGGACGACTCGCTCAAATCTGGTAGGTGCATTTAAAAATGGAAGATAACACGTAGGCGCTCTCGTTGATCCAGGTGAAGAGCCTGACAAAATTGTCGATGCGATCGAGAAGTGCGGTGTAAACATATCCTATATTCGATTGTTGGAGAATGATTGTTATGGAGTTCTTTCACTGTCAAATCGAAAAGATTTTCCTCACGCACGGCCATCATGATCACTGCTCTGGTATCGCCAAGCTGCTGAATTCGATCGGCGAAATTCCCGTTTATATGAACCAGAACGATTTCCATCTATTTAAAGGCGTTGTCGAGGAGGGCAAAACGCTCGGATTGAATGTCCATGGAATGAAGCTTCTTGAGGTCTAGATTCCGATGAATTTTGTGAATGACAATGATCTCGTCTCTGTGGGAACGCGCGAGGGACGCGTCATCACCACGCCTGGACATACACAGGGATCCTGCTGCTATCAGTTTGGAACCTTTTTGTTTACGGGAGACACGCTGTTCAAGAGATCGATCGGACGCACCGATTTAGAAGGAGGCGAGTATGAGGCGATTTGCGAGACTTCCTTGTAGTTCACAGGCGATCATGGACTCCATTCAGAAGAAATTGTTCTTGCTGCCCTACGCCACTACAGTGCTGTGCGGCCACGGACCCATCACTACTCTGGCGGAGGAAATGGCAAAGAATCCGTATGTGGGTTTAGGAAACTGGAGTGTTTGTTATATATACCATAAAAAGAAGCTGGAAGTAACGAGCACGTTTGCCCGAGTGGTCTAAGGGGGTGGATTCAAGTCCCACTGTACGGAGTACTCGTGGGTTCAAATCCCACAGCGTGCATTTTTCGATCCTTTTTCTTTTATTATTATTGTTATTACTATAAAATATAATATTTCTTCTCCCTTTTGGGGTAATTCCCTCTCATTGCACTCTAAACCTTACAGTACAACCAGCCATATTGACAATTTTTGTTAAAGAAATCTATTTCACAATAGAATAGTTGATTCAAAATTGAACCCCTTGGTGCCATCGAACTATGTGCGAATTAATAGGTTTTCACTTGACCCCCTAGGTCCTATTTTCCAATAACCCAGATTACCTTGAATACTGTGGTTTTACTGAAGTAGATAAGTATGAAGGTAAGTAAATTGGGCATGGAAGACAACGCAATCATTTGTTTTGTGAACCCCGGACTCATTGTGTTTTAGCTTAACATCTGCTATCCCGCTCTCGGTTCTCAGAAGCCTATTGATATTGATGATGAGAACAAGCTGTACGAATTGTGTTTTGCTCGTTTATTGCTAGCCGTTGTCTGATGGACAAGAGAATTAGCCAGGAGGTTGAGGGAGACCTTCTCGGAGACGAGTTCAAGGGCTACGTCTTCCGGTAGGGGTTTTGCGTGTATTTGCTCATTTTTCAGCATCACTGGAGGAAACGATAAGCAGGGTTTCCCCATGAAGCAGGGAGTTCTCTGCAACTACCGTGTGCGTCTTCTGCTTGCCGACGGCATGTCCTGCTACCGTGCTCGTCGCGACGTTGGTTCGGAATCTTCATTTCACGTCTAGGGTGAGCGTAAGCGCAAGTCCGTGCGTGGCTGCATCGTGGGTTCGGATATCTGCGTCCTGAACCTGATGATCGTGAAGAAGGGCGAGCAGGAGATTCCGGGTCTGACCGACGAGGCCTCCGCGAAGCCCCGCCGCCTGGGTCCCAAGCGTGCCAGCCACATCCGCCAGCTGTTCGGTCTGAGCAAGAAGGACGACGTCCGCAAGTTCGTGGTGCGCCGCCAGTTCGAGCACAATGGCCACAAGCGCGACAAGGCGCCCAAGATCCAGCGTCTGGTGACCCACCTGCGTCTCTGCCACAAGCGTGCGAACGAGCGCGCCATGAAGCTGTCCCGCGAGAACTCGCGCCAGGAGGCCGCTGCCTACAAGCAGCGCATGGAGCAGCTGAAGAAGGAGAAGAAGGAGGCCCGCTCCACCCGCAAGTCGCACCACGAATAAGGCGATGGCAGTATGATCACAGTAAGAGGATATATTTTGGAGTGTTTGTTGGAGGAAAATGGAGGGAACGGAACGAGTGACAGATTTTGTTGCGGAAGTATGGATATGGATAGTGCGAGTAAGAAAGAACACGTTATTCTTGACCTGGACGCGTTTTCACTCTCATCCCAGAAAAAGGTGGGGAAATCGAAGAGAAATTATTCGCAGAGGTCAAAGCGATCGTCAACTACATTTTCACGGAATTCAAACACACAGTAGAGGCAATTCGTGTCATCATCACAAACAGGAAAGGCTCAAAGCGTGTAGCTTCGGAATCAAATCGAGAGTATGCATCGGAGTCGTCCAAGGAAGAGAAGGACGATAGTGAACCTCATTGCATCATTTCGATTTGTGAAAACCGGGCTCATGAGATTGGAGTCGCAGAAATTGACCTCAATCGGCTCCACACCTTCGAACTCACCCAGTTTTCCGACTCCTCTTCCTATTCTCTGATCTCTTCTCACATTCTACAGTATTTCTCACATCACCTGCTAATTTAGACGCAAATACCAAGTGGTTCTGTTCCCCAACAGCCAGAAAAACTCCCATCTCTACAAGACCTTGGAATCCACCCTCGCAAACCATTCCGACTACCAGCTCCTGCCCGTGGCTCGCAAATACTACGACGAAACCGAGGGGCAGAAGCAGATTAGCGAGTTAATGGTTGTCTGGTGTCGGATGTGTCTCACAGACAGAGTCCCACGAGTTCATTCACTCTGGAAAACGACATGGAGAAGAAATACCTCGCGCTCGCAGCCGCTGTAGGTTTCTCCATCGGTATCGACGTAGTGCTGCGTGTTGAAGTATCTGCAGTTCACAAAGGGGATCCTCCTCCACGCAAACAGCGTTCTTGTCGAGTGGAAAAGTCGCTTCTTTCCGCACCCTGCACTCTCTAGACCTGCTCAACACGCTCCATCTGAGCTTCGCCACGATCTCGCAGCTCGAACTGCTGTTCAATCGCAAGACGCAGTCCACGAAAGGCTCGGTCTTCGAATCGATCAATCGCACCGTGACGCCTGGAGGCAAGCAGATGCTCCGAAGCTGGCTGCAAAGCCCGTCCGCCGAAGAAGTGGGCCAAAGGCTTTCAATGGGAACTAGGCGACGATCAACGGGCGACTGGACGTTGTGGAGGAGTTGCTGCGAAGTCCGGAGAAGCGATCGATGCTTCGCGAGGTAGAATGAGAGAGAGAGAAAATGAAAGAAAGCTGCTGCAGCTCTACGGAAACGTGGACGGCGTGCTCTCCAATCTGGTGAATAAGAGCTCGGAGAGTTCGGTGCGCGCTTCTGTGCGATTGGTGAAGAGCTATCTGCAGCTGATTCGCAACTGCGAGCTCGTAGTTGAGGGATTGCAATCGATGAGGCGAAGATGGGTCAGCTGAGCGAGTGTCTGAGCGACTGCAGCAGCGAAGTTGCGCGAGCGATCGGTCGGATCTGCGAACGGCGCGAGTGGAGCGATCTCCACGCGCTGCTGAGTCAGTATTTCGATCCCAATTTCAAGTTTGGATTGCGCGAGAGGAGTGAAGGGAAGCTTCTCGATGAACGGCGCGTCGAAACATCAGCTGTGTCTGTGTTTGAAGGCGGGGATCGACGCCAGTCTGGACGTCAATCGCTCCGTGTATTTGCAGGCCGTCGACGACACGGTGCTGCTGATCAAGGAGTATCAGCAGCAATGTAGCGATGGAGAGAAGGGTCCAGTGCAGACACGTTCGATTTGAAAATGATGAATACGGTGTCCCGCGGGTATTACCTCGTCGTGGCTTCCAAAAACCGCGGACTGCTCAGCGAGTGGTGGACTGGAAAGGGCTTCCATTCAGCGATTTCTTCGAGTTGGGGAAGGAAAAAGGCGCGCAGATCGCCGTCAGCACGCAGGACTTGATGTCCCTCAATCTCAAGTACCTTCCTTTTCTTTACGCTCCTTCTTTTCAGATGTACGGAGTGCCAAACCACCGTGTTTCGGATTGTCAACGACGTACCCTTCCCATCTTCTCTCCTCTCCAGCTTCTCGCCGAGCTCGCCGACTCGCTTCGATCCTTCATCGCGCTTTTATGCAAGGCATGGGTTCCTTCCATCGCTTCATCCCAGGGCAACGACGCTCTCTCTCTCCTCGACATTCTCTCCAGCTTCGCCGTTCTCGTCTCCCAATCCTCCATGCCCTGGTCTCGGCCCAAATTCAACTCCGGGAACGTTCTTCCCTTCTCTCTCTCCCTCATTCTCTAGATGATCGCATTCAAGCAAAACTGGCGTCGCTGCGCTCCATTCCCTCCATTCTAGACCCCCTCGCTGTCTCCGACTCCGTCATTTCCAACGATCTCCTCCTCACCGCCTTCACGCCCCACCAGCTCGTCCTCGGTCCCAACTGCTCCGGCAAAACCACCTTCATCAAGCAGATCGGCGTCGCCTGCGTGCTGGCTCAGCTCGGCTGCTTCGTCCCCGCGCAGTACGGCCACGTCCCGATCTTCGAGAGCCTGGCGATGTGCGGAGGCGAGGAGGAGTCGATCGAGAGCGGACTGAGCTCGTTCGCGCGCGAGGTCCGGTGCATTCGAGACGTGTTCGACGGACTGAGCGGATGCAGCTTGCTGCTCTGCGATGAGTTCGGGAAAAGGTAGGGAGAGAGGGAGGAGAGGAACGTAGCACCTCGCTGGAATGCGCTTTGTCGCTGCACTGGTCGCTGCTGGAGTTCTGCTCGACGCGGCCTGCGCTGTTCTCGCTGTTCTCGACGCATTTCATGCCTGTGGGGCGATCGATGATGGAGGATTCTGCGTAGCTCGCGTCGATTCGCAATTGCTACACGACGGTGAAGACGTCCTTCATGAAAACCGCCTTCGATCCGTCCAACGCTCCGCGTTTTCTGTGCTCGATTGCTGTGTTGGGCGATGGGGTCTAGATATAAAAACGTGCTGGTGTCGAATAGCCAGGACGCCGTCGCGAAGGAGTTCAAAGATGAGATGGATCGGCATTACGGAATCATCGCAGCGCGGCTCTGCGGGCTTCCCGAGTCGCTGGTGTCGCAAGCTGAAGCGATCGTGCCTTCGATTCGCGTGAAAACGTTGCGATGCGATGACCAGGACGGAGTGCAGCGCGTGCTTCTGCGCCAAGAAGTGATGCAACGGCTGACGCCACTGGTGTCGTACTCCTCGCTGAAGGGAGATGGAGTGAGAGAAATATGGAGAGAAGCTGAGTCGTAGCTGAAGTCCTATCTAGAAACGCTCAAGAACAAGTATAAGTAGAGGATGTTTGTAAGAAACACTTCACTTACAATACGTAAACGTATCTTCAAAGACTCTGGGATATTTCTTTACACGCGATTTTTTATCGTACCCACACGCCTGAATTCCCACAGGTCGGAAATGGCTGGGGATGTTCAGAATCTTCTTGACCTTCGATTCGTCAAACCCTCCAACCCAGCAAGAGCCTAATAGTAATACAGTTGCGACACTCCATACGAAGACCCTCTTCTTGCACTGCCAGCAATGCATAGGTTTGGGCGATGGCCGCATCTTGAATATACCACAAGGAAATTGCCCGATCACCCCAAGAGCTGTCTTCACACTCGCTACAGAAAACAAAGAGCAGTGGCGCCTAAGCATAATCATGCAAATCGAGCACCTACAGACTTCACCCAGTTCTGGCCAGAAGCACTCGTGATTTTCTCAATCAAATCTCTGTTTGTTACAACATAAGTATGAAATGACTAACGATTATTTGAAAACCGTACAAACCTACATGAGGACCGAAAGAGTTAGGACACAGATCGATTCTCTTCACGATACGGCTGATTATTTCATCAGAAACGGGAGCACTGTCGAACCTAAGAATAAGTCAGTACAAAAAAGGAAACATTCTACAACTATGTCTCTCCTCAATGATCTCGTCAAAAGTTTTACTCATAATAGTGGGGTCAAACAAAAAATGAGGAGCCAATCCTATTCTGGAAATAGCCACGATTTTTGTACTTCCTTTCTGTGGGTGTGTTCGGCTTCCTAATAGTATTCGAAATGAAGATTACGTAATGTGCAATGTATACGACTATTCGAAAAATATTCTCTGACCAGAATTTTGGAAAAAAGGAAGCGAGAGGGGATAGAAGCGTTTCTTCGTTAATAAGGCTTGAAATGCATGTCTGTATACTTTTGCAGTGTATGTGATGCTTTTCATAATGTTTAGACATAGAGAGGTAACTAATGATGAAGTTGGAAAGTAGGAGAAATGTAGATAACACCCTGCGGTTTGTGTACTGTTAAGAATAAGATAAAAAAGGAAGGGAATACGATCCACTGTGGTTGAATTGGGAATTACGGAATTTTTCTTTCCAGTGTGTGAATATGTGAAGTTACATCTCTGACTTCACAATAAATGCTAATAGTAAACTTTTCTCTGAAATCGTTAGGGTTTATGAGGTAGTGTAACCATGTCAAACAGGTTCGTTAGGGAATGATTTGTACAATTCGAGGTAGTGTATTATTAAAAGTAAACATTTGCAATGTGTAACCATAAAAACGGAAGTGTTATCCATAACAATGGCACATTGTTTTCATTCACTTGCTTATTTTGCTTTGTACTTTCTATTTACAATACTATTTTAACCTGCAATCGATATTTTCTCATACAGTGAATGTATATCATATATATATATATATATACTCACAGCTATGGTAAAAGAAGCTTACACTATTATCAACCAAAATCATAAATATAGGAGAGAAATCAAATGAAATGAAATCACACTAATTTATGTATTCTTCATGCTTTTAATCTTTTACGATCTTATATTACTGGCATTTTTGTCTTCAATATATATCGTACTATCACTTGTATCCATTCCAAGAAAAGCTCATATTCATTACACATTCATTCAACCAATATGTCGGACTGTATCAAATTCTACAATCTAGTCAAGAGTTCAAATCAATCTATCTTGTACATAATGCGTCGAAATCACCAAAGTTACCAAATCCATCAAAAAAATAATTCACTGAATGTATAATGTTCATGCTACCAATAATTACTCATATCCCCAACTTTATTTATTCAAATAATACATGACTCTTTACGAAACTCAATTGGAATGTCGAGATATGTGAATTGTTTCGCGAATGCCTACGTAAGCATATGGAATATTATCGGATGGGTTAGAAATTTACTACAAAATAAGAATCAGATTGAGAATAGAACAAAGCAAAGTCATGTGTAAAATGAGCATTTCATTAACTTTCGTTTATTATACCTTTTTAAGCAGGTTACCTTTGCACAATATTTGATCGTATCATACAATATTATACATTCTTTATGTTGTTAAATTAACAGAAAGTAATCTCTGTTTATAAAAACATTACTGATGCGGTATCATTCGGTCTTATTTGCTCTACTCGCACTTGCTGTCTGCTTTTCTGTCGTGGAGGCACGCTCTAGAGGAACGGTGGGGTTTATGTTATTTTACGTTATGTCCAGAAAAGAGAGCCTAGGATCACGAAAAGAGTCTTCTTTGATATTGAAATTGATGGCCAAAAGGTCGGCAGAATTGTTATGGGCCTGTTTGGATCTTTATTGGTTTTCATTGTAGATTTGGAAGAACTGCCCCTAGAACTGTTGAAAATTTCCGTGCTTTGTGCACTGGAGAGAAGGGAATCGGCAGGAGCGGAATGCCGTTGCATTACAAGGGAACCGTTTTCCATCGTATCATTCCGCATTTGATGATTCAGGGCGGTGATATTACTGCTGGAAATGGAACCGGAGGTGAGTCCATTTATGGCCACAGATTCCCGAACGAAAACTTTAGAATGAAGCATGTGGGTCCTGGTTTGCTGTCGATGGTCAATTCTGGACCGAATGCGAATGGATCTCAGTTCTTCATTACTACCGTACTGACTCACCTAATCCATTTCACTCTTAGGTTAAAGCCCAGTGGCTGGATCGTCGTCATGTTGTTTTTGGCAGAGTCATTGAAGGTATGAAGATCGTGAAGATGATCGAAGCTCTTGGAACAGGCAATGGAACGCCTCTGAAGTATTTGAAGGAGTGGTTGTATAATGTTTAGGAAGGTTGTTATTGCTGACAGTGGAGAGCTGTGAATTGTTTGTTAATACTAATAATAAAGTTGAGTGAAAATAGATTTTAGAAACAATAATGAATCATTTATGTATGTATAGTAAAATAGGTGGTATGTTAGTTTATGTTATAAATGATAATGCTTCCTATACGATTCATTTATTCATTCTTTTTCTTTTGGATCAATTAAGTCTTTGCAGATCACTCCTAATACGGTCATCACTCTTTTCATAAATCAACAGCATAGTCAGATTGATTCTATGGTTCAAAAAAAAGCCATTCACTCCTCGTCTCAGTAATCCGAATTCAGACAATACTTGCATTTATGTTATTGGTTTCTTTTCAGAATCTTCTGTATTCCATTGTTTTTGATTTCGTCTCTATCTGAGATTCTGTAGGCTTTCTACACCATTCTCTCTTACATTACTTACCCATAGCCCCATTTCTTCTTTATTCGCTTTTCACAACGAATGACTTAACACCAACAATCACCATACACACCTACAACCTTCAGGATTATTGGAATCTCTATCAGGTAGTATAAATCTCATTGATCTAAAAAATAGATATATACTCTCTATCCTCTCTAATGTGTGAATTACCAACCTCCAATCCACCCATCCATTCTATTCGTTGCCTCCCTTCACTCCGTGTATAACCACTAATTTACTAACAAAATCAATCCTCTATGAATGAAAAGCACTATATTCAAGCAAAAACAAGTTTGCAACAAACAATGAACTCACTCAGCCATCCCATGAAACAAATTAGCCATCTCGAAATATAAGGTAATTGAGCTTTGTCAGTCGCTACTTCAGCAAGCATCGATGACTCACAAATCACCATCCACAACAAAACGACAATCAAAATCGCCATAAACACATCAACGGAATAATGAAATCGGCTCTACACTCAACCCTTCCAGCTACGCACACCATAACAATCATATAACAGCACGCCAAGGCAACACTGAATGCTACCAAAAATAAAGGAACGAAGATATGAGCGTTTTCAGCGCGAATCATCGAGGCGTACGCCTACTGAGAACTCTCCCCAGCTCTGTACGCAAACAGCCGTGATGAGATAGCGAGTATGTCCGCTAAACAACATATCGCCGCTTGTTTCGATGTCTTGTGGATTGTGCAAACGAGTGAACGTGTAGTTTACAACCTGCGCGAGCGTGATCTCTTCTGGTTTCTGCTCTTCGGACGTGGTGTTAAGAACGTTAACAAGGTAGAGAGAGAGCAAAAAAAGATATGATCGACTCGGGTTATATTCACTGGGGTCGGGAAGACTGGTCATGCAAAAGATGAATGGGCGTAAAAGAGCCGTGATTCCTAACATGAAGAGAATTCGGCGAAGGAGAAGGAAATCATCGTTGTTGTTGATCATCAGAAACAGTGCGGAAAACACAAGTCCTCCAAGTAGGATGTTTATGACTGCTTCTGTCTTCAACTTCCCAAAGAAAGGGACATTTAAGTATTGCTTCTACAATCAGCAAGAAACACGAGACCTCACTTCTTTGATAAAATCAAACCCATAATCAGGAAGAGGAGTGGGAGGAGTTCTAGTTTAGAGGTGTAAATGGTACAAACCTGTTGAAGGAAATGTAGGTACCGCTCAATTCGTAAAATTCACACAAGAGATAAAAGCAAAGACACATCTATTTGTTACCGCTACTACAGAAACCCACAAAAGTCTTGAGATGGTTCGGGTGATAAAAACCAAGCCCAAGTATGATAGCTATGATCACAACAATCTGAGAGCACGAAATATATGATGCCTTATCTAAATTTCACTCCTTACGAAAATGTCAACTATTCAAACGAAAGGTTCCTACTGTAATAGGAACCAGAAGGAGAAGAATTATCGCGAGAAATACGTAAAACTCTGTTGAATACAGTTCTTCCATCTTCAAAGAATTTATGAACAAACACATACTCAAAAGACGAAAAGAATGCAAAAGGGTAAAATATTAGTTTTTACGCATAGAAAAGTCAATTGGTGGCTTATAGCGGACCATCCTTCTTGTAGGTTTCCCATTATCATTCGTTATTTCTAGCTTAAAGAAAAGTGGGTGAAACTCCTCTTCCGACGTCATCACAGACCATTCGCTACAGTAGTCAATCAGATCCTTCTACTAGTAACCACAGCTACACTCCATTACAGAATCACTCTGCAAACGTCCGTAACAGATCTGACAGACCTTCTTACTCCGAGTATGCGGCCAACGACAATTGTTATACTAGAAAATCACCCATATGCCACAAGCAACTACATTATCATACAAAACGCATACTGCGTCCAGATCCACCATATTCACATAGCCATAGCCCATGTTACACTTTGTTTTCTGGTCTATTGGCAGATAAAGGAAATCATACATATCCTTGCACTTCTCATCAATGATCTGAACGAATGTCTTGCGTGAGTAGCTGTGCATTATGCGAGGAAATAATAAGCAGCCCTACCAGTTCGGAATGTTTCGGATCATCAACGTGGTGCGCTTATCCTCATGACGTCGGACTTTGTCAATATCCAAAGTACAATCAAGATCCGGATGCTTCGGATTGGGAACGAAAGAATCCGAATGAGAGGACATGGGAGTGGAACTTTTAGGGACTGTCATAAAAGGGTTGCTGTAGTTCGAGCCAATCACTGCCGCGTTGCTTGGAACATAATACCTAGGGATAGGAGGATACGTAGCAAAGTAGGATGGGTTCATAAACGAATTCGGAACCCGAGAAACAGGTGGAATACTCATAGGCATGTCACTTAAACCGCCCTGATTTGGAAACACTGATAATGTGCTTGATGGGGGCCGATACATAGAATTCTGGTAATAACTATCCGAGCAAGTAAAGTCTAAACCATTCCTATTATCTGAAACTGGATTATAATACATAGGGTCGCTTTCTATAGGCGATCTCATAGTTCCGATAAAATTCTAAACGGTAAGATTCACCGTGACAAAGAATCAACAGAACTATTTGAACCACCCATCGGAAATGATGACTGGTTAGTGAGTTGATACTCTCTCGAAGTATCTCCATTGCTGTAGCGATCTCCATTTATACTCAGGGATGGAAACTGCGCAAAGCCGGCTGACTACAATTCATACCAAACGCTCACGGATACAGGAGTCGGAGACCATTCTGCCGTAGAATATGAGGTTCCCTCCATCCTACAATCCTCTAAACCCCTGTTAGCTCAACACTTTTCAAACACCTCAAAATAATCTCTCGCTTAATGTATAGCTTTGCGACCAGAGCCATGCCCGGAAAATACACTTACAGATAGTTGGAAGTTAATAATTAAGCAATAATGTACTTTGAGCAAAAAAGGCTAGTTCCCTGTAGCTGATTTAAATTTAAAATCTATTTTTAGTTTGTGGATTATTTAGAGTCAATAGTGAATATCGAAAGCACCTGAAAAGAGATGGCTCCAAATCAAAGGCGAGTATCTTTTCTCCCTCCTTCCGCAGATTCCCTCAACAAAGAAAACTCGATTCTCAATGATGACGAGAAAGAACGAGAGATGCGGCATGCTATTGTGATTTCGTTCATCTAAAGGAAAATCCAGAGACAAAGCCTAATTGCAGCTCGGCGACTTACTGAGAATCAGTCAAAACCAGAGCCGTTTCGAATTTGCTTCATGTTGAGTAATAGGAATCGTTCTGCAAAAATCGCTGCTATGTATGATGCGGTAATGAGACTTTCTAGCGAAAATGTGATAGTTCGGACTCTTTTTCATAAGTAGAAGATTAACCAAAAGAATACATGGAATTTGGATCTTATTAATCACATAGAAGACGTTTTACTGGATGGAAGGTGTTCGTTACCGAATTCCTTACCTCTAGCGAAAACCAAGAGCCCAACTTCCAAAAAGCGGGTACTACGCTTGATGCCTCGGTGAAAATTTATGGCTATCGAGTTGACGATACCCTGCATACTGGTTATCGAATCTTGGATAATTTAAATCGCGGGGAACAATCAAAGCAGTCCGCAGAAACGTCCAAACCGCGTCATAAAGCTGAAAACGGAGCTGAAGGAAGCAGTAAAGCCGCGAGCACAATCGAAACAAATCTTCGAAACATCGAAATGGACCCTTCCGACTTCCAATTCAACGCAGATCCGCTCTTTCATCTCATGAGTCGCCAGTTTGATGAGGGAGGCGTGAAGGGATTGCTGCTCTCGAACCTAGTAAAGCGTTTGGATTCGTCGTTTGATCAAAGAGTGTCGATCCAGATTGCACGGTCGTGTTCGACTCCAATCAACTCATCGAAATCGCAGAAGAGTTGAAGCCCGGAGCGCAATCCCAGGCGGAATCCCAGGCGGAATCCCAATCAGAATCGTTCGTTTCTTCGTTTAATACGTTTGTGGATACCGAGGAGTTGATGGTGTTGGATTGGCCTTGCTTTGATTCTAGCATTCCGCCACGAAGAAAGAGAAAAAGCCGCTCTCGGAGATTCTAGAACTGCCCATCTGCCCCGATCTTTCTCTTCTCATCAACGAAATTCTCGCGTATGATCCTTCCGCTGTTCTCTGTGTTTTGTTCCCTGTGATCTGCAGAGCGATCTGCGGTCCCCAATGGAAATCGAGGATCCTTCCAATCGCTCGCTCTCCGTTCTGGAAGATTATCACGTGGAGCTCGATGACGAAGTGGCGCCGATTCCCGTTCTCTCCGAAGCGGAAGTGTCTTTCGAAGCGCCAAACATGTCCATCCAAACCGACCCTCTTCAATCAACGCAGAGCCTTGAAAACGCAGAGCCTTTCCCGATAAACACACCCCTTTCCTCCACCAATAGCAATCAAAATATCGAAACAATGGGCACGAACTCTACTCCCAATAATAGAAATAACAATAACAATAACAATAATAGCATTGAAACAATGATTGCTAATTCCACTCCCACCACCTATTCCTATTTTACACCCAGCGATTTGGTGACTGCGTGGGCAGGTCCTTCGTATTGGAAACTTCGGAAAGGCGCAAAACCGAAGAAGGCTCCGGTAGAACGCGTTCAGAAAGCGAAAAAGAAGCAGATTATCGAGTTTTCGAAAGAGTTGGTGGTGAAGCCTACTGCTCTTTTTCCAGCCGTGAAACGAACGTCCGATCTGACGATCAACGATTCCACTTTTGAAAATGGGAGTTTGCATGTCCTCCCAGATGACTATCACTACAATATCGATGTTGCACTTCGCTTTACGATTTCATGAATAGCGATTACAGCATCTCGAGTGTCGTCCAGATATTTCTCTTCGTCGAATTGTCCGTTTCGACACGTCCTCGGGCGCGTCGCTCACTCCCGATGAATGGGAAGTTTCTCCTCATAACGTCGATCTTGGCGGCTGCGCACTCGATAATCCAATGGATTTGATTCCGAATGAGATCACTGAAATGCCTGCGATTGATGTCGATGAAGACTCGCTCGTTTTGTCAACGCATCCTGACCTGGAAGTGAGTCATGCCGGGTTTATTAGCGAGCTGAAAGAAAGCGGTAAAAGCAACGCTTTGATGCTATGTAGAAACGGAAACGTCGAACGGCCTTGGGTCCTTCGTGAAGGCAGATCGAGTTGTTGAAGAGATTAAGATTCAGTATGCAAGCAAATCGACTCAGGTTGATATTCACAGACTCAAAGTGAGAATGGAAGGTGGGTTTGTTTGATAGGCCACGATTTGGAAAGTGGTTGAACGAGAACTCCGGGAACGAGACGCGGTTTCTTTTATGGAAGTAGTGCGAATGGTGAAGGAATCATCGTTTTCGGATACTGCGATCCAGTTTTTCTTTATCTGTATTTTGCATATATCCTATGACGTGAAAATCAAATCGTGTTATCATCCTTCACGAGCAGTTAGCGAACGAAAAAGGGTTGAAGCTCGACCAGTCAAATCAGAAAGAGATTTTCATTCGGATGTCTTCTCAGTAGAATGTGTTTTTGTTTGTTTGTTTGTTTGTTTGTTTGTTTGTTTGTTTGTTTGTTTGTTTGTTTGTTTGTTTGTTTGTTTGAGCATACAAACAAGGCAAAAGTACCTTGAATACTTTTCCAACAAAGTAGCATGCAATTCGCGAAGCATGTTCATGTTCTCAACTGATGGCGAATTCTCATATTGCTGGATCAAACTGGATAACTCCTACATACCCAAAGCAATCGAATCCCGTACAGCTATGTTATCTTGAAGTGTAAACACACATGGATTTCGTCCTTGCTGGAATTTCGCAGCAATTCCTTTTAAACTACCTAAAAACAAAGAAACCTCTTCTATATAGTCCGAAGAAAACGCACTGCTCTTCCCACAATTCAAGTGTTCTGAAGAAGACTGGGACGTTGTTGCTATTCATCAAAAAAGCAAAAAACACTTACCACCTTCACTTCTAAAGGAGGAGTTCTTGCGAGGGATTTCAATATAATAATCATCTGCAGTAACATGACACTTGAGTAAACTTTTATAATTTTCATAATCAGGAGCAGAAAAGCTAATCGATCACATAAAATTTTCAAAATAAACACCTTTTAAAAGTAATGGCTTTATCCTCCAGTAAAACGGGATCAGGCAAATATTTTTGAAATAGCATTCCATCGATTAGTATAGAATCTGCGTATCACTTCAATGGGAAGCGTAGTTACCTTGATCATTTATGCGAGAATTATCAGTAAAAAATCCAACATCTGATGCATCATGTAATCGATTCATCATCTTGGACACGGTATCGGCTCACTCGAAGAAAATGAATGGCAATTGGAAGTGAGGCACTATGATATTTAAATTTTGTATTTCTTGAAAAGAATTATTTAGTAAAATTGCAGGGACAATTGTTGAAGGGTAATTAACCACACACTATGAATGTGGTATTCACATTCGTATTCAAATTGTTTGCACTTTCGTATCACAGACTTAAAACGATCAATTGTTATTTTCACTGTAATTTCAAATATAGAGGACGGTAGGGTAAAGTAGTGTGTATTTTTAGTCTGTAGAAGTATGATACAGAATAAATAACCAAAAACTGAGTCAAGTGGACCAACTTGGAAGATTGTTCCATATGGATAGCATAATATCATTGACACGGAGCCTCTTCTTAGAGGATATGACGTAGAGTCGGATCCTCAGTGTAGGATATCACTTTTTGTGTTTCTTTTCATAGTTTCTTGTTTTTTTCTTCAATTTACGTATCTGTATCGTGGTGCTTGTGTATTTCTGCATTCAAACAGGAAAAATTATAAAGCTTGTATTCATTATTCTTGGCGTTTGACACATTTATCACTTTTTCCATTCATTTCGATGGACGAGCAACTTGGTTTGATGATCGCTTCCTTGCAAGATCAGTGGTGTGTTCGTGGACAGCGTACAGAAGAGGATGAGAAGGTGATTCAAGCGATTGTAAAGAATAGCAAGGAGAGTGGTCATCGATTCCGGTGATTCTACTTTTAGTTGTACTCTAATGAAGTGTTTGTCACAAACAATCGATCCTACTATCTTTCTGGTTTGGTTGCTTTTTTTATTCGGTTTGTTTTCTTGTGTTTTTTTTTGTTTTTTTGTTTTATCCATTTTGTTTTCCTCACATTCTCTCCTTCTTTCCAGGCATAAACCCAATTCCTCCTCCACTACTCATCGGCGACATCCCTTGTCCCACAACAAATTGACTCGCATTCATGCGTCTCTCTCCGAACCTCGCCGCCATCAGCTCCGAATACACGTTCTCCAGACATCTCCGCACATCTCCATACGAGCACACCAGCACCGTCTTTCCATCCGGACTGCACAACGGAATCGTTTCCGGGTCGCCAACATCCAACTTGGCCAGCGAATCGATCACATGGCCGAAGTCCACAACCGCTCTTCCCTCCTCGTCCTTCTGATGAAACACAAAGTCGCGAAACAGCCGCAGAATGTACCGATCGCCCGTATCGCTCCAGCTGTACCCTCCCTTCTCGTCGGGACGCTCATTCACGAACGCCAGCTTGGTGAGAAGCCGCATATACCGACCGTTCGCGTACTCTTTTCGCTAGAAATCAGCGCCCTTCTTCGCGTCTACGAGATCGTTGTAGTACGTGTCGCATGTCGAGAGCGAGCTGTTCAGCGTCTTCACGATCTGCGCAGTGCACTGCTCTAACACGACGGACGCGGGCGACTGTGCGGAAAGCAGCAGCTGCACGACCTTCACGAACTTCTCGCTGTAATGCACGGCCAGCGTTTTGATGTCGGGCGGAACGCCGCGACAGCCGAGCACGACGAGCAGAGAGCCGAGCTGATAAAGATCCTTGGCTTGGAGATCTTGATTGGTGCTGTGCGGCTCGAGAATGTCCATCACGCCGACACTGCCGATCCGGAACCGGTTTCGCTCGGTCATGAGGACGTGGCGGTAGTCCATGGTGCGACAGGCGAGATTGTAGGCGTGGATGGTCTGCAGAGCGGAGAGCAGCTGGATGGCGATGCACCAGAGAAGGTCTTCGGGGAGAGGAGCGGAGCCAGGCAGGACGTTCTGCGAGGATCAAGGAGAAAAGAGAGAGAGAAGTACTTTGAGGAAAGAGTCGTAGAGACTGGTCGCGGTGGGGTAGAAGTCGTGGACGAAGAAAACAGCGCCGTTGCTGAGGTAGCAGTTGCGCAAAGCGATGATGTTGGGGTGATGAACGCGCTTCCACGCATTCAAAACCATCGCCTTTCACATAATAAAAAAGCACAGAGTCCGCTTACCACCATCTCGTTGTTCGTGCGAACTCGCTCCACACGACGCAAAGCGTAGCTCATCCCGTCCGTTACGTCCACCACTTTGTAGAGAGAGGTGAGAAAGCCGAAGGAGCCGGTCACCATTTCCTTCTCCGCGTCGTCGAAGACGCGCATAGAGCAATAGCAAGGCGGGATCTGCTTGTAGCGAGGATCGTCCGGAGCTTCTTGAGCCATGATCTCGCGAGCCTGGACGTGAGGGAAGGGAGAGAAAGACAAACTTCCCGCTCAAACTGACGCGACATTTCGCGAGGGACGAAGATGGTGGAAAAGGTTTGCTGGGTCCGAACCTGAGTTAGAAAAGGAGTTTCCCCCATTGAGGGATTAGGTCGCATGACTGTCTCCTTTGGATGAACAAAACAGTACGAAATAAACAGAAAGATACGAATTCTCAACATACCCCTCCGAAGGGTAGTTCACCTATCAATTAGAACAGGCACAAAAATCCACTGAATGAGCGGATCTCAGAGCTACTGGAGAATACGAATCTAGGAATGATAAAACAACCAAGTTCGTGCTGGCAGATTCTGGATGGAGTGAATGTGACTATGAAATGAGAAAACATAGGTTTTTAATTTACCGATGAAGATACTGAAGGTGTGAACGGAATTGCTTCAGACTTCATCGATTTCGATACAGATTGAGGAACAAATGGAGCCGCTTCAAGTGCTTTCTAAAATATTGAAAGAGGCAAGAGATTCTCTACAGTGAGCGAAGTGGCTTGCTCCTCTGTTTTCGGTGGAGGTGTTTCATTAGCAGATGGTTTACTGTTTTCTGAATCCATACTCCTGCGGGATTTCAGTGGCTCCTATTGCATAGCACTCTAAATCCTTCGAAAGTGAAGGCAGGACTTCCGCGGTTATCGGATCTTTTGATGGGAAGTATGTTATATCACTGTATTTAAAAACAAACACATCAAACATCATCCGCTTCGATCTTGGCAAGACTCATTCGCGTCACTTCACTCATCGGCTCATTCTCCCAGTTCCCCGAGGAACCACGTGCATTTGGAATGTGTCTGTCGTTCGGGAAGATATCTAAACTCAGAAACCAATCCAACACGCCAAACCCTTTAGATCGCACGTCTCGATCGGCGCGAATATAATATCAGCCTGAATGAACTACCCATCACTCTCCAGCTCCACTCCTACTTGCTGTCTCCGCAAATACTCATCCAGCAGTTTCCCCTCGTACCACGTTTCCACTCTACACCTCACACACTCCCTCTCCTCCCACTCCTCTTCCCTGGGCTGCGGTGGCTGCGGCGGTTGCGGTGGCTGCGGCGCAGGATTGATCACGCGTTGCGGCGCTTTCTGCGGCGATGCCACGCGCACCGGGGACGCCGCGCCCTTCTGCATGGCCTCATTAACTTTGTGCTTGGATTGGGTCGGTGGTGGCGGGATGGGCGGCGTCTGCGACGAAGCTGGAGTTACGGGCGCTTTGGCAAGCGTCGGCGAGACGGCCGGCTTCAAGGGCGTTTGCGACTTGGACGCAGAGGCGACGGGGGATTTGGCGGGCTGCTGGACGGGGAGCTTCGTGGGAGTGGCGGCAATGGCGGGCTTGGAGGGCGTTACGGACTTGGGCGTGGCGGCAGGCGTGGATTTGACGGGGGTGGGAGCGACGCGCGGCGAAGCCGATCCGTTCCAAGAACGATTCAATGCCTGGGGCGAAGAACGAGGCGAGGAGGGAGTCAGGCGAGAAGACGCAGGGCGTGGAGACGAAGAAGAGGAAGACTGTCCTTGGAAGAAGTTTTTGAGATTGGCGATGGAGGGAGAGACCGGAGAACCCGAACGTCCGCCCTCGCGAAGCCGATTCTTCTTCTCTTCTTCCTCTTGGCGCAGCTGGCGAAGCCGCTCTTCGTCCTCGTTCTTCAGCTGAATCAGTCCTTCCAAGCGCGAAGACGGCACGGCTTTATCGGACTATCATCGAGACCGCTCCGCAGCCCCACTTTGGCGATGTCGTCTTTGACTAACAGCTCGATCATGTCGGTTCGCGATCCCACCGCGGTGATGCCGCGTCGCTGGCACTCGCTCACGAGCTGATCCGAGGTGAAGTGTCGGTAAGTTTGCGTGATGTCGTAGTTCGAAGCGGGCTTGGAGACGCTGGAAGCAGCAGGCGAAGACGGCGGGGCGGGAGGAGGCGACGGCGTGGTGGGCATGTGATTGATTCGAGACGAGGGAGCGGCGGAGGGAATGGCCGGTGCTGGCCCCAGAGCACGCGGAGAGGCACTTTGGGAGGTGGGAGATTTGGCGGAAGGGGAGGCGGAGGGGGCTGTGGAGGCAGAGACGGAAGCGGAGGCGGAGGCGTTGAAGGAAGGAACGCGCGTGAGAGAACTGGGCGGAGAGAGCAAGCGCGATGGAACAGTGCTGGGAGGAGTGTTCTTCGGGGTGTTGGAAGTGGATCCCTTTGAAACACTGGATGGAACTCCCTTCGGCGTGTTGAGAGCATTGTTTTTGGGCGTGCTGAGAGCATTGCCTTTGGGTGTGTTGAGCGCATTGCCTTTGGGCATATTTGTTGCATTTACTTTCTGACCATTTGATGCATTTAAGGTGTTGGGTACACTAATGCCAGTTCCATTGGGAACAACTGGAATTCGGGACTCGACGGGCTTCCTAGGTGTAGCTCCAAAATGTGGCTGCCGCGGAGAACGTTCACCGTTTAAATCCTCGCTCACCTCGCGAATAGGATCAAGCTTCCCTCCCTAAATAATAATATTCATATAAATAAAATCCACCTTCTGGACAGAGTCAGATTCCAATTCCAGTTGAATTAGCTTATGTTGATCCACCTAAACATTTAAATAGAAAACCGTCCCAAACGCATGACTTTAACCACTTTTGAATTTCTGCATACGCAGAATCGCAATTTCTACGTGCCTTTTGTAAGGCTTCCTAAATCTCACACAGACAGAGTATATGCAACATCCATCTTCAATGACATGGAATTCACATCAAACCTTGTAGCACTCTGCATTGGATCTGGTTGATTTAGAAATATTGAGAAGAAAAGTTGTGGGATCCCACCGAATGAAAAGAAGAGCTTATTACGTGTATTATTAATGTTGGGAGTGTGTATTCTATTTAGGCGCACAAGTTGTGAAAAATACGAGAGTGTCTTGTTATACTGACTACTAGAACGTTGAAAAGGGGGAGTTTCGTTGGCCATTGATCTCGTCATTCATCTTTTTTTTACATGTCTTCTGCTGAGTCCACTACTGAAAAGCGAAAGGTTGCCTTGATCACCGGTATTACGGGTCAGGATGGTTCCTATCTTGCTGAGTTGTTATTGTCCAAGGTGCCCATTTTAACTGTATTGTGATGTTTAGGGATATGAAGTGCACGGAATCATTAGACGCTCTTCTTCATTCAACACTGGAAGAATCAACCATCTTTACAAGGATCCTCACAATCAGGGTGTCCGTTTCTTCCTTCACTATGGAGATCTCACCGATTCTTCCAATCTGTGCGGACTGATGGCCAAGATCCAGCCTGATGAGATCTACAACTTGGGAGCTCAGAGCCACGTCAAGGTGTCTTTCGATCTTTCCGAGTACAGTGCTGAGGTGGATGGCATCGGTACCCTCCGTCTGCTCAATGCTATCCGTACTTGTGGACTCGAGAAGAAGACTCGTCTCTACCAGGCTTCTACCTCCGAGTTGTACGGCAAGGTGCAGGCTATTCCTCAGAACGAGAAGACCCCTTTCTATCCTCGTTCCCCTTACAGTGTTGCCAAGCAATTCTCTTATTGGATCGTTGTAAACTATCGTGAAGCCTACGGAATGTTCTTGTCCAACGGTATTCTCTTCAATCACGAGTCGCCGCGTCGAGGTCCCACTTTTGTCACTCGCAAGATCACGCGCGCTGTTGTCCGCATCAAGCTGGGCGTGCAGGATTGCCTCTATCTCGGAAACCTCAACGCCATTCGTGACTGGGGTCATGCTCGCGACTACGTTTATGGAATGTGGCTGATTCTGCAGGTAGGAAATCTGATGAAAAAAAGGGGTGATGGGTAGCAAGACCATCCGGATGATTTCGTGCTGTCTACTGGAGAGGGCCATACTGTGCGTGAGTTCTGCGAGAAGGCCTTTAAGCGTGTGGGAATTGAAGTGGAGTAGGGATTGAGAGAAGGAGAATCATCGATAGGTGGAGAGGAGAGAAGGATACTCCCAATGAGATTGGTGTGGATAAGGCCAATCCGGAGCATGTGATTGTGCGTATTGATCCGAAGTACTTCCGTCCTACTGAGGTCGATTTATTGATTGGTGACTGCACCAAGGCCAAGACTGTTTTGGGATGGAAGAAGGAAGTCTCGTTTGATCAACTTGTGGAGGAGATGGTGGACTGCGATATGAAGTCTGCTGAGTCTGATCTTCGTTTTTACAAGTTGGGAGGCGATCGGATGAACGAGGAGAATGAGGAATTAGTGGTTGTATAAAAACTCCGTTCTTTGTTTTCCCTTCTGTTTGTTCTATAACGAATGGAATCTCCTGCGGGAGTTGTATCGTTAACAGAGGCGTAATAATCGTCTAGAACGGACCTTCCACGCCTATCAAGCCAGAACGTCGAGTTGTGTCTCCGAACTCTCTATCCGCGCTGCTTCGCAACAAAAAGGTGGAAAAAGAGGAGAACAGGGAGATTGTCATGAACGACTTTGAATTGGATGCGAATGAAATCATGGCATGGCTGCGAGGCGATACGGACCACTTAGATCTCCACCTAACTCCGAAAAAGGAAAAAAAGCCAGAAGGGGATAGAAAAGTCAATTACAGTATTCAACTGGAAAAACGGCCTATCGAACCTCCAAAGAAGCAGAGTTGTGAGAATTGCTATGAAAGGTTACCAATCGTCACACTTGGAGGAGAAAAGGGTGTTGAAGTTCCTTCCCTTCCACAATACTTGAAGAATCGAGTTGTTTGTGGAAGTCTGGAAGGTGAGTTCTCTCAAAGTTTATCAGGAAAGACCATTCTGTACTGCTGCAACAGCTATTATGTTCACTATAACTTTTCGTTGCAATGCGCTCTCCATCTAGCAGCATCCCTGTCGATCCCTTTGATTGTGGTGATGATTCGTGACGCTGATGAATATCAATACCCGTTTTCGATGCATTCCATTCACCTCCTTCATCATTTATGTGAATTTCATTCATCGCTTGTCGACTTGAACATCACCCCATTATTACTTTTCACCTCCTCTTTCACTTCTCTAATGACGAAGCTAATTGCTGAATTGCATCCACTTTTTGTTGTTACAGAGCCGAACCCTGATATTCGCTATCAGCTCGAGCTCAATCGGCTTTGCAAGGACCCTTCCAATCATAAAATACTCGTAGTAAGCAATGCGATCGAAAGCTCCATACCAATACGATGCTCTTCTCTTTCTGCTGATTCGTACTTCATTTCCCGTATTTCCTCGAATCTTCAAACCCTTCCAATCCCTCCGTCTCACATGGATATTCAACTTGTTAAGAAGATCCAGAGTTCTGTAGTGTACTCTCCATCAAAAGAAGAAACAATGATTTCTTGCCTGGGAGATACTGATTCGCCTTCTTTTGTGGATGCTGCATTGATTCTTCCTCCATTCCTAACGAATCCTCCCTCTCGTGATAGTTCGCAAGGACTGGCGTATGGAAGGGACACGCAAGATGTATTCATTGTTGCACATTGGGTCGATATTCAACACGAAATGCGATTCTACCAGTCAAAACCTTATTTTCAAATGAGTCTCAAAGATCGACTTCGCTGTTCTGAGTGGTATTACCCGTATTATCGAGGGTCGGCTCAGAATACAAATAGTTACCGAGTGTGTGGAGCGATACGAAGTGGATTTATAAGTGTTTATGAACTCATGGAATGGTATCCAGAAGGGAGAAAAGAGCTCTTCGATTTTTGTGCCTTGGAGTTGTACTATCATAGTTACTTCAAAGACCATTTGGGTACGGTTTCTTTCCGATTGACATGCAGAGGAAAACATGCTGAATACCACCACAACTCTGATGTCTGTGAAAGAAATCAGTGTGTTAGAGCGACTTGTGAATTCCCATCTCTCAATCCAAGAAGACAATTTTGTGAAAGCTTTGAAAACCATCATCGAAGTGGAGGGAGTAAGAATAATAATACGGAATGCAATAACTTCCAGCAATTGAATTCGTTTTTGTTGTTGTATTATATCCAATACCTTCTTTGTTCTGTGTATAAGTTCACACTCTCCCAAGATTCCAATCAGTTCTCGCTGTTTCCCATCCTGTTTTCGCTACAGCCTTCCTGGATTCCTGGTAGAAATCGAACGTTGCGTTTATGATAGCGATTTATCATGAATCCACCATTGGGGAAGTGGTACATTGTCTGTCTCAAATAGCGAATCGATTTGAACGAACTGTTGAAGGTTGACTACCTGACTCATATATAGAATTCACTGTTTTCTGAAGCTGAGTGCATGAAGGTGGGAATGGACGATGTGCTTTACTCTGTAGGGAATAACTGGGTTCATGGACTTTCTCCAGGGGGTCGATCGTATGAAAATGCAAAATTTACACTGTTTCTATTTGTTTGAAACGCAAGTAAATGCCAAATAACGGTAGTTTACCACACAGTTCAGAGAAACCTTTGCGAAGAATGTATTTGCTCTGCAACAATTGCCATGCCATCATCTCGAAGGAAGATGTGAAGAGACACATCGAGAAATGTAAGGGAGCGACATTCAATTGCTGTGACTGTAACGAGGAATTGCAGGTTGCCTTCATTGAAAGACACAAGGAATGTCCGAATGCAATAAAAACGGTTGCACCTCCTGTGTACAATCCCAAATCTGTATTGGTTCGTGGAAAATATAATCATTTTGTAGAAGGTAACTTCGAAGGCTCTCGATATGTTCCGAATATTGGACCGAATGGTCTACGAGCATAGTTCGGACGAAAACAAGGCGGTCTATGAGCGTCTACGTACTCTTGCATCGATTCCACGGAAGGAGAAGCCGTTTATTACCCATGTCTCTGGTTATTGCCATATCAGTGAGGAAGAAGCTGGTAAAATATGGAATGAGATAGCTGAGTGGGAGAAGGAGATTTTGAAGGAAAAGCGTGCGTATCGCAAAGATCGCGTATCTGACTTTGATTCCACTTAACCACAGAAATCAGTGAACAAAGCCCTGAAAGCTGAAGCGAAACGAGTGACTCGAATGGAGCAACGACAGAAACAGAATCAGGAAAAGAAGGAGAAGATGGAGAAGAAGGATGAGCCAACATCGGCTAGCACATTAAAGTGGGGAAAGCAAGTAACCAAGTTGATTCGGACCAATTTGGATGTTTTGAATTTCCTTTTTATTCACTATAGAATTACAAGCAGAAGGATGCGCTGAAAAAGGCGGTGATTGATCTGATTCGCGAAAAGAACGAAGCGGCCGACGAAGCAGAAATCGCTGCCGTGTTTGAAGAGAAATACCCCGAGTTTAGTCGTAACGCTTAGAATAATAGAGTGTATGTTTGTTTGTTTAGAAACATCTCACTTCGGAATTTGAGGACTGTAATTGTTCATAGAATTCACTGTTTTTGGATTCCGCCGTGAGTCCCTCTTTCCCAAATATTCATATAGATTTAGTAATTTTCAATGAGCGAACTCCAAACTTTCCGAAGATCGTATATCCCTCCTCTTCCTACCATTTTGACCAAGGACGTGAATGTGAAGAAATGCGAGGCACTGGGCGCTGCCGCTGATCACGGTATGGTTTTGGTACGGATTGGTGATATGGATAGAGAAAATTCAGGCTTTGTTCCCCTGCACTTACGGACTTCCTCGTGTAGAGTATGAGGAGTGCACCGGCAAGGTCTGGAGACCCATGAACATCGGTGTGGTGCTTTCGGGAGGTCAGGCTCCTGGAGGTCACAACGTGATTGCCGGAATCTACGACTTCACGAAGAAGGTGGGCGGAAACATGTACGGATTCCGCTACGGACCCCGTGGTGTGTTCACCGGCAAGTACGTGAAGATCGACGACAAGTTCATGGACCAATACCGCAACATGGGAGGCTTCGATATGATCGGTTCGGGTCGTGACAAAATCAAGGGAGACGACCAGGTTCGTTATTTGCGCGTTGGCTTGATTTGTAGTTCCAAGCGTCCGCGAAGGTTTGCAACGATCTGGAATTGGACGGTCTGATCGTCATCGGAGGCGACGACTCGAACACAAACGCTGCCCTTCTGGCGGAGTACTTCCAGAGCATCCACCACCGCACGCACGTGATCGGCTGCCCCAAGACGATCGACGGCGATCTGAAGAACGACTACATCCCGGTGTCCTTCGGCTTCGACACGGCGTGCAAGATCTACTCGGAGCTGATCGGGAACATCTGCGTGGACGCGTTGTCTGCGCAGAAATACTACCACTTCGTGCGCTTGATGGGCCGCTCGGCGTCGCACATCACCATGGAATGCGCGTTCGAGACGCACCCGAACTACACGTTCATCGGCGAGGAGATCTCCCAGAAGAAGAAGTCGGTGAAGCAGATCACGCAGGAAGTGGTGGATCTGATCGTGGAGCGCGCCAAGCTCGGCAAGAACTACGGCGTGATTCTTCTCCCCGAGGGACTCATCGAGTTCATCCCCGAAATGGGCTCGCTGATCGAGGAGCTCAACGAGGTCATCGCGGCCGGCCACACCGCGCAGGACGACATCGCCGCGCACCTGCAGCCGGCGTCGCGCGAGCTGTTCGACTATCTGCCGCAGTCGCTGCGCGATCAGCTGACGCTGGACCGCGATTCGCACGGCAACGTGAAGGTCTCGCAGATCGAAACGGAGAAGTTCATCGTGTCCTGCGTGCAGAAGGAGCTGGACGCGCTCAAAGCGCAGGGCGTATACTCGGGCTCGTTCAACGCGCAGTGCCACTTCTTCGGGTACGAGGGCCGCTGCGGCCTGCCGTCGTGCTTCGACACGAACTACTGCTACGCGCTGGGCTACAACGCGGGCGTGCTGATCCACGAGGGACTCAACGGCATGATGTCCACCATCAGCAACCTGGACGCTCCGGTGGAGGCGTGGACGGCGGGCGGCGTGCCGGTGACGATGATGATGAATATCGAGCGACGCAACGGAAAGGACGAGCCGGTGATCAAGAAGGCGCTCGTGGAGCTGGACGGACTGCCCTATCGACGCTTTGTCGAGCAGGCCAAGAAGTGGAGACTCGGAGATTGCTATAGCTTCCCGGGACCCATTCAGTTCACGGGACCCGCGGCGAACGTGATCAACCAGACGCTGGCGTACGAGATCGAGGAGAGAAGAATGAGAAAGCATTGAGGAGGGTTTTGAGTCGTTTTTGGCGTGTTTGTTGCAGTCAGTCAGGGGTGTGGGAGGAAGGTGGTGAAGGAAAGGAGATAAGTGAGTGGAATTTAGTGGAATTGCTTTGTTTTCGAGGATCCAATGGAATTTAGAATGGAATCCATTTGTGGCACTTGGTGATAATTAATTTCATTTTGGAAGGGGGGTAGGAGTGTGGAGATTGGCAAAAATAGTTTTGTGTAAAGATCATTTCGAATGCCTATTGGAAATACTGTATACCTGTTCACGCGCAAACAAATGGGAGACGATAACGAGCTTGGAAGAAAGCTGATTCGTGGCTTCCTTGGAAACCTCGCGAAGCAAGAAGTACTCCCCAAGCTCTTGTTCTTTGTCAACGAGGGAACCTTCCTGGTGTGCACGGAGGACGAAACGCTTCTGACGCCTCTCCGCGCTCTGGCTGATAAGGGAGTGGATATCGCCGTGTGCAAGACGTGCCTGGACTTCTACAACATCCCTGTGGAGAAGATGCCGCTGGGTCGCGTTGGAACTTCTCCGGAGTTCGTGAAGATCACCACGGAGTTCCCTGTCATGACTGTCACATAATTGGGTTTTTGTGATGCCTCTTTGTTTGATAAGAAACACAAATAGATCCATGAGTGTTCTCGACGGATATGACTCTGACGAAGAAGAGTTCTCCTTCAACCCCTGTGGTAGAAGCGCGCATTTGTATTGACAATTAGAAGACATTGGCTGGAATTCAACACATATTCGTATTAGAACATAGGGTTGCAAAGTACTATTTAATAGTAACCTTTGTGGGATAAAATTAGGATGAATTAACTGAAAAGAAAAGACCCCCAAAAAAGGGAGCACTTCTAGACTGAAATAGTTTTTTTTTAAGAAGACTACAATAGATTATACATGAATACTATGAGGAAAGAGAAAGAGAACACCTAGATACTGTTGTTAATGGAAATCATAGTTTATATTTTTGAAACTACGCTGTGATACAATTACTCCAATTGGCTATGATATCTAGTTTAGTTGTACACTACTCTTGATTTCCGCCTTTAGGTAAATTATCCATTAAATTTGATTAAAAAGCAGAATAGTCACACTCTAATTGCATGTTTTGATATGACAAACTCCATTTTGGATTCAATGCTGATTAAGCATGCACTATCTATGGAAATAAAATATAAATATTATTTCAATATTCAAATGTTAGTGAAAACACTTGTCTGAACAAAATAACAAAAGAAAAGTGAGCAATACCAATGGGAATATTATTTCGGCGAATCTACTTCGCATATCTTATCACAAGATTACTCTTATCATCAAAAATAAGGTAATCGCTGTATTTCATCATAACTCGCCGTAGTCATAATCATTTGGAAGTCTGTTTTCTTGAGTGATGGATAATGTAAGATAATAAAAAAGGATACGAGAAAATCCATAAGTGCTAACTGCCATAATATGCATATTACTCGAATCCTGGGTAAAGATCGATAGAGTAATCATTCCCACTCACCAGACACAGGTGAAAAGTGTTCAAAGTTCATCTACACCTCCTCAGTATATCATCTCTCCCAGTAGTTACGGATGCCTATCATCCTGTTCTCCTTTCGAAGATCGAGTCCCTAACAGATGCTTGTTGTGAACTCTATAATTAAGAGTGGAATAGAAGATGAGCAATCATAATGGATTGAACAAACGCACATAATCTACAACCATAACTTGTTCATATTTTTGTACATCGAACTCAGGATTGATGTCAAGTACTCCATTGAGTTGTTGTAACTATGTACTATAGATTTTGCGGTTACTCTACTGCAGAAACAGTTTCATGGTAAGGAATACCGTAAATCTTCATTTTGATAGATCTAACTCTTAATCCTCCAGAAGGTATTTCTGTTGGATTAAAGAATGAGATGAGTATTTACGAATGGACAATTGTTATGGAAGGACCGGTGGACACCCCATAGTCGTGTTTATGTCTGCTTTTAAGATATAGTGAAGAAGGTCTCTTCAAAGCAGAACTCATATTCCCGATTGATTTTCCAAACAGACCACCTACAATGCGCTTCATTAGTCCAATGTGGCATCCAAATAGTAGCACGAATGGATTGTGTCCTAATGTAGTTTTTGCAAACGGTTGTGTTTGCATATCGATTTTGCATCCTCCAGGAACAGATGATCTAGACGTCCAAGTAGTTTTGGATTTCGAAAGCATTACTCCCAGGAACCGGAGGACGAAAAATGGCGCCCTATTATTAGTGTGGAGGCAATTCTCCTCTCTGTGCAAAATATGCTAACAGATCCCAACGAAAACTCTCCCGCAAATTTAGATGCGGCTGTTTTTCTTGATTGATAAACGTAATGTATAGAGGCAATGGAAATCGGATAAGAAAGCATTTCGAAAAAGAGTTAGACAAACTGTAGAATTATCTTTGAAAGAATAACTTGTTTGTTCTATATTTTATATGTTCTCATTGTGGAGAACTCCATTGAGAATACTGGGATCAAGAGCAATGTCTAGTCTAGCAAAAGCGATTCAAGAAACATGGAATAGAGGAATTCAGGCCGATGACATCATTTTCATGAATACTACGCGTAATATCATTACGGAAGATGGGGCCGATGTAAGCGAATACTCGGATGGGTGATTCTTGATAGTTCATTGTGTTACTTTTGAACGATGAGCGATTTGATAAGAAGAAATCGAACATCAAAGCTGAGAAGAAGGAGATCGTCGATCCATTTAGCACCGAGAACAGAGATCCGCTGTTAGTCGTGAAGGAGATAGAGAGTCATACTTTAATGCTAAATAAGTTTCCTGTGCTAAAGAATCATGTTGGGCGTTTGCGTGCTTATTGATATAGTGTGTGTTGGTGACCAATGAGTTCAAAAGTCAATTTGATCCTCTCACTCTTGAGGATTTCAAAAGTGTTTCTTCTGTTCTCAGCGAAGTTCCTTCGTTGGTGTTCTACAATTGTGGCGTTGATTCAGGAGCAAGTCAGCCACATAAGCACATACAAGTATCGATTGTTTGTGTTGATTTTATCCACAGCTCATTCCATTCTCTCAGTATGAGTCCAATAAATGTCCTTTTGATAAGATTATGGAGAAGCAACCAATCGAGCTTGACTCTCACTCGATTGGGCATTGTCCTCTTTATAAGTTTCCGCACTTTCTGTGCAGAATCAGTGAAGAAGAGAAGACTTCTCCTACCTCCCTTTTTAGCTATTATCAGAGATTGTTGGAGTGCAATCACTACACATCCTATAATTTCTTAATTACTCGGGATTATATGATGCTTGTTCCACGGAGCTGCGTATTTTCTTGGCTGGTTGGTTTATTTCTAGGAGTCATGGGAACATTTCGGCATAAACAGTTTAGGGTTCGCTGGAAGCTTTTTTGTGAGGAGCGAAGAAATGCTACACAAACTAAAGGAAATTGGTCCGTTGAAAGTGCTCCAGAATGTAGCTGTTAAGGATACTTAATGTATTCATTGTTTGTTCGATGAGTTTTTTTGGAAAGGTTAAGGGGAGAATCGGGAGTGGATTCTCAAAGATCAAGCAGATATCACTCTTTCACAAGAAGAGTCAGCAAACACAAGAAGACCCGCAAGTTCAAATTACGGATGTAGATATAACAATTGCAAGATTAAAGACACAGAAACGAAAGATTAATGAGCAACTGCGAAAAGTAAGAAATGAGTCTACAATAGGATTTAGACAAAAGTAGAATCGGCAGAGTATTATGAAAAGGCAATAGCTGAACGAAAGAGTGGAAATAAGGTATTGTTGACCATTTTTGTGAATCGTAGGAATTAGCGGCAAAATACTATAGTTTTTATAAGTAGAGCTCACGGTCACTGATAATCAACTAGAGAAAAAGAAGAGCGTGTTGCTTTCCTAACCAATTCTCTTATAAAACTCGATCAACAAGTTTAAACTTGTTTGGTGGTTAAAATGCAGATTGATTTAGTTACAAATTCACAAGATATGAAAGACTATGTTGATGTTTTGCAAAGTTCTGTTCGTTGCATTGATAATCTTACCGAATCCATTGGCGACGTGAATAAAGTGATGGATGACGTGCATCGAGTGAGCTCAATGATTAACGACGTTGATCAAACTCTGTTTGATACAACAGATCTCGCCGAGCAGCTCTCTCTTGATGACGTGGAGCTTGAATTAAATGAGGCTTCAGATAAAATAGAACTGGAGAATCTTCCTGAAGTTCCTGCCAATGAACCTTGTTCGAGCAAAGTGTCTAGTGAGACGCGGCCAATTATGGAGTTGGAAACATAAGTTGTTTGTCATCAATCACGTTAAATCCTCAATAGAACTATTTGTTATGAGTGGAATCACAGAGGTTCACCAGAAAAGCATCGCAGAATCAAAATATATCAAGCTTAATAATGTGGAGTTCATGGAGAATGGAATTAAGCGAAGTTGGGATTACGTGACCGTAAGGCTTTGAATACATTCCTTATACATAGAGCATGGACTCGGTGTCTGCCTTCGTATATGACAAGTACGAGAGATGAGATTGAGTGATCATTGATAGGATTAACAGAGAATTCATCATTATCAGGCAATTCAGACCTCCTTTGCGTTTTGGGGCAAGTGAATTAACAATGCAATCTACATCAATAGATACATTAGGCTATTGGTAAGAGTTTTTTAAAGATATGGAATGTGTAGTTATGAACTATGTGCCGGGTTAATGGATGTCGAGAATCGTAGCAAGGAGCAAGCTGTGGTCGACGAAATTCGTGAGGAATTAGGGTATGAAGTGCCTATCTCTGATCTCCATTTTGTTATTCGAAGTGTGGTGTGCATATCCATAGCAAATAGATGTTAGCAACGTTGGAATGACCGGGTCTCGCGGCTATCTTTTCTATGTTGAAGTGACTCCCGAGCAAAAAGTGTTATCGTCTACAATTTTAGACTGTAGAAATACCCCGGAGGCGGACTCCAATCTGAAGGGGAGCAAATAGAGATCGTGCATCTGAAGGAGAAAGACGTTGATTCCTTCTTGATGGATGGGACGAAAGAGAAATCTGCGGGCTTGTTTGTCGCCTTCTATTGGTGGAAAAACCTTCGTGCCAAATGTTCTGTTTATTCTCAAACACTCTGCTAAAATACAAAAACTAGTTACTACGTTATTCGCGCTCATCTGCCTTTTCCTCCTTCTCCTCCTTCTCCACTCTAGTCTGTTGAAACCTCCAGGCACTTCATATTCCGAATCGAAGCTTTATCTTCGGCACTCAGCGTTTTAGGGAATTTGATATTGAACTTAATCCGCAAGTCGCCAAAGGTTCCAGGCTGCTTCGAAATCGGCATTCCCATTCCAGGATACTTGATTTCCGTCTCAGGAGAAACGACAGAAGGAGCCAAAACCTGAATGTTGCGGCCATCTAGGTGCTTGTAAATGAAACGAGTTCCGCAAAGAGCATCCACCAGAGGAATGTCTTTGTGGTAGATCAGATCGTTGTCTTCTCGACTGTACTCCTTATCCGGCTTGTCCTCGAGAACAAAAACAATATCAGCTGGAATATGACCAGGACGCTGATCTCCGTGCTTGCGGTATCGAATCTTTGTGCCCGCCTTCCAACCAGGCTTGATATTGACCTCCACGATCTTGTCTTCTGTCGAGTAGTTACCACTCTGATCATAGATTTTACGAGTAATCTTCAGTTTCTTTGTTACACCAGTATAGATATCGCGGACTGACACAGGAAGAGGACGCTCAACATCAGGATCCTGTTCCCTAGGCTCAGGCTCAGGCTCGGCGCGTCGACTAGTTCGCTGTCTTGGATTACCTCCAGAGAAGAAGTCCGCACCAGAAAAGCCGGAGCCAGGCATTCCTCCAAAACTGAAGTGGAAACCTCCGTCACCATCACCTCCATACTCGCGGAACGCAGTTCCAAAGTCAGAAGTTCCGAACATATGCGAAAACAAATCACGAGGATCAATGTTGAAGCCACTGAAACCTCCAAAACCACCGGCACCTCCAGCACCACCAGCAGCTCCAGGCATACCTCCGTTCAAGCCCTCTTCACCAAATTGATCGTACACCTGTCGCTTTTTAGGATCGCTTAGAACCTCGTAAGCCTGGCTGATGTCCTTAAACTTTTCCTCAGCTTCCTTTTTATTATCCTTGTTCCGGTCAGGATGCCATTTCAGAGCAAGTCTTCTGTAGGCCTTTTTCAATTCTTCGTCAGTAGCGTTACGACTGACACCAAGTATAGCATAATAATCTTTACCCATGATTAGAAAAAATTATGATATGGAAGAACGCTCGAAAGGTATAGAACGTTCTAGAAAGGATTGTTTGGCTAAGCAGATTTTAGATATTGGAAGAACCCTTCTTTTCTTATTTATCATCGTTGTATCTGGAGTTTCTTTTCCGGAATGATCATTTCTATTCCCATTGATTTCTCCAATAGAAATGGCAGATATCCTGCTTAGAAATCATACGAAGATTGATATTTCTCGCAACCTAATTGGAATTGATTCCTTCTTAAACTACTTGTTAGCCGTTGCTTTTAGATGGTACTCTGCCATTCCTAATATATACTTTATACTATTTCATTCATAGTTCTATTAAGAATTATGTTTTCTAGGATTGCTTCTTATCGGTTCGTGCGGTATGTCCCTAGAGCAATGAATCGTAACATTCGATTCGCTCTCTCTAGGTCGATTTGCTGTTCTACCACATTATCGCCTCACTTTCGACTCTCACCTCTTCAGTATGAGGGATATATGAACAACTACGCATTTTTTCGCCAGTTTTCTCTAGAGAGCAAATCACTGTCCAGTATGCAATCGGACCTAAGAGAATGTAATTCGTTTGATGCTGCAGTTGATATGATACCTGTAGAAGTGCGCTTGCGTCATTCACTTTCTAGGGATTCGAAAATCGCTCTCTTGAAGAGAATCTGAATGTACTATCAACCTGCGGTCATTTCGCATTTGGAAAAATCTATTCGCGGCAGCATCCGCTTTTTGCCTCTGTAGACGATCTGGTCCGGTACTTGAGTTCAGTTTGCGCAGACAGTGATGATGTAAACGTAATATATGGATATGTTGTCTCCACTTCAGCAACTCTCTCATGAATTGGTGGTAAATAGTCTGTGGTCAGTAGCTCGCTTTGGATTCACGATGAAAGACACGTCAGCTTCACCCCTGCTAAATTCGTTGGTCAAATCCTGCTTCGTACGTTTTCTGTCGCTTATTTCACGCTCTTAGGCGCAGTTGCCTTCCCTTCCTACTTCCGAACTGGGAGTTCTGTTGAAGTCTTTGGGCAAACTGAGCTATTCTCCAGACGATTCGAGCTATTCTGCGTTGATCGACTGTCTCTACGACAACAAAGACACGTTTTCGCTCCATGAATACGTGAACGTGCTGTGGGGAATCGCCAGAATGGGCAAAGAATCCTCGAAAACCTGGATTTCTGGAAATCCCAAAGTCCAGGAACTCTTCCGCTTCACTGAAGGTGGGTGGATGGGATTGAATGCGAGTCGTAGAGCTTCTCTCGATCAATCCTGAGGCTTTGAAAGTGCTCAAACCGTACCTGTGTTTTGATTGGCTGTCAGTTTAGGTCCTATTACGTCAATCTAATCTACAGTTATTCGTATTTGCATCATCCACACACCGAGCACATGTCTTTAGTTTTTGAAGGGAAAACTCATTGCTAGCCTCTCCGAAATGGCGTACCCTCTCTGTTCGTTCATTCATCGAATGACACCTCTCGAGTTGGTTCTCGTTTATCGCGCCTATGTGGAAAGTCGAGTCGTTTCGCCCGAATTGGAGCGACGTGTTTGCAACTATATTCGCTTTCGGAACGGAGAACTCAATGGATCGACCGCGCTAAGCCTTTTGTTTTGCTATTCGCGCGGCGTGGAGCTCTCCAGACGCAATCTCCAGAAGGATGTGGTTTCGATTCTGTGCGACGAAATCCATCGCAGCTTGCCAAACTACTCGACGCGCGATTTGGTGTATCTGGTCTGCGCGTTTAATCATCTCCGCCTCTTTCCCGAGCAAGACATCGACGTGATCGCCAGCAAGCTGACTCCCCACGTCTCCGATCTCTCTCCCAAAGAATGCTTCTATCTGCTCACCTGCGTCAATCGGGCGCGGTACTCGCATCCTTTCATCGTTTCACCGCGTAGCACGTCCTCGGAGGCTGTGATGAATCTCTACAACGCCTTGCTGCAATGCTACGTCTCCATGGAGGAATCCTCGATCGCCATTACCGGCGTTCGCTGCATGCTTCTTCGCTTCGCGGCTGCCGTTTTCCTTTGTTGATCGGCTTCATTCTAGAGACATTTGGACAAACAACCCATGCTTCAAACGATCACTTCGGATTACACGCAGCATCCGGAATCGTTCAACGCTCGCTCGCTTTGCCAGGTCATTTTAAACACCAACGCGGATCGTACCTCTCCCTTCGCCTGCCTCTTTCTCCTAGAATCCCTTTCGAAAGAGCAGCTTCTGAGCATGTTGAAGCATTTCACGCTGCTGTGTTCCAAACCCGGCGCGGTGAAGCCGATGGATCTGCTGAACACGGTTACCGCTCTGGTTCCCTACGCGAAGTCGCAGAAATCGCTGGTGGTTCCGATTACGATCTCGATGGGCGTATCTTCGTGGATTGGGTGCAAGGGCAACTCCGTGTCGCCTCAGCTGATGAGCAATCTGCTGCTGTTTTTGGCGAAGATGGGAGCGAAGTCGGCTCCTTTGATCGATTTGTTCGACTCAAAACTCGCGAAGAAGCTCGGAGATTTCCAAGATGAAGTATTGTTAGGAGTGGAATAGCGAGTATGTAGGACTTGGTGAAGGTGCTGAAAGCATTTGCACTTGTGGGGTATCGCAATGACAACATTCTGCATGCGATTTTTGAGCAGCTTTCGCTGGTTGTTTCGACGCTCTCAAATCAGGTACGGATGTCCGTCGTTGTTGATCGTAGGATGCTCTTTCGTTCTTGTGGGCAGTAACGACCCTCTCGCCTGACTCTACGTAGATTCTTGACTTGTGTTTCAAGGGTAGAGAACTCATGGCTCGTCTGTGTTCTGACATAGATCGAAGGCCTCTCTCGGATTCCGAACGTGAAAACTATATGAATATGCAATCAACCATCAGAAAATAAGTGTCTTTGCAGTGTTTGTTCAAAATGAGGTTTCGCTCAATCCCCTATATAGGTTCATTAGCTGTTCTTTTATTCATATATTGCTTTCCGTTGTTAGAGTTTGATATTAATTGGAATTACGTAGATTGGAACACAGCCATTTCCCAGCGATCTGGATCCAATATTATCTATGCAACAAGGAAATTCGACTATCCTCGAGTGCCTGGAATCGAGCCTCATTGGTCTTTCGCTCATGAGCATGTTCGAAGGGAACTACAGGCGATAAACGCCTCAGTACTTCCAGAATATGCGTACACTTGGTATTATAAGGATGCAAGTGGAGTGGATTCTGTGGACCAGTCCTTTATGATTAGCGATGGCGTGGGAGGATATATTGCTATTTTGTATCCACGCGGAATGAATTTATCGTCGTCCTATCGGAGTGTGTGTACAATTTCCAATATGGATAGTGTTTTTGGAAGCACTGGATTTACTTCCAACGCATTGGGATTGACGCAGAGTCTTTTGGCGCTAGAGGAGCTTGCTCGTACGCCAGGCTTGGTCAATCCAGTCACTATCGTGATTTTGGAGTCGAAAGAAAACGGAGCCAACGTGCTGGTGAATATGTACTCTCTTCCCGAGTTGGAGAAGTGTGCGTATTCCATCGTTCTGGACTCTCTTGGGATTGCGAAAACAGTCCCAGAAGCAATTCAATTGACGGAGTTATCAGGATCCGTGTTGTCTTTCCTTCCCCGGACAGTTAGTTATCTACGAGTCTCCAACTATATTATGGATATTGCGAAGGCATTATCTCTCCTTTCAACATCGGAAATGAAGCTTCTAGACAAAAGCTCGGCCAATCCATCAATATCTAAAATCGATTATGTGGACAACCAGTTTCGGTTTCATTCCGCTGGCGATAATAGCGACGCAGTGAACGCTGCTGCAGTAAAGGCTCGTTATGATCGAATTGTGGAGATAAACCGAGTTTTGAGCCAGGTAGATCCGTCCAGCATCAAAAGCTCCACGACCTATTTGGACTATGCTTCATACATCAGCGTTTGGGGATTTACGATTCGCGTATCCTCCCTATCGCAGTTTTTTATGGTTTTGGTTGGCCTAGCTTGCTCGATTGTCTTTATCCGATGGGGCAATATGGGGAATGCGACTGCTATCAAGAGTGGAATCGCAAGAGCTGGTTTCATTCTTGCTCTTCAGATTGTGGTTCTTTGTCTAACCGTTTGTTTTACTTTGCTGTGGCTCTCTCTGGATCCTCTTGTCACCCACAAAATCAATCCGTATATCTTTTCGTTGCTTCTGACTCTTCTCATCACCGCCTTCGTTCAGTTCACTCTCCAGATCTGTTTCTATACTCAGTTTTTTATTCGTGATCATGCAGGATCGATGATCGCTTCTCTCAGCATTGTATATGGAACCATTGCTATTGGGTGCATTTTGGGCGGCTTAACGACATCGCTGAACTTCGCCTTTCCTTGTCTTTGTTTTGGCCTTACCCAGCTTCCCCTGTTCTTTCGAAAAGTTCGCTTCGGTGATGGATACCGCTTGAAAAAGATCACATATTCGATCTTCCTTGGACTCTGTGGCGTGCTGACATTCCTCGTGAACATGGGATCCGCCTGTGCAACTTTACACGTCGTGTTTGGAATGATGTCCACTCGTGATTTGTCCGTGAACATCATTCTCGTCTTCGCCTTCTGGAACGCTATCTTTCCCGCCCTCTTTTGTGCTGCCTGCACGACCGTGATTTACGTGTTTGATGGCCATCCGCTGGAAGTCCCATCGGTCATGTACTCTCCGCTTTTGCCTCCAGATGGCGTGAAATCCGAAGAATTCACGATGGAGAAGATTGTTGTTCGATCCTTCCTGCGGTGGAGCTCCGGGTTTATTCTCTGCCTGGTTCTCCTAATCGCGACGTGTAGCTCTCAGCTCTCCGCTTGGAACTCGGAGAATCCCGTGTCGATCACGGTCGGAATCACCTACTCGAAGAACCACTACGAAATGAATTCAGCGGAGGAAGAAGATCCGCTGGGCGTGTTGATGATGGCTGGCAGGGCATCGTCGTTGCGACCCATCCGACAGTTGTTGCAGATGCTCCACCTCGAAGATGGCTATAAAATCAAGGACTTTGTGGACACGAGATGCTACTTGGAGAACAATCGGCTCGGTGATTGTGTGCAGGTGCAGCTGCTGCACAATGATAAGCCGGTGGAGTTCCATTTGAATCAAACGACGTTCAGCATGTCGCGTATAGTGCCGAAGGGACCGACGGTTCGAGCAGGGAACTTCACCTTTTATTGGAGAGATTTCGACATTGTGATTCCCGAACGCAATAATGTCAGTCTGTTCGGATATCCGTTCGTCCACTTTACTATTTACACGACGACTCGGCATGAGGAGGATAGCAAATTGTACAGCAATGCGGTGGAGTTGATTGTGAACCATAAAGGAGTGACCTCTCATCAGCGAGGATTTTCCTTAAAAGGTGTAATTTTCACGAACGGAAGAAGGCAGATTACGATTCCTGTAAGGGTGAAAAGCAGAGTAGGTTCGCAAGTTGTCTTCCGTATTATGGATGTAAGTCACGATCAGCCCAAAGAGATTCGGATTCTTCAGAAAGGATTGGGAGAAGGCTTTGTGTTCGGAAGCAATTCGGATCTAACCTCCTACAGCTTTGCTAATACCTATTTCTTTTCTTACTAGAAGAAAGCTAGATATAGATGAACAAAATAATGGTTTGTTGATACAAACAATGGAAAAGAGAGAATAAAACAAGAGGGAGGGAGGTTATGAGTAAGTAGTAGTAAATGAATGTTTTATTCCAGAAGAGAAGCCTCCGTAGCGATAACCATCGTGCAGACTCCAAGCATCGCAAGAATGATATCGACCGTCTGTCTCGCCTTGCTCTGAGGAACCAGCACGTAATGAATCAGAGGAGGGAAGATGAAGGTCACAAAGGAGATGGTCAGACATCCAATAAGAGAAACGACCTTCTTGAAGAACGGGCAGATGATCGAGATCACAGTCACAAGGATCGTCATCACAATACGAAGAATCACACGAGGCGGGTACTTCACGAACCATCCTTCCTCCGATTCCGCTAGTTCTTAGCATCGTCCTCAACGAGTACAGGTCTTCATTCCGCTCTCCAGAGCCAGAATACCAGGGAACACGGCCACAGGATAGGAGAAGTAAGCGACGAAGCAGACGCAGATGCAGCACACGACGTAGGTGGGGTTCTGCGCTCCGATGTTCAGAATGACCAGCGGATCGATTCCATCTATGCGTGAGCCGGCTGCGCTGCGAAATCTACTGGGATCCATCGAGTAGGACATCGCGCCCAGCACGCCGAGCGACATGTAGACGAGCACAGCGATCACAACGGACACGATCAGAGCCATCGTGTACTGCTGCGGCTTCTTCATGGTGTTCTAGAGGGGAGGGAGGGAGAGAAAGGGGAACGTAGGAAGTGGGACCGATCACAGCCACGCCGAGAGAATAGCAAATCACACCAAACAGCTTCGCCAGGTCGAGGGGCGTGTTCCAGAGAAGGTGCTCCTTGTCAATCTGGAGTCCGTACTTCCAGATACCGAAGCTAGGCGTTAGGGAGGAAGAGGAGGAGCCGAACATGATCACAATCAGGGAGACGGTAACGATGAAGATGTTTCCCATCATGGAAGGAACCGCGAGTGCCTTCAAGTTCTTGAGAAGGGCGAGAGGAATGGCCAACACACAGTAGACGATTCCCCAGAACCACATCTTGCCGAAGATGGAATCCTTGCTCACAAGACCCGAGAGCAAGTTGTTCCAAGTGATCTGGTCGTAAAGCAAGATTCAATAAAAATACTTCATAAGCTACCGCGATTCCGTAAACCGTAATAACAAAACAAATCTGAAGAATCCACACACCAACTTTTCCAAAAGCCTATTTCAGAGAAGGAAAGCAAACAAACCTTATCAGCAAGAAGAACATAAGGATCCTCATCGTCCTTAGGCTTTGTGTCAAAAGCACAGAAGCAGTCCGTAACGAGCTTCGTGCAGTAAACAATCCACGAGGGAACGATAATGAAAATGAGAAGAGCAGGAATATAGCCCCCCTAAAAATAAGATAGCCAGAGGAAAAGCGAACAAGGAAAACAGTGTTAGGGAGGGCTAACATACCCGTACCAATGCAAGTCTTTACCAAGTTGGCAATAACCTACGAATCACGCCATTATAGCACCAATACGTTAGCTGTAGTAGCAGACATCTCAACGACTGGTCAGTTCTTTATTAAAAAAGAGACACAAATAAATACCCTGTTTCTACATTTGGTTTTTGTAACATGATGATAATCAGTTTTTCAGGCAATCCTATTTCGTTTTTGGTGCATTCAACACGTTATAACACCCATTCTTTAAGTTAATACATTTGTTTACTTTCTGCAAGATAGGTTTGAGGCATTTTGACATGTTTCATAAGTTATACTGCATCGAACAATACAGAATTTGCAAATTCACGTTTTTGTACAAGTATTTGTACATCATATTTCGTTCCGTTGGGTTGTTCTGATGGGTTGTTCGTGCTCAAAAGTGTCCAGAGAGGTTGTAAACTCCGAGGAAAACATGCTGGAAAATGCTGCTCAGAGAGAAACAAATGGTATTGCAAATGTTGCATTTACCGGCGAAGACCACCTTGAATGTCATGCTGTAGATATTTATACGCTTGCTTATGGTATAGTTGAACATAAGTCTTGAAAATATCATCATTCCCAACAAGGATGCTATTATTGATGGAAGCTGTTTTGTCGCATTGTATGAAAGTCGAAAACTTGGGAATTCTAATAGTATGGGCTATGTTTTTATCGGTGTAACTGAAACTATTACCTATGAACCTAAGTACCTCTTATTTTGTTTCCTTTGACCACTAGTCCCGAGTTTGTGAAACGTTTTTTGCTGTACAACAAGGGGCAGAGTTTACGTTTTGAGGTGTACGAAACGAATGGTAAAGACACCAATAACATATCCTAGCCAATATTTTATTACTCTCTTTCTCTTTCTAGTTGTTTCTTAATGGTAGTTGGATGAGAATGAAATGATCGGTACATTTGAATGTACTTTAAACGACATTATTAACTGCGATGGTTTTTATACGTGTCCTCTTAATCCTGTATCCATTCCTATCTTCGGTTCTATCCAAGTACTTTATTCCAGCAGCAGGATCATTTGTTAGATTCACAGTGAGCTTTGTGTGGAGGACAATAGTACTTCCGGTCTTTCCCTCTCCATTTCTCGTATCTCCTCGAATCCCCCGCGTCCCTATCTTCTAATTTCTCGTCTTACCGAAAAGGGTATTCGTATCCCTATCTATCGAAGCCTTGTTCTTGACAAAATGAATCGTTGCCAGTCGGTTGACACGCAAGAAGAAGAAGAAGAAGAAGAAGGAGGGTTTTCAGCAGGAGTGGGTGTAGGACAAAAGGCATCGTCTTGGAAGAACGGAGATAAAGAATCGTTGAATGGAGGATATGACTTTGGAAAGATCAGTCTCTTGAATCAGGATTTGTTGAATGGAAGCATGAAGTGTACGATTCTCTTTGAGGTGTTCAACCATAACCAGAGGTATCGTGACTATTATTGCGGTCATGCAGCGATTTCGGCCTCCCACTTCGCCACAATCCAAAACGGAAGTCATTTTAGTATTGACTATATGGATGAAACGGTATCGAAGTGGAGAACGGATTCTTGTCGCGTCATTAATGGAAATAGCGACTTGATTCGATCGTTCAAAGAAATGGTCAACTTGAAGATTAACAGCATTTCGGGTAGTTCGTATTTCCCCGAGAATGTTGCGACGATTTCTACGGATAAGAAGGCGAATATGTTGCTGAGCAGTTTCTATAACGATAAGCGCAATCCTTATCACTGCAAGTCTGGGTATGAATGCGTAGTTTATGATGTAATGCATAGCACTCATATCGGAAGTCTGATTGTGGATGAAATCGAGACGGTGTACAAGAATAGCTTTTTCGATTATCGCGATACAACGAATATTGATTTCATGATCGCCGTGGATATGAGTAGTAGTGTGAAGCACTCGAGTCATTCCAATCTTCGAAATCCTTAGTAAGGGATGTTTTTGTGGAGTGAAGAATAGTTATGAAGAGGCGTTGGTGGATGTGGGTGTTGTACTGTCTCGCTATGATGAGGATAACAACTACGCCGTTTTTGGATTCGGTGGACAGCCCGGAAAGCTCAATCTCTCCAAGTCCCAAACGATATCGCCTCGTCTCGATGAGATTGAAGAAGTCGAGGTAGCCGAAGAAACCGCTGAAGTTCCCGCTGAAGAGACAGCTACGGGTGTTCTTGTTGAAGAAGAATCTATTGAGGTTCCCGCGGAAGAAGAATCTATTGAGGTTCCTGCTGAAGAAAAATCCCCTGAGGTTCCTGCTGAAGTAGAATCCCCTGAGGTTCCCGCGGAAGAAGATCATAGCAAGAGTAGCAGTGAAGACGAAGAAGAAGATTCAAGTTCGGATTCTTCGATCGAGTCTCGTCGGGATTCATCTCACAGTCATCAAGAAGAGGTTCAAATCGAAAAGAACGAAGAGTCCCCGACGGAAGCGATGTCTCCTACTGCTGCTGAGAACCCGAACCCTGAGAAAGAAGAGCTCTCCGTTCTTCCCTCTGTGGAGCTACGCAGAAAGCCCGTCTCTCCGCCTCCTCGTTCCACTTTCACTCGTACATTTCTCTTGCTTCTCGTTCTTATCTAGCCATGACGAGTGAAGAAAAGGCGGATCAGGAGGCTATGAAGCTTTTACAAGCCAATGTGGAGAAGTTAAGAGCCGAATCGAGCTATCTTTCGCGAGTGAACATTGACCAAAACTTAGAGAGCGAAGAACTCTCCGTCCCTCTGTTCCCAATGAACGGAAATCATCGCAACCCCTACATCCATGGCATCGATAACATTTTAAAGGCTTATCGACGCATGCTGCGAAGTGTGATGCCCTCTTATCCCACCTATTTCCAGCACGTTATCTCGGAAGCGATCGAGTACTCGCTTTCCTTCACCAGTGAAACGTAGACACGCCAAGAAAGCGGCTGAGACCAAGGGAAAGGAGTATATTGTGTTGATTTTGCTTAGCGATTGTTGTATTGTGGATCAAGTCGAAACTGCCCGACTGATCGTAGAGATATCCTTTGTTTGGAAAATGAAAGTCGCCTTGACGACAGGGATCTGAATTGCCTCTTTCGATCATTATTTTAGGAATGGGAGAAAGCGATTTCCACTTTATGGAGATCTTGGATGGGGATATGAAGAAGCTGGAATACAACGGAAATGTAGCAAAGCGTGATGTAGAACGCTTCGAGGAGAGATTACGGATAGATGGTCCAGTTCGTTTCCTTTGAAGAGTTAAGAAACAAGTCGTATGAAGAGATTGTGGAGTCGCTCCTCTTTGAATTGCCGAGACAGTTTATGGACTACATGAATGCGAATAACTTGTCTCCTAATACGATTCGAGATTCTTAGTTGTGTTTGTAATAAGAAATAAAGGGGAAGAAAAAGGGACAAAGAGATTCCACATGAAAGGAGGACTTCCAGACGACATGGGATTTGAGTTTGGAAATGCTGAGATAAGTGTGGAAGAGTTCAGAGGTTGAAACAGGGAGAGGGCTCGTCTTGCAGGCAGAAATATACTTTTGGAGTTGAACAGTAAATCGATCTTGGGAAGGAACTCCAGTCTACAATCAGTAACGTTGAATGAGATCCTGGTTACTTGCTGATCAATACCATACGAATAGCTCTCTTCTCCCACTGAACTACTGGCTAAAAAGGCAGATCGAGGTGGTAGCTTCTATAAGGTAAAACGAATCTTACATTTTTCTTCCACTTACCGATGGAATGAGTGAACCCGCTTGGCATGTATCAATAATAACCAATACTTCATGATACCTGCCATGATTATACATATCATGCAATACTCTGGCAAGAATATCTCTGGTTATTTCCTCTCTTTCCTATATTTATTTAGTTAATTAGGCAGGAATGGCAATACTCTTATTTTTAAAAAGTTATCTCCTCCATGACCATTGAGAAAAATCAACACACGAGACGAGGAGGAATTCAGAAGTAATCGCTTTTGGAGTGGAATGGACAAGGGTAACTTGTCTAAAACAACAACAGAAATCAATTGCTTCTCTACTTGTAAGCACTCCAATAATGTGGTCGAGAGTCACATCCTCTCTTCTGTATGCAACTGACACTCTATCGGTTCTAGTCTGAAATCCAGTTTCAATTCCTACAATTTCCTTTCGTGACTGGGAGACATAATATGACCATAGCATGAATTTCGACTATGACACTGATAATCACCCGCGTTGAATAAAATCATCTAGGAGATATTGATATGCTATATTACATTTGATTTTGGGATTCCATTTTCTATTAGTGTGTTTGCAATGGACATAGAATTCACTGCATGTCGATAGTTCCTGAAGAACACAGAAGAGGCGATCTATACAATAAAATTGGTTAAATCAAGATATTACAATGACAGCATACGTATTTAGGTTGCAAAATCCAATGGATAGCAAAATGCACAAAACCAGAATAGAATTCGCATGATAGCAATTGAACATGATCATAGAAAACTTGAATAACAGATATTGATAGTTTGACAACATATGAGTTGACAAGTCATGTTCAAAGTAGTTCACCTTTCTCCACAAACAACAAGATAATACTCTGTAAAGGTGTGATATGTCATACGCTTCGTCATAATCTTCGTGAATAGAAACCCATATTTTCGAGTAGCATCGTGTTGATAATAATATAGAATGGATGATAGAAAGGATGGTAGTATTGAATTCTTCCCATACAGATATGTTTGCCTGAGATTTTTGATTTAATGACTAGAAATGTATTTCTCCGCATTCCACATGATTCATGTAGATGGAACCGAAGATTATTTATTATCAACAGATGTCAAACCTCAAGAAAACCATGATTTTCACTATAATCCTCCGACTCTTCAACAGGCAAGTGAAATATCAACCAATCAATCGCTTTCAGAAGAAGAACCAACAAACCCATTGGCGCTCAATCCTACGAATTCGCTATTAGCTAGATCCAGTTTTCAGAATCCGTTTTTGTCCTCTCGCTTTCAAGCAGATACAGTAGCTTACAATCACGAATTTGGGTATCCACCATCATTTTCTCGTCAGTATTCATTTTGGAGCAAACCTCATCTGGACTACAAAGTAACGAATGTGAATTCTATTCGTCGGAATAACCGATAGGTGAGAGATCGATCTCTTGATATGGTTTATGAGAAAAAAGTGCGCTGATTGATCGCTTCTATTGATGTAGAGCTGCTACTATCTCTTCGAAATACAGTTCAAACGGAATACCAAACTATGTATGGGCTCCGAAGATGACTCTGTAGTTGATATTGGAGATTATGTTTGTGTAACGGGAGATCGAGGAGTGGATATGGGGAAAGTGGTCAATCGGAAAATTTGCATCCGACGTAGGATCAATAGAAACGAATCATAAAAATATAGCTCCGAGCAATCAGCCAATGCCAATAGTCCTCAACAAAGCAAATCAAATAGAAGTGAGTCTGCTAAGAGATCAAGTACAGCATCACTAATAAGGATGTGATGATTTATAGAGACGAGAAGAGAAGTGTGTCGTGCGTCTTTGTACACAGAAAGCACGTCAGCATAACATGGATATAGTGGTTGTTGACGCAGAATTCCAATACGACCGAAAGAAATTGACGATTTATTACTTCAGCAACTCCCGAATTGATTTCCGAAGCTTTGTGAAAGAATTGTACTCTATTTACTACGCCCGCATTTGGATGGAAAACATAAAAGCTGCCCATGAAGGAGCGTGAACGCTTGTTTGATCCAAATAACAAGAGGAAACGAAATGCTATTAAACACCGCATGCTTTCTTTGTCATTTCATATATACAGAAAGAAATTGCACACTTCGGAATGGTTTTCAAATACTGGGGTAGCAATCCCGCATAAAATCCAAGCACACCCTTCTCCTTGTAGATAAATCGAGCGCATTCCCATGCGTTGGAATACTTCTTCACATTGGCTCCCATGCCAGTGACCTGCAGGTTTCGCTGAACTAAATGAAGGGGGAAAGTGATGGTATTAGCGCAACAACCACTCAAAGCTCCCGATATCATACTAACCCAAACTAGGGAAAAGGAAGTATTTGTAATAAGCCATTTGCGGATAAATTCATAAGAAGTAAAACTAAGAGCCATATTCGGAATCACGGAAATAAGATTCACGACGAGACCTTTGTAAAGAGAGCGAAGGCCTCCCGAACTGAAACCCTTATGCATTGTTTTTAGAACTGTGCCTGTCGAGCCTTTTTGGCTGATATAGATACGAGTCTTTAAAATATCGATGGGATATGTACAGATGACAGCTGTCATTCCGGCAGCGCCACCAGCTAAAAGATGTTGAAGTGTAGGGTGGTCTTTGCTCGTGGAATTCAGCCGAAGAGAAACGACTTCGTACATCCCATAATTGATCGACGAATAAGGAATGGATCTAAGAATGTCGACAAGATTTCCACGAAAAAAACCGATGATACCTAAAAGTAAATAACAATAAACGGAAGAACCATCTTTTAAATAGACAGACCGTAAAGTGTGAACAAGATTATTTTTCTCAGCAACCACTAGATACTCGGCTGGGTTGATAGAAACACGCGTTTCCTGCAAAACGGATAACCTGGAAAACGGAGCACAAACTGTTCGAGAAACGATTCCAGACAAACCGCCAGACGCGAATTTTATAAACACCGAATCTACAGATGAGACAGCCAAATGAGGAACATACACCACTTTTTATCTTCTGATGGTCGTGAAAAAAGGCTGTCATTATCTTGATTTGGCATATGATTTCACAACAGATATACAATGAAAACCCTTAAAACGTAGAAACGGGGGTACAAAGTGAAACGTCCTTATATTTCCAACAAACAAAGGAACCACTTATTGCATACAGGGAGGAGGCAGCACATCGCTCGGAGACTTTGTGATATTGTTACCATACTTTTCTGCCAACTTCTACGAGTAACGTTCACACATCATCCCAAACAGGATTGCCCACGGTCGTAATAAACCCATCAGGATTCACGCGCACTCGTCTCACACTACAGACAATCCAAGTCAGGATTTGTACGGTTTTGGTGGCTTGGCCTTGGGCATCAGCTTGGGAACTTGGTTGCCAGACGGGAACATGGGGCCAGGCGACACAGGCGACACGCTCGATGCAGTGGCCGCATCGGGAGTGGCAGTGGCTGCTACCGAAGGAGCTGGTGCAGGTGCAGGGGCTGGGGCTGGCATGGGAGCCATAGCTGGGGCAGGGGCTGGGGCTGGAGCTGGCATGGGAGCTGGCATAGGTGCCATGGCTGGAGCCGGAGCTGGGGCTGGGGCTGGGGCTGGGGCAGGTTGTTTGTTGATTCGGGGAGGCAGAGGGGCAGAGCGAGCCATACCGGCCACAACGCGAGGACCCTTACTTGCAAGACCAAAAGAACGAGGGGCAGGAGCTGGGGCTGGGGCTGGAGTCGCAGCAGGAATAGGAGCCGGAGTTGCAGCCGGAGCAGAGACTGGAGCCGGGGCTTGGGCAGGCACTGGGGCTGACATGGGCGCAGCAGCAGCAGCAGCAGGCATGGGAGTGGGGACATAGGGCATGGGACGATGAGACGAACGAGACAGACCCGGATGATGGAACACCGGCATCGAGGAAGAAGACATCGATTCACCCGAGGGGGGAGCCGAACTCGGCATGGCTGGTGGAATGGAAGTCGGAATCGGAGCCGGGATAGGAGCCGGGGCAGGCGCCTCGACAGCCTCAGCAGCATCCGTAGCCTTCATAACGTAAGGAAGAAGGCTCTGTCTGATGGATAAGTTATGGCAGAAGTCATAAGGAGTAGATCCACTATTGTTTTTCTGTAAGAGATTGCATCCATTGTCTACCATCACAAAAATAGAAAATACAAACTAATCAAGTACATAATGCAGTCCATATGGTCTTTAAAGCAGGCATAATGGAGAGCAGTATTTCCATCACGCCCAAGCTGATTAATATTACAGCCTATACATCAATAACATACAAATCATATTTCCTCTCAAAATCAAGTGCTGAAGCATTTGAAGTTGACCACTATAACTAGCAAGATGAATTAACCCATTTTCTTGTTCCACATAATTTACAACATCAAATCCATCCCGAATATAGGCATCCAATGAAGGAATATCGCCTGATTGCACCGCCATCTACGATCAAGTGGAAAATAGTATACCAATACCTGTACCTTCTCCTCAATTGACTTCTCCTTAGGAGCCATTAAATTTCCTATTGTTCCGTCATATAACCACTGAAACATCTAGTACACTCACTCACCCCATGAAAAACGAACTGTTGATGGATGCAGCGTTAAATGATCGATCGAAAACTCAACACTGAAATAGTATTAATCGAACTCTTCCCATTATCGAGCGATAACCGCGGTTGTTTGAACAAGAAATGGATTGTTAAGCAATAAGAACAAAATCAAACATGGAAAGAGAGTGCCGTGAAAAACAAACAATATGATGATAAACAGAGAAATGGTAAAGATGACTAATTATTGTTTGGATTCACTTCCAAAATCATCCGTATACTGGAGTTCTGGATTCGCAATAAACTCTCCCAACTCACCATCGGGATGCAGCTTTTTGAGACATTCCTACCATGACGAAACTATAAAAAATACATACTAATACACATTTAAGGTATGGCTCCTGCAAATCTTGGCATCCCACTTCGGTCGCGCCTCCCTTTACAAATACATTATCGTACCTAATTATAAAGATATGGTAAGCACAAAGACCAGTCGATAAAGCACGCTTCGTACTTTCGGCGTAAACCTTCACATTCTTGGCATTCTGCATAATAGGAAGTCAACCAATTGCGCTACCGTTATTCATGTCACTATAATCAAAATTATAAAGGTATCTTTAACAAACACCCTGCAAACCAAACTAAAGAACGTGAATAAAGTGAAGCTGAGGAACTCTCTATTCATAATGCTAAAGTAATATAGCAGATACCTTAATGTTCAACTCCTTACAAAGCAAAAAGCGAATCCGCTTTGTTGAACCATTTATATCATTTATTATCTTTACGTCGTCTAGCGTAAGTGGATAGGCTTGATATCGATGAGTACGTTTCAGCTGCTTCAACTGACTCTAGAGAATAATCCCCTCTTCACAAACAAACAATAAGCTCTTTTTCAGATCGCTCCCTTTTCTTGTTTTCTCGCTTTTCAATATACCTATCATTACGAATATCTATATCGAAATACATACCAATATGGGTACATAAATCATCGAAGAATGCATCACTATCATCAAAACTGGGAGATTTTGCTCTGCCATAGGAGGAATTCTGCTTTGTATAGCGCTTTGAAGCACTGTTGATTCGAAAACGGACATTGATATCCCTCCCATCTTCGGTTAGATTCATATCTTCGATAGAAATCGAATCCAAAGTTTTCCTTGATAATACACCGCTTGTCTCGATGATATTCTCCAAAATATCCAAAACACGGTTCTCAATATAACCATATTTCACCACAGTGGTTTCGGATGGAACATGGCTCAACAAATCACTTCTAGGGATTGTCTTCTTGGTTGATGGTCCCACACTTTTCAACTCCGACATTCCAGACTGTTTCAATACATTCCAGTCAATCGATTCAACAACTTGATTCGGCTCTTCGACTTCGTTAACCTTTTCCTGCGAGATTGTTGGTTTGCTAAGAGAGTCCACTTGACCAATGTTTATTTTATCATTATAAGTTTTGGAATTCACAGAACTAGTCGATAAAACGGTCGTTTTCGGTTCGTCGCAGTTCTCGTGTGCATTTTCACTATTTGATATCTGGGAAATGATATTATCAACGATACTCGAATCTACGATCAATGGAATAAAACAGAAATACCATTTTGCGTCCAACGTCTTCCAAAACAGCGGATGACGACTGGCGGATAAAATATACTCTTCCGGGCCAAAAAAAGGAGAGAGGAGATTGGTTTCGAAAACATAATAAACAAGCAAAAAAGCGACCAGGCGGGATTGAACCGTCGACCTCTCAATCTGCAATCGAATGCTCTACCACTGAGCTATAGTCGCTCTTGTATCTATCTGTACTTTGTCACTACTTGTATGTGTAGTACCGCCTTCCACTTTTCCGGACGTAACATAAAATGATAAATGGGTTGCAAATTCTCAGACTGTGCTGATAATCAAATCAAGTTCGATCCTGCCGCTGTGCAAACAAATTTACCTGAAGGGTACGATTACGCTTCTATGCCTGTTATAAATCCTATAATACGAGATTGCGCAATATTGTCAAAATCAGGGTAGCTTTAATTTATTTACTATAATAGTAGTCGTTATTATTTAAGAACGAAGTTAAACCAAGATAGGGTGTTTCTTCATTTTGATGAGAATGCTAAGGTGGTGATATTTGGTGTATTTGATGGCCACGGGGACGATGGTCATATTGTATCGAATGTAGATTTCGAAAGGGTGTATGATTGTAGTTCATTCGTTCTGCGTTTTTACACTTTATTAAGTCAAGTAAGCTATATCCAGAGTTTCCCTTGAATGCTATGACACAGGCGTTGGATATGGCGGAAGTGTATATGAAAAAGAGTGAATGAGGATTCGAATCTTGACATATAGAAATAGAGTCGACGTGTAACAATAGTGGTACAACTGCCTTAATAGGCCTCATCAAAGGGACTAAGCTTTACACGATAAATGTTGGAGACTCCCGCTCGTTTTATCAGTATAAAGATGCGAAAACGGGAAGAATTTGCACGGCTCCTATCTCTCTCATTCACAGTCCAGATGACGAAAAGGAAAGCATACGAATTCGTGAGAACAATGGTTATATAAAGTCTTATCCTTCTGTAAGTGCTGAATATTCGATCTGTCGTGTGTTTCAAGATAGCAAGTGTATTGAGGGAGGTCTGGCAATGAGTCGAAGCATTGGTGACTTTGAGTTACATAAATATGGAGTGATTAGTGAACCTGATATTTACGAATTGGATCTAAAAGAGAAAAACGTTCATGCCGTGTTGTTTGGTTCCGATGGATTAACTACTTGCTATGGAGCAGACAGTTGCTTTGCACGGATGCAATCAAAACCCTCGGCGCTTGAAGGGTTGAAGAAGTTAGTTCGGGATTGTTACAAAGATTCTTATGAATCATCAAAGCGAATATATGTAGATGACATGTCTGGCATTTACATAGAATTTAATCACTAAAACAACAACAACAACAACAACAACAACAACAACACAGCTAAAAAGAAAAGAAGGCAAGAATACATCATGTACATTATATTACTCTCGTACCTTAAATCTAGATTTCTTTATACAACTAGGAACTGCACGTAAATGAAGCAGCGGAAGTTTTCTTAGATTTTCCGGTTGCAAATGTACATCATTAAAGTTTTGGGGCAAATAAATCTATATGATTAATATTATCCATGCTCTTTTCTACAATGTTTTCTTTCACTTGCGATTCCGAAGCACCACACTTATACTCATAGACCGGACCTGTCTTATATAGGTTGATTACTTCTGAAGAAGTTCGGTTATCATAGAGGATTTGCTAGGGCATCACCATTTTCGATCTTTTTTACATGAGCTCGGAACCGGAATTTAATAGCACGCTGGAATCCATATGCGCAAATATCGTCCCAAGAACAAATATTACAGTACGTTTTGTTGATAGAAGGGGGGCAAGCCATCGTTGGCATGATCAGAGTGCGATTTAATTGCATTACCAGAGTTGCTAATCGAGGGAGATCCGTCACTACACAATGAAAATCCGAGAAGAAGCATACTCTTTACATTATCGATCAGAACATATCCTCCTAGAGGTGTACTGTAATATGAACCATCCTTGTCCTCAAGGTAGAATCCCTGCTCTCTCCATCGATAGAGCTTGTTTGAGATCATGATAATGAAGTTATTATGATAGGATATGATATTCGTATCATTTTCATTTCGATCCCAGAAAAACTGGTGGGTTTGAGCATAGTCCCTCCCGCTCATAAAAAGATCTGAGGGAAGGTAAGTAAAGTTGAGATTATTCATATTACGAATTCTCCAATAGAGCGCATCCTGGTCCATGATGTCCCTCTGATACATTGTATAAATACTATTGTACAAAAGATGTTTTGTGGTAACAGTGGGCATCAGATACATGAATCCAGCGCAAAGAGTCTCATCCCTCTGCGCCACAATATCATAGGAGCGATATTCCTGAAGCTTTGGAAAAGGGTTGTGAAATAAAAGAACATCACTATCCACATAGAGCAGATTATAACCACAATTAATTACATCACGTATCGCAGTCAATTTTAGAACCATTTTTAGGAAGGCAGACTTCGTCCACATTTTTGTCCCTTGGGAAGCATCCTGGGCATTTATGATATCATTTCTATAATAAAATATAGAAGAGAACTCCTTCGACAGAATCTAGACTCAGAGCAAAACAAATAATATACATACATCATACCCCTTCTTATCCAAAACAAAGGTCACAAAATTCGGATATTGCCACATCTTATTCAGTCTGTAGAACAAACGATAGATATCCAAATAACCAGAATCACAAACAGTGATCATCACATCATTATTGATTGCTTTTTGCTTTAAATATCCATCAATCTCTTGGAGTGTGACTCTTTCCGACCCTCTGACAGGGATTTGCTCCGAATTTCGCGCCAAAGTAGGTATTTGTGTGTGCTTTCCCTTAATGTTGATAATATAGGGTGGTAATGTAGTCATGGTCTGGAAATGAGCCTTGCTTACAAGCATTTTAGGCTCTGTATACTTTACGGTCTGTAAATCAGCTTTGGTACGAAATAAAACGAATTTCTCACGTTGCACAAATAATTCAGATTGCCAGATACTGTAGAAAACCACATGAGTACAGGCTAACACAAAAACTAGTATCCTTACCAGTAACATATTCGCCATTACGCTATTGTTCCTGATAAGTAAGGAATAGACAGGAAATACAATGAACCTTGTTTATTTAATAATCATCCAGTGACTCTTGATTATCAAGGTGATACCTGGTCATACAACCTTCCCCATATTTGTTCCAAACAAGGCCATGCAGCGATCTTATCCTGTCTTTAAGAGATGCTTTTCTTCGGTAACTCGATTTCGTTCAGTTTTGCTCATTTTATAGATCAAGGACTCCAAGGCTTACCAGGCTGTGAACTGTGCCTTATCTGATCTCATTTTTTAGGTAAAGGATTTCCTTGTGCTCCATCCTACTTATGTGCAGCACACGCGTTATGCACCTGAAGGTTCTACGACTCCTGGTTTTAGATATCCTGCTCCTGGGTATGGATGGATGCAAACCAATTAGCATTGTAGTTCATACAGAGTTCCAGTCGTTCCGACCACTGAAAACACCGACAGATATTTCAAGAACGATTTGATTCAGCACGATACAAGAGGCATGGGACGTGATATCCATGTCGTTCTGAGCCCCCAGATGAAGTCGCTTCCTCGTGATATTCGAGGCTGCTACATTACTACGTACAGTCTCAAGGGAAACGATGACAAGGTGTTCGAGCACCCCGTAAGTCCATCCTTTTGATGTAACGGTAGATGTCGGAGATTAAGGCTGGAGATCTTGATCTCTGGACCACGGAGACGGAGGAGAAGGTGAAGGATCATCTCTATGAGCAGATGGGAGATAACGTGCCACATCCCGTAGCCCTTTGTGGCGTGATTCACTCTGTAGTTCTGGGAGGCTGAAGCCGGAAAGATTGTCGAGGACTACGAATCCAAGGGACTTCCTCCTTGCCCTGGAAAGATGTATCAGTGGGAGTGTCCGAAGGAGATGGAGAGTGGACTCTGGTAAAACGCTTATATTTATTGGGGTGTTTCTTCACAACAAACCATTGTAACCAAACAATATATAACACTCACTCCCCTTAGATAACTTGCTTCGTCATCTCGTTTCTTCCAGGATGTCCTGAGTCTAATTTTGAACTGGAACTTGAGCAGGAGCCATCGGAGCCATCGGAGCCATTGGAGCCATTGGAGCCATCGGAGCCACAGGAGCCATCGGAGCCATAGGAGCCATATTATTGTTCATCGGATCCATCGGGGCCATATTATTGTTCATCGGAGTCATATCATTCATCGGGGCCATCGAAGCCATATTATTGTTCATCGGAGCTACTGGAGCCATCGGGGCAGCAGGAGCCACTGGAGCCATATTATTCTGGGTAGCGGAGTCGGCCTGCGTCAAGAGACAAGGGAATAGAAGGTACATTGTTCTGACGATAGTACTCGTCTAACTGATTGTCCAGATTCTGCTTTGCAATAGCTGGGTCCTGAGGATCAAATCAGACGACAATAGGTATACATTCTGGAAGTACTGCTCCAGATCCTTGTTAAGCATTTCAGGAGTCTTTTTCTGTTGCTGCGCGCGCTTTTGATTTCTTCGATTTCTCTGGCCTCCTCTTCTATTCGTTGTCGTATTTGCCACTTGACGATTGCCAGTAGCAGCTCTAATCTGTCGGGACACGACTTCCTGAGTCAACCTCATTCCATTCCCATTTCTTTTAGGTTGATTCTTCGCACCTTGCGCCTTTGTGTTATAAACCACGCTAGATATTTAGCCGATCCGAAGTGAGAGAGTACAATTGTGAGCGGGCCGTTACCCGACCATTTGAAGTGATAACACGGCGACCGTAACGAGAACGTTTTTGAGACCCTGCAGGATGCAACACGATCCTACGAGGCTTAGAGCCACTTTGAATTTTTTGTTGTGACTTTAACTTATCAAAATCCATCTCGATTGAAGAATAAATGTTGATTTTAGTATAGCCTGACACCGCGGTTATTTACCGTTCTTGGCATATTTTTCTTAGCCACAATTCGAAAACAAACACAAGTATTTAGTTTTTTTTGACTCCACTTTACCCAATTTAAAAGCGCGCAACAGGATTTCCTAGAGTACTACAATTCCAGAAATCCTACTTTCGTCCAACGATACGTCCCTGTGCGAGGCTTCTCGGAAAACTCAGGAACTCGGCAAACCTCTTTCCCCTACTTTTGGATCCGCGCAGAATGATTTACCTTGCAGAAACAAATAAAGACCGGAATTTCTCCCGAGTAACCACTTATGTTCACTTTCAGTTGATCGGCAAGCTCCTGGGAACGCGTCAGATCAACATGGAGGAAAACGGTGGAGAGAGAGGTGTATTCATTCGACAACTCCGCAAAAAGCATCTTCACATACTCATTTCCATAAGCCCATGTGGTGTCGAACATCGTAATATATTTCGTGGAGGTCATATCTACTTCAAAGGGGCTAGACGTCTCTCACCATCTAACACCAGCGATTGGAACGATCGTGCACTGTAGTCAATCACTTTAGACGGACCATCGAATGTCGGCTGTGGTATACAAAAGAAGATTACTACAGTCGTTACCCCTTAAAACGCTTACACAGGTACACAACTCCATATACTAGAGCCACGTATTTGTCATATTGGAAAAATAGCACGAATATTAAAGTTTTGCAGTGCAAAAGAAAGGATTGAACGAGACGCTACATAGAAAGTGTTTCAAAATGCAAACATCGATGTTGAGTCCATGTCGGATATTTTTCAGTTGGATAATAGCTAATAACAAGAAAATCTGCGTTTCTCTTGTAAGTCCCATCCAACTATGTTCCTTGGAAAGGAGAGAACTCCCGGAGGGAATAACATATCCTCTCACGAAGAAATACGAAAGAATCACCTATGAATCACGAACCCATTCCTTTTACGATACAATGTAGTGAGCAACGTAGTAGAGGTCAAGAAAGCGATATTGATATGGTAACATAAAACAAACATGAAATAACCGCACTTATTCACTCTTTTCTGGGGGACCACTCGCAAAGAACTCCTCAGCCGACTGCACTGTTTCCTTCTCTTCCTGAATAGGTGTGGCTGGGGTCGGTTCACTGGGTGTCGGTTCACTGGGTGTCGGTTCATTGGGTGTCGTAGGAGACAGAAGGCTTCGAACCATATTATCCATCATCTTCTTCTCTTCCTGCAATTTCTCGACTGTGGCTTGCAAATCGTTCTACAATGCTTATTCCCCATCAACCAATACGCGAGACTGCTTCGCACGCTCGAGCTCCGCAAGCAGTCTCTGGTTTTCCGCTTGCAACTCTTTGACAGTTGCAGAATTATCTCTCTGAGACGATAACTCAAATAACGTTTTCTTCGTCTCTTCCAATTCGTCCTCCACTGCACGGTAGTCCACAACGAGTTGGCTGAATTTCTTTTCGCTCTGCTGCAAAGAAGATTGGCAAGCACTCAATTCCTGCTTTGCTTTCGCTGTCTGCTGCTCAAGACTCGCGTATTGCGTGTTGTGTTCGGTTTTATCTAGACATGAAGACTCTACAGAAGCGAGAACTTCGTTGCAATTCCTGGCGCAGTTCTTGGATCACGTTTTCGTAGCTGGTGATAGTGCTGTCTAATGTTCGGATTTGGTTCTCCTTCTTCTCCAAAGACACCATCATCGCACTCATTTCCTGTTCGTGAGTATCTCGGTTTTGCTCTGCGATCTCCTCGAGCTCTTCCTTCTCCTTGCCGAGCTGCTCAATCTGCCCATTCAACGTTTCCTTCTCCTTTTCAAACGCTTCCTTCTCCATTTGAGATGTGTATTCCAGCTGCTCATAGGATTGCTCCTTCTCTCGCAAGGCTTCCTCCTTTGAAGAGAAGCGTTGCTTCCAATCGTACACTTCTTGCTCGAGATTTTGGATTTGCTTTCCAGAGGCTTCGAGCTTCTTCGTCATCGATTCATATTCCTCGACCAATTCAATGCCAGCGCCTTGGTTATTACTAGTAGCCAGCTTGATTGTGCGGAGATCTTGGTCTTGAACACGAATAAGCTCTTTGTAACTGTTGATGACGATCTGGGAGTCGTCATCAAACATGGGATTGAGCCCGATAAAGAAGGAGAACAGGGTATCTTTGAAACGATGATATACACTTTCCATCAGATCAATCATCGTGATATCCAAACTATTGGTGACTGCACATCGGAAACATCACCGAATTTCGTCCATCGCATTTACGAGGTGAGACTTCACAATCGATCGGACACCAGAAAGATAAAAGAAACGGATAGAGAGATTGCAGATCCTGTGCTGAGAATCACAAATCAATGGTTACGTTTCAAAGCCAAGGCGATCATGGAGAAGTTGAATGTATTCGCGACAATGCGTGGAGGGTTGCAGCAATCCTAAAAGAATGAACAAGCGAAGATAGTTGAGAAGCTGTACATCTGAGAGTGACTACATCGGTCCATTGCTACCAAAAGAAGAATTCTGGAAGCCCCCGGCCTTTCGAGATTCTTGCACGGCATTCATGTAGTTTATTATGATGGGCAACGAGTCAAAGGCCGTTTCGGCACTGTTCGGATCGTGAAGAAAAGCGCTTAGCAGGAGGTGTGTGAGATGAGTCTACACGATAGATTTCAATGATAAACGCGATACGTTTAGCTCAATTGTCAGATAGTCTCCAAGAACGATATCGCATAAAACACACCACAAACGACGACCGATTGGGTTTGGAGAAGCGCAAGCTATCGAATCAGGATTTGCTGATTGTTCTTGAGGTTGAAGCTCTAATTGAATGTTAAGTTCTTGCTCGTGCTCGTGCTCGTGCTCGTGCTCGTGCTCGTGCTCTTGCTCGTGCTCGTGTTCTTGCTCTTGCTCTTGCTCGTGCTCGTGCTCTTGCTCGTGCTCTTGTTCAGGGTCGTTTGCTCTTTCTTCCACTTCCTCCTTTTCAGGTTCTTTCGTTTCTTCTTCTTCTAATTCCTCCGATTTCTTTGATTCCTCTTCCAAGTTCGATTCCACACCTTCCGTTTTCGCCTTTTCCTCCTCTTGTGTTTCTTCTTGTTTCTCCTTTTTTTCCTTTCCCTTGGCTTCGCTGCTTTCTCCTTCTTTTTCCTTGCTTTCACTCGTCTCTTCTTCTTCTTCTTTCTTTCCCTCCTTCTCCTTGTCTTCTCTCTTCTCCAAAAACGAGCAATCCTCATCCCCCACAAACAGCTTCATAAACCCTGAACTATCCTCAGTACAACACTGCATGTACACAGAAGAAACCAGCTTAAGCTGATTCAATGCTTTCAAATAGCATTCTTCATCTTCTTTGTGTGTAGCCAGCGTATTCAGAGACTTCATAAAGGCACTCTTCAAAATATCGCCACACCCACTCTCCGGATGGATCAAATAACTCCGCAGTTCCGAATCACCCGTGAAAAGAAGCATAAACAAGCGTACATAAATGCTGCTGTGCTTGTAAAGACCTACAGAGGCGACAGATGTGAGTTCGCTCTCCAAAAAGCCATCCAGAAGCAACGAAACCAAGTCATGGCAGCCATCCGAATCCAAAATTTCTACACGCAGCAATTCTTTCAAAAGATTAAAATCGGCTATTCGTGAATCGAGTTTTATTATACGCATCCTACGTGACTGCTGGAACGACAAAGCCAGGAGAGGCTCGCAGCGAGTCGAGAGATCGAGCAAGTCATCGATGTTGTGACGTCGCTGTTCATTGTCTCCCTCCTCGGTCTCTGCATCTTGGCGCAGCTGGTAGAGCGTGAAATAGAGCATATTGAACACATATTGGGGATTCTACAAGCATGAGCTGGTTCACAAAAAGGTAAAAACAGCATGCAGCACAGCGCGGTTTGCCTTAATGACAGGCTGAGCGATGTGCAATCGCTCTTCATCGTCGCGGTACGAATCCTCCTCCATTGCTAGCTCCAAAATCTACACTCAACTCCCTCGATAACCAGGTACGCAAACAGCAAATTGGTAGCATTGAATATCGACATTACTAACACTTTCCAAATCGCCATATCGTGTTAGATCAATGACTCGGTCACCAACAGGTTCATGAACGGTGAACGAGGTGTCATTCAGATCCTCCGTTCCATTGATGACAGGAGTGGATCGGATAGACGACAGGGGAGTGATCTTTTCGCTCACAGAGAGGATGTCGATGATGGCGTTGATCAGTTTCTTCTGCGAAAACAGCTTGAGCGTCAGCACACTGTTCGCCACCATATTGTAGATCACATGGAGACAGTCGCGAGCCACCACGCCCGTTTCAGACTGCAAAATCCGGATCAAGATATCGTAGCCATCTTGGAACGCGATGAACTTGCAAATCTCTTGATTTCGTCGAGTTAAGGAACGGAGGAGAAGCAGCATCTCGTTTCGGACTTCTTCTCGAGAGTCGTTGAGCACATCGACAAGTTTCTGCAGTCCCATCGAGCATCCCAAGATCGATTTTTCAACAATACTCTTCGCTTCAGAAAAGCAACTCACTCAAACCTGATTGACAGCTATGCAGTTCTTTAATATCTGGATCGCCTGGATACGTGTCCACACATCCGGACTGTCAAATAGTCCCAACAGGATTTCGACATACGACTCTTCCTATGAATAAATACGAAACCAAATGCATACACAGAGGAGTGTAGAAACGTTCTCAATAAGAAGAGTCTCACTGTTTGGAATCTGCTTTAATTCCGTTAGAAAGCACAATATGTCCAAAACTTTTTGCAAAATCTCTTCATCATCGACGCCACTCCCGAGAATATAGATCAGACGAGGAATTACGGAAGAGGGAACTGCATCGGGAGCATCCTTTATCGCATCCTACGAATTATATGATATTTCCATTACTCACAGCGAGATCTGCAGCAGATTGTCTTTTGTCAAGCAACTTGGGCATAGATTCCAACTGCGTCAGGAAAAGATCGATTGACCTTCCAGAATTGTTTGGAGTCGAAGCGCCCGCAACCCAAGAAAGAAAGGTTGACATTGTAAGGAATGATTGAAATAAACACTTCAATGAGTTACAATAGATCTTAACTAACAACAACAACTCTTCTTTTCTGTTTCGTCTGATACCAAAAGTGGCTCCGAAATGCTGTTAAACGTTGTTGCATCCTCGTTGTTTTGGCTGAGAAGACCTACTTATCACCAAGCAGGAGTATGCAAACCTCGGACTACGCAATCAAGCAATTGAGGGAGATTGTATCCAGTTTTGGCAGATGTACGAATATAGGTCCCGCTTATGCTCCTTGTGAATGCTATAGCGTCGGTATCATCGTAATCCGACACCAAGTCAGTCTTATTGCCGACAATCACAAAAACTACCTTTTTATCACAAACTACATTCATTTCTTCAATCCAAGACTGCACCTACCTCTCAGTACAGCTCACGAAAAAAACTACCATAGAAAATGTATTTGGAAGTGAAACATCGTATACCACAATCGCAGCATCTACAATCCACAATAATTTTGATCTCTACCCGCATCTCGGTAGTAGGCCGGTCCTAATGCGTGGTATTGCTCTTGTCCAGCTGTATCCCACAAGTCTAGCGTAACGGTCTGTTTCATCAAACGACATAACAACCATTACAGTCCCGTTGACAGATACATTCTTTTTATAGTTAGTCGCTTTTGTTGTCGTCTGCTCTCCTTCCTCGAACGTCCCCTTTATTATCTGCTTCAGCATTGAGCTTTTCCCCACACGGCCTACAGATAGGATTCTAAGAATGGCCAATACCCTCTCCTAACAATACAACTTTATAGGTTTTCATAGAATAATATGGGATAAAAGTATTCTATTGTTTCTGGGTGAGCCAACTTGGCTCCAACACATTATATTGTTCCTTAAGATAATTTACTTAATTCCTATTTGTTCACAATTGTATGTGTGATCATACTGTTGACAGGATTTCAAAGAGTTCTGAAGTATAAAGGGTTAACAAAGCACTTTATGCTAAAAACACAATTATCTTTTCATAGAAACAGAGAGACATGCTTTGTACTGAACATCTAGCGAATTCAAAATGTCCCTCCCTTTGAAATGTCACTTTTTTCTTCCTTCTGGCTTTACAGATTGGGCGGGTGCACGACAATCAGTGGAGGCAATGGTTCGGAAGATAAAAAAGAAAACAATGGACAGCAAGCTGATTTCCTCAGAGAAGGAGCAGCCGGTGGAATGCATTGAAAAGAATTTGTTGTGTTGTTACTGGTAATCCGATTTTGAACTCCTGTCATCTTTAAGCAACAAACTGCTCACAAAGCCAAATCGTTTGAATTGCGGACACTTAATTTGCCAGTACGTTCGTCTGAGGTATATCTATTGCATAGGAGGTGTATAAGCTCCCTTTTAAAAAGAGCGGATTCTTGTCCTCAATGCCACGCTCCCATTTTACGCGAGAATATTACTCCAGACCCCCTCATTGTCGTATCTTTGGGTAGTGATGTTATGTACAGAGCAGTTTGGCTACCCAGCTGAAAGAAATCAAAGAGTCGCACACAGAAAATGAATTGATTGTTACTGATTCAGTGGATGCTCTTAGTGGTCGTTCTGTATATGATATCAAACAAGAGTTAAAGAGTTTATCTCCTATGAATAGTCCTCATAAAGCTCAAGCAAACGATACAGCGTCAAGGTTCCAATCCAAGGAAGAACCAAAGAAGAAGTTGGAGATCGTGGATGACAGCAGCAATGATGCGTTTACCTTTCTTTGCAGCCATCCCGAAGTTCGATCCGCTCCTCTGCGCACATCATTCACAGATGCTCCCAAGCCGGTTTCCCGGAAGCGGAGCCGTCCATCCATCATGAAGTCGTCTGAAGAGAAAGCCGCTGCGGGTGATGACTTCGTGAGTAGGCTTCCCAGAGAGATTCGTGAGGAATAGTATCGGATTACATGATCATCGTTTCGTCTCTGAGCACCTCTGCGGTCGATAAGATCCGCCAGTTTGCTTCCCAGCACAGCGTGCTTTGGAATCGCGAGTTCCCCTACCAGGTGAACTTGGTGGATGCAGCATGTCCGCAGGTGCTGAACAAACCCGCCTTGGAGGTGGTGGAGCAGAACCGAGGTCGGCGGAAGCAGCAAGTGCAGAAGTACATTTTGGTGATTCGCACGGAGAATGGATGGTGCAAGCGAACCGTGAAATACCTGTATGGATTGGCGTGGTAGGAGTGAGAGAACCGATCGAATTGTAGCGGAGCCTGGATCGTGACGCTGGATTGGATCGAAGCCAACCTTACCTCCGATCATCTCATCCCTCCGCATGCATTCGAGGTGCTGGGCGACACGAAGACGAAGGTGCTCAACGTGCCGCGAACCTCGCGGTTGGCGCATGAAAAGGGCAGTCCGGGAATCTTTTATGGGATCTTTTTCTTTGTGCGGGTGCGCGATACGGGGGATGGAATCCCGCTGAATATTCTGTTGGATCTGATGCAACGGTGCGGGTGTATTCGAAGTTTGGAGGATGTGAATTTCCGAGGGAAGAGCATGCGAGTGATCGAAGTGGTGGAAAAGCTCACCTCCAGAAGCAGTTTGGATGAGGTTACGGTGGATTGGGTGTTGAACTGCATTGGTAGTTGGAAAGTTCTATAGTAGTAATCGCTGTTTGTTTGAATTTGCCTTTTGTCTGCTCTTGTTGGTTTTGGTCTAGGTCGTTGGACCTGTACCTGTACCTGTACCTGTACCTGTACCTGTACCTGTACCTGTACCTGTACCTGTACCTGTACCTGTACCTGTACCTGTACCTGTACCTGTACCTGTACCTGTACCTGTACCTGTACCTGTACCTGTACCTGTACCTGTACCTGTACCTGTACCTGTACCTGTACCTGTACCTGTACCTGTACCTGTACCTGTACCTGTACCTGTACCTGTACCTGTACCTGTACCTGTACCTGTACCTGTACCTGTACCTGTACCTGTACCTGTACCTGTACCTGTACCTGTACCTGTACCTGTACCTGTACCTGTACCTGTACCTGTACCTGTACCTGTACCTGTACCTGTACCTGTACCTGTACCTGTACCTGTACCTGTACCTGTACCTGTACCTGTACCTGTACCTGTACCTGTACCTGTACCTGTACCTGTACCTGTACCTGTACCTGTACCTGTACCTGTACCTGTACCTGTACCTGTACCTGTACCTGTACCTGTACCTGTACCTGTACCTGTACCTGTACCTGTACCTGTACCTGTACCTGTACCTGTACCTGTACCTGTACCTGTACCTGTACCTGTACCTGTACCTGTACCTGTACCTGTACCTGTACCTGTACCTGTACCTGTACCTGTACCTGTACCTGTACCTGTACCTGTACCTGTACCTGTACCTGTACCTGTACCTGTACCTGTACCTGTACCTGCACCTACACCTGCACCTGAAGAACCAAATTCGCTTTTGTGTTTTTCTTACTACTAGAAGCTGGAATATATGCATGGGGATGTTGCTCTTCCTTGTTTCGTTCACGTGAAGGTAATGTTCATCGCCTATCGATTGAGTTGGCAAAGAAGATGATGACAGAGCAGGAAATTGTATTCTGTGGCCTGTTTTGCTTCCTTTGTAGGAGAGGCTTACTACTCACATCTCGAATTCGCCCGTTGTCCAATCGTATGCCTCCTACCCGTATGACGCAACCGATACTGTTTTTGGAATGGATGTTTCAATAATGCATAGGTTTGCATTCCTGATATGATTAAGAGGAAGCGTCAATATAGATACACTTACTATTGGCATTTCTACGACATAAACTATAATGTTGAAGTCACATCGTCGTCGCTAAATCGTAGACAAGCGAATGGTCTCCAGATGAGTCTGGTTTTCCCCCGGACCTGTTTTCCTTAGAAAAGAACAACCTCTATTCTGCACTCTTCAACGAGTTGTACACTATTAATAGTGAGTGGGACAACAAGGAGGATTCTTTTCTTTTTTTAACCCATCTGGTCGGGGATATGATGCAACCTCTTCATGTGACGCAACTTGTGAGTAAGGAGTATCCGAAAGGCGACCGAGGCGGTTTGTTGTACACGTTGCACGGTTGTAAGAAGAAGAATTTGCATCTGTTTGCAGATGATCTCGGAAATTATTTCCAGAAAAGAGAGGTATGGGTATTTCGTGGATTGAACATAGTTTAAACAAATTGGTAAAGTAGCTGACACCATGCACTTGCTCTGTGTTCAGTAGGAATTCTGTAGCACTTTGAATCGTAGGAAGAATTGGTATGGTTCTGATACGTTGGAAGTGGGGGTGTTCAATCTGATTCAGAACTGGATAATGGAGTCTCATTACAGAGGTCGTGAAATCTACCAGGTACAAACAGTTGTTGTGGTTGAAGGGTAGATTTTGAATGGTTCTCATTCTTTTTCAAAATCCGCGAAGGAAGAGACTCAAGCAATCTTGCTTCATAGTGTTTGTCGCGCTGCAAGCGCTATTACTCTAACTTTACGACATCTTTTTAACGATACTTGGTTCCTAATTTTTATTGTTTGATGGATCCACAAAAGGTCGACTTACTAATTAATTATTTGAAGTTATTTAAGGTGGGGAAAGCGAATTCGTACTTTTGTAGCAACACGCATTCTATCTCGATTCAGAAAGCAGTTTTTTCCGAAACATACCTGATTCCAGTATATACCACTGCTCGGAGCTTGCCAAGATCCGTTCTTATGTCCATTTTGCTTTCCTTTGCTAACTTGGTAGTTAGAATCCTCTATTAGTAATTTCGACTCGAAAGATTTTAAAGCAATTAAAGGATATGAATGGTTAGTTGTAAATCATGAAAAGTACAAGACGGAGATTTTGGATCACTATTCAAAGCTGGAATGTCTCTCGTTTCTCTTTATTTTTACGAATAGCTTGCTATCTGCTTCTGGATTCTGCTCTCAAACAACTTCCGCAGTTACTCGTTCCGTTTTCCGCTCCTCTGGATCTTCTGCCTGTGGATTTCCTCTGTTCCTGTGTTTCGCTGAGCATCCAGCTTCAGAACCTTCCCTTTGCAATGATCATCGGTCTGAAGTGGATGACAGACACAATTCTGGGTTGTGAAAGTCCCCACAAGGATGAGTTGGCTCCGTACTGCTCGTCGAACTGCTTGGAGCAGCTTCGTGAGATGTGCACGCCATACAGTACGTTTTGCTTGTTCGCTTGTTTTCTAGTTTCCGTGATTGATGGGATGCTTCATGGCCCGGTGTGGAGAGAATACCAAGCCTACCAGTCCGTGTGCAGAGCCAGTTCTTCGCTGCAATCCTTTCTATTCCACAAATCGGAGGAAGAAGCGCACTTGCCAGCGTCGTTCATGCAGCCGCCTTGGACTACGCTTGCCATGAAAACGACTTCTCTTTATCGATTCTCCATGCTCCTATTGCTTCATCCGCCCTTGCTGCTGACGGAGGCCCAGCAATCTAGTATCATTCTCATAACGATGCTGGCGGACGTGTAATGGAAGGGAGGAGGCGTGATCGATATAGGGGGGTTGAGTGCATTTCGTCGGGAATGGTGTGTAATGTGTATTCGGAACTGAGTGGAGCCATATCTAAAATCCCCAAAACGAAGGAGAACAAGCAGGATTTGGCTCAGCTTCAGAAGACGATCAAGAATCTGAACTGCGCTTCCATTCATAAGTGGGCCTTGCTCTGTGTGTGAGATTATTTTTGTAGAGGATATCGTGAGAATCTGATCGAGCTTGTGGAACATTGGATCGATAACATTGTGAGAGACACAGGAATCGTGGCTCCTTACATTTTTGTGATTCTCTCCATTCTGTCAACCGCACTTTATGAGTTGGAGTGGAGCTGTGTGAATAGTGTTCGCACAAAACGGCAACTCTTCGGTTCATCGGAGCGTGTTTGCGAAATGGCAACGCGTGATGACGATACCTTCCCTGTTCTGTTGAAGAGCGTCTTGCAACTGCGTCGATTGCTACTGCAGTACGCGCCACTGATTGAGCAGTATCTCGTTGGTGTTCGCGACTTGCTCAAGAAGGAAATCACGGTGCTTCCGCAGTTGGCAAAAGCGGATAGAATCGATGAGGACGATTGGATTCGCGTTTTGTTCCGTTTGCAGAACCAATCTCTGCAGACACAGCGAAGAGCGTTGTATTTGTGCTATTTGATAACGGCCTGTTCTGACATCCCGCGGTGGCTCACCGATCGCTCCGAAATTCGCTGCATGGGAAGCTTGTATCAGTTGTTGCGATCGTTCTGCGAGAAATTCTACTACCGAACCAATCAGGACTATTCCTACATCTTTCTGTTCATCGATTTGGCAGATATGATTGAGCATTCGCGCTTCTGTCCAGAGCAGTCCACGTACTATCAAGATACGTACAACACGATCCAAGATTTGGTGGATCGTGTGGCGGAAATCCAGCAGGTTCTGTGGAACAATGGACATAGTTGGGAGGGAGTGGATCGCGAAGAACTGGAACAATATGCTGTGTTGTTGACGCGATATCGTCGCATCGAACTGAAAGAAGATGTCATCGTGTAGGGAATAGTATCCCCATTCTCGAATCTAGTCCAATGGATATGCTGTCGGAAGCGTTGCTCGAGCAATTTTTGAAAGTGCTGAGAACCTCTCTGCAAGGCAATGTTTTACCTGGGTCTGTTATGGAGCTAATTCGGTCATTCCACCAGTCATTGCTTGTGCTGAGATCGGTGATTTCGCAGCTGAATGTTGCCCACATCGTACGCTCGCTGGTTGGTTGCGCACTAGATGGAACGATGTCGGAATGCGTGGATGTCCGTGAACAGCGAAGAGAGCGAAGCGAACGATTCTGCTTCTACGAGGAATAATAATAATAATAATAACAATAACACAAGAGGAATTAGTCTCTTCGACTACTTTGCCTCGCAAGTTCAGAGCTATATCGTGGAATTTCGAGCGAGAAGTGTGATGGATAGGATCGAATTATCGACGATCCCTCGGGAGGCTTTAGTCTCGTCTCCAGGCGATTTTACTGCAATGGCGCGTGCTGCGCGCTCTTTCTCCCTGAGGAAATAAAGCAGCTGTTTCTCCTCATCGGCAGCTCTGGGATGATGTCGCTGATCCGTCTGCTAGAGGAGGAGATGAAAAGGATGGTGGGGAAGCAAATCGACGAGTTCTGGGAGCAGATGAAATACGTGGGCTTGATGGAGTTTATGATTCACGTCGTTTACGATGCCTGTACGGAGGCGATGAAGGAAAGTCACGGGGATATCTGGTCGTTCTGCGCGGGCGTGCAGGCGGAGTTGGGCGATTCGTCGGCTGAATGGATCGAGGCGCGCGCCTCCTTGTTTGTGGAGCCCAAAGTTCCGTTCTGTATCGATGAATCGTGCGCATATTTGGTGGGCGTGATCCAGCAACACTCGGTGATCTCTGCCGACCAGCTGCAATCCTTCACGCAGTCGCTGGCGATTTGGAGCGCGTGCGCTCAGCAAGCGACGGGCGTGTGGACGGGACATGTGCTGGAAGGATTTCATGGGATCGCGCTGATTCTGAGCGCCTTGCACCAATCCTTTGAAACGTTTTGCTATGACGTTTTGAATGGAGTGCTGAACAGCGATCGGAAAGACGTGGGGTGTGAAAGGAAGAAATGATGTCTAGAAAGGCCGCTATTTGAAAGCCGTGCAAACTGTCTCCCAGTTTTTCTATCAGTGTCCGAAGTTAAGGAAGTCGATGCCCCAAGCATGCTTTTTGCGTTCTTTGGCGTATTCATGGAAATCAGAGTTTTATTTAGGGTGTACGAGGGGCAAGATGTGTTGGATAGTGAAACTTCAGAAAGTGACTGCTTTGTTTGTTTGCTCAAACATGCTAATCAAAGTTACCTTCCTGAATGCGCTCCACCGCCTTCATTCTATGAGATTCCATCAACTTGGGAAGACCTAATAGATTCGAGACGAAGTTATCGTAGATCACACGCGACAACTACCAAATAAACACGTACAAGAGAAGCCACATTCACATCCTTTGAAACACAAAGAAGCAGTAACGATATTTTGAAGGGATAGAAAAAGGGAAGGCTGCATCAAAGTAAACTTTCATTCATACAAGAAGGAAATGTGAGGAATGGAGATATCAACAAGGTAGAGCAGACCAAAAATCGTCCAATATACAAGGCTATACTGTTACAAATAAAAGAACATATCATACAATTCGACATACTCTTCGTGCGAATGAAATCGCATGATCGACAAGGTACGATAAATCGGGTATGCGCAACCGATGATATTCCTGCAATGTTATCGAAAGAGGTCGCGAAAACTTACGCAAGCATCGAGGGACCAAAGATAACGAAGAAGAAGATGCTACTCAGTAAAACCGAAATGCTCACGAGTAAGGAAACACGCACATTGACCTTCTTGCTGATATTCATCAATGATGCTACACATCACGCTTAAGCTTTAAAATGACGGTAGTTTTCTAGTTGGCTGTCTACTAATGACAGTTTCTCTTCGATTTTGTTGAGAACGATTTCCATGTAAAAATAGTGTATCGAGTCAATTTGCAAAAAGAGCAGTTAGACCGAGACGTACAACTTGGCAGAATAAAGAATGGAGTGTCTCTTATAGTCAGCCATGTTGGGAAGTGAGTCGAAAGGGAATGAAGGTGTTCATTATATACGTAATAAGTATTACTCAGAATTAATGGTTCAAGGATTGTTGAAAGAATTAATTCAATTTGATTATTAGTATATATTTTGATAATGGCAATTAATATGTGATTTTCACTAATTCTGAATTAATGTTAAGAGAATTATTAGATTACTACTTCTGATGAGCTGTTTATGGTAAATGTGACTTATTATAATCTACTCACAATTGAAAGATGTGTTGTAATACTCGGTATTGAATAGTTTTGAATTAGTTTCTATGGAATGATGAGTGAAAATTAAAAATAGTAATAATTAATAAGAATAAATCCTAGGAATTAATATTTGCAACATTATTGTTGAGATTATTAGATTGCAATTAATAATTGGATTATTTCCAGACTTATTATAGAATTTTGCACAAATTTTCTATCATTTCTATCACAAACAACAATGAACATAATTCTACTGGTAAAATACACTTCAAACAGATGATGCTTCTTGGGGGTTGCGTCTAGGGCGTCGATGAAAGCGTCTATTGGCTTTATTCCCATGCTCTGCTTGATTGTTCGCGTTTGATGGAGCGGATTGAACTGGTGGAGCAGTTTGCTTCGGTTTGCTCATTTGTGGTGCTGGACGAGTTGCTTGAGCGTGCTGATCGGGTTGTGGATTCTCATAATTCTTCTTTCCTTTGCCAGTTCTGTTTCTTTGCTTTTTATTTTGAGTGGGTTGAGTAGGTTGAGTAGGCTGAGTGGGTTGAGTAGGCTGAGTAGGTTGAGTAAACTGAGCTGGCTGAGCTGGCTGAGCTGGCTGAGCTGGCTGAAGCGGCTGAAGTGGCTGTGGTTTGAAAACAGGTGTTGGTTGAGGGAATTGAACTGGTATTGGCTGATCGGGTTGTTGATCTTCATAATACTTCTTTCCTTTTCTAGTTCTACTTCTTTGCTTTTTAGGTTGAGTGGGTTGAGTAGGTTGAGTAGGCTGAGTAGGCTGAGTAGGCTGAACTGGCTGTGGTTTGAAAATGGGTGTTGGTTGATTGACTTGTGGATTTTCAGTATTCTTCTTTCCCTTTTCATTCCGATTCCTTGGACGCTCTGGTTGAGCGGGTTGAGTAGGTTGAGTAGGTTGAGCGGGTTGAGCGGGTTGAGCGGGTTGTACTGGCTGTGGTTTGAAAATGGGTTTTAATTGAGGCGCGTTTTTCTCCTGTCTTTTCAACCTCGGCATTTTTGGAACGACTTGTGGACCTTCTGTCCGCTCTTGGTTCGTCTTCTTTGTAGTGCCCACAAAAGGCTCTTCAATCTCGTCTCGCGCCTTCGAAATCATTCTCTGATTACACTTCTCTATAAATTGCTGGGGAGCCAGGAGAACGGATCCCGATTCTTCTGTCACCAAATAAAACTTGCCATCCTTGCTCTGTTCCAATATCATTTTGCTTAGCGCTTCCATCTCCTCCTTACTCGGGTCATGAGCCCATTTCACTACCGGTCAACCACCAAACAAAACAAAAACGGGGCGTCGTCACTTCGTAATACTCTGTGTATGCGTTATATTTGTTCACGATGTAATCCGTTTCAGCGAAGCACGGAGGACAAACTCCCAAATCGAACGCTTGCACCGTGTTGTTATCCTGCAATCGATCCATCGAAATCGAGGTCGAAGCCACGAATTTCTCGTCTTCATACACCACCAGCATGCGTTCCTGTTTGAAATGATCCACAATGCAGTCGTAAAGCTTCACCTCGTTGTCCTGCGTGTAGTTCCCCGCGGGAATCACGAACCAGGCTCCGTGATAATTCACTTCAATCAGCAATCCCTAACGATCACCACACTCTGCCAAAATCCATACTTCCTTCACCACAAATCGCTGCCCTTCCTTCAAAAAGAATCGAGACAACGGCCGCGGCGTTTGGCTCAGCGACAGAACAGAACCGTTGATCGAAATGCAATAGGATTGAGGCGTTTCCAGCATTCTCCACTTCAATAAACCCACAAAAAGCGAATTCCTACCACTTCGAGAAGCACTTCGTTCATGTTTTGGAAGGATTCAATGCGCAAATGGTAGGTGTCTGATTCGGTTTCCACCGTCAGCATCATCATAATCGTGAGAACGTGGTCATTCTCCAGTCCCAACGCATCCAGAGACTCGGAGTACCGCGATTCCTCAATGTCGAAATTGTGCATAAACAGCAAATAGCTTCGATGGATGCCCAAATGATTCTGTGCGATGATTCGGTCAACGAGCAAATACTTCGAAGGCTGAAACGATATCATCAAACGGAGATTGGTGGTTGCAATTGATCACAAACTGCTTATTTGCGATCCAAGCGCACAGTTTCATGTCTGGGTTGTCGGATATGTTCAGAATGGTTCTAATCGTCAACGCACTCTGATTTACTCACGACTCTTCCTCCTTTTCTTTTCTCATTGTATTGCTATTATCTTCCCTCTCTTCCTCCTCTTCCTCAGTTTCCTCCTCTTCCTCCGCTTCCTCCTCACTACTCGAGTTTGAAATGGGTGAAGAACTATTTTTGCTATAACTAGATCGCTCAAGTAAGTCGTCATCACAAGCTTGGTTATCTTCATCCAAATCGGATTCAATAGAATGTTCATCGCTCCTACTCTCGGAATCGTTTATATCATTAGATTCATCCCGTTCAGAATACTTGTTTGACTCATAACCATCATCACTATTTATCCCGATCAGATCATCAATATCGGATGCTTCAGCGTCATCATCATGATTCACAGATAAATCGCTACCGTAACTTGAAATGGGAGAAGACCTGGATATCACAAAAACAATCATACAGTACAGTTCTTCTTGCTCACTATAACTGTATTCACTTGAATAACTCGCCAAACTCTCTTCAGGATCATCAGTTGAAGAGGAGAGAATTGGAAGATCATCCACTATATATCAAACGAAATTCGTTCGTTTACAGTTATCAGAACTATGCTTTCTCATAGAAACAGCAACTATTGCAACAAAAAAGTGCAAAATCCCAAAAGAATTCAGTATTCTAATAAAAATAACGTCAAAATGGCTTGGATGAAGAGTTTTCTTGTTTTGCTTTCATTAATACTTCCTATCTTCTTATTGGAGTACTATGTAATGGTTCCAGTGTTTGTTACTCCAGTTTGGAATCGTGCCGTTGCTACAAATGCGACGCTGCTAAGAAAGCAAACTATATGTAGGTATGCTGCTGTTTTGATAGATAGACTTAAATGAGGAACCTCGAAGTCGATTTACTGTAATTATTGTGACATTTAATGAGGCGCTACTAGAAAAAACGTAGGGTAATTCGTTTAGCTGCTAGCTTAGTGTGAACAATGTGTTAGAGAATACGAATCCCTTATATTTGAAGGAAGTGCTTATTATTGATGATTTATCTGATACTCCAGTTAAAGGCTGGGAAAATGATACTCGTGTCCGTATTGTTCGGTCTAGTACTTTTCTCGTTTATTTTTTTACCTTAGAAACTAATTTAGGGCTCATCAATGCTAGAAGATTCGGTGGAAACGAAGCTCGTGGAGAGTTTCTTGCGTTTATCGATGCCCATGTTTTTGTGAGTCCTCACTGGCTGGATACCCCTCACAGACTTCTCAGTGAAGTAGATAAAGCCTTTGTCGCCTCAGCCGTAGGATCCACGCACAATTGTGAACTATTTGAACTTCAATCTGGATGGAGAAAACTACAAACCGAGGTCGTGGACCACTGGAATCGGGTCTTCGGCCACCTTCACGTGGAGTTTGGACATTATGTGGGGTGGAGGCTCGTCGAAGGACAGCTACTCGCCCATCACCATGGGCATGTTTGCAACGAGCAAATTCTGGTGGAGCAAAGGGCAGATGGATCCTGGAATGGGGCGTTGGGGCTTAGAAAACATTGAAATCTCGCTGCGCACTTGGCTTTGCGGCGGTCGGATTGTTGTAGCGAAGGATAGTTACGTGGCGCACTTGTTTCGGACTCGCTTCGCCTACAAAGTGAACAATAATGATATCATTCGAAATAAACTGCGCGTAGCAATGGTTTGGTTCGACAAGGAGTCGCAGCAACGTTTTTTCAATGCCAGCAAAACCAAGCTGAAGAATGGAAAGCCTGTCATGAATTATGGTGATATCTCGGATCGTCTTGCTCTGAAGAAGGAACTGAATTGCAAGCCGTTCTCGTGGTATACCGAGTTTTTCCAAGGAAGAGCGCCGTGTGGTAAACGTAGGAAATGAGGAGGAGGAAGGGGTGTGACATCTAGGGGAACGTTGTGGAAAAGGCAACACGATCAACCTAAAGGATATTAAAAACTTTGATATGAAGAAAGCTTTTTATGAAAAGGATTGGTGAGTTTTCACAGTGTTTGTTCGAATATGTCCAATGATGACTTGCTCTCACTGAATATTGACGACCTGGAAATTGAACAGCACCAACAGGAACGTAGGAAGCACTTCGGACGAAGATGAAGTCTAGGAAAGAGAGAGACCGTCGAAAAAGAAGTTCCAAATAGTCCGAAACGAGTAGAGAGAGAACCAATCCTTCCTTCTCCCATTCCAAACAATCTACCTCAAACCGAGGTTAGCGTGATTTCTCAGAATCCACATGCTGCAAAACCGGGAGGGAGAGAAGGATCAGACAATTCGGTAGTGGTTGTGCCAAACTCTACAAACTAGACGATACGAATAGACGATTTCGATACTCGGTGGGAGTTTGCGCAGGCTGTTCTAAAGAAAAGGAATGAATACAAGGGTGAGGAGTTGATGTCTATCTAAACGAAAGATGTGATGTCGATATTAGATGTCAAATCCAACCACTTTCTAAAAACAAGAAGAATGATTCTGCAGATTGAGAGCATAAAGAAAACTGAAACGGGTTACTTCTGTGAGTTTTCTGATCTTACCGATAAGATTTACGGAACCCTAAGCAAGTAATAAAAGTTGCATGACGATTCAAGTGTAGCGATATCGTAAAGGAATACCAGAGGTGTCTAGAAGTCACAACGGTTCTTTGTATTGATAAAGCTCCGATTTTACACGTTACCCAATCTGGCAATATGTATATAGTTATTACGATAGACTGCATCTTTGCAATCTTCTCCAAATTTGATGAAATTGCCTTTCTTGTTTGTTCGAATCCAATAGAAATTCGATACGTAGATGACCAGTGATCACGACGTAGCCTTCATTATAGTCAAACAGAGAAATAGGAGAACCGCTCTTACTTTCTGTTTTAAAAATGGATTTAACTCTGGCTAATACGAAGAAACGGCTCATTGAGTAAGCGATACGAATTGATCCAGTTTAATGCGTAGTGAGGGAAAAATAGCACCCCTGCATCAACAATCCACAGATAATGAAGATGACATTTTTATTGTATCCACTTTTGCTTGAGTGATGATTTACAGGTTTTTACGAATCCCTCTCTAAAAGATGTTATCCAAATTATCTTCAAAGACTGTCTAGAAGCTTTCAAGGGAAAGCGAACAGTGCGGATTGTCACTCTTCAAGAGTATTGTGAACTGGAGGACCAAACTATCACAGAAGTAGCCGAAAATGAGGGAGATGATATGGGTTTCATTGTTTCAGACTTTTTCAATAATTTGGGATCCTATCGTGATGACACCATTTTGGTCTACTCTCATACGTTAGACAGCACTCAGACCTTTATCAAGACTTATTGTAGTGACTACCAAAATATTGTATGTTCCACCGATATTCAGACGCAAGGAAGAGGCCGAACTTCGAATACTTGGGTTTCTCCTGTTGGCTGCATGATGTTTTCCTACAACAGTGCTGTGCAGAAACATGAATTTGGTGGAATGATACAGTATATGGATGCGTTGGTTATGTGTCAGGCAATCAAGGAGTTGAAGGGAGCGGATTGCATCGATGTCAACATCAAGTGGCCGAATGATGTATACGTTAATCGCTCGCAAAAGATCTGTGGCATCTTATGTCAATCGGTCTACATGAATGGAGTGTTCAACGTGACGTCCGGCATTGGGGTCAACGTTAGCAACCGAAAGCCGACTACCTGTTTAGAAGAGCAGATCAAGCTGAAGACAGGGAAGGTGGTGCATCTGAGTCGAGCGGAGCTTTTGGGTCATTACATGCGCATATGGAACTCTTATTTCCCTCTCTTCGCCAAGCAGGGCTTTGCTCCCTTCTTAGAACGATACTATCAGTTGTGGTTGCACTCCAACCAGTCAGTGAATGTGTTGAAGGATGATGGAAGCTATTCCAATGTCATTATCAAGGGAATCACTCCCTATGGGTATCTCCAAGCGGTCAGCGAGAGTGGAGAAATGTTGGAACTCCTGCCGGACGGAAACTCGTTCAACTTCTTGGATGGGTTGATCTCGAAGAAGGTGTGTCATGTTTGTAACAAACACATCAAATAATCGCAGGACAGCACGACACGCTTTCAAAACTACTCGTCTGGTTCCACTCCAAGCAGGTTAAGAGAACTTCGGCTGCTTTCTCCGTTCTCCCCAGTCGCTCCAGGACTTCTCCCCACAGTCTCCATGCGCTTGTGATTCGATTATCTCTCTGCAGCACATTGCTAACGATCTGCTCCGCATCGAGAAGCTGCTTCGTGCAGTTGTGCTCTTTTGTTAGCAGCGCGTCCAAAGTCGTGTCCTTGTCGTTTCGCATCTTTTCCACGTCCTCAAGCTACAAATCATGATGAAAGCGCAGCAGTACGATCTGAGTAGCAGCGCTGACAAGCGCTCCAGCCTCCAAAAGTTGTGTATCGACGAGTTGTGGGCCGTAAAGCTTCGATTCGTTGAGTAATTTCCATGCCTCTGCATCATTTCCTTTGGAGAAAAGGACGCGAGAACGCTGCATCGAAGGAAAGGAGGAAAACGTACTTCGTTGAGAATGCGAGAACGCATTATGGGCGAGTTATCCGAGATGCTGGTGAGATAATCGAAGAGTCTCTCCGATTCGGATGTTATTAAATGTAAACTATAAAACTGACAAGCGAAAAACAGGCAATCCGCCCATTCCTGGGAATTGCCCACTGCAGAATCGATCTGTCGCTTGACACGTTGCACCATTTTATCGTGCTGTTAAGTCTGCATTCTACACTCAGCAATTCAAGGATATCACAAATGAAGAAGCCGCTTTTCCCTTTTCACAGCTCTCCAGCTTGCACTGCAGCAATCTATTCGTTATACTCTTTCAGTCCCTGAAGATTACTGAAGACTCAGCGAATCACCACAGATCGTTCTAGCTCGATTCAGCGCTGTACACGACGCATCATACCCTTGCAATTGATACGTCAAGATCAATCGAAGTGGCCATGCTTCCGCGAAATATGGGTTTTGTTCCTCTATCTGGAGCAGTTGCTCCATGGCTTTCTCGAAGTCTCCTTGTTCTGCCAGAATCAACGCGATATTGTATCTCACATAAGGATTTGGGTTGCGAATCCATTGCAAGTAACGCAGTCCCGTGTTCTATGCGTGAGTCAACGCGCCTGTGCCTACCAAATACTCCGACCGTTTGCTGAAGAAAGGAATGGAGCGGGCTTGGAAGAGATAGGAAACGCCGGTAAGCTCCATAGCTTGCGAAACGATTGCTTCCTTCTTGCAATCTTTCAGAACGAGCGCCGCAAAGCTAGAGTCAAACTCTGCCACCATCTCTACTGCATGCAATCATCCACACGATTCAAATGTGCCAGACAGACCCGAGCGGAGAACAATAACGGTATCGATCGGTCCATAAACTTTGTGTTTTCCTCGCTTTCGCCGTATTCTGCCGATGATTCATCGCATCCAAAAATGCCTACGATCGATGTCGGTCACACAGTTTTCTAACGCTTGCAAACACAACACGTATTTTTCGCTTCGGTAGTGCGCAGTGGCGATCAAATACCACAAGAAGGCGCTGTGTCCCAGCAGCTGCACCATTTTCTCCAAATAGGTTACACATTCTCTGAAAAGGCCTGCTGCAGTATAGGCTTCGAAGGCCAATTTACAAATATCCAGTTTCTTTTGATAAGAATGGAGTGTCAATGCCTACAATCCGAATGCTGCTAATCTCGTCGATGTGTTCCTGCAAGATTCGAAGCAGCAAAATGGCTTCTTCGAGGGCTGTCTGTGGGATCTGAATGGAATCAAGATCGTGCGGTGTGTAAATGGAATAGTACACAGAAGGATGAACCACGTAAATCAAAAGAGAAGCAAATCGCTGCAGCAGAGTGATATAGCACGCAATAGGGAACGGGTTTTGTGGGAATGGGCCTGCGGTGATTAGAAAGATGCGATAGGTGTCGATAGCCACGGAAAGCGGGGCATGGAGAATGAAATACTGCGGCAGTTCCATCAGCACAGTGAAAACGATTCCTGTGTCGAACTTTGGAATCGTTTGCAGCACAGAAAACGGTGAATTTGATTGTTTGCTGTATTGCAAAACGTCCCATAGAAGAAGAAGCAATCGCTCCGACTCGGCGTGAGAATTCTCTGCTGGATTGTGCTGCAGAGCATCACAACCAAGAGCCAAAGCCACCGAAATGATTACGACTTGATATCTACACCTGAGAGAAGGATGTAACGAATACGGAGAAAGATTGACGAGATGGTTCTGCACGGTCTCCATTCTCAGTTTCTCAACGATGTGCCACCCATCATTCTGTACAGAGTAAGCTTCGGGATTCGTATTGTCATCGTCTGAGTCGTTTTCGTCTTCCTCGACATCCTGCGATTGATTCATTAGTTTACTGATGTTCTTCTTTACATTGGCAGTGATGTTGTCTCTACCTTCCAAATTGATCCTCAAAGTCTACCTTATTTCGATAAATGTGTTTGCTGTTTTGGGGAATCGCCCACGATTCAGCTGAATAAGTGTAGCCAACGCAATCGCTTCCTTTGTGTGATTTCAAGTTTGAATAGTGTACCGGATAGGTTGGGCTTGCATTGAGAGCAGCTTGAATATGTTTCCAAGCACTATGGTCACGTCCGCGCTTGCTAATCGAATGGTCTGCTTTTACCTAGCCAGGTAAGGTTTTCTATGTATATCTACTGTTTCTGCATAGGCAATTTGATCTTCCTTCGTCCGAAACTTTGATTTGAATGTCTTTCCCTGTTTCACATTTTTCATATATTGCCTCTGATGTCTTTTTACATCATCCCACTTCCTTGCAGCTCGTAATTCGTCAATAAAGTTCTATATATAAAACAAGCATTGCCTGGGCATACTTCGTATTCTATTTCGCTCATAATGTGTTAAAATTCACCTTTTAAATCTTTACAATAGAATAGTGCAAATAAGCGTTCACATTCCTCTATTATTTTTCTAAAAGGAGTATAAATTGAAATGGAATTTATTGACTGTCCTCTCATTTGCAACCGAATAGGGAGAATATCACCAAAGAGCGAGGGATCAGACAATGTGATCCTGCCTCCTCAATTGAGACCAAAACGGCCCAATGTGTTCGGATTTTATATTTATAAAGTTACTTCAGAAACTACAGACAAGTGGACATACTGCTGCGTTAGGCAATGGACTGCTGAAGAGCACGACTGCTACATGCCTACAGTAGGGGATTAATCTTCTGAGACTATATTAATAGTGGATGATGAACTATCTGAACATTCCTGATCATTGTGAAGTTAAGTTTACCTACGACAATTTTGATATTAAAAAGGTTCACTTGTTTTTTCTTCGTTAGTCTTTAGGGAAAATCCCTTGTTATTCAGCCAACTGACGAGATTTTTGCTTCCTATTCGTCTCTTGTTGAATTGAAGGTATTTGCATTCTTTCGGAGTTTCATACATTCAGGCAATTCGCACCGCACTTAGCTCTTATACCACTCTAACGAATAACTCCCGAATTACTCTCAACCTGGATGGCCAAAAGTTTTCTATCATTATCCGATTATTGGCACCCGATTCCAAGGTTCGTACAACCGACAAGATGCAAATTTTGGTGAGTAATCAGATCTACGTAGGCATTGAGTGTGTGTTTGAATACAGCGAAAACAGATTATTGACACGATGGACGAGTCGAAGAAGCTAGACGATGCGTACAAATCGATTGATTGATTCGTGACCTGTAGCAACGAGATTCAGCAGTTTGGCGAGCAGCTTCTCGAAGGGTTGTGTCCGACTTGCTATCGATTGCTGCAGGACTGTCGCTGCAGCGAGCTGAAATCGAATCCGAAGAAAGAAGACAAGGAGGTGGAAGAAGAAGCGCGACGCCTCGCTTTGGAAACGCTGCAGAAGCGATACTGCATGAATTGCTTCTGTTTTAAGAAGAATTGCATCTGCTCTCGCTCCGAACTGAAAGCTTTTAACTCGCGAACGGCGGATAGTAAGCAGGCTGTTCTGAGAGTGGTGTCGTTGCTTTCTTGTTATGTAGATGGGGGGCGAAGTGGGTGAGTATGAGGACGAGTCGAAGGAATTGGAGGAAGAAGACTTCGATATCATGGGTAGGAGAGCGCAGGCGAGGGTGAATGAAAGAGATCGTCGAGCGAGAAATGCAGAAGGAAGTCGAGGAGAAGCAAAAGAAGCGCGAGGAGGAGAAAACGGAACGGAGCGATGTGGTCAGCGAAGAGATAAGCGACCTGCCCCCTGAGGAAACGAGCGTAACGCAGAAAAAAGAAGCCGCTGATTTGTAGCAGGATGCCAACGATTTGTCAATCAAGAAGCCGATGGCCAAGGATCTGCCTGGAGAGACCGCCCTCGACCAGAAAAAGCATACAGAAGGGGATGTGGAGAAGACGTCTACAGAGCAGCCAGCTGCTTCCGAGGCTGACAAAGAAGAGAGGGAGATGAAATACACGGCGTACTATTACTGGCCGATTCTCCCCCAGGAGCATTATAAACGCTGGGAGATCGAAAATGCAACGATGTGAGAGAGAGTTGAAGGAATTATGGGTAGGATTCCGCCACCACCTCCCGATCTGACGCCTCAGGAGCGGTTGAAAACGGTAAGGAAAAATCTGTCTCTGTGGGCATTATTTAAGAAATCGAATCGATAAATGGAGAAGTAGTTGTTTTGTTTGTTTTAAACTGGGGAATCAACCATTTTGCCGTTTTGATGTATTTTAAATTTAAGTGGAAAAACAACCGAGTTTTTTCTGAATATCCTGCAGATTGGTTTATCTAAACTTGATTTGGATATTCTTTAAGTGGCCTCTTTCTAAAGCCTTGCTCTACGGAATAGCGTATTTCACCCCTCTTTACTGTAAGAAATGCGATCTCACGACTCAGTTGTCAACCAGGCAACTGTAGGACTTATGGATACCTTTCTAAAGATAAATCGAGTAAGCTTGAACCATTGGCTTTATCCTAAGGAATACTATTTTCGGAACCGCATTCAATCGAATGTAAGAAGGAAGCAAGCGTATTGGAGGTGTCTGCACTTTAATCGTAGACAATCGGATTTATCGAATAGCCAGTACTACCGCTACTCTATCGACGAATTACTTAATGATCGATATGTAGTAAAGTCTAGTATTGGAAAAGTTTTCGTCCCTCTTTCGACTTTATTCGTAGGGGTCATTTGGGGAAGTAGTTCTGGCACTTGATAAAAAGGAAAACCGGCAGGTTGCGATCAAGATCATTCGCAGTGGTGATTTGTTTTTACAGCAGGTATGACTGTGATTTACCTCTCAGTGTAGTCAAAGAACGAGATTCAACTTTATAAGCTCCTGCAGCAGCAAGATAGTCCTGATCGTCGCTACATTGTTCAGCTCTTGGACATATCCTTATATATATATTTGATGATTCATCCTTTTGGGCACCTTCATCCCACTATTTTATGTATAAAGGGCATCGTTGTCTTGTGTTTGAGCAGCTTCACTACAATCTATTCGACATTCTTCGATTTAACAATTTTGTCGGATTCAACATTCATCACGTTCAAAAGATTGCTTACCAAGTGAGAGAGGACCGAACGGATCACGCCTAGCTGTTTTGTGCACTTCGATATATCCATAGTGATAGTAACAAGATTATTCATTGTGATGTGAAACCGGAGAACATTTTACTCTCTGAGTTCAATGGTTCGGATATCAAGCTCATCGATTTTGGAAGTTCGAGTCACATGGGAAGTTGCTTTTTCTCCTACATTCAGAGTCGTTATTATCGAGCTCCGGAAGTCATTCTGGGCCTTCCCTATTCCTCGTCGATTGATATGTGGAGTGTTGCTTGTGTTCTTGTGAGCCGCTTTGTCTTTTCTTTCAATGATAGTACGAGATTTGCACTGGAGAGCCTTTGTTCCGAGGAAGAAACGAGCTCGAGCAAATCATTCTCATTTCTTCTTTGCTGGGAGATCCTCCCTTAGACATGCTCATTGTCCGATTTGGTGCTTTTCTTAATTCTTGTAGAAAGGAAAAAAGGTGGAGGATTTCTACCTGCGAACGCGTGTCCGCGATGATGGGAACAGTCGATACATCCGTCGAGTGGGTGATTTGATTTTGGTGTCTTCCTCGTAGGTCAGTTCGCAGCGAATTCCAGAGTCGATGTATCACAACCCTCAATGTCTTCTCAATCGAGTGGACGTTTCCTCCGAAGTCAGTGTCTTGAAGAGCAATATGATGTTTAGGAATATGAGTTATATTATGAGTTGGTTCAGCTTCTTTGGCAGTTGCTTTGCTGGGATAGTTCCAAACGCCTCACTGCCGAGCAGGCATTGAGCTCTCGTTTTTTCAAAGTGGGTTATTTCGCTTCGGGTGGCCCTGTCAATCCATCCTCGTTGATCGTACGAGGGAAGCAGCCTTCCGAGAATCAAGAGAGATCCTGTGAGTCCCTCTCGTGTTGTTTCCAGTACAATACAAACCTTCCGCGTCCTACGCTCTCTCCCCAATTCCAGATTCAGCAAGCCAAAGAATCAACCGAACCGTTCGTGGAGGATTCATCAACTGAGAAAGATCTGCTGGAGCAGCATAACTCGCTCGTTCATAAGCATAAGCGAGTCCAGTCTGCGCCCATCAGTCGTCTGGAAGCGAGTGCAGTGCCATTGCGGAGTCCTCCTTCGAGTTCTAGTCCGAATCCGAATCTGAATCCGAATCCGAGTCCAAATCCTAGTTTTAATCCTAATCCTAATCCTAATTTTAATCCTAATCCTAATCCTCCTTCTAGTTCTAGTTCTAGTTCTACTGCTACTGCTACTGCTACTCTTGATCCCAATCCAGACTCGAATCCCAACATAAATCAACTTTCACCTCGATCTCCCTCTGTTCTGAGCGAAACTGTCGTTTGTCCAACAGATCCAATGAGAGCCGTTGAGACTCCAGAATGCAACCTTTCCAAGACCTATTTACCAGAAGACTTTCGCACTCCGCCCTCCGTGAACATGCGATCTGTTTCGAATGATGGACGCCGATCCAACCCTCCCTTGTTGACCTCCACACCCAAACTACCGACTTCAGTCCAAGGCAGTCCTCACCCCCACTTCACACATCCTCCGCTCTTTGAAGATGTGTATGGATCTGCTCCAAGTCCTGAGAATCTGCTCTCTCCCCAGCCAATTCCTCTATCGTATAAGGAGTATTATTTCCCTTTGGGCTGCCGAACTGCTTCGATTTTCTCGCCGTTAGCAGCGCGGTCAGGGGTGGACAACGCTGTGGGACCCATTCGAAAAGGGAAAATCAAGGAAAAGAGCTTTTCCTCACTCCTCCTTACCTCTCCTCTTAGCCGACCTTCCTTTAATCCTACTTTGTCACATTCCCATGTTTGTAAACAAACAAACTGCATTAGTTCTTGGTAGGTAAAAGATCCATCTTTTGTACTCTAAAGTGCATACAAGAATGGTTCCAAAGCCAATACACATAGCAATACACAAAATACATAATAGCAGAAACTAAACAGACACATACAATAACGATATAAAGATAGAAACGGCGAAGTTGGATATCCCCATTGATCACAAACTCCAAGCCAACGGGGAGATCAGGTTCCAAATACATCAACTGTGTCAATTCCCCTTTGGCCTCTTCTAATCTCCCTTTTACCATTTCCGCCTCTTTGGTTCCTAACGAAAAGCGGAAAAACACGGAGAGAGCAAAGAGATCAATGTCCTCCTCGTAACTCAACACTTCTTTCAACTGATCGCCGTTCTGTTGTGTAGTTTGAAGCAAGACCTTTGTTGCTATGGATCTCACTCGCCTCTCCCACAGCTGCAACGAGCAATTCCGAACTTCCAGGGTAAAGTCCACAAACGCTCTGCCAGAGGAAGGATAGCGAGTCACACATCCCTCCATGTCTACATCCATCCACACTCCCTTTCCATTCTGATGAACGCATTCGCGCCTTTGCTTCCCTATCTGCAGCTTCGGACACTCTTTAAAGGCAATCGTCCCTGCCTGAATCGTTGGCCATCCATCTTGAGACGAACATTCAACCGAACGGGACAAATAGAACGCGACTGACGACAGAAGAGTCGAGTTTCCCCCCAAAACGGAAGCGATTGTCAGTCCATACCCCACATACGAAACGTTGTTTTGGAAATAAAAGCTGTGCGTCGCGTAGGAATATGCGAATAAGTTCTTTGCGTTCACAAGCGCCAAATCTTTGTGTCCCCCCAACATATCAATTCCCCACACAAAAAAAGTATTCGGCACTTGCCAACTCCAGTCCTCACCAATCGAAATGTCAACGCGATTCGCTACAAAGCCTTCCTGTCTTGAAGACGAAGCCGATGCCGAAATCCAGACAGGCAGTCCCTCATCCATCCACGAAGTCGTCGAGTTCCCGTCGAACGCGGCGACCGGAAGGTGATCCATGTGGATGGTGTGATTGCTCGCTTCAATGATCGGATTAAACGCACAGAACAGAGAAGCCGATGTGGAACAAGTAACAAACACATCGAATTTCACGGTACCAGAAGCCACAATGCGCTCTCGATGGAGCTCAGCGCTCACGACAAGATCCGTCCCATCGCTCGGCATCATCGTCGTATAGCTCAGCCACGTCGCTTCGGAAAAGCGATGTGTTGCTGTGGTGGAGTGATAAATTGTCCCAGCGGGAAGGTTGACTCGGCCGATTTCAGAGCCTTGGAAATAAACGATCAGGCCTTCCTGCACGAGCACAGAAATGATCAGAAATGTCGGAGAGCTGGAGTTGACGGTGAAGTGCTTCCGGAAGTACACGGTCGTCAATCCACCTGAGACCGTGACGTCATCTGCGGGAATGGTCAAGCCCCAATTCGTGTCCTCGAATGTTGGAGATTTCCATGCAGGCAGTGGAGCGAGCGTGGGAATGAGATACTTGATATAACTCTTCTCATTCACCAAACTCGTAAAGGGAAACACTTCTTCCTGTTCTGTCTTGTCCAGCTCAAGACTAAAAGAGCCCAAGAACCGATCCTTCTGATCGGTGATAACCAAATCGCTCCCTGGGGTCCATCCAAGTCCCGAGGTATCTGTCATTCGGATTAAATACTCTCCTCGATCCAAGCAAAGCATCTCTCGGAAAGAACCAGCATGGAATTCATAAGAATACACTGTTTCGTTTTCTTGGATGATCTCTACCGCTTCTCCCACACGTGACGCCGATCGCGTGATATAGATCATATATTTCTGATCAGGACATAATCCAACATAAAAGGAGAGCTGAAGATGCGTGTATCCAATTTCATTGTAGCTCGAAACGGTATAGGTTAGGATGCCTGTATATGGAATGTACCCTGAAAGCTCAAGTCGCTCATGGTTGAAATGTATTGTGGAAGGGAGAGACGGAGAGAACTCCAAGCCATGAAAAGAGTTGCTGATCGAGAATGAAACAGAGAATTCCGCATTCACGGCTAAATAGAAATCCTTTTTGGGAACCATAATGATCGGAGCCTCTTTCTCGACAAGAATGATTCGCGAGTTCAGCAGACTGCGGTATAGCACAATCGAGTGGAAGAAACAAAGCCCATCTTCGCGCATAATCCGCAAGACGCAATCGCTCTCTGCGTCGGTACAATTGAAATGCAGAGAGTACAACTGAATAGGAACACACATGACAATTCCATAATCCCCTTCTGTAACCGCTCCTTGCAAAGCAACACCCGATGAATCTTCTAAAACAAGCCATCCAGATGTTCCCATTGACAAGGAAGTATAGTAAATAGGACCAAGAGCACAGCCATTGCTGCTGATGTGAAAGCGACTTGACGAAATCCCAGCCTTGTTTTGTGCGCTAATCGTAAAAGTAAAATTCCCCTTCACTGTGATCCGACCTGACAAAATTCCATGAATCGGGTCGAATGTGAGACCTTGTGGAATCGCTGGAATAATATTCCACAAATTCACGACAGTATCGCTCTTGAAGTAGAGTGTGGGGATCGATTCGAATTGATAAACCGTGATAGTATCGAGTCTGTTTCCCTCTTTGTCTTCCACACGGACATCCATCGGAATGGAAATATTCCTCACTGTAATGACCACATCCGAATGATAGATGGTTCCATCCACTAGTTTGCACTTCACATCGTATGTGGTCTCAGGCGACGTCGTCGTTACGACCCCCATAATCACTCCATTCTTCAGCGTCAGACCACTGGGAAGTGCTGGACGGATCGAGAAGGAGGAAACGGCCTTTGTTGTTCCAAACAACGTAAACGTATTCATATCGAGCTTATCGCGAATATAGTAGATTGTTCGGGGCTTCGAATAACTCAGTACGGTGCTTGGAAGGTGGAAGAGATTGTCTGTTTGGGGCGTGTAATACGAGACATCCCCCGGTTTTTTCACTTTGAGCTTCACCATGATATTGCTTGTCATGGGAGAAAAGAATTCGATCCGAAGCGGAATATAGTCGCCACTGTAAATGTAAAATGCAAAATACATATCTTGAGTCTGTGTGCTGCAACTCCATTTTTCTTTACACAAATCATTCCTGATCCAGACGCGAATTCCCCCGATGTATTGAATCCAAAAGTAGTGATCTCCGCTGACGCACGATTTGAAAAATCCTTCCCACGTCGCGTAGAACTGGTTATGCAACTCATCAGGAAGAGGCGGCAAACTCGAACTACAATGTTACAAACTACACGACAAAACGCACATGCCCGTGATGGAAACGGATTCTACGACATGCTCCAGCAGCAAATCTAAGTGGTCCGTTACCACTTCAGGGTTCGCACAAATATCCGTTTCATTGTTTATGGCGTAGAATCGTGCGGTAAGACCCGTGAGTGGAGTATAGGTCGACAAAAGCTGAAATGTGGCGCATACCCTTCCGAAAGCGGAGTTACAGCATAATTCATATTGCTTCTCCACCACAGACGTATAAAGCATTCCATAGATGATGCCTTGATCTGGATCGAAATCTAAATTAAATGGAAGAGAAGCGCTTAAAGAATAGGACGCGCACTGCGCTGCACTGAATTTTGGAGGCTCCGATCTAATGTAATGCTCACGGAAACTTAGAACGTCTTTGACGACAAGATTCTGAGGCGAGATTCCTCCCGCTACCAGCATTGTGGAATCAATGATCTTCCAATTCGATTGAGAGTCCTTATTATGGAAAGGTCCATCTGTACGATTCGAACTGGAGTAGGAATCAGAATAGGAGAAAAACACATGCAGCTGCGCGGTCTTGCAGCCATTCAAATAAAACAGCATGAATACGTGCTTTCCCTTGCTTAGAAAGACTCCCTCGCTCTCTAACTCCACTGCAGGATTGGACAGATTGAAGGCATTCAGCAGGGGAAGAGTCGTGTTTCCAACGTATAAACGAAAGCCCGTGGATGCCAGAACCTTAAATCTGTACTCTCCCGCTTGAGAAATATTAAGATAACCCAGGAAGGAGGCGGTAAAATTCCTTGGAATACTGTCATCTAACCCTTCCCATGTATGAGATCCCTTGGAAGAGTGCTTATCCAGGAAACTCAACCGGGCATGATTGTAGCACAGGGTAGCAGGGGTTGTGAGATACCACTCAAGCGGAAAAGGGGTTTCAACAGTGCTTAAAGGATAATAACATGCGCTGATCGAGTGACCCAATTGATAGTCTACAAAAATAAAAAAGTACCAAGACCGATAAATACCTTTAGGACACAGAGTAAAGTCAGAGCTTACCACAGTACTCTTGTACCATACATATACGGTTATCGTGTAACTTGCCATCGTACTCGGAAATATCCCATTGATCATCCGAGTCTTATCATCATAATATAACCCTTTGGGCAAAGAGGGCCGAAATAGAATCCAATCAAAATACGAGTCTGCGTGTATAAAAATAGGAATAATAGGGCTATTTTTGAAGACAAATCGGGAGTCAAAGCCGACAGAAACAGCAGATAATCCACTCGTGACTACAACCTTATATCGGAAATAATATGGCACCTTCAACCCAGAATACACCAAAGCTAGTTTCATTATGAATAGTATACCTCCTCATGTTTGTTGAAACAACTGTACTTCCAGAAAGAATGCCGTCCTTAAACGAAATCCCTTCAGGAAGGGAGGGGGAGATCTGGAAATCTCCTAAAGCTGAAGAACATACCGGGATCGAAATATTTTCGCCATAGGGTATGTAGTGATATCCCTCACCACAATCCAATACTGTACCCAACACAACTACGTCTCAAAATGGCAAACTTATTATTACTCGGAATGAAAAATATGGCGAGAGATACAAAACCCTTACTCATAATCGACTGTATTCTTTGAAAAATAGTAATACAGGAGTTTCAATTCTGACACAGGTACTACCATTTCCACTTTGTTCCACAATAATGATGAGATTCGATCGTTTAAAGCTTATATGATTCTTAGCATCATAATTTTACTAAATTGGTGAAAACATTCAAAATTGCCTATGAGTTAGAAAAGTCGACATTCGTGGCGGGGTGAGTTGTTAACCCTAAGCATTAAATATTTAGGCGTGAATAGCTCCTAAATACCCCGTTTTCCCCGGAAATCAAAATGTGCGTTTTGATATTTCCAGTTTTTTAGACATTTTTTACAAACGAGGCATTTTCGGATTCTTTCAATATATAAATGTCAGAAGATCAGAATAGGAAGACAGACCGTTACGGCTTTTTTACGACCAGTGTTACCAAAGGTAGGTTCTTTCAAGATGGTGGTTTGAGGTAGTGTCTCAAGAGGAAATTGCCCATGAGAACAGGCGTGTATTGAAATGGATGAACATGTTAAAAGACTGGAAACGGTAAATTAGTACACCCGTGTTAATTTAAAGATTTTGTGCAAATAACCCGAAAGTGGTGAAGCGTCGAATCCGTAAAGGAATCCCAGATTCACTTAGAGGACGTGTTTGGTTTTTACTCCTTTCCTCTGATGTCTGCGCTGATATTTACTATCGTAGGATATCGAAGGGGCCCTTATTTCAGAGCGTTACAAGACACTAGCTGAAATACCTCCAGATCCTACGGACGAAACTATGCGTGAGGGAGGTGTTATCGATAGGGACATCGGTCGGACATTCCCTGAGCACGCACATTTTTGTAAAGCGAAAGGAGCTGGACAGGATTCATTGAGTCGAGTATTGAGGGCATTCGCCAACAGCGATACCACGGTACCAAGTGATTTGCATTTTGATGATAAATAGGTTAGATACACACAAAGTATGAATTATATCGCAGCATACTTATTGAATTACATGACCGAAGAAAAGGCATATCTGTGCTACTGCCAACTCCTATGGATGCCTCCCTACAATATGATGAATTATTTCTGTGATGGCATCGGAGAGCTTCATATCGCCCTATACAAGGTATGCTTGGGGTGCGGATTCGAAGAATAGATGCAAAGACTGTTAAAACGGCATTTACCAAAACTCTACAAGTTCCTTCTGGAGCAGGATATTCTTCAAAATATGTTCGCCATCAGCTCCGTAAGTCGATGATTCCAGCATTGAGTCATTAGTGGTTCATGTGCATATACTGCCAGAACTTTGATCCAAAACTTGTGGTGCGCATCTGGGATATCTTCTTTGCGGAGGGGTGGCCGATTGTCTTCCAGGTGGCTCTCGCATTGTTCCAATCCATCCAGGGTTTTGGTTGCTACGGGGACTTATTTGTAGATGAGATTATGACACTTACTAGCGATGAGATTCTGGTTCTTATTCAGCATGGAAGTCTTTCGTTTGACTATAATGACCGGTGGATCACGAATCTTACTCCCGACGAGCTTATTAAGAAGGCTCTCAAGTTCAATGTTACGGAGAAGGATCTTGAAAAATACCATAAGGAATACACTCGCAGGGAACTAAAACGGAAAAACTTGGCAAACTACAGTGTTTGTTTTACAACCTCCAATGGATACTCAGCAAGAAGAAAGTGTCGCATGCGGGACTGTGAACGAGTTTTTGGAAAACTATAAGGACTATACGATCCAAGAAATGCAGCCCTGTCTAGACGTGCTTTTCCGTGCCTACAGTTACGAAAATGAACAGACCGAGATTGTTGATCACTTAACTATCCAAGAATACGAGTCCTTGTTAAAAGCGTACAAGATCAATCGTACAATGGCATTGAAGCTGAAGACCGATACTATATGTTGTGTTTGTAAAGGAAGTCTAGTCCGATCCATGGAAAACGGAGGGAAAGAGCAAATTACCCTTTTTGGGTGTGGTCATGCTGTGCATCGCTCTTGTATCGATGGCAATCGGTGTCCGGTAGAGGGGTGTTGGGATAATATTGAACAAGAAGCCAGTCCTGCTCGACGCCGTTCCTCTTCGAGCCAAATCCGATCCCCTGTAATTGCTTTTCTCCTTAATCTATCATAGGAAGTATCCTCTGAAACAGTTGTGGAAGAAAAACCAAAAGAAAGTCAATCGATTGAAGAGTTGCTCAACTCGATTAACAGTGGGGAGCTAAGCGGGAAAGTATCGTCTCTCAATGTTGCTGCGCCACGCCCGAGTGCAATCCACCGACGTAAATGGTTGCTAAAGGCTGTAAATATGAGTTCATGCTTTGAGATGAGTGTGGATGTTTGAATTGTATGTTGCTGTGCTTTGCTTGTTTTTAGAATCAATAACTAAATGTATGAATTTACAAACAAACAAACAAACAAACGACACATTTTCGTATCCACTTAATCCAATTCATTTCACAAAGCAAGTCGACTTTTTCGTCTTTTTCCAGTTGAGATTGATTTTGTTTTGCTGAATAAGGGAGAGAGCGATAAGGTTGGCTTCACGATGTTGTTCTTGATCGCATCCTCGATGAGTTTCGCCGTTTCCACACAACTTTCTTCAATCGACTCCTCCACATCCTTTCGATTTATCACTAAATTGATGTAAAATATGATGCTATCCACCATAGCCACATGCGTTTCTTTTGGCGACAGCCGCAGCGACCGAATCGACTGATTGAAAAAGCGGAACATGTCTTTTTCGTAAGCATACTCCCACGCTTCGAACACCATTTGATTGTACGTCGCATACTCCAAGCCTCTCCCAATCAAAATCTATTGTTCAGCACGACGCATCGCTCATCTACCTCCAGAAGCGGTAAATCAGGCTGGCATTCTTTACACAGATCGCAGACCGCTTTGTAGATTATCGACTTTTTAATGTCCGACATTTCATCGCAGAGGTTGAAAATCACCTTGACGGTTTTATCGATCTTGTTATAGATGAACTGTCCATGCGAGTACAACTCCCAAAACATCTTCAATTCCTGCACGGACATCTCTGGAAGGAACGAGAACGTTTTGATCTCATCGAAGTTCATCAGCGTAATCACAGAGTTCTCTAAGATCGGAACGTACAGCGACAGCAGCGACGATTCCAAGTGAATGCAAAGATATTTGATGGTCGGAACGATGCGCACTTCCTTCCGGTAGTGCTTGAAAACAAACGGAATCACGTACGTCAACGCCAAGAGCAGCGGGGACTCTTCTTGCTCCTTCGCTAAAATGTCCAGCGTCGCTGCGATGGAAAGAATGTTCTCGAAAATCTCTCCGAACTGATGCTTCTTTCCCGAAAACGCTCTCTTGATTTTGGACAGCACGTTCTGCACTTCGTCGCTCGCTTCCTTCGATAAAAACTCGTACAGGAAGCGATGCAGATCGAAATGGCTTTGATTGTGATGCAGCACAGGAAGCTCCTATCCCTCATCCACTCCACGCTTCTCTACAAATCCCATCGGACGGAACGCTTCGCGGAACACTTCGCGGATCCAATCGACGATCACAAGCCAGTCCAGCACACTCGAACTCGACCGACACGCCGAAAGCAGCGTAATCCCGAACTCTTCGTTCTCCTCCATGATCTCTTTCACGCTGCCCCACACCCCATTCGACTCCATTGGCCCCTCAACCGAATCGAAATACGCCGCCAACGCGGGGCTCAGCGCGGTTTCCATTACTTCCTGCTTTCCATTAAACGACAGCAAAAACAAAGTCATTTCCTTCGATTTGAACGACTTCAACGAGTCCAAAATCGACGAGCTCTCCATCGAGAGCTTCTCGTTCTTGTCGTCCGGCTTCTCCACGTGAACTCGCTTGCTGCTCGGGCCATTCAACGTCGCTGTCGACGACGGAAGCGGCATGGACTTCAGATGCTCGATCAGGTTTTGAATATCCTTCGGAAACTGCGATAAATGCGATTCCCACCACGCCTGCGCCGGCGGCTGCGAGAACGAGTTCCGGAAGAAGGTGAACAGCGACGTGGAAACCGGAGAAGATCTAATCCGCAGCTCTCTGCATCGCCTACTGTCCCGACGTGGCCAATCGAATCCCCGTTCGGATCAATTCGAGAACGTTTCCGCCGTGCTCCGATTTGAGATTGGAGGTCTGGTAGATGTACCGCAGCATGCACTCCTTCACCGGCGTCTGCAGCAGCAGCAGCAGCAAACATTGCAGACAGTCGATCACTGCACGTCAGCTCCCTCGCTCCTTCGATTACCCTCTTTTTTTGGCACTTTCTGATTGCTGCCGGTCATCGCGGGGGTCGCAAGCCGCACAAACTGAAAGCAGTAATCGATCACCATATCGGTGACGCCCTCGCTCGGAAATCCCATCACGCACAAGCGAAGCTCGGTGAGCACCGCGCTGTTCCAGATGGTCTTGGGGTTCGGAAAGTTGAGCAGATCGTGGAGACAAGACTGCAGCGTGTAGCCGTCGATCGCGCCTTTCTTGCTCTGCACCATCGAATAGAACGTGTCCACGTTCCGACAGAGCTCGCTGTCCTGCGAGAACGCGAAATACTCGTTCGGCGTGATGGTTTGAAGCAGCGTTTGGATCTTCTGCGGATCTGCAGCTCGCAATCAACACGAAATTCGACCTTGAATCAACGAACCGTAGAGCGCTTTGATCTCCGGAACGTAGTTTCGAAGAATAAACACGTACACGAAGTGCAGTCAAGGCACCAAGAAGTGCGAACAGAGGATATGCAATCTACGCCACACCGAATAAACGAATCCTGGTCGAGGATGAAAATCTTGCGGATCACTTCCACTTCCTTCTTTACGAAGTCGAGAGCCACGAACACATGGTCGTAGCACTTTCTCAAACACCACTAAAAGCATCACTTCGCACGTGTGCGCATTGTACCAATAAAACAGTTGGAATCACAGACGTCTCTTTGCGATTCATCGAGAAGGTGATGATCTGACCGATATTCGATACCAGACAATCAAGAATTTGCTGGCTTAGCCACATGTTGGACTGGCTGATGCTACAACACTGTGCCTACCCCTGAAAACAACCTTCGGTACCAACAAGTGCTAGTGTCATCACAGTCACACGTCCAATGTAAGGAAACTGCGTGGAGTAGATATTAGCGAGATTCTGCAACATCTACGATCACAATCGTTACAACACAGAATACAGCAATTCTTGACTCCGGGCCAAGTTCTGGATAGTAGCCAAAGCACTTATTGATCGCATCCAGAGCAACGGAGGCAAAGTTGCCAGATATGCACAGATTCACTATATCTGCAACGTTTTCTTTATTTGTTAGCATAATGTACCTATGGAGAAGTGATAATCTCGAACCCTACATTGTGGACTTGTAAAGAACCGTTTTTAGAGCATCGATATCTCCATTTTCCTGTGTATTATCGAATACGAAGAATAAAAAACCTTTCTGATCTCATCGAGCTTGTTTTCCCCGCTGAACTTTGAATAGAACTCATAGTTACTGCGAAGGTCCTAATATCTGATTCCACACTCCAAACGAATCACCTGTTCCCTCGACAGTGTCTTTGGATTCGCTGCTCGGAACAACATAGATTTGCCTTCAGACATGGATTACAGAGCAAGCAACAAATAAAAACCACACAAGAAATCGAGTTGTAAAACAAACATGATCATGGCGCGTTCTTACTCCTCTTCCTCTTCCTCATCGCGATCGACGTTCAGATCGAGATGCTCTCCAGTAACCTGCTTGTACACCGCAAGCACATCCTCGGCGACAGTTTCAAAATGGCTGCATGTCAGACGACACCCTTCCTCCTCCTCCTACCTCGTGGCATCATAACTCGTGGTAATGAACACTCCCGACTTCTTGGTATTGGACCGCGGTCGGTAGGTGGTCACCACGCTATCGAATCTACGCGGTAATCCGCCTTTCCCGCGCCCACCGATCGATAATTTTGCCCAGCAAGTCGATTCCCGGCTCCAGCTCCTTCTCCGGCTTCTTCGTCTCCACCGTGGTCGACACGATCGCGATGTAGATCCCCTTCGAGCACACCTTGTGTTTGTAGCTCACGCAGGACACGTAAATGTCCGATTCGCGCTTCTTGTACCCGGCTCGCTCCACCTGCTTCGCCGGAATGATGATCTGGCAGCTCTTCGCGCCGTCCACGCTCTCGATCGGGTGGTCCAGCAGGCAGATCGACCGCACCACCTTCCCCGTCTTCTTCATGAGCTCCTCCTTGAAGTAGGAGGGGTCGCCGATCACCATCTTCGCGCGCACCGCGTGGCCCTGCGACACCACGCCCGCCACCTTCTCGTCCTCGTACTCGATGCTATCGATCTCTCTACCCCTCACTCTCCGCGCTCGGCCTCACTGGTTCAGAATGAACACGCCGCCGTGCAGTCCGCAGAGGCGCGAGAAGCCCTCGGGCAGTCCGCCCAGGCCGTACAGCGGGTAGATGAACGGAGACTTGCCGTACGCGTTCACCGAGTAGCCGTAGAGCTTGATCGCGCGCACCGTCTCCGTGGCCGGCTCGTCGAGGTAGTTGTCGTTCAGCTCCAGCGCCATCGCGTGGCCCGTGAAGTCCTGCGAGTTCTCGTCCAGGCCGTATTTCTTGTACAGCTGGCGCATCGTCATGCGGTTCAGAGGAACGTCCTCGTCCGAGTCCACGCCGTCCTCGCCGGGGATCTCCATCTCGCTGATGCCCGTAAGGAAGCTCTTGTACTTCATCTTCTGGAAGAGGCTCAGAAGCGGAGTGCTCATGGCTTCCTCGGGGGTAGACGGCATCTTGTAGGTCTTCTTGGTCTTTCCGTCATACACGAAGCTGCCATCGACGCACTGGAACTCCAAATAGTTGGTGACGCCAGTGATGTACAAGATATCCGACAGCTTGCCGCACGACATGAGGAACTTGGGGATCAAATCGACGCAGTAGTCACGGCTGCTTCCCAGCTTCTTCTTGGCTTTCTCGCTGGGCTCCTTGTCGAACTTCTTGTACAGCTCCTATCCGTTAGATCTTGAGCTTGCGCCAACATCCAAATTCAGAGAAGCGCAATCACTACCGTAGTATCCGTTTCTATCGAGAACAATGACCTAATGCATCAAGTGAAAAAAACGAACTGAACCTTCTTTCCCTTCTTCGACAAAAGACCTGCAAGCATACACTCCTTGAGACCAGTTCCCAAAATGATGCAGTCATACTCTCCATCAGCGAGCATAGGGTAGGTCTTTCCGTTAAGTTCAATTGTTTTCTCTTCCGCCATTTTCAATAAGAAAAATTGGGTTCGGATGAAAACGCACAGTGTGAGGAGTATTCCTTGGTAATCAAGACAATGCATATCACCATGCTTATGTCACAAACAAGCATCAGAAAGGAGAATAGGCGTCAACAAAAAAAGGAAACTGTAACGCTTCCACAGCTGAAGGTCTAGATAGAGGGTTCCATGAGAGAAGAGCAGAAATCAAATCGACTGCCTTCTGACTCGCGTGAGGAAAGTAAGACTTTAGATTTAGAGGTTTGAACTACGGTTTGCGCCCATCCAACACGCTTACCTGAGGAAATTGGAAATGAAGCCGATTCGCTAAAACAATTCCTTCTTCCCATATTTCTTTCGTCGGCGTTCCAAGAACAGTGCAGATCTTATAGATCTGGTCCTCTTCGCTCTTTCCAGGAAACAGAGGACTGCACGTGATGATTTCCGCCATGATGCATCCAACGGCCCATAAATCTACGGCTTGGTTGTAATGATCTGAACGTAATAGAATTTCGGGGGCACGATACCTAGATCTGAGTAATGCAGAGACATAGAAATACCATCGTGTAGCTATATAGTCGGTGTAAGGCGGACGACTATCCATCTCACGAGCAAGACCGAAGTCTGCGATTTTGATCACATCTCCTTTTAAGAGAAGATTTTCAGGTTTAATATCACGATGAAAAATGTTGTGGCTGTGGAGATAAGCAACGCCTTGCAGAATCTGAAACCTATAGTGATCAGGTTGAACAAAGATAAACAGAATATTTCGCACTTGGTCTTCAGATAGTAGATGCTTGAATCGTTCAATACAAGTACATAAATTGTTGCCCATTTGCTCCATCACAATGTAAATGCGTCCATTCTTCGAAATGACTTCCTTTATTGATACAATGTTTGGATGATTAAGATACATCATAGTCTGCTCCTTAAACATCATCACTTAGTTTACCCGTATCTCAGTAAGAGACATCGCTTGCTTCCAGTTTGCAGGACTTTGAATAATCTTAATTGCAACCTATTCATAACAAGGAGTAATGAACCAGTTACTACTTCGCCTGTTGTTTTATCAACAGCCCTCATGACTACGCCGAAAGATCCTTTGCCCAAAGTCTCCTTGAACTACAAATTATGATACAAAACCGTTTTCACTTTATAGCGATTCATAAGAAACACTAGAACGGCCGATAGTTTCCACTTATTTCTAGAATAGTTTGAAATGCTTTTTTCACAAACATTCTACACAAAATGACTTGTTGGATAATTATTATCGAGCCCATTATAATCAAACATGAGCAGTTCCCCTGGACTGATATCACGTTTCGCGATTAAAAGGACATGGATTTGACCATCAATTACATAACGAGCACTGCGCACATTCTACCCATTAGACTTATCACAACAACTAGAATCAAATACCTGTTTTTTACGAGATTTTGAGTCGCTGTTGTTTATTCCGCTAAAATACCGAGCTAGGTTTCCGAAATGTTCAGGAATAATGACAAGAGATGTTTCTGGATTCCTATCCTTAATTCTGCCACGAAAGAACATACCCACTACGTAGTAGGTCCATAATGCTGTCATTACTGTTCTGCTCGTTCTTTGCCAATATATCCACCTCTCCAATATATTCTGTTAGCAGAGTGTCTTTCTTTATGATCTCATCGGCTATCACCACAAAACCTTGGATCTTATCTTGTCGAACGATCACAGGGACCATGTAACCCTCCTTCGCTAACCGCTTTGTTGTGTCGTACACTGCACGATCACTCTTGCACATTTCTCGTAGCAAGTGACGTTGTTCGTCATATTTCACACAGTTCATTGATGGTTTACAACCCTCTTTATAGACTAAGTCATAACTATATGCGATGCCTTGCTGATACATAGCAGAGGCAAGGGCTACATGCTGATTCTTAATCTTTTCTGGGTTTGTAGAAGGGTTGTAGCATTTAAGGTACCCACTTCGCTTTGATGTGGAAGGAACGGCTGTCATGATTGAAGAAGCTTTGATTGTGTTGGAACGCAGCTCATACTTCGACACTACAGGAATTGGTCTTTCTAGCTTGAAGAAATCCACAATGAGAGATTGGCTCTCCTCTAGCTTGCGGCGAACGGTTCTGTATTGCTGCTGCTTCTTTTCACAGCATTTGCTACAAAACCAATCACCCGAAGGCACCGAGGGCAGAATAGGGGTTAGGCAATAGAGGTGGAAACCCTTGTTGCACTTATCACAAATGATAATAAGATCCTCATCATCGCCTTTTCCGCAGATTTCACACATCAGCTTATCAAAAGCCATTTCTCCAAGCGGCACTATACCTCCAAGGCGTGCTAATCTTCGCAAATGACCTACATTTACGCCATAGGTCTCATCACGCAAAACTTTTAGCTTCTTCTTCGGATCCTCTTCCTTTTTGACGTTATAAAACTTCAGAATATCTGGTTGGTCGACTGTATCCGCTTCTTGCTGCCTTGATCGTGTAGGCTTTGGAGATATGCTAATTCTTATTTATAAATTGGTTTCTCTCACATCCTGCTTTTGATCCTACTACGAATCTCGGGCATTGCTGTTTTCCAGAATCAGATTATGACAACGTGGCAAAGTTCAAGAATTGAATTTGAAACAATAGGGTGTGTACACTGTGTTTGGTTACGATTGCTTATTGTTTTCTTTTTGCAAATATACTCCAATGGGTTTGAGAGAAAAATCAAAAGTTGGAATTATTATTGGTTTTCTGGGCACAACAAATATTGACTACGAACAAGTAAAGTCTGCATTGGCAATAGTGTTGTCGATCGATCGATCGATCGATAATAGTATCGTTTATTATGCAACGCAGTGTTAATAAAGAATGAATCCGTAATAAAGCTGTCAAAGCAAAAGTGATAGTCAAAGTTATATAGGATTATTTACTGTATTGAACCGCTCTTCTATGTAACTTGTTCAAACTCATTCGTTCCTAAGTCGTTCTTTATCTAACATGGGTCGTATGTACGGAAAGGGGTATGGAGTGGATGCGTGAAGTGGCTTATATATAGAAAGGGTATTTCGGCTTCTTGCCTGCCCTACAAGAGAACTGCTCCTTCTTGGTGCAAGTCTACTGCTGAGGAGGTGGAGGCTTCTGTCTGCCGTCTGGCTAAGAAGGGTCTGACTCCTTCTCAGATTGGTGTGATGCTGAGAGATCAGAAGGGAATTGGTCAGGTGAAGGCCGTGACTGGTTCTAAGATTCTCAGAATTCTGAAGAAGAACGGTAAGTGTTGTGTGTTTGAAGTAATGGGTCAGGACTGGCTCCTTCTCTGCCTGAGGATATGTACTTCCTCATCAAGAAGGCCGTCGCCATCAGAAAGCACCTGGAGCGCAACCGAAAGGACCGTGACTCCAAGTTCCGTCTGATTCTGATCGAGAGCCGTATTCACCGTCTCACTCGCTACTACAAGCGCACTGAGCAGCTTCCCCCCACTTGGAAGTAGTAGGTGACTCGTGTTTCAGGTCTAATGGCTAGCAACTCTGCTACGGCTTCCACTCTGGTCGCGTAAGCATAGATATTGATATTGATTCTTCCTCTTGGGAACAAGGTTATTTCATTTGTTTTTTGAAAACGCTTTTTCTTTGGGTAGAGTGTGTATCAGTCGATGATGCAGTTTGACTGACTGCCTGCCCTTGTTTGTTTTTTTCTTTTTGTTTTCAAATGGATTCAAGTCCACTTCATTCGATCGACCACAAGAACAGTTTATATGGATCTACTTCAGGGATAGAGAGAGAAAACAGCAAAGCGTTGCTCCTCAGCCCAATCCAAAATCATCGTTTCCATAGGAAAAACAAACAAAAAAAAGAAAGAACATCGTGTTAAGCACAAACAGAAAACAAATGATATAAATTGAACACCCCTTATTGCTTCTCTTCCTCAGCCTTCACAAACACACCAGCCTTGCAAGGACGAAGTACGCGCTGCTTGAACATATATCCCGCAGTAATGATCTGTCCCAAAGAGTTTGGCTTGGCTCCCTCCGTCAAAGGCATTTGGAACATCGCTTCGTGGATATTCGGGTTGAAATCGTCGCCCACAACACCGTACTACACTCAATGATGAAGAAAGCAAACTACTTTTGTGATTCCCTGGGCATTCAGCACCTTGTCCAGCTCCTTCTGGGTCATTACCACACCCTGGTAAAGGGAAACTAAAGTCTATCGATCAGAGAGGTGTGCAGAAGACTCGTACCTTATCAGCAGCTTCTCCTTCGACTTTATCCTTGGGCACACTCGTGATGGCCATGCTCAAGTAATCACAGACACACAGAAGGTTCTTTCCGAAGCTCTGGAGAGCATAGGTACGCTCGCTAAAAATAAGAACAGTATGCAGGGGCTACTTGAGCACATCTCGTTTAGCAATGGTGCGAACATTCTGCATTTCAGCAAGGAGACGCATATTTTTGTCCTTTAAATCCTTAAGCTACAAACTAAAAGCCAAAAAACGAAAAGACCTCTTTCTCACTGGATTCCAGTTGCTTCTTAATGGAAGCGAGCTGATCATCGAGAGTCGCCTCAGCAGGCTTCTCCTCGCCTTGAGCAGGAGCAGCTCCCTCCGCAGGAGCTTCATTTTCGAAGCAAGGAACAGCAGGATGGAACGATCTGTAGAGAGGTCTTCCACTCAACACAGAAAGTGGTTTAAAAGCAGAAACGACTCTGCCGGAGTTACGAACAGCAGTAGAGACCAGACGATACTACACGCCGATAAGAGAGGAGTCAACATAAAAATCACTTACCATATGGATATGGAATGAATATATATATATATATATATATATATGTACAGTCGAAAACCTCCCTGGTTCCCCGTTTCCACCTTTGGTTCCAAAAGAATAAATTAAAAGTCTATTTCAAGTCTCACCACTCGTAAACAACTCCCCTCCCTTCCATTGGTCCAACAAACAAGATCAATTAGTTCGGGCGTTTCTTTCCATAGATCTTCACAAACAGACACACCAGAAGATAGGAAACGACCGCCAGGAGCACCGCGACCCCCATTTCGCACGTCAGCTGAGCCTGCGTGGACGCATTCGCATTCCCGGTCACAAACAGCGGCGTAACGAACGAACTCAGCGAGCTTCCGAGTCCCTGAATGAATCTATACGTCGCGGACGCCTCCTCCAGCTCGCTGCGGAAATACTTGCCCACCAACGACACGCACTCCGTCTGGTAGATGGTGTCCATCACCGCGAAGAACGCCGTCGGCAGGAAGATCCAGCCGCCCTGATGGACGTTCATGTACAGCGCACTCGCCGCGCCTAGAATCTCGGCGGCCACGGCAATGCCCAGCATGACCACATTGCCGACTCGATCCGCGAGCTTCCACGAGATAGCGGTGGTGATGACCTCCACGACGGCGAAGAGAGCCATGGCGAGCCCCACCATCTTCACATTGACGATCTGCCGCGTGATCTGGGAGGACACGACGAGCTGCGCGTATCCATTATTGAGGAAAAGCATGATGAGGAGGAGCATGCGAGGCTGGCCGAGGCAGCGAAGCACGGCTACCACCTTCTGCCAGATCATCTTCCAGGGCTTCTTCTCGGGAGAATCGGCGGGTTTCTCAGCCTGTGGTTCCGTCGCCACAACTTCCACCTTCTTAGCAGGCGAAGTAGGTAGGGTCTTTCTGACGAAGAACATCAGAAAGCTACCGATAAGAGCTGAGACTAGGGATGAGAAGCAAACAGCAGGCAGCCTACCACTCAGACCGATGAACAACCAGGAGATGCCACCATTCCAGCCATCGCCTCGATTGGACAGATCCTACGCGTTAGCAGAGAGGAGAGAGCGCGCTCACCAATCCGACAAGGTCCAGAAGGACGTAGCCGAATGTGTTACCGAACACATTGCCAATCATGAAGATGCCGTAGAACATGTTGCTATTGGCAGAGATGTTCTCGTCCACGCTATTCTGGGCGAGGAGAATACTCTCCGAAGACCACGAAAGCTACGAATCAGAACAAAAACACGACGCGACCGAGAAGAAGATGCCTGTGACAAAGCACATTACGAGAGCAAACCAGGGTATCAGGTATGCATACTGCAAAATGTAGAGCCTAGATGAGAAGGTTTGAAAACAACTACACCATGACGAAGCTGGATACGATAAGACATCCCTTCACACTTCCCGAGAGGTACAGAATTACTGGAACGATAAAGTTGCCAAGAGCAGACACCGTGTACAGGGTTCCCAGGCAAATAGCACCCAGATTTCCTAAATGAACAAAACTCAAAGAAAAATACCTAACAATGGAACAGCGAAATTCTTATAGGTGTTAATGCCTATGAATGAAGCTAGAAGTGCATTCCTACCGAAATAGATGAAGGAGAACGCAATACTCAGCCAAATAATATTCTGCTTGTTCTTTCTCACAGCAACTTCATCGTAAGTCTTCATTCCAGTAGCTTCCATTGGCCAACAACAAAAATAATGGCGAGTGTTTTTGCAGTCTTATCCCCGCGATTCTAATTGTGTTTCCCAACAATTGGTATGCAATTGACAGCCTGCCTCTCCATCCAAAGATAGTCTCTGCAACAAACAAAACACTTTGCACACTTTCGAAGAATAAACTCCCCAAACACTCGAGAAACATCGGGAAACCCGGTAAAAGAAGGGAATAAATTCACGTCAATACAGAAGACGCGTCCAGGATCCGCGGAATCCACAATGAAATCCACACCGATCAAGTCCATCTGTAGAATCTTCTCAATCTCCGTCACATACTTCGTGACCAGCTCGAGCGTCAGACTCTCCGTCTCTACAGGCTTTCCGTGGATGATCTCGTTGTTTTTCGTTTCGACCTCCGCAGATTTCGAAAACGACAATGGGCACTTCTTCAAGCGGTCGATCGTATACTTGTCGATCGGATTCTATCCGTCATTTCCTCGCAGAAATCGAACGTCGCAGTCCGATACGTTCGGGAGGGAGTATCGAATCTCTAAAAACGCCTTGTCGGCGATCGCGTAGGCTTTGTAAATCACGCCGTTGTGGTCTTTATACTCTTGAATCACCATGTCGATGTCATAGGACACGGGGAGAGAGCTGGGAGAGATGATCACTTCAATCACATGAGTCGAATCTCCGTTTTGCCATTCCGGCTTGACTAGAATAGGCAGAGCAATCTCTATGAGTGGAAGGGAGCAAGAAGGCGAACTTTCACGTTCTAGGAACTCTCGAATGTTTTCACCCCTTGGGAGTACGGCGTATTTGGGAACGGAGAGAACATCACTTAGATGTCCATTCTGGATGGCTTGGGTAGCTACTTCGTAGGAGTAGGAGCGACGAACAAAGATATCCAGCTTCTCACAGTTGTCAATAAACATCAGGTTCGGGTGTAGCTTCTGGGTCTCTCGGAACCAAGCAATCATCCGATCATTTTCTTCGCTTGGAACTCCCACCTGATCTCTATTATCTAGAACATTCTACGCCCATACGAGAGTTTATGGAGAATAGCATCCACTGGTTTCTGTTCAGAATAGGGAAGATCGATGTTTAGCCTGTAATACTCGATTCCCAGTTCAGGAAACATATCAAATATGTGAACATCATCTGATTTTTACACACAGCAGATAACGAATACTTAATCGCTTCCATTTCCTTTCAGTAAGTAACAATCTATATGTTATGTCGTCCTCTAATTTATTCTTACCCGAGAGTAATCATCTGAATCAGATATAATAGGAATAATGCTGAAATATCATTCTTTCTTTGTAAGTGTAAATGAAATCATTTCCCTCCAAACTGAAATTTGTTACAAGTTATGAGTCTGGAAAAACTGGAATCGGATTATTTGAATAGGAGGTAAGGAATGAAGAAATCTTGACAAAAAGAACGTTACACAGTCCATTCTCCTATGCAGAGTTTATACTCGTATTGCTTTGTTTCGAAGTGATTTATTAGAACAAAGAATTATCTCCAGGCAATACCACTACATTGGCTGACACTACCTATCAGCTGCGATTACGAAGCTATGTCTTATCGCAAATGTGTTTATCCCTCCAAAAGGAAATGGGAGCCAAGTCGACTTCTGCCTCTGAGGTACATGAGGAACGTGAGGAACGACATGCGGTGAGTTCTTTTGTCAAGAAGCACAAAAAAGAGTATGGAATAGGAGTGTTATTTATTATTTTTATGTAGAGCAATTGAATGCCTCCATTCGCCTCCTTCCCTACCTCCGCCTCCATCGATTCCATCTCCATCGGATTTCCTCGCTCTCTTTCAACAGGAGGAATACCGCAATGCTTATCGACTTCCACTCCAGCTTCCCCACTACCAGCACGTACTGCTTCCTCACTGTGAAGCCCCTCCTCGCTACGTCCATTTCCACCGTCTAATCCGTCCCTTTACCATCATTTATGACCAAGACGATCCCATTCCCACAGAGATCCAACCCCAATTCGAACCCAGCCAACAGCAACAACAACAACAATTCATTCAAATTGAAATCCCTTCAACCAAAACAAACCGAACCAACCAATCCAAACAATCATCCTCTTCCAAACAATCCAAGCAATCATCCTCTTCCAAACAATCGTCCTCTTCCAAACCATCCAAAAAGACTCCACCTCCCTCCCTCTATAAACTCGAATCCTTTCTCTCCAACGATCAATTCCGATCCGCTCCCTTCTCCAAAAAGCGCGGCGTTCTCCCTCGCGACTCTCTCAACGTGTTTCATCCCCTCACCACCGCTTCTTCCTTCACTCATCACTCCCTTCTCCTCTATCTCCAACGCCGTCTTCGCTTCTCCAACGCAGAAAACCACGACTCCGAGATAGAAGACGACGACGCTGATAACGACGACGAAAAAGAAGATTTGATCGAGGAAGAAGACGGTGAAGATGTCTATCGCACGTCAACACAGAGTAAAATCGATCCCATCGTCGATGAGAGTCCTGCGAAAGCGCGTTTCCTAACGGATGAAGAGCTGTTGAGGCTTGTTGAAGAGGAAGAGCGGAAGAGAACACACGCAGAGCAGGTCAATCTCGCGCAGTTCATTGAGAATAAAGCGTGTGATGACGATTTGTTTGCAGATATGTTCGAAGTCGAAGCCGAGCCCAAGAGACCGCACATCGAATCCAATCGTATTGGTGAAGCACCTCTTTGACTGTAGAAGCCACGCAGACGAGCAAAGGATTTGTCGCGATCGTGAATCAACAGACAAACACCATTGGCAGAACCGTGCAAAAGGTGATCTCAGTGTGTTCATCTCCATAGCGTTAAAAATAGACAAAACAAATCGCTGACTGTATCCAGAACTTCCTTCACTCACACACAGCTTTGTAGGAGAGGAATGTTCATTTGATCGTAGTTCGTCCAAGCACGTTGTATCAGCGCTCTTGGAATATCAGGAAAGTTCATTGGGCCAGGTTTTATTGTGAGAGAGGAAATGATCGAGTAGACATCCTATCCCAAGCTGCATAGTACAGTACTGTGGCTTCTCATTTGTCTCGTCCATTCATATAACGTTCAGAACGAACCAAGAGTGTACGAGTTGAAACGAAGTGAAGACGAGATTGAAGTGATTCCACGGCAGTTTTAAAGCAGAATTGAATCAAAAAGATCAAAATATGTTGAACATGCCCCAAAATAGGACAAACTGTTTGTTTGAAACATGATACAAAGAGAAATGTTGAGAGAAAAGCCTTTTCCCGAAAATGGAAAACAGATTTGTTTGGATCATTCGAGATTGTTCCATGGGTTATCTTCGATTCTTTCTTCATAATATTAATTAAAATTGTAAATATGAGTATAAATCCAAAGCTATTTACTGCTTACACTCAAGATAATATCAGTGAAGCATTCAATGTGGCAAGATCTAATAGTAACCCAGAAGTTACGAATGTACACCTAGCTATTGCTATGCTAAAGGATCCGAAAGGATTCCCCTATCTAGTCTGTCAAAAAGCTGAAATCGACGTGGAGTTGCTGAAGAAGAAGTTGAATGAGCAGTTGAAGAAGCTTCCCAAGCAAGATCCTTTACCTGAAGAACTCTATGTCAGTGGAGCTCTTGGAAAGACTTTAAGTATTGCTCAGGAGAACGCTGCCTCGCAGAAGGACTCTCGTGTGGCTCAGGATCATGTGCTGGCTGCTATGTTTAACGACTCTACGATGAAATCCTTGTTCGAGAGTGTGGGTTTGACGAAGAAGAAGTTGGATAACGCTATTAAGGAGAAGAGAGGATCTGCTCAAGCCAATTCGGACGCTCCTGAAGGCGCGTACGACGCTTTGAATCAGTACGGAATTGATCTGGTGAAGCAGGCCGAGGAAGGAAAGATCGATCCTGTGATTGGCCGAGACGAGGAAATCCGTCGCGTGATCCGAATTCTGTGTCGTCGAACCAAGAACAACCCTGTTCTGATCGGTGAGCCTGGTGTGGGAAAGACCGCAATCGTGGAAGGTCTCGCGAACCGAATCGTCCAGGGCGATGTCCCTGAAACCCTTCGCGTTCGCTTGATCTCTCTGGATCTGGGAGCGCTGATCGCAGGTGCCAAATACCGTGGAGAATTCGAAGAGCGACTGAAGGCTGTGATGAACGAAGTGAAGCAGAGCGAGGGCAAAATCATTCTGTTCATCGATGAAATGCACTTGCTTCTGGGCGCTGGAAAGACGGACGGCGCGATGGACGCTGCGAATCTGCTGAAGCCCATGCTGTCGCGAGGTGAATTGCGAGTCATCGGCGCTACGACACTGGAGGAATACAAGAAATACGTTGAGAAGGACGCCGCGTTCGAGCGACGATTCCAGCAAGTGTATGTGGGCGAACCCAGCGTGGAGGACACCGTGAGTATTCTGCGAGGCTTGAAAGATCGCTATGAGCGATATCACGGCGTTCGCATCGATGACTCGGCGCTGGTTTTGGCTGCGAAATTGTCGCATCGATACATCCAGGATCGATTCCTGCCCGATAAGGCGATCGATCTCGTGGATGAGGCGTGCGCGAACATTCGCGTGCAGCTGGACAGCCAGCCCGAGGAGATCGATCGACTGGAGCGCAAGCAGCTGCAGCTGGAGATCGAGCAGACGGCGATGGAGAACGAGAAGGACGAAGCCAGCAAAGCGCGGTTAGAGAAGGTGAAGGAGGAGCTGCAGGAAGTGAGAGAGCAGTTGAAGCCGCTGATGATGCGCCATGAGAAAGAGAAGGAAGGAATGGACGAGCTCCGCCGATTGAAGAATAAAGTCGCGGAGACGCAGAACAAAATCGAAGCGGCCAAGCGAGTGCACGACACGGCGCGTGCCTCCGACCTTCAGTATTACGTGCTTCCCGACTTGGAAGAAGCGATTAAGCGCCAAGAAGAGGAGATCGAGAAGCAGAAAGACTCGCGAATGCTCAAAGAAGAAGTGACTGCGAACGACATTTGCCACGTGGTGAGCAACTGGACGGGCATTCCGATGGATCGCCTCAGCACTTCCGACCGCGATCGCTTGATCCAGCTCCCGCAGCGACTCAGCGAGAAGGTTGTTGGACAATCGGCGGCCATCGAGGCGGTCAGCAACGCCATTCTTCGCTCCCGCGCGGGGCTTTCGCGCGAAGGAAAGCCGACCGGCTGCTTCCTCTTCCTGGGTCCCACCGGCGTGGGCAAGACCGAGCTGGCGAAGAAACTGGCGCTGGAGCTGTTCAACGATGAGAAGCACATCGTGCGAATCGATATGTCGGAGTACATGGAGAAACACTCCGTGTCGCGATTGGTCGGCGCGCCTCCAGGCTACGTGGGCTACGAAGAGGGCGGTGAATTGACCGAAGCGGTGCGTCGCCGTCCGTACAACGTGATTCTGCTGGATGAAGTGGAGAAGGCGCATCCGGATGTGTGGAATCTGTTCTTGCAGGTGTTCGACGATGGACGACTGACCGACAAACAAGGCCGAACGGTGGATTTCTCGAACACGGTGATCATCATGACGTCGAATTTGGGCGCGGATATCTTGCTGGAAGATGTGGAGCGACAGAGACGGACGCGATCGAATGAGGGATTGTGCGAGGAGTATCCGTCTGCGCGAAGAGTCGCGGTCACTCCCGGCATTAGCGAGGAAGCGGAGAAGCGCGTGATGCAGGTGATTCGAAGCCACTTCCGACCCGAGTTTTTGAACCGACTGGACGAGATCATCATGTTCAATCCACTGGGATATGAGCAGATGAAGAAGGTGATGAAGCTCCAGATTGACGAGCTGAACGATCGGCTGAAGGAGCAGAATATGGCACTGGAGGCGGACGATTCGGCGCTGGAGAAGATCATGGAGGACGCGTACGATCCGCTGTATGGAGCGCGTCCGTTGAAGCGCTACATCGAGAGAGCGATCGTTACCGACTTGAGCAAGCGGCTGATTGCGGGAACGATCATCCCTGGATTCATTTACACTCTCTCTGCAAAGAACGGTGTGTTCGAGTATACTTCAACTGGCAAAGCGTATCATAGCAAGTAATCGTTATCATTAGTGTGTGTATAATTAGTGTTTTCTCTTTGTTGAACAAACAATCCTAAACTGGCTGTTTCTCATTCTGGAACTACAGTTACTCGATTATTGTCACTGTAGTGGACATTAATCACAGAAGGACCGATCGCGATGGGCGCCTGTGTAGGCACATCAGGCAGCATGTCCATTCGAATGCCTCCATCGAACAGTGAAGGCGTCTCGCTCAGATCCACCCGCAGAGACGACCCACCGTGCACCACCGTAGGAGTTTGTATCACAGCGGGAGCTACCCGCGATACAGTCGCTAGATTGGAGACTGGTGCCAGATTGGACACGGACTCGGGAGCAGGGTTCACCACGACGGGAACCGTCTCAGAAGGAGGCTGTGCATGCTGAGTTGAATGCACAGTAGGATAAACTCCTTCATTTAGAACACTGTTGAGCTCGACATCGTCCGGCACCAACGCATCTAAAAACGCATCTTCCTTCATCAAGACGTCATTCGCGTCATCAATGACAATCACGCCGCCTCCAGCGAGCTTTCCATCGGGAATTGGAGCTGGTTTGGACGATTTGGCGGCGTTGGGAAGATCAATATGGAAGCTCGGAATCGGCTGGACAGGCGAGATCGACTTCGGCGTCGAGCTGTATTGATTTGAAATCGCGGACACCGGCGTGGCGTGCAGCGAAGGAACCTGCTGCGACATCGTGGAGGCTTTGCTGTCAGGCACGAGGCTTCCATCCTGGAGAGGAGCCGGGTTGACCGCCGAAGCGAGAGGGTTTGTGAGTCGTGGCGTGGTGAGCGTGGCCGTGGAGGACCGTCGAGCTTCCGGCAGCGATGAGCGATGAGGATTGACGAGCGAAGGGACCGACAGAGAGGAGCGTGGAGAGGGATTGGAGAGGTGAGAAGGCGTGGCGGAGGGAACAACGGTCGGGAAGATGGCATGAGCCGGAGCTGATTGCTGTGGCGCTTCTGGCTTTTCTAAGGGTCAGTCGATTCCGTGTTGGCCTACGAAGACCATTTGGGTGCTGGGGTTCTTCAATGGATTGCGACTGGATCAGAATGGGTTCTTGGCTCTGATTCAAACTGCTGTTCAAGGTATAGAACACGGTCTGAGTCGGAGGCAGCTCTGGAATGGGCGGCTCTTCTTCGATGACAGCCGTGGTATCGATAACAGACGGAGTCTGCGTGGGGCAATAATCCGTCACATCCAGCGTCGTGACGTGAATATTACTGTTATCAGGCTCTGGATTGTAGGAATCGACCAAGAGCGATTTTGTTGGAAGCACATGGGCTTGCGAAATGGGCTCGGACACGATCTGGACGGCCTCTGCGGGGCGAGCAGCGTACTGAGGAGAATGAGGACTGTATTGAGCAGGCTGGGCGTATTGAACAGGCTGGGCGTATTGAGCAGGCTGCGCATACTGAACAGGCTGGGCGTACTGGACAGGCTGAGCATATTGGACAGGCTGAGCGTGCTGAGCATACTGGACAGGCTGAGCGTACTGAACCGTCTGCACCTCGGGCTGAGCAACAGGCTGAGCTTCAAGCTGAATGGCTGGCTGGGCTTCAAGCTGAATGGCCGGCTGGGCTTCGGACTGGGCGGCAATCTGAGCAGCAGGCTGGAGAGTTGCCTACACGTAAAAACCACATCTCAAACACACCGAAGGCGTGGCCACATCATCGACAGAGGAGATCACCTGCTCATTCACGGCCGATTTCGTGTAGACCAGCACCGAAGAGCACGCCAACTCCGTCATTTTACACCACTTTCCTCTCAACTACGCATAAGCAAGCCAACGAACCCCTACCTGAAGTACGTTCTCCTGCTCTTCAGCCTGTTTAAGCTCACTCAGCGGCACGCGGCATTCACCAATGTAGTTATCCTTTCCCCAATACATCGCCACATCCAAGTGGTCTGTTTTGATATCCTCATAGGGAAGCAAGAGACGGATATGAAGGTCATCTACGCATCAGGAAAAACGAGCGTAATAGACCTTGATCGTATAATACTCGAGACCTTCCTAAAGAAGTGTGCTTGGAAAAAACTTCAACGTAAAATCCCTTTAACCTCCATTTTTCCTTCTATTCATAACCAGAGTACACCAACACACACGGGGATTGTAGAGTTTAACAATCGGAGACTGATATACTTCACCTTGTCATCCGCCCCTAAATTCTTTGGGACGGAAAAGGTAGAAGTGAAGGAAACATACTGAATTTGAAGCCATAATTTGCAGTATGCTGAGTCCTTTTTGAGTTTTTTGCAAACGACAGAGTAGGGGCCCCAAATAAGGCTTTTCTGTCGAAAATGGGTATCTACCGAATAAGAGGCCATTGCCTTCCTAGAAGTGATAATGATTACGAAGGTACTAACGGATGCTTGGCAAACCCCTTGTCGTTCATTACATATATAGTCAGGGGATTATTCTGATAACTCTCTAAGGAACATTCAAACGCAAAGCACAAGTCAAAGTAAACGTCTTTTCCGCCTTTACAGTACGAAGACTTTTTTTCCTCATCTCCGAATTTGACCTAGTTCCTAACGATAGAAATCCAATCAAACTAAAATTTTATTTCTTCGATCTCCTGCAAACTCAACTCCTCGTATACAACTAACTAATAAATATCCATCGGACGACATTGACTACAAACAAAATGAGGAATATTGGTTACTGAACAAAATGAACGGGTTTTGGTATATCCGAAAAACAAGTGATATTGAACATATTACACTTTACACTTGATTACTCACTTTATTTAAAATAATAGGATGCGATCAGTCGAACAACATCGGTAGTCACTAGTTTTTGCCGAGTACTCGCTACTAGATACCGCCATTATAGATAAATGTTGTTGTACACAAAATAAGATGTATTGTACACCGTGTTTCAAGTTAATTTTGATTTGGATTGATCAATTCCTGAATATATACATATTTCATATTATATATTCAGTGAGATTCATTTTGTATGATATAAAGGCGAAAAAACAGAATGGTACGATTGAAGTATGAAAATGATTTTTAGAATGAGGAAAATGCAAAGCATACAAGGGAGATTCCTTCCGAGCAACAAGGAGTCGTACCACTGTATTCCAGTAATAGAATGGGTAATTCAAGGAAAAAGTCGAATAAGAGTTATGAAAAACGAGGAAAGTGACACATAGAAATGAAATCTACGGCGCAAAAACAAGTTTTGATAAAACAGCTTCCAACGCTCGTACCACAGGAGAAAACGCAACAGCAGAGCAGCAAATCTTGCTTGAAGCATGGAAATATTATGTATCCTATTGTGTGCCATATGAAAGCTTTTCCTGTCTTCATTCCAAAGTATTCCTTGTATTTTCCTTGGCCGAGTGATGGTGTGAAAACTTCTGTGCTATCGAATCCTGTCAAAACAGGAAATACTCCAGAGCATATTGATCCGCACTTAAATCACGCATCTTGGACTAGTGCTTCATCATCTACTTTTAACTCTTCTCCAATAGACAGCAAGAGAAACGGCCCGAGTGCTTTGGGCATTATTACCCAGTCAAAGAAGGCAAAACTCCACGTGGCTGATAAGGAAAGGGGCAACGATTCCACATCGATTTTCGATCTGCCTTCAGATAACACTACTCCTGCTTCTCCATCGGCAAACTCTCTCCAGTTTCCTTATCCTTCTTCTTCTGACCAAACGGGAAACTTGGGACAAACGAACGAGAAGAGTTTGAATAAAGCGGACTATCATGGAGATATATACGGCATTAACCGAGATGGAAAACAACCCAACAACCAATTATCTGTCGGTTTTTCTCAGCTAGAAGAAACCCAAAGCAAACCAATCATTGAGGACTACACCCAATTTGCTTGCTACAAGCCAATTTATATATCAGCAATAAGGGATTACTCTGGATTTCTTACTACTGAAACGCCAATCCATAGCGAAAAGCAAGCAATACAATCGAGTTTAGTCAACGAGGAAAATCCCGAGAAAAAAGCGAATCTGAATTCCACATCCATCGAAGAGCGAGAAGAAGGAGAAATCTCTTCCTGCGACTCTCTTCCTGGCGATTTGGATTCAGAACATGATTCTGTGTCAGCGAGTAGTACCAATCTATCAAACGATAAGACAGCAGAACAGAAGAATCGTTCCATCGGAAACAATCAAATGGGAGAAACAACCCTTCCTACGAGTCATTCAAAGAATTCTTCGACCATCGATAGCGACGGTAAGAAATGGCCCAATGATTTGTTTGAATCGGATCCTGCTCAAGCTCCATCAAATACCAATGATAGTAAATTCGAAAACTCGAGTCCTCAAGAAAATATTCGAGACTCTAGATATGAGAATAACCAAACTGCTATTCGTGATGAAAATGATAACAGTGCTATTCATAATGAAGAGAAAAATGACTATTTCCGTGGTTCTGATGATGATTATGACTCTGAGTACAGACAAAGACATCGACATCGACATCGAAGCGATCATGATTATGAGCGTGACCAACAATCCAGAAGACATAGCAGTAGATCTTATTCTTCCAAAAGAAGGCATTCAAAAGAAGAAGAAGAAGAAGAAGATGGTGATGATGTTGAAGAAGAAGAAGAATCAACCTCTCAAAGCGATCTCGAAGAGGAAAATTCAATGTTAGAAAAGCTGCGAAAGGTTTCTCATTTATGGAGAAAGAAAGAGCGTTGGCTCTCCAAGTTTCCTTCAGAAGAAGGCGAAGTTCCTATTGAAAACGTGAAGAAGTCCTTTTTCACCAAAGAGGGAATCGACTTATTGAGTAAATCATCTCTTATCCATTCATCTTAGATCTCACAGCCGATGAAAAGCAGTTTCTAGACAGTCTGGAGAAGAGACATCGAGAGAAGTGGAATGCTCGACATGGCCTTACTGACTCGGCAAGTTATGTCAACTTACTCAAAGAAGAAATCCTTCAAGCTCTCCAAGACTCCGCCTCTCGCGCTCCAGAGAAAAGCGAGGATGATCCCGACCCTTGGTCAAGCGTAAAGGTGCACAAGCAACGACTAAAACAGTTTCGGCAACGTCGTCGTGTGGTGATCCCGTTCCAACCATCTCCCGATGTGATCGATCACACGTACTACCCTCCCGATGTTTATCTTCGCTACACTTTTGTTTTCACAATCCCAGGCAACGAGGCTTCCTCTTCTCTTTCTGCTGCCGTTCCTAAACGCCAGGAAGAGTCTCATCGAGAGCATCCGAAATCTCTGCAGGCTGACGATGATTCGATCATAGTAAAAGGATATAAGCCATGGAAGAAGAATGAAAGCCAGTCGAAGCAGGAAATTCGAGAGCAAGCGCTACCTGCTTCCTTTCGAAAACGAGTTTGTTAGGGATTTTTACTTTATTTTTAGTTAGAGGAAGTTCGGCTGGAAGAGGTAAAAGCAACGGTGCGTCTGCAACGGACGTTCGACTTTGTCCACAAAACGGAAAGGGAGATTGAAGAAAAAAAGCAGCAACTTCAAAACGACATGGTAGTTTCCTAATCTAAGAATATCTGATCGTGTAGGAAAGGCATAAGAAATTAGTAATGAATTTGGAAAAGAAGATCAAAGAAAACTCGGTAGAGAAGAGATAATGATATGAATATGTGAAGGGTTTGATTATGTAAATTATTATTCTATTTCAATGGGATTGTTATCAATTATTCGGAAACAAAAGAAGAAAGAAAAGGATATGCGTATTTTAATGCTGTGATTCGAGTTTTGTTGTAATCACCTTCTAGAGGACTCGATAATGCTGGGAAAACAACTATTCTCAAAAAGATAAATGGTGAGGATACGCAAAGTATCAGCCCGACGCTTGGCTTCAAGATCCATTCAATATATTATAAATCGTACATCGTAGTGCAGAGAACTCTATTTCTAGATACCATATGAATATTTGGGATGTTGGCGGGCAAAAAACAATCCGCAATTACTGGAAAAACTATTTCGAGGAGGTTTCATTAAATTGGTTATTGTCAGTAGACTGATGCTGTTGTATGGGTTGTTGATAGTAGCGATTACCAGCGATTAGACTTGTGCAAAGAAGAGTTCAGCCAAATTATCTTTGAAGAGGCAAGAACCTTGCACGATTAATAAATTAGAAACTAATGGGCGCGGCAGTTCTAATCTTATGTAACAAGAATGATCTGGAAGGAGCTTTAGGTGCCGATGAAATTTCCAGGGTAGCAACATTATCACGCTCAACAAGTAGTATTTAGAATTAAGTGGACCTGCTTTTGAAACACGTTATTGGGCTGTTTTTTCCTGTAGCGCTCTAACGGGAGAAGGGTTGCTAGAAAGTTTTGACTGGCTCGTGGAGCATACATATAGCGGAATGGCATTAACCGAAGAAAATGCATGATGAAAAAATAGAGACTATTTTTTGGTGTTTTTGTGTTAGTTTGTTCAACACACATTTTTGAGGCATTGGATGGACCAAATAAAGATTTTATGAGGCAGCACAGGATGTAGCAAATATGCTCATACATAAAGCTTTCAAATATTCACAACGGAACAAATTGTGTTATTACAAAAGAATATCCTAGTTTCGGCTCGCCCTTCAAAGGCGAACGTATCGCAAAATAAGGCGATTTGGTAGAATAAGAAAAATGGTTTATGGATGTACAGTGTAGTATCTATGTTGATAATCAAGAAATAATACTAATAACTGGAGTTACAATCTTGTTGTGTTTTGTGTTTTGTATTGATTTTGTCATTAAAGACTTGAAGATCTGCCTTGTAATTGGAGATGAGAGATATTCTTGAAGGACTCTATAATACAGATGATGAAAAGGGAAGACAGAAGGCTGCTTGGTGTAGCTTCTTTTTCTACCTTTTCCTCCTGCTCAGCTTCATCATTAGTATTTGCGCCTCTGTGAAGTGCACGAAGGTAACTATTTTACCCCTGGAAGCTGAGATCTAGAGCTATTTGAATAAGACTCTGTTTACGTACAAGTTCCCTATGTACGAGAGCGCGACGGATATTCCTGCGGGTGTGCCCGTCTCTCTGTCTGTCCGTGGATATGTCCAGCGTGGAGGTGGCTTCGGTATTTACCGCAACCTCCGTCTTGAGAAGGACGAAGAGTTCCGTCGTTTGAAGACAGAGGTCCTTCTGAATGGAAAGGTGCTTGTTGCTGCCTACACTGGAAAGCTGCTTTTGCTCACCCTGAACGGACTTGAATATGATGAGGACTTCAGCGTATATTCTGTTTTTTCCTTTTAGTAGTAGTATGATCTTCCTTTGGATCGTTACAGACGCGGCATTGAGGTCGATCACCTGATCAAGCTCTCTGAATCTCGCTGCGTGGTGATCGGAAACAACGAGATGATCACTGTCACCATCCAATCGGAGGTGATTGGAAAGAAGGAAGTACCGACCCCTGTGTTTGGAAAGGAGCACTTCATTTTGGAGGAGGCCGAGACTACCGCTTTCCCTCATGTGGATTCCTTGGATAACACCACTGTTGCTTTCATTTTCGAGAAGAACTACCAGCTTTGGGCCGGAACTGCCACTTGGGCTGGAGAGGGAACCGAGTCGAGAATGGAGAAGAACAAGGTGGCTATTGCGAATGAGGAGTGCATTTACAAGTTCCACGGCGTGGCTGGAATGAGCAAGGACAAGTTCATCATTGCTGCTGTGGGTCATCCTAACAATGGAACGGAGCAGGATCGTGTGCCTGGAGATCTGCGTGCCAAGGTCGCCACTGTGGCGAGCGATGGCTCTCTTACTTTCGGTGAATGGACCACCCGCTGGTTCACGGATAGCTCGAACTGGTTCTCGCTGGACAACTTCAATTCTTGGCAAGCTCTGGCTTGTTATTACGATGGTTTTGAGGGTAATGGTGTGGTTGCGATTAACATGTTCCTGGCGGAGGATCGATCGAAGGTGGAGTTTGGAGGCTACGTCATGGTGGAGAACGGAGGCGCCTCGATCGATTATCAGAAGATTGAAATGCGTATTTTGAGCCAGGACCGCTTCGGAGTGTTCTTCCCGGATGCTTCTGCCAACGGAAATCTGATCTTCATGATGGGAGAGCGCACTGCGAACAACGAGCTGACCCGCATTGGATCGAACTTTGTCGTGGCGAGACAGGCCAGACGTGCTGTAAGTGCCATCGATTAGGGAAATCACATGTAGAAGGAAGGAAACTTCTGGTTCTCGATTGCCCCCGTGAACTCCTTCCAGTTCACTCTTTTGGACTCTTTCAAGGGCACGTTGAATGGCGAGACCATCACGTACTCGTCCCTTAACATGGGATACCACTATGCCTATCCTGTGGGTATCACCACCAACCGTGGCGGAAAGGAGAAGTACATTCAGTTCAACGGTGTGTACACATTCGCGGCGAACAGCGATGTGACTCTGAAGCCTGGCTACACGTACTACACTAACAGCAAGGGAGAGCTGGTCAGAGGAAGACCTTATGGATACAATCATGCTGAGTATGGTGCGTTCTATGTGGACACTGGAGATGAGATTTGCGCTCTGCACAACCAGATTGGTATTGCTGTAAGCGAGAAGGAGCTTCTTATTCGTACCTACTAAGTGTTTACGTATGTGAATAGAATGATGTTTGTTATGGAAACAAGTGAAATGGTGTAGTAGTAGTAGTAGGAGGAGGAGGTTGAGAAAGATTGCAGTTACAGGAAGATTCGCTGAATAGACGACCAAACGATACACATCTTAAAATAGTCACTTCTTTTTATATTGATATAGATAACGTTAGAGACACTTCATTGTTAGAGAATGGCCAATCTTGTTAAACATGTTTCATCAATAACACCGAATAATTCACTTCTTATTCTAGTTGCAAGAAAAACACGACAGCGAAGACTCGGGTGCGAACTCACAAGTGTCAAGTTCCAAAAACTCAGAGAATTAATTAACAAAATTGCTATTTATTGTGCACGCAAACCGCTGTAGAATTGCTATCAAATGTCTTCAAATGAAGACCAAAATAGCTGCGACAAGAGTATCATAACCTATGATACTCAGTGGCCAGTATATGGATTATCCTGGTGTACCTACGACAATTCCGATGATTGTCAGAGACTTTTGCTATCTAGTTTCAGACCTGACTATAAGAACTATATCCATGTAGGATTGAAGTCCCAGATTCGAATAATAGATCTTGAATTTCCACGAACGAGAGGCACGAATATCCAAGCTTCAGGAGATATCGGTGACCTATCCACCTACAAAAGTGATGTGGATCCCTCGAAATAATGATTCTCACTCCGATGTGTTTGCCTACTCTGCAGATTACCTGCGGATATATAAGATGGATCCCTACTCCTCGATTCCCATTGTTGATTCAATTTTAAACAAGGTTCTTCTATTTTGTTTCTTTTCCCTAGGATACCACTCCCGACCGTTGCAGCCCCGTTTCCTCATTTGATTGGAGTGAAGTTAATACGAATATTATTGGAGCTGTGAGTCTTGATGGAATCTGCACTCTATGGGATATCGTTTCGCAACATCCAGTGTCAAAAATCAAAGCGCACACAAAGGAAATTTACGATATCGCATTTTCCTCACTGAACCCTGACACATTTCTCACCTGTGGAAAGGACGGGTCAATCCGCATGTTTGATATGAGGTAGGCAAGTACTTGGCCTTCATTCATAATTTAGGACAAATGGGACGTATTTCATCCTCTATCAAAACGATAATGACCTGCCGATTCTCCGCCTATCTTGGAATGCCATCAATGCCACGACGGTTGCCTTCACCTCAGTGGACCAGAGCGATATTTCTATCGTAGATATGCGGTACACACCCAATGGAGACTCTCTCTCGTAGAAAACCGCAGCAGTGTCTTCCTCTTCGTTCCCATCAAGCTGCTGTAAACTCCATTTCGTGGTCCCCTGTCGATTCCCAATTTCTGGTCTCGGGAGGAGAAGATCGGCAGGTAGGGCATCCATTGCAGATTAAGTGTAGTGCTTGATTTGGGACTTTGAAAGGCTAACAGGCGATAAGGAATGTAGTCAACCCGTTCCTCTGGATGATTAATTGTAGTCAAGCCAGCATATGTCTATTCGGCGCCCTCGCCCATTCACAACGTAAGCTGGGCAATCAAGAGAACTACCTGGATCGCTCTCTGCTTCAACAATGCCTTACAGATGTGTAAAACCTGACCACCCACCCTGTTTTGTTTCTGTGAACAAACAATCCACCAACTTTGACAACTTCCTTCCTTCATTCGATCGTTCGTCCCATGCGTTCCTCTCCGCGCTTACATGGCCTTGACCTCCCAGACACGGATCACATTATCGGTGTATCCGGCAAAGAGCGTGGCTCCGTCGAGCGACCAGCAGAGCGAGGTGCAGTAGGGCACGAGAGCCTTGGCCGAGCGAGGCGGGAACTCGGGCTTGACGCTGGCGACGCGCTCCTTGGTCTCCAGATCGAACAGCACGATCTCGTTCGTGGTGGCCACCGCGATCCAGTAGTTCGCGGGCGAGAACACCAGGTCCGTCACCGGGTCCTCCAGCGTCAGGCGGAAGTTCTCCACGCCGTTGGCCAGGTCCCACACGATCACGCAGCCGTCCTTGCCGGCCGAGGCGCAGAGCACGCCGTCCGGAGAGACCACCACCTTGTTCACCACCTGCGAGTGGCCGATCAGGTTGTACTCCACCTTCATCGTCTCCAGGTTCCACACCTTCACCAGCTTGTCGTACCCGCACGACACGATGCGAGGCTTCTCCTCCATGTTCGGAACGAAGCGCACGCACGTCACCCAGTCGTTGTGGCTCTCCTTGTCCAGAGTGAACTGGCACTCGCCAAGGGTGTTCCACAGCTTGATCGTACGGTCGCGGCCGCAAGACATGATCAGGCGGTTGTCAGGGCTGAAGCACACAGACAGAACGTCCTTCTTGTGACCCGACAGCGTCTTCTCGCTCTTGCCCGTCTTCACGTTCCACAGACGCACCGTTCCATCCCAAGAAGCCGTCAGAGCGTACTGACCGTCCACGGACAGACTCACCTCCTCAACGATGTGAGAATGGCCCTGCAGCGACTTCACAGGGGTTCCGCAAGACATCACCAGAGAGGGGTCGTCAATCATGTCACCCGCCTGGAGATTCCACACCAAGCAAGTGTGATCGCGAGAAGCAGACACCAGAGTGTTGGCATCAGCCGGAGAAGCAGCGATGGAGGTCACCCATCCGTTATGGCCCTGAAGGCATCCACGAAGACTGATTTGAGCAGACATTCTATACAAATCGGTTAATACGACAAATTCCAATATTTCCAATAGGGAATCGGGTTATCAAACCATTTGCAGACAACCTACATTGCAAACGAGTGTTATCAAAGTCTATTGTGAGAATTGTTGAAAAGGAATGAAAGGGCGGTTTCAGAAATGAGTCCAGGATTGAGGTGGGGAATTACCCATATCAAACCGCCGCCCAATTCGCCCAATTAAATTGAAATTCGGGAATGCGAAAACAAATCAAATAGGAAATGTTGCCCAAGGAATGGACATGAATAGAGAATAGGAATGAGCGATGCTGAAGGAAAACTGAGAACTTGGATGGAACAATGGGTGATATTCTTCCAATCCAAATTTCACATGCACAGAAATTGAAATAGACTAGTGAAAGACCCACAATGCAACCCCTTCACGATCCTAGTTAGCTGTACAGTGGTATTGATCATCATACAAATCACTGTACACCACAACCTTCTGGTCGATTTAGAGTATTGCTGTTTTCCTAATTAGATCATGGTAAGTCGATAAGCAAAGCTGAAATGAGTCTCCATATTTGGAGATGATCTATGAGCGTGTTTTTTGTCGTTTTAAAGAATGTCGTAAGTAACGAGTTTGTAGACTAAGGGTACTTCTTCTTTCGGTAAGAGACACACAAAGACGCACACCATCTGCAGAAGATGCGGTCGTCGTGCCTTCCACATTCAGAAGAGCCGCTGCGGTTCTTGCGGATATCCCGATGCTAAGATGCGTCACTGTACATATTTCTAGGCTAGTTTGAAGGATAGACAACTGGGCTCTGAAGAGTTCTCGTCGCCGAGGTCAGGGAACCGGTCGCATGAGCTACCTGAAGACTATGACTCGCCGTTTCAAGAACGGATTCAGAGAGGGAACCGAAGCTGTTGCTCGCAAGAACTAAATTGGTTTGTTACCGAAAGCAGCATTATGGATTGTTTGTTAGAGCAAACAGTATATTATTGCCATTTGTATGCAACACAAGGCAAAATCATTTCGCAAAAGAGTTGATTAAACATACTTATTTCTCTTGGCTTTTCATTTTCCAAGAAGAACTAAGAAAAGTGGGCAAGTTGAAAAATAGCATAACATGGAGGATCTGATAAGGGATATACATATATACCCACTCCAAAAGCGATTATTCATAACTGTCCACTGAAAGAGATAATAGATGAAATAAGGTATAGAAACGGTTTGAAGGCAGCAATAGGCGAAATAGAAAGCAAGCAAAGGTAACCATTTCCAGTGCTGTTGAAATGCAATTTACTTTAGGCTACAATAACGCGTTGCAAATATGATACAAAATAAAAAAAACTGGAGATAATCTATATCCAAAATAGATTCCTCCACAAACCAAATCATAGAACATAATAGCAAGGTCAAACAACAGTGAAACAAAATGGATCAATGAGTCAATTTAATGATCCAAAAGTTTTGATAACAGAGGAGAAACATCTAAACGATATAGGATGATGCAAAGAACAACTTGTAACTGATGAAGATTTTATGAAACGGAAGGAATTCGGTAATTGAACTGATTGAAGATTAGGCATGTCTACCATTTATCAATTAATGTAGATATCATTTGTACTTTCAAGCGTCACCAAACGAGGAAATTGTAAACTAGATCCTCTTGAGGTGAGTGAAGATAATTGGGGAAGATCTGAAAACCATAAAAAATAGAGAACAATCCGTACTGCGCATAGTTAAGGAACAAGAAGAATTGCTTTTTCCCCACAAGGCACCATACCCCAGCGTAATAGTTTTCAACGAAGGCAAATCTATTGGATTAAATTATCCCCACATTTATTACTCTGGATAATCGTGGTTACAGAGTCACGAAATGCATCATCTCCCATCGAAATAGATTCTAGATTGGGAAGATCTATACCTGAATCGATAATAGAAAAAAATACCTTGCAAAACGAAGGAACTATATCGAAAATTACATGACTTTCTATGAAATAGTCCTATTTTTATGGATCGTAAGGAAGGGAGGTTTTTTAGTTCAAATTGACCGGAATAGTTAGAAAAACTAAAACCCCCAATCGATATGTCCATTAATTGCTCGCAGTTAAGGATATGGAACGACCGAGCAGTACTGCAATTGATATCATCGTTATCCCATTCATCATCCCAGTTATCCTCTATCACGGTAGTGAAAGAATTATCGCCGATTTTTATACTTTTTAAGTGCATCAACCCATCTATCTTAAAGGTATTGACTTTCGAAAAGCAATAATCTCCAATCTCAATTGTCTCCAAAGACACAAACAGAGAAACATCGAAGTCCTTCAGAATGCATCTATCACACAACTTCATTCGTTTCAGACCGATAGGCAAATTGTTTCCGTCACCTTCGTAGGCATCGCCATTTTGCCCATTGACCCAGTCGCATTGCAATATTTCTTTTTCTCGACGATCGTACATCATTCCAATGCCAAATTCCCGGTCATCACACCAATAACCTTCGTATTCTTTACTACCATTATCATGATAGCTTACGCCATATCCAAACCGTCTCCAATTTATCAGCACTCCATTGTATATGTTTGACCCAATATCATCATACAACTCACCATACCCATATGGCATTCCATTTAGTAATGTTCCTTCGAATCGAGTCCCATGATCCAGATCAACGATTCCTTCCCTTAGTAGATTTACGTCATACTCATCATTTCCGAATACCCTTTCCACAATGTACTCATTCAGCAGATAACCTTCATTTAAAAAAACTCCGTTATCAAACTTTAATACTATACATTTTCTGTTACCTAATTCCACCGTGATCCATCCATTTACTTTCAGATCCTTGGTGACATAACCTTCCACATTTCTTATGTTAGAGCTGTCAATGCTATACTTTAGAATGGAAGAGTTGACAAGATCAGCAATTGTCTGCATATAATTTTATATGTTAATTATTAACTGAGGATTAACCCTACTTAAGATTCTTATTGGATCATTTTAGTTCGTATCTTCCATTCTTTGAATCCTATCGCTTTACATACTACTAATGATATGGAGAGATATTTTAAAGGCAACTACATCATAGTGTATAAGGTCTTTGAATAATTCTTTCAATTGATAAGCAATACATATCAATAATGACCCTATTTGTATAAAAATAAATAATAAAGCAGGTAATCCAAAATTTGAGGCTGATTACACCGATGGCAAATGAAGATGAAAACAAAACAATACATATATTATTTACATACATATCAAACTTTATCACACGTCTACATCCGATTATCGTAAAGCCACCTTCATTAATCACTTTACGGCTATTCGAACATAGCTAATCCAAATATCACAGTCATACATAATTAGTATATAAAAAACACATTTCAAGGTTTGTCAAACTTTTTTTTTCATGGGCGCCAGTGGACTGCTTACTTTAGTGCAAGAATCAGTTGACGATTGCAGCGTGAAAAGAAAAGAAAAGTATGATGCCTTTTTGCTCTGAAATGTAGTGACAAGGAATGTAAGCTTGTAATTGATGGGAATGCACTAGCTACAACAATTTTTCAATACCAGTTGAATCGTGGTCTAGCAGCAGGCTTTAATCCGGGTTGTGTATACAATTTCACACAGAAAATATTAGAAGAATTGGCTAAGTACAATTTTCGTGTAATTCGGGTGTATTTTGATTCCTTGGAAAACCCGGATAAGTTGTCTACGTATTTGTCAAGAAGAGGTGGTCACGAGAAAAGCGCCAAGAAATTTTGGGATAAAGGATTGAAAAAAAAGGGTAGAATAACCATTTCCTTGTTACTTTAGCTCATTTGAAAATTCCACGATGTTGTTACAATGCAGTTATGAACGCTTTCTTGGACACATATGGAAAGAATGTTTTGTTTCCTGGAGGCCTTGATTGTGATCTGTACTTTTTTTCAGTTTTCATTTCTA